GTTCCTCTTCGACCCTATTCCCATGTGACCAAGGTAAATAGCTCATAAAAATATTGTGCAAATAATTCCCAACCACAAAGGAATATTTTAATGGACTTTGTTATGGGCGCGGATTGATTAGCAAGACAAGTGTTTACCGCCAAGTGTCTTCTTTTGCCACCTACCGCTCATATGTATGTGCAGGTGTCTCAATCTCAGAGTTGGGGACTGAATCTCAGCTCGAGCCTGGGTTCCTAAGCCAGGGGCCAGGCAGGTCACATTCAGAGTCAGAGCCAGATTTACATTCACATTACAGCATTTTCCATTGTCATTGAATAATAAAAAAAAAACAGTCGAGGTTAGGATAAATCGAACCTAGAGTACCTTGTAATAGTTCTGTAAGAAAGAACTTTTAAGTATTTAATGATTTTATTCGGTTGAAATACTTACGTTCGGAAAAAAAAAACTAAAAGTTCTTGAAACAAACACAAGAAGATTTTACGGGTATTTTCCTAACCAGTTAAACTAACCCTCCGAATTCGTCTAATACTTCTTCTGTACTTTAACCATAAGCCGGGGTATGCTAGGAATAAATAATCATAACCAGTTTTGCAGAGTTTCCCAGCTGTACTCAAGGTATTTGCTAACCATTCTCAGCCGCCCGCGGCGACAACAACCGACAGTCACTCAGAAGATGCGTCTTCTCTCATCTGGAAACTGAAATCTCGAATGTTTTGTGAGAGGCTGCTAATGAATTTTTATGGAGATCTGTGCAAGTGATTCATGGGTGGCAGTGAAACTGTCACCACAACCAACTGTTAGGTGTTAAAAAGACCTAAAGCGTTTTAGCATCTAATCACTTTGTCGTCATCTTCCGAAAAAGGCCTCACATAATTACCCACTTATATCAGCAGCAGTGGACAAGGGCAATGGGTTTGGAATTCTTTAATTAAAATCAAGTCGCGATAAGATAACCGTCTCGAAGGCCTGGAATAAAAACAATATTTGATAAAGTCAAACATGGAAATTAAAATGTGTCTTAAGTTGTTAAGATAATGGCAATGCAGTACGAAGCGAACCCAAATCAATTATAGGTTTCCCTCCTTGAAGTCTAAATGGCTCAACATTGAAATGGATTCGGTGTTTTTCATAAATCGACGATCACGATTCGCAGATAGTGAAAGTTCTTCCTGCTCTTGGGTTTCAGTTTTCCATATGTTTATAACTTTATAACTTATAACTTGCATAAAAATCTCCGTTTAATCACTCCAAGTGAACTCGCGAATGTCGTCAGCCTTTGTTTAATTTATTACGTTGCCTTTAACTTAATGTCACTTTTATAACAACCAAAGATATTATTATTACGGCTGTGTTAGTTGTCCGGCAGTGAATTGTTATTGCTATAAGTTGATATTTTTATTATTTAAGGTTGCTTTAAATGGCCTGTGATGCATCGTTTAAGCAATGTGATGGCTTATATAATACGTATAAATTACCCGCACACTTTTTCACCTGTCTTGAAATTTACGACTTGACTAATTCATATTTTAGGGATTTATTCTTATTGCTTAAAGGCACAAGAAGGTGGTTACTTTATAAATACCTAGCAAATATTTCCTATATTTTATAATAATATTATAAGTGAGATAACGCTATCGCTTTCGTTTTCCTTACTTTTGAACTATCTGAAAGCCCATCGAAATGAAATAGTTGCCGGGTGACTTGGCCAACCCTTTGATATCTGATTACAAATCCGTTCCCATGAATTGATATCTTAAATTGCCCACTCCCCACGATTCCAACCATCTCGTATGACTCACTTGTTTAGCACTCGCTTCACAAATTCCCCACCTGAGCGAAGATGAATTTGCATTTAATTTTTGCTGCGATAAACCCAAAATAAACTCCTAGAATGAGACACTTGGTAAATTTATTTTATCTCAGATATTCGGTTGTTTCCCTTCTATTTCCTAGCTTATCGGATCCTGAGATTGCATATTTACAGAAGACACAATTAAATTCCATTCAAATGTGCGAAAGTTTAACAATACAGTGGATTTAATTAGAGTTCACTTGAAAGAATGCCGCCCGTACCAAAAGTTCACATAGAGAAAATTCCGCAAGGTTCTATAGTTTTAGGGATTAGGGTACATACTTTCGTATAACGGATATGGGGAGGGGGAGGGGCAGGGGGAGGGGGAGAAATGGGGCTGGAGAATCCCTAACCGAATCGAAATCAACTACCTGTAAGTGCCTAACGGCTAATTTGCTTTAATGATGAGAAACCGCTTAAGCAAACAAACAGCCAACAACAATGGAGGCTGTCTGTTGTTGTCCCCATGCGGGCTGTCCGAGGGGGCGGGGCTGTGGGCGGTCGGGGGTTTTGGCCAGCGGGCGATTCCCCAAGCATTGTGAATGATAAAACCTGCGAGTATATGTGTGTGTACTTCATGCTTGATTGCAAATTCAATTAAAGTTTGCGCAGTTCTCGAAGCTCTAGAAGCGGAGAATCGAGAGAGAAACTGGAGAGTGGAGCAAACTGACAACGGGAAATCGCTTAACAGAGCAAAAAAACGATTTATGAACTTAGCAAATATTACAATTACAATGGCACTCAAGGTTCTCCATTAAAATACTATCAAACAATAGTTGCAAAGTTATATAGTTTACTTTTTTTAAAGCATTAATTACTCCAATTTCTACTCAAAGTATGCTACTACAATATGATAAAGCTTAATAATTTCCATAAATACATAGTCTTTATCCAAAACGAAAGTATCGCAATTACCAAGGGAGCAACCTGTTCGAAAACCCCTTGATTAGTTTCCATTATGTTGTAGCACCATCTTCAATTATATTTAATAGCAATTTTTGTATAATTGTGTACCTTATTAACCACAGACACAACATTATATGTTTCGTTTAATTTCCGTCAATCAATTTAACGATTTCTTTGTTTTGTTGCCTATCATGTTGTGTGACGTTTTTTCAACTGTCAGTTCCGCTTCCTAATACAAATATAAATCGACTGGTTGAGTGCCGCAAACCCACATTCATGCGGGTATAGACAATTATTATTATTTTTATTATTATTTCGATCTCATCCCGTGCAAACATCCCAAGCCCCATCCCCCTACCCCTCCCCCACCCACAAATTGTCTTATTGTTGGTTCTGAATTGAATTTTTTTGCGCCTCATTGTTTACCTTTGTACTGAATTAAAAATCGCTTACAATGGAAGCTGGTAACAATCGGCGGTGGGAAAGTCAAGGTCGTACCCCTTCCCGCCCACTCAGCCCAAAAACACGAGCTCATCTTGCTAAAAACAAATAAGGCTCCAAGGGGCAAAGTGGGGTTGATCGTCTAAAGCTAATGCTAACTCATAAATCTTACAGTCGACGGATGATTCAACATTCGACAAACAAAAAATGCAAAACAAGTCGTAAAAAAACAAAAACATAAATAAGTATATAAATAAGACCCGAGCGAAATTTAAGCTGAGGCGGAACACAAATGCCTTTGTAATTTGCAATGCCTGAGACTGACTGGAGTTTTATTTTATTTAATTATTCAAAGTTCAGGGCTTTGAAGTGGGCTGCTGCATTCGTTGCCTGAAATTGCGGGCAATTAATACCGGAGCGGCGATTACAATTGTGTGTGATGACGATAAACGACGTGTGTCCCATCAATAATTAGCAAGTTAGCAAATCGAGTGCAACGCTGCCAAAACTAAGTTCAAGACCTCAAGGTCGTCAGGGAATTTTTGATTGCTCTAAGCATGAAATCTTGATGGATCATCAATGAGATATATTTTATTGTTTGGACAAGGCCTTATTGCATTAGAAGGACCAAGAAAAAAACACTAACATATATCTTTTCGAATAATATAAATTAATGTTTGTTATTTTATATAATAGAAAAAGTGATTAGCATTTCCGAACTCAAGATATTCACGTTTGTTGTTAACATTTCATGGCTTATATTTAACAAAATTGTTTTGCTAATATTTATGTCCCGTTGCCAAGTTTTGAGGAAAATCACGTTCTTTTCCTACGAGTGAGTAGGTGAGATAAGCGGGGCGTACAAAATCAATTTTAACCCATGAACACATGCATGTGGAATTTCGATTTGCCTGTTTGCCCGTTTCCAAAGCCAATGTAGAACAGCGACGAAAACAAAACAAAACCCAAACTTAAGCACGACCATAAAAGATATTTTGCCAGCAATTACAATTATGGCAAGTACTTGTTAGATATGCCCATCGAAACTATGCCAGGCCAGTTGGACCGAAAACCGAAAATACAGTCGAAGAAACACGTACCACTGATCGCCGGGCTGGACCCTTTTGGCCGTGGTCAAATTGTAGGGTCATTCAATGTGGGTCAGCATATTGTCAATGTCGGTCATAAAGGGAATACGCGATAAGGTGGCCAAAAAGCTGAATGAACGAGAAGTTTCGTTATCTTTCGGTAGTCGCTGGTTGCCATAAATGTATATACATACTCGTATATGAGTATCTACTGGACTCTGCTGATTGCCTATATAAAAAAACTGTAATAACGAACCAAGCACTATGTTGCGACATTTCCATTTCAGACTCGTGTCCCGATTGTTCAAGAAAAAAACCTCATTATGAAATCTTGAGTTTTATCAGTGAATGGTTCAGCGGCAAATAGGTTCTTATTGGCAGATTGTAGCCTCCAATTATTCTGTTGCCCTGGTAAATTAAAAAACACCCAGAGAGATGAAGAACAAAATCTTTAATATATTTCATATTTAAAGCTTGGTTTTTTCCTAAAAAATAATTGTTTTTATTTCTTATTTGTATATTTAACGAAGCTTTTTATTCGCTTTCCACCAGGGAAACAGGGAACATGTCAAAATTCCAACGCTAAAGATTTTTATTTCGTTATCGCCAAGTCAACACAGCTCTCGAAAAAGCGCCTCCCTAAGCTACAATTAATACGAATAATGGCCTTAAAATGAGTAATTGCTCATTAATTTTTGTAAATGTCTTTCTAGAAGCCAAGATGTCCACACCCACGTCCCCAAAAACGCCCACACCGCCCACTTTGCCACCGGGCGTGACCAAAACGTGTCATATAGTAAAAAGACCCGACTTTGACGGGTACGGCTTCAATTTGCACTCGGAGAAGGTGAAGCCGGGGCAATTCATCGGCAAGGTGGATGCCGACTCCCCGGCAGAAGCGGCTGGCTTGAAGGAGGGCGATCGCATCCTGGAGGTCAACGGTGTGTCCATTGGCAGCGAGACGCACAAGCAAGTGGTGGCCAGGATCAAGGCCATTGCCAACGAAGTCCGGCTGCTGCTCATCGATGTGGACGGCAAGGCCATCGAGGTGAAGAGCCCACCTCCTCCAGCGTCTGCTGCCTGCAATGGGAACGGCAGCAGTGCCAGCCAGAATGGCTACGAGGGCACCAAGCAGGAGATGCCCGGAGCCAGTGCCAATATCAGCAGCATTAGCATGGTGAGCACCAAGCGATCCTCAAATGCCAGCAGCATTCAGAGCGGCAGCACCGTGAATGCCTCCGAGTTGGATGTGGTCGACAGGGGAGTCCCGGCAGCCCCAGTTGTCGTAACGCCTCCGCCCATCCAGAATGGAACAGGTAAACCCTCGTCGCCGATTAACAACAACACTCTGATGAGCACACCCCCACCGCCCTCGGCCACCAAGGCCGGCATCAATAATAACGGCAGTGTTTACAACACCAACGGCAACGGCACAAATAGCTTGACCACGCCCATCACGCCGCCCCCAGCGACTGGTGGCAATCGGGCGGGCAGCTTGAACCTGCCACTGACAGTCGCCGAAATGCGAGCCAAATTGGCCTCCAAGAAGAAGTACGATCCCAAGAACGAGAGCGTGGACCTGAAGAAGAAGTTCGACATCATCCAGAAGCTCTGAGACGAACACAACGATTGAGAAGAGGAAACCCCAACACCATACTTGTTATAATGTCAGGATGAGGAGCTAAAGATGGTTTTGTCAGGCATACACCACACAATATACAATATGTTTAGCTATTAGTACGCAGAGTCACTTATTAACTAAGCAAGTTTTTAATTATTAGACCCTAAGAGAGAAAAAGCGACCGACAATGGTAGTGAAAGCGGAGAGGATGGAGCACCTACCCTTGGAATATCTATACAAACGACAGACCTGTATTCTTCTAACTTAAATATTGCAAACTCCAATTGGCAATGTTGCCCCGGTTCATTGAAAAACTTTCGTTGAATATGTACTTAGTTTTGCTTGTATTTTTGTAAAGTAAATAAAGCAAAATGATAAAAGAAATACGACTGCAAGTGTTTTTAAATGGAGCAGCTGATCAAACAAACCAGGGGAATCGGACTTTGAAAGTGGCGAAACTAATGTGCTCTGTTTAGTTAAATTTGAGAAAGATACAAGGTTTCGGATATGTTCAAATTATTTGTATAAAAAGTATTTAACGGATTTATTGCCTTTAGAAATCGAACATTGTTTTATAACTTAAGATTATAATTGAAAAGTTTTGCTTGCGTCTACATTATTAAAGTTACATTTTTATTAACAGAGAAACACAGCTTACTGGCCTTAAAACAGGCCATTATACTGTCCACGAAATATTTTAAATTAAAAGTGCAACTCCTGTCGTCTAAGGTTACAAAGGGCTGCAGCCACTACAATCATTTCATCAATATATCCCAGCAACGATTTTTGCTGAATAGCAGAGTGACCGAGCACCCTGAATTCCCTCAAGCAATCGATCATGTCGCGCATTTGGGCTCTGCAGGCAGGTTCTTGGGCCTTCAGGGTGGGCAGCTGGACAGACGAAGCTCGCTTCGAGGTGAGCGTACCATCTACAACGGTAAGAGACTGCTGGTTTGCTAGCTGCCCGCCTAAACGTTGGGCCTCGAATTTGCTAAGGGATCGCTTTGGTTCCTCCGCCGGCTGGTAGTCATCCTCATCCGCCGAGTCGTGGGGCTCCTCCATACCCGTTCGTCGAGCACGAGGCACTGCTTTGCCGGGCTCGGCGCACAAGGTTAGGTACTTGGGGATGACGTCTCGAAATCTGCTGGCCTCAAACAACTGGAGATCGTCGCAATTGCCGGGAAAGGCACTAGACACGTAACTGATAATACCTGGAAAGAAGTCAAAACTTAATTTTGGGACGATATATAAACTGAAGCTTACCATTTGTATTGATGCACAATATGAACTTGTAGCTGTCGCTGCCCAATCCTAAATTCAGTGCCACATCCGTTTCCACACACTCGATTAGAGAGCGGACATGCAGCAGATTGGCCCGGTAGTCCAATGGCGTGTGCTTAAACCGTACGTTATATTGCCGTACATCCGGCCAGCGGATCAGGGGTCGCAAATAGCGAGCCAGTTTTATAAGCGTTCGTTTGAAAGAGTCCTCGAGATCCGATTCGCTTAGCTCAAAGTGCTCGGCTAGCAAAGCGAAAGGTTCATTCTGACGGAGTTTCCTTAAGGTAATACAACAGTCCAGGTGTGTGATATTGGCACTTCTACAGATGAGCCGCTTCAGCAGTGACATGTGCTCTGGAGCCACACCCAAATGAAGGAGAGGTGCTTGTTCCACCGAAGCCAAAGTCAAACTCCTCATGCTCCTCTGCGGCTGGGGAAGTTCTCGCTTTATGAAAACAGCTTGTCGCACGGCGGAGGAAACTCTGGAATCAGCCGCCACAGTTGGCGTGGAGTGGACAGCACTCCGGGAACTCCTCGGTGTTGACGATGCCGAAGTAACTGTAGATGAAGCTGGTGTTACGGAAGGAGCTTGGACTGGTCTCGTTGTGGCCTTGATGATTGTGTTCGGCGGCAGTGAACTGATGGCCACTCCCAGGCTTTGAGAATCTTTCCTCGATATCACCTGCAGTTGGTTGCCGGAGGATCCGCTTGGACCTGCCTGAATTACATACTTTGGCGTCTTGAGGCTTGGAACTGAAAAAAGGATAATTCAATAACATAATTCAATGTATTTTGTTTAAATTATAAATATTGAAACTTAAAATTGTAACTGTATAAAAGCATTGTACCAAGATATTGTAAAAATGCATTGCCAAACCTTGAAAAAATTATTTTTTTTTATCAACGTTTTGCTACTTACATCCCACTGTGCCAGCTGGAGATGTTGTTGTTGATGTTGTTGCTCTCTTCATACTTGGTCTTATGAGAGCTGGTATTTTATTGACCACGATACCTCCAGAAGTGATCTTCACTGTGGCATTTCCCGCCTCGAGTTTCGCGAAGGGTTTCTGCGCAGATTAATTAATTTAATAAAAGTATTTGTTGTACATTTCTCTGTTGTGATCGCCACTTCACACATGTTACTTAACAGCTGTTCATGGGATTTTGAACGATCCGGCAACACCAGGTGAAAACAATAATAAGGGGAGTTGTTTATATGTTTTACTGACAGCTATTCACCTTAGTTACTGGCTGCGGATCCGCTGTTTTTGGGCGGAATACCACGTTCGGTGCTGCTACGCCACTCGAATTTCGAAACTTTGTAATTGTCAGAGCCATTTAAACGGCTAAAATGTTTTTTTTTTCACCGAGAGCAAAGAAGCCACTTTAACGTTGCCAAAAGAAATTCTGAGATTGAGCTGCCATATCATCGGCAAAGTTAAGAGAGCTCTGCAAACTGTGGCTGTTAAGGTGCGCGCCAATTTTAAATCTGAAAGCGCCAAAGCTTACACCATCAAACTGCAATTAGTGGATACTTGATGGGTAATTGCAGTGACTGATATTTCGAAATGCAGAGCAATTTGGCTACGCGCTACGTTTACTGCCCCCGAAAATGAGGCCATTGCGCACTTGAAGTGCCGTGTTTCGTATGTTTTCGACTGTCTTTCGTGGACATAACAATTGTGATTTAAATCGAGCCGATAAATAAACACAGGAAAAAATCTTTACGGCGTAGTCTAGAAAAAACTAGTGACTAAAAGCTTAATTATTTCCAAGCTTAATAAGATTTCTTCAAAATCACTTTCGAAGAACTCACAGAAGATATATAATTTTCTAAGCAAAAACAAGATAAATTTATAAACAATATATTTTTGAAGTTTACTTTATTTGCTCCTGGTGTACCTATCAATTGTTGGCAATCTATGAATGTGTTTTCCCCTCATAATCTTTTCTGCCGTTATGACAGCCGCCATAATTGCGAAAATGTTGCCAAGTTTTAACGAGTGCTGGCGAGTGCTTCCTGCAATTAATTTGGCAGCCCGATGACGCAACGGATCGCTCCTTGCATAATGAACTGGCCGCAAGAATACACACTCCGCATGGACAGCAAGTGGTAACTGGTTTTCTTTCATTTTCATTTTCATTTCTGTTTTCCGCCGCCTGCGTTACGTGTCTTTCGCAGGGGGTTTTGGCCATGGCTCGCTGGTCAATTTTCACTTTCACTTCCCCCGTTGTTGCACCAGAAACCCATTAATTTACGCCTGCCTTTCGGTGTTTCTTTAGCTTATAATTTAAATAGAAATCGTAGAGTCTAACACAATGATAAAAGTACTAACACATTTGGCTTAAAACTGATGCGGAAACCGTTTTCGTGGGTCTCCGCCAGATCTCGATGGGAGTAGCAAGTTAGTTTGTCCTCTGACTGCTACTCCCCGCTGGCTCTCCCTCTTCTGCTCTGGCTCCTCTTCATCTTCATCTTCATCGTCTTCTTCTCCTTTCTTCCGGCCGAAGAATTCCGGGAATTCTTCAACCCCTTTCTCTGCTACACTTCCTCCCGCTCGTGTCACCCGTTCAACGTCCAGCTCAACGTTGCTGCGCGGATGCATCTGAGAGTTACAGATGGACTCGCTGTCAGTGTCTCGCCTGCTGCTCCTCGTACTCCTTCCTGTTCGTCCTCCGTCGTCTTGTGCTCGCTTTCTGTGCTTCTGGCTCTGGAAATGCCCGGGGATCGGTCCCTAGTAGTGTCCATGGCCGTGACTGTGGTAGTCGTGGTGATCGTCGTGGTGCTCGTGGTGCTTGAAGATCGGCACCTCGACGTGGTACTTCTCCGGCACGGGGATCTCCTTGTGGATGGGCACCTTCACCTCCGAGTAGACGGGAATGGGCTTCTCAATGGGCACCTTAACCTCGTAGGGCACGGGCTTCTCGACGGTGTAAGGGACCTTCTTCTCCACGGTGTAAGGCTGAGGAACGGGCACCTTCACATGGACTGGGTAGGGTTTCTCCACCTGGGATGAAAGAAATGATATATAGTGATCGTTGAACTTTTTAGAAGTCCTTTCTAGCTGATTGATCTTAACTCACCTCAACCTTGTACGGCTTGTCGACGGGCACCTTGACCTCGTAGGGAACCTTCTTCTCCACGACAACGGTGTATGGCTTCTCGACCTCAACATCGTAGGGTTTGGGCACTTCCACGTCGTATGGCTTCTCCACCTCGTACTTCACCTCGTAAGGCACCTTCTTGATCACCTCATAGGGCTTGGGAACGGGCACCTCAACCTTGACCTCGTGGGGAACCTTCTTGATCACTTCGTAGGGCTGAGGCACTGGCACCTTGACCTCATACGGGATCTTCTTGATCACTTCGTAGGGCTGGGGCACTGGGACCTTAACTTCGTAGGGCTTGTCCACAGGAATCTTGACCTCGTAGGGGATCTTCTTGATCACTTCGTAGGGCTTGGGGACATGAACGGGCACTTTCACGTACTCCTTGACATGGACAGGCACCTTCTTCTCCACGATGTAAGGTTGGGGCACATCCACTTTCACCTCGTAGGGAATCTGGTTTGGAAAACGAAGATTTGTGGGTTAATGGTTATAAAGGAGAGGATAGGATATATAGCTTCATGTAAATGAATTGTTATAAATTTTTTTATTTTAGTAGATGAGTTAATGAGTTAATCTATACTCGATTAATAAGGATATACAAATCTTTTAATATTATTGAAAGCTTTTCTTGGGAACTTTTTATACCCTTGCAGAGCAAAAGGGTATTATAATTTCAGTCAGAAGTTTGCAACGCAGTGAAGGAGACACCTCAGACCCCATAAAGTATATATATTCTTGATCAGCATCACCATCTGAATCGAAATATGTATGTACGTCTGTCCGTCTGTCCGTCTGTCCGTCTGTCCGTTTCCGCGCAAACTAGTCTCTCAGTTTTAAAGCTATCTTGCTGAAACTTTCCCAAAAGGTGTGTAGTTATTGCACGCAGTATATAAGTCGGAACGGGCCGGATCGGCCGACTATATCGGATAGCTCCTATACGAGAGAATGAAATTAAAAATTCTTACTCCGTTGTTTTTGATCAGATCGACTTGAATTCTTCAAGATGGCGTTTTCTAACTGTTTTTGAATTTCGGATTAAATTTAAACAAAATCGGATAACTCTATCATATAGCTGCCATAGGAGAGATCAAAAAATATATATAGAATTAATTGAAATAAATTGATAGCATCGTTGTTTTTTATCCCACGAGCATGATTTTTTGAGTATCAAGTTTTTTAACTAGCCTTGGTTTTTAAAAAAAAATTTCATAAAAATCGGACAACTATATCATATAGCTGCCATAGGAAAGATCGAAAAATCTATATAGAATTAACGGAAATAAAATGATAACATCGTTATTTCTCATCAGAAAATCATGATTTTTGGAATATAGAGTTTTCTAACGACTCTTGAATAGCAAATAAAATTTCATTAAAATCGGACAACTATATCATATAGCGGCCATATGAACAATAGTCAAAAATATGGAAAACTAATAGAAAAGTCGTCGTAGCTTTGATGTTCTTTAGCCTTTGTGTATTCTGTTCGAAATATTTGATGACTGCAAGGGTATATAAGCTTCGGCTTGCCGAAGCTAGCTTCCTTTCTTGTTTTTTATGTAAGTAACTTTCGAGTTACAGATTTTGTGAAAAGAATAAGGACTCACCTTCTTCTCGACGGTGTAGGGCACGTGCTTGGTGACCGTGTAGGGCACCGGAACCTTCTTCTCGATGGTCACCGTCTTGATGTGCTCGTGATGGTGCTCGTGGTGGGGCTGGTAGTGGTGGTAGTCGCCCAGGTGGAGGCCCCTCTTCTCCACGGTCTTGCCGTCGCCCTCGGCCTTCTTATCCTCGACGGCTCCGCCACAATGGGCCAATGCCACGCACACGGCGAGACAAGGAAGTACGAACTGGAATGGAGGGGAGGGGATACGGACACGGTTCACACTCTGATCACTTTGAACACTCGGCCACTGGGGCTAGATCCTTTCGATCGGTCGGTGGCTTTACCATTCGCATTGTTGAGCTGCTGATTCGACGTCTCACGGGGGAACAATTACTCCACAATTCGCTGTGCTGCACGGGTATCGAGATCCAAGCTGGGACTGAATCGCTGAGCCGCTGCACTCAGCTTATATACACCGAAAAATTGGACTGTCTTGTCTTTCTATATCTCGCAACGCAAGTCGACGGCGCGGCGCATTCGCAACTCTTTTGCCGTCGAATTGTTGTTGTGGATTTTGGCTTAGTAATGAAAAGTCAGTCGGGGGAACGGTGTTATATGAAAACTTGTTTCGTTTTCGGTTTCCACGAACGGGAAGGGGGGTTGGATGGCACGACTCCTGCACTCGATATACTCCAACAAGGTAACCGGGTCGTTATCCTACAGACAATAGCTAGGAAGTGGAAATCTTTGTTACACAGACCCACAAACCTCACCAACGAACCGGCGGCGTCTTTGATTTATGTATCGGTATATTGGCCAAAAACTATGTCGGATCGCAGGCCGAGGCTTCCGTTTTATTTTTCGGGCCCCCACCTGGACATATGATACATAAGATTTTCGAGAGGCTGGGATTATGCAAATGCCCGCGGCTATTGACTTCGGCTCGTTGCAAACTCCACAAGCCGAAACCCAATAGCCAAAATAGAAACGCAGTGTGGTAAGTGGCAGAGACAATAAGAAGGTTAACTAAGCACAATGCGTTTGGATATTCGATATATTTTACATATGCGTATTTCATATCGGCTTATAGAGCTTTATGGGGTCATCCACATCCACAGCATCTCGGATTGGTGAGTGGCACCACAAAAGATTTACACCGAAAAAGATTGCTGCCTTCCATTCTTCTAGCTGAGTTCATCCTCGGGTCTGCGACCGTAGCTAATTATCTTAAAATTATGTGAAGTTGAAAATGGTAAATAAATCTTAAGAAGTACCAATAACAATCAACGGTTAGTGTTTGATGCGCGTACTTTTCGCGAAAGGTCAATATTATAACAACGTTCTTATCCACAAAAGATACATTCACCAGAGTGCCAAAATAAGTGATCTGTTTTTCATTTGGGGAATGAAAAGTAACAAGGTAATTAATTTATTTTATTTAAAACATATAATTAATGTTCAACATGAATTTATGAATTTAGAGGCTTGTAATTTTTCATTTTTTCTGCCAGTGCAACGTGTGGTTTACTTTTGGCATCATTGGCGCATTGGGTCAATCTGTTTTTGGATATTATGGGCGAGGGGGCTGCAAATACGTTGGTTGTCCGAATCCGAATCCGAATGAAACCCCTGACACACGGCTGCCACAACTGGCAATTTGGTGGCTCCCCGGCCGATCGTGATTGCTACCCGCAAGTGCCGCCTGTGGGAGTCCACGGCGTGACTGGATGTACGTACGAGTGGCTATATCCAACCACCATAGTACCTCGCGGATCCATGAGAGCCGTATTCGCGAGTGCGCATTATGTGATGTATGACTGACTGCCTGGTTGCCTGGAATTTTGTGCAATCACTCGCAGTCATTAAATTGAAAACATACTTAGCTTCGAGTTGGCTATTTTAAAATCCATCGTGTGGCAATACCAACAATTCGAGTAAACACACTGACTAAAACAAAAGCCAGGTACCATTTTCTTTTATTTTTTCGCAAATCCATGGTGGGGAAAAAAGCGGCTTAAACTAAAAAAAAATAATAAAGGAAAAAAGCGACAGACGCGGAAGGCAGGCCATAGCATTTACATGCTCATTCTATTTCATAATCAAATTTAGGCTCCGGTTTTTTTTTTGTCCGCTAATTGCCCATTGTCCAGTTTTTCACCCATTATCCTCCCCGCAGCTTTTGCACCATTTAGGCCATTGCAATTCCCCAAAACGATTAGCGGCTCTTTCTGTCTGATTAACGGGATCGCAGTTTCCCTCTCGTTCGCTCAAGCCACCTCTCTCTTTCCCGAGCACTGCATTTGGTCAACGACCTTCACTTGTTTTTAAAGTGGGGTCTTTACTTTGCCTCTTGTCTTCTCTGCTCGCCACTCCCAAATCTTCAGAGTTCGCATCTTGCAGCGTGCGTTCGCTTTATCTTCAAAAGAAGGGTAAAATGTAATGGCAACCTTGACCTAATCATTATTCCATTTCCATTCAATCATTGTGTATCTTGTTATCCGGCTTGTAACTCGGGGATTTACTGTCCGACGAAGAGACTGAGCGTGTGGAGTGTGATTAGATTTTAAAATGGCCATAATTGGACAGTCTTGCAAGCGGCCAATGTGAAAGTAAATATCTCAATTCGATTGTTATGTAACGGCTTCCTTTAACCCATTTTACACTAGCGATAAATGTAGTGTTTAACTATTTTTGATATTAATCGTTTTACTTATTCCAGTAGTAAAATATATACATTATAATTATAATAGTGAAAAATAATTGGTTTAATTTTAGTGCCGTTAAACAAGTAACAAATGAAAATACCAATTGCTCGAAAATCTGTAATTAAACCGGGTCCTTGAAGTAGTCCACCATTTAACTGGTTGTTTGACTTATATAACCATTTTAAGGCTTAATGGCAATCATGTCAATATGGACTCTAAAGCGGGAAATGCAAGAAACTTGATTGAGGTTGATGCGAATCCCCGAATACAACCATAAAAGCAGTAACTCATTTTCAATTAAATATTTAGTAGGATTCTTTTTCTTAATTTAAGATCAATTTGAAAAGTTTTTTTTATTAAAAATAGGTTTTAAGTTAGCCTGTAAGATACGTCACATAATTCCGTAGTTAATTTTTTAATTTTAAATTTAAACATTCTAAAAGTTAACAGTGCAGTGCTGCCACCCCAAACAGAAAGCGCTGCCAACTTGGGACCTTTAAAACAACATGATTGTTGATAGCTTCTGACTTTCTATATCTGCCACCGCTTTATATCGATATACCTAGAGGTGACACTTTATCCGCAAGTCATTTCAGCGTCAAGTCATCCGGCATTTGTTTGCAATTTTTTAAAGGAAATTAAGGAAAAGTAAGCACTGATTCGAGTATTATTTTAAAACGAACGTATGTGTTAACATCCGAAATTCCAGACCACCATGTTTTTGACCCGCTCCGAGTACGACAGAGGTGTGAACACCTTCTCGCCGGAAGGCCGCCTCTTCCAGGTGGAATATGCCATTGAGGCCATCAAATTGGGCTCCACAGCGATTGGAATTTGCACTCCAGAAGGTAAATTAGGCAATTTTTAACAAGCAAAGCAGTTTCTTCACGGAAAAGTCCTATTTTAGGTGTCGTTTTGGCCGTGGAGAAGCGTATCACATCGCCGCTGATGGTCTCCAGTACGGTAGAGAAGATCGTTGAGGTGGACAAGCATATAGGATGCGCCACCTCCGGCTTGATGGCCGATGCCAGGACCCTGATCGAAAGAGCCCGCGTGGAGTGCCAGAACCACTGGTTCGTCTACAACGAGCGCATGTCCATCGAGTCCTGCGCCCAGGCCGTTTCCACCTTGGCCATTCAGTTTGGGGATAGTGGCGATAGCGATGGCGCCGCCGCCATGAGTCGCCCCTTCGGCGTGGCCATCCTTTTTGCCGGCATCGAGGCTGGCCAACCGCAGCTCTGGCACATGGATCCGTCCGGCACTTTTGTGCGCCACGGAGCAAAGGCCATCGGTTCGGGCAGCGAAGGTGCACAACAGAATCTGCAGGACAACTTTACCACCACAATGAAACTCGACGACGCCATCGAACTGTCGCTGAATACCTTGAAGCAGGTCATGGAGGAGAAGCTGAACTCCACCAACGTGGAGGTCATGACCATGACCAAGGAGAAGGAGTTCTACATGTTTACCAAGCAGGAGGTGGAGCAGCACATTGCCAAGCTCAACGCGTAAGCACAAGGGACTTTTAATTGGTTAACTTCAAATGTAATGTGAATAAATGGATTCTAAATCGAACTGAGGGAAATTAAAGTCTTTGGATGGCTTCTTTAAAGTGGAACTTGAAACTTTAGTTGAAACCCCATTTGGAATAGTTTTATAAACAATTTCCTGCATAGCCCTTCTTCAAATAAAGAGCCAATTTTCTTTATATACAGTTGACTTTATTGGTATGCATGTATAATTCGTGTAAGTGTATATATATAATTTTTATTCGCTACAACATTTGTGGCTCCATTGGCGTCGCTGGAAACCGCTACAATAATATCTCGTTTCGCATAATAATTTATAATACATGCAATCTAGACACAAACTGTTGAGCAATTCAAACAGCTCGGATTAACTTGGTTAATCGCGTACAAAGGCAAATCATAAAGAACTCACTTTGTTCGATGAACGAACTCCTAAAGTTTTCCTGATTTTCGCTATAATTCATTGTGTCGTTTGCGTGAGTGCATGTGTAAAACATTTTGCCTAGAACCGAAATACAAACAAATAAGGCAGATCATTAAACATTTACATCTAATTAGGGCTTTTCGAATCGAAGGAATTGCAGGTATGCGTGTGGGTTTTTGTTGCTTGTGGACAGACAGGGAAGACAATCAAAATGAACAAGTTGTATACCTATATCGTACGAGAATATCGCTATATATACTAATATATATATCTCTACATGTGTGTGTATAAATACATAAGTAATCGGGGCTAATCCCCGCGAGCATTCACAATAGTTTTCATCACACATCCTACGTCTGATGGTGTTCGCCGCCACTGGGACTGCTGTTGGTGTTTGTGTTGGTATTGGTGTTGTTGGTGTTGCTGCTGTTATTGTTGTGGTTGCTGCTGCCGCCGGTGGTGGCGGTGCCGCCACTGCTGCTGGGTGTCCGCATCATTAGGCGGGACAAGCTGGTGTCGCTGAGCGAATAGATCTCCGGTTCGAAGACCGGAGGACACTCCATGTTCGGGTAATCCGGCGTGGCAGCTTTCGAGTCCACGGATCCCGAGCTGGAAACCTTTGGGGTAGCTGCACTCTCCGATATCGTCGCCTCCGCCGGCTCCTCCTCCCGCTGCCTGCTGGCCATGATCGGTGGCGGAGGGGCCGGTGGCAGCGGCGGCTGCAGACCCTCCGATGAGCACAGGTTCGTGGTGGAGGTGGTCATGATCCCGGGGCCCCTGTAGCTCCGGTAGCCCGCCTGATTGTGCGTCGGCAGGGTGATCTGGCTGAAGATCTCCTGGTCGCAGTCCGGGTCCGCACTGCTCGGCGGCGTAATTGCCTGCTGCTGCTGCAGCTGCTGATGGTGACTGTGGTGGCCGAAGAGCGCCCGATGCAGCAGCGGCGAGCCCAGGAAGTGGTTCTCCTTGGAGTGTTTCGCCGGCGTGCCACCCGAAATGGAGAGCTTCGAGAAGATCGGCGCCGAGTTCTTGCGATGCGCGTCGTACTTGGTGCCCACGATCTTGTCGCGCAAGTCCTGATTGTACGTCTGGCTCTTCTTGATGCTGCTGCCTCCGCCTACGATGGCCAGTCCATTGCCGCCGGCGCCATCCAAGGCGTGGTTCGATTTGGACTTCTTGTTCAGCGGCAGCGTCATGGTCATCGCATGACCCGGGCCACTGCCCGAGGATCCGGCGGAGTGCTTCGAGAAGGGGAACCGTCGGTCGCTGCTCGACTTGCCCTTGGATTTCTTCTGCTCCGCCCCGGATCCGGAGCTCTTGCCACTGTTGACGCTGCTGGTCTTGTGCAGGAAGCTGGAGAGTTGCAGCTGCTGGGAGCGCAGGAAGTGCTTCGTCTTGCTGCTGTGCTGCGGCTGCGTCTGCTGTTGGTGCTGCTGCTGCTGCACCTGCTGCTGGTGGTGGGCATGGTGGTGCTCATGCCGGCTGCTGGAACTGGTGCTCGGCTCATCCCCACAAATCAGTTCGTAGCCAAAGTCGCGCAGCTTCTGACCCTCCTTGGTGCGGGCCCGCTTGATGCTCTCGTCGTCCGGCTTGAAGCTGATCTCGTAGTCGGGCGTCTTGGGCAGACTCACGCTCTGGATCTTGGGCAGCTTCTCCAGCGGCTTGGTCACGCTGCTGCTCGTGGCGCTCTGCTGGCTGGCCGTCGATTCGGTGCGCGCATGCTTGTGCTTCTCCACGCCCAAGTGCACCCGGTTGTTGTACATCTCCTGGGCCTCCTCCTCCTGCTTGAGCAGCATCAGGTCCTTGAGCGTCACGAAGCCTTGGATATTGTGCCCGTGGTCCAGGGTGTGGCCCACACTCATCTTGGGCAGCAGCGTTTTCGAGGTGTGGAAATCAAATTCCACCAAATTCGGATTGGAGGCGTGCAGGTAGTTGAATGGCACCTTCTTCAAACTCGACTTGCTGCTGGGACTCTGGCTCTGGCTTTGGCTCGGACTCTCCTCGGAGCTCTGGTGCTGTAGCGATGTGGGCGTGGCCGTGGGCGTGGGCGCCGGCGATGCGGGTGGCCCGAGAATCGAGGCTGAAAAGGATACCGCCGACTCGGTTCCACTCACCACACTGACCACCGAACTTCTGCTGGAGCTGCGCGAAAGCTTGGGCGCCACCAAGGGCGGAATCTGGGTGGGCGGCATGGCCGGATCGTGGTAGCCCGGTGTGTTGGCCCCGATCTGGATGCCAAAGCTGCCGCCGGGCACCTTCCGGTAGCTGCGGTACTGCTCCGTGGGCACGGGGATGTCGCTCGATGGCTTCGCCGCACTGTTCTTGAACATCGTGAACTTGCGAATCGAGACCAAGTAGCCAGATGCCGGCTGCTTGGCGGGTCCAGACGAGGGCGGTGTTCCACCGGGCAGCGCCATCGACATGGACATTTGCTCCTTGTTGCCCTGCGGCGATGGTGTGCTCAGGTTCTTGGCCACCAGGGCTTCGCACTCCTCGCCCGAGCTGTCGTTCTCCGAGTACAGATCCTTGGCACTGACACCGCCGCCCGATCCCAGGCTGGGCGGCACCTTGAGCGAGGCCTGGCGCAGGAAGTCCACCCACTGGTTGAGTGCGTCCAGCGACTCGGCCGCAAAGTAGAAGCTCTTGGCCGTGTGGTAGACCTTGAAGGCGTGCGGCTTCGAGTGCACCTCCTTGGCCAGCGAGACCGTGAAGCCGGGCAGGAAGATCACCAAGCTGGCGCTGGTGCTCTGCTTGCTGCGAAACCCGTACAGAATCGTGTCCAGCATCACGAAGTAGATCCTGGCCCAGTAGGTCACGCCGCGATGGTTCTTCTTGCGCCTGTACAGGTGGCCCTGGATGTCGCCGGTGCCCAGTAGCTTGAGGTTCGTGTTCCGCCGCTTGGCCATCAGGCTGTGCTTCTTTTTCAGGGTCAGCGTGCGCGACTTGCTCGGCGTGTGCAGCTCGCTGATCTCCGATGGATCCACCGCTGCGGGCTGAGGCACTGGCACAGGAATCGAAATGCAGGTAACACTGCTGGCTGGCTGCATGCTGGCGGGTTTTGGCGGAGGTGGCGGCACCGCCGACGGTGTCATGTCCCTGTTCTTGAGGGGACGCGGCGGAGGAGCCGGCGGTGTGACCAGCAGGAACTCCTTCCGCGGCTCGATCGCCGGCGGCGTGTCCGATTCCTCGCCCGAATTGTCGTATGCCGGCGTACTGTGACTCTTGTCCAGCCGACCGCGACGTCCCTGTTGCACCAGCGGCAGATTGACGGCCTCGGCGAGGGGCAGATCCTGACCCCTTGTGGCCTGGTTTATCGCCTCCAGCAAGTCCTCGGCGTTCTCCGTCTTGCAGTTGCGCAGCGTTTCCAGGGCATCCTCGTCGCCCTCGTCCGCAAACGGAATCGGCTCGAAGGTCTCCAGTATTGTGTTCTCCACATTGCAGGTGAACATTTCGTCCTTCACTACGTAGTCCTCCTTGGCGTTGAATCGGACCACCTTGCTTACTCCCGGCTTGTAGCGATCCCCGAGGAATTCGCGCTGCGAGTCCTCCGTCAGCTGCTTCAGCTTGCGCACCTCGTGGAACATCCGCTTGGCCTTGTCCGTGGAGCTGTCGCCCGCGATTCCGATGCAGGTCGTGGGCCTGGGTGCAATCTCCAGGCCGTAACCGAAGGATATCGACTTGTCGCGGATGCTGGGCGAACCGGGATCACAGACGGCGGAGGAACCAACTCCCGGCTTTCTCTCGTGCCACGACGGCACCACCAGATCTGAGTGCTTGAGGCTCAGGAACTCGTCGCCGCATATGGTGTTCCTGCGCTGGAGCAGTGCCCTGGGCTTGGGGTAATACAAACGGATCTCGCGGGCTGCCGACTTGGGATCCGTGGGCGTGGGTATATCACTGCAGCTCGAGTCGGAGTCGGAGGCGGAGGACACTGGATTGACCTTGGCTAGCACCTCTCTCGGCTCGATGCCTAGGGTTTTGCTGGGATCAGGCACTGTACCTCCGATTCCTCCCGCGGCCTTTGGCTCCGGGTCCAGGGTCAAAAAGGCAGCCCTTGGCGTTGGACTCGGCATCTGCGCCCAGCGTCCGGCCAAGTTGCGCTTCTTGCTGGGCAACCGGTAAGGCTGCATGTAGATCTGGCCGAACATCTTGGTGTGCTTCGGCCGCTTCTTCACCGTGAGCCGCACCTGGTCGGGCAGCGCCTCCCTCAGATGCTCCAGCACCGTGCGATGCTGCCAGCCCACGACGGTCTGGTAGTTGATCTGCACAATCTCGTCCCCATCCTCTATCTTTCCGCAGTTGTGGGCCGGCGAGTTGTACTTGATGTCTGTGACACGGTGGATGCCATTGTAGCTGGACTCAATGTTGAAGCCCAGCTCGGACTCGCGTCTTTTCAGGTCCACAACGTCGAGGGATGCAGGCTGCAGCACCATTGGATCGGATATGTCCTGGATGACGAAGTTGGCCAGGTTTTCCAACCTCTCCGCTGACTGTCGAATCGCTGGCACCGGCTGCAGCGAGAAGCGATCCCGGTGAGCAATTGTGGCCAACTCGAGGCCGCTCTTTAGCACATTGCCGCAGTACTCGCGGTACATCTCCTGCCGGCGGAACGGTGTTCTCTCCAGGCTGCCCACCAATGGTTTCAGAGTGGCGATTGTCCGGGTGATATCGTGCAGTATCCGCGTATCGATCTTGGTGCTCTCGGCATGATTTTTGGCCAGCTCGCGATGCAGATTCCTCGCGGCCGTGGCCACATGTAGGGCCATGAACTGCAGATTGTCGTTTTTCAAGTGATAATGCTGGAATTTTAAGGTCATTCTAATTTAGGTGAGAAATTTATAATACCAGCGAACTCACTAAGTTCCTCAGGTTCTCCACAGCCTCCAGCAAGATCTCCTGATGGCCGATGCGCAGCATGCCCAGATTCTCAAGCTCATATGGACGTATATTGAGCAAAGCCCGACCGCCGATCTCCTGCCTGGAGAACTCATACAAGTATCCCTTCATGGACTCATCCAGACCTGCAAAAAAAAAAAAAAAAAAAAAAATCGTTAAGTATGTGCTGAACAATTAATACTGAACAAAACACAAACTCTTGCTGCACCGTAGTTGCAGTATCAGTTGTTGTTGTTGTTGCTGCTGCTTTTTGGGGCAGTGGCTGCGAGATGCACTTTTTCTTTCTCAGCTGCTGCGTTTTCCTTGACCTCGAACATTACCTCTGATCCAGTCGGTGACCTGGTCGGGCGTCCACTCGGCGACATTGATGTAAGCCATCTCGCTGTTGCTGCTGATGATCCCGACTGGGCCTCGCCTACGGCATATTCCTTATCTTTGCGGAAAAACAATCGGACGAAGTTCGGAATTGTTGCGTCGGACGCAATGCGTCCCATGAATCGGTGTTGCCAGATGGTGAACGGCTACGGACAAGCTAAAAAATCCTGTTTTCACGCTGAATTCGCAGCACTGTTTGAAATTGTTCACCCACCCGATGGAAAAATCGGCTAACGATAACACATTTGCCATACGATAAATGATAGCCCATACTGTTTTGCAACACTACAACCACAGCACCAATTAAACAGCTGAGCGCCTTGCGAATCGAATTGATTTGCCCCCAAAACATTCCAATAAATGCTTCAATGACAGCATCAAATGGAGATAAATAGGCGAATATTCTATCCACTGCCCCAATGCCTCTTCCCAGCCTACAACTACCCCCACCCACTCGCCATGTACACTCGAGGAAATGTATATGTATACGAGTGATGGGAACGCGCACGTTTCTTCAACGCAACGTTTTTAGAATCGAATCAGTCACTTGCGAGAGGGAGAGGCACGACGAAGTAAATCACCGCGTGTTTTTTCTAATCGCTGCAACTTGGCTGCTGCAATCAAAATTCGCTGGCCGAAATGTCTGTGACCCAGACGAAACAAATCAAGTTCTACAATCCATCGAGTTCCGCCAGCTCCGACAGGTAACGAACGACTTTTTAATGCCGCGTTAATTCACGCACGGTCAAAAAGTAAAGTGTGAAAAAAAAGCCATTAGAATGTGATACACATACACACATACAAAGGCATGTGCTCCAAGCCATTCATCAACTCAACATCGTAAGGCCTAAACACGCAATAAAAATAAATGCTAGGAAAATGGCATTAGGGCCTCAGCTCGCAGATACCACTACACATACCATGTGATAAATTCAATTTCAATATAGTTGCCGGTTGCATCGGATCGGCGGAGGAAGCGAGAGGGAATTACGAAAAAAGAGCGAGATAGTAAGGCGAACCCCTGCGAGACAGTTACAGGCTAGATATGCGCGCGTGAGTGCGTTGTCTGCAGCGCAGTGCAACTTCACGCACGAGTTAACATGTTTTATATTTTCAAAGATTTTTTTTATTTTTTTGTGGATTATAAATTATGTTAAAAGAAAATAATATTAAACTAAAAATATTTTATGTTATGAAGTCAGAAAAATTTGTAGTTCGTCCGCAGATAAAATACATGTAAAAAGTTTCAAAAGTGGATATTCAGTTCAGTTTAGTTCTACCTATCAGATTTCATACAACGGAAGGTTGGATACTGTCCGTTTTTCACATTTATCCAATTTGGTGTCACGCCAACAATCACCTCACGCGCTCACCATTATGCAAACGCAGGCGACAACAACAAAGGGGAGACGACGCCGACAGCGGCGACGGCAGCGCAGCTTTTTAACCTTAGCTGCCTTAACACTTTTTTTTGCCATTCAATCCCCAATCGTCGCTCACCTCATACCTCTGCCGACCATCGGTGCTTGTCTTATTTTATTTTTATTAGTTATCGAATAAATATTGGCCGAAACGCAAAAGGTGTACCGCTGTGGAGGAAATAAAAGCTCTAAATCACATGTGATCCACGCCGGCGGCGATTCGCGTGAGTGTTCTGTGAGTGAGTGACCCATTTTTGGCATCGCCGGTTGCGTTCTTGCCGCATTCGCTGTTTCTCACGCCCACGCGGACGGCAGAGAAATTCAAGAATCGCTGGCAGACCAGGCTAAAAATGAGCAGCATCACGTTTTTGTGCAGCAAGTCGTCGTCCCACAACAACAACAACAATAGCAACCATAGCAGCAATGATATGCCAAAAGGAGCAAAAGCATTTGCAGCGGCATCCGCCGGCTTACTAACAATCGCCACCCATCAGCAACAACAACAACAACAACAGCATCAGCTACAACAACATCAGCAGTCAAAGGTTAAGGCTATAGCAGCCAAAACCAATGGTCACATGTAATTCACTGCATTTTCCCTCATTTTTAACGTAAAAAAATCGAATTGAAATCGAAATCCCATTTTATGTGTTTGTATGTATGTAAATTTGTGCATGACTTTCCGTCTGTGTGGTGTGTGTGTTTGAGTGATTGTTTTGTTGTGTCATTTACCGCCATTCTAATTGTTTTGGTGCTGCGCTTGTTTGTCCAGTACTCTCGTTTCGCCCCGTTTCTGTCTGTTTTCCAGTGTTTAATTAACGCTCGCGTTTTGTGTTAACATTTTGTTTATCGAGTCTGCGGTGCGGCAAATAACAACAAATGTTGAAAAGACGATAGCGTCAGCAAGTGTGCTCTCGATTCTCCAACATGGCAGCGATCACAAAGAGCCACGTCTATCGGTTTTTGCCAACTCCGAGCTCCTCTATTCCCAGCTTTCATCCTGGATCCCCTGGAATGCCTGCTGTCCTTGTCCCACCTGCCTGATAGGCCATAACCTGTTGTTCCTTTTTTCGGGAAGAGCGCTGCACACGTGGCAAATGCTGCTCTCCTCAGTCCAGTTTCTCTCTCAAGTTAGCGAAAACTATAAATACGCTGAGGAATCTCGGTCTCTGGCGTCACCAGATTATTGGCCTCTGCACCAAAAAAAAAAAAAAACTGAATCAATACCGGCAAATCTGTTTAAATGCGTCAATTTTGACTATAGAAGAAAAATCCCAATACGGAAATTAAAGTGTGTAATCTACGTTATTTGTTTATTTAACCTGGGACATTGGTTTTTATATCGTGTTCGATATTACTTTGACCAAAACAATATAGAAAGATTATTTAAAATAACCTTTTTGCCTTGTATTTTTCTTTCTCTGTGCTCTATCTTTTTCGACAAGAACAAAACCCAAAAGATACAGATAAATTCAGAAAGAGAGGGTGCAACGAACGCGCCTACGCAGCATCCAAAAGATGGACCGTCTGGTGTTGCTTTGTCTGCCTGACCGGTGCACTCATTTTGTACCGCTTCCCAGAAATTGGTTGTTTGTTTATTTTTCTTGTACTTGGCACAAGTTTTTGCCTGAATTACTTTAATGCCAAAATAAAACCAAAAAGACATTGTTTTGGAAGCATTTGTGAGGTCACGTCTGTAGGTCTGCAGAGCACATGGCGGAAAAACCCAATCGTAATATCGTTTTAGCATATATGTATGTACAAATATTAATGATATGGGGTATAAATGAAATTAGTTTGCGTCAATGCTGTATAAAAAAATAAAAATATTTTTGTGGGTTTTTACCAATAATAATAACATTGTTTAACATTTTTGTTGACCTACTCAAGGTTCATATATAACAAAACCATTTAATGTTCTTATTAAACTTACTTTTTCGCGAATTCATTTATTGCTGATTTCAAGTTTCATAACAAATCCGAAAAAAATCATTTCGAATCAATTAATTCTACCGCACACTCTCCAAATTAAAAAACAATAAATTTAGAGCGTCCGTTATCTATCTTCATCGGAAGCCACAATTAACCTTTTAATGTTTGCAATGTTATCTTCTATTGCACTTAATTAAGGCTTTAAGTAGAAGGCTATTTATAGAACATATTGATCAGTTGATTAATTCTGCGTAGGCGAAATGTCTAGTTAAATGCGCTTGTGTGGGAACAAGGATAGGGTTTTTAAAGTAGAGTAGGTCAGTGAGTATACTGCATCCTTGACCTCACAGCTTTAAGCTTCCATTGCAATACCTCCTTCTCTGTAGCCATTTCACTAACATATACGAAGGTAATCTTAACCTATTTTTTTACCTAAAAAAATAGTTGAAATTATTGTGAAATTAATCAGTGCTCGGTGATAAAAACGTTATCGTGGCTAATCGCTGAGTTCCGCCTATTTTAGTCGTACTTAACGTCATCGTTATATTGTTGGAATGTGGAATTTGGTAATCGCCAACTAATCTGTATATATGTACTATTTGCAGCGATGAACGTTCTGATGTCACTGAGCAGCTGTACGTGGATCCGTATGCCGACCTTGGCAGCGGCCTTGCCGGGGATCTCAATTGCTGCCCGGCCTCACCAACCACAGTGCCTGCAAAAGCTTCCCTTGAATCGCCCATGAAGCGTTCGGGAAGGAGACAGCGAACCACATCAATTGGAAACCAGACCACCACCGCGAATCCGTCCGAATGCATCATACGTGCAAACAATCGCACGATTTACACAGCAGGACGTCCGCCGTGGTACAATTGTGCTGGCCAGCAGGTCGAGCCCTTTGTGATAGGTTCGAGTTTTAAATATAAATATCTATCAAGTCTCTAACATTTCAAATGAATTTCAGGTATCTGCGGAGGAAGTGCCTCTGGCAAGACCACAGTGGCCGAGAAAATTATCGAGAGCTTGGACGTACCGTGGGTAACCCTGTTATCCATGGACTGCTTCTACAAGGTCCGATGGGATTCAAATTTAACAGCATACCAGAACTCATAGTTTTAATATCCAACCTTCAGATCCTAAATGAGAAACAGCACGAGCAAGCCCTTCTCAATGAATACAATTTCGATCACCCGGATGCCTTTGACATCGAGCTGCTGCTGGATGTGCTCACCAAACTTAAAGAGGGACGCAAGGTGGAGGTTCCCGTCTACAACTTTGTGACCCATGGCCGTGAGAGCCAAACGAAGACCATGTACGGAGCCAACGTGATTATCTTCGAGGGCATTCTCACCTTCCACAGTCCCGAGGTTCTAAAATTGCTGGATATGAAGATCTTTGTGGACACCGATCCGGATATTCGCCTGGCCAGAAGGTTAAAAAGGTAAAGGATGGATAAAGACCATCTGGCTGGATAATTGCATAAAAGTTTGGTTGCAGGGACATCTCACAACGCGGCCGCGACCTGAAAGGAGTACTTAAGCAATACCTAAATATGGTAAAGCCCTCCTATTGCAATTATATAGCTCCAACCATGGCCCATGCGGATATCATTGTTCCTCGCGGGGGCGAAAACAAGGTGGCCATTCATCTCATCGTGCAGCACGTGCACACACAACTCCAGCTGGTGAGTATAACAACTACAAGTTAGTTGAAGCCCATAACTAGCCCCTTTTTATATTTTAGCGCGGATTTAAGCTGCGTGAAACTCTGGCCAACTCCTACAAGGACCAGCCAATGCCACATTCTCTGCACCTGCTGCATCCCACGCCCCAGATCAAGGGCCTGCACACATTTATCCGCTGCCGAAATACGTCCCGCGATGAGTTCATTTTCTACTCAAAGCGCCTCATCCGGCTGGTCATCGAGTTTGCGCTCAGTCTGTTCCCTTTTAAGAAAACCACTGTGGAGACACCACAAGGAGTTCATTACGAGGGCAAGCGCATGGAATCACGTAAAATCTGCGGTGTTTCCATTCTTCGGGCTGGTGAAACCATGGAGCAAGCCGTCTGCGATGTGTGCAAGGATATACGCATCGGAAAGATCCTCATTCAGACCAATCTGAAGACCGGCGAGCCGGAGCTTTACTACCTGAGGCTGCCCAAAGACATAAAAGACTACAAGGTGATACTAATGGACGCTACCGTGGCCACTGGTGCGGCGGCCATGATGGCAATCCGGGTGCTGCTAGATCACGATGTGCCCGAGGACAACATCATCCTGGCCTCGCTGCTGATGGCAGAGATCGGTGTGCACTCTATTGCCTATGCCTTTCCTAAGGTGAGTTGACACGGCTGACCCAAAAGGGAAAATTTCGAACTTATTTATATTTTTCTTTCCAGGTTAAAATTGTTACTTCCGCTCTGGATCCGGAGATTAATAGTAAGTTTTATGTTATACCCGGCATTGGTAACTTCGGCGATCGCTACTTTGGCACGGAGCCCTCCGATGAGTACTAAGGCGATCCGGACCATTTTACATCCACACAACTTTGAAACCATCAAGTTTCTAATGTATCCTAGGTTAAGTTCAAATCGTTACTTAAATTATGAATTCGGAACGAGAAGCTGTTTTATTGCAATTAAAGGAACCGTATGAGCAGTTGAATCAGAAAAGCAAGACTGCCCACCACCAGGGCAATGCCCACATATCGTTGGATTAGCTTCTCCCGATTTCTGGTTTGGATCTGTACCTCCTGCACCTCCTGTTTGTTTGCACATCTCGTCCAATCCCGCTCGTCATCCAAAATTTCGCCTACCATGCTGAACTTGCTGACACTGGTTATTCGAACATGGACACGGTACCCAGGAGATTCTCCCGCATGGGCAGCAGTACCTGTTCATAGCTCTTGTTGTGACCGACGTAGTGCAGTTTGTCGTGGGAAACTTCTGTGACCAGAACAGTGTATATTTCACCCACTCTTTCCGCATATGGTTCATAGCTGTAGAAGAGATCTGTGAGCCGTTTAGTTCGCTTTTTCACCAGGTTTGCGGGTATTCGCTCCATTTTGGCAGCTGGTGTGCCCGGTCGAGGAAAAAATTGATTGATGAACAAGCTAGGGAAGCGATATTTGGCGCATAGCGTCATCGTCTCTTCGAAATCCGCCTCGGTCTCTGTTGGGAATCCACAAATTATATCGGTGGCAATCGTCAGGCCCGGCACACGCTCTCTTAAAAAGTCCACTACGTGCTCGAAGTCCTGGCGGCAGTACTCCCGCTTCATTTCGCCCAACACTGAGTCACTGCCGCTCTGTAAATATTTAAGAGGTAAGCCTAGAGTATGTTTCTTGAAATAGATCCTCACCTGCACAGGAACATGCAAAAAGGCGTAAACTCTCGGGTGCTGCAGCACCTTGGCCACTTCTTCAAGGTGTTCCAGTATGTAGGGCGGATTTGTCATACCCACACGCAGCATACAATGCTCGGGAATCACTTCAACCAGCTGCCAAAGCAGTTCCGGCAGCGAGCTGCCTATGTCCCGACCATAAGCTCCAGTGTCTTCGGACGTAAGCCAGATCTCGCAGCAGCCTTCGGCGAAGGACTGGCGAGCACGTTCCACCACCTCTTCAGGAGGATAACTAGCCAGATCACCGCGAGCATGCTTGGTCTTGCAGTAGGTGCACTGATTCAGACAGCCCGAGTTGATAGAAATGATCTCGATCAACGGGTTCTTACGCACTTTCGGCAACGAGAGAGGAGCCCCTGCTACTCGCCGGCCATGGACCTTCTTCTTGTTCTGCAGCAGTTGAACGCTGTGACCCTTTAGGGTCTCCTCAACGACCTCCACCACACGATCGATCTGCTGTACACCGATTACGGAAAGCCCATTTAGGTAGTCTGATTTCGGAGCTCCTTGGGGAACGCACCCAGCGACCACAACATGCTTTCCATTTCGCATGCCGGATTCGATCTCGTTGCGGAACGTGTCCTCCGAGGGATTCTTCACCGTGCAGCTATTCAGTAGCCACAAGTCCGCCTCCTCTTTGCCGCTTAATCTGTAGCCGTAGGCCGCCAGTTGCCCGGCCATGTACTCCGAGTCCGAGTTGTTGTGGGCACAGCCCCATGTTTTCACAAATACCTTTTGGGTGCCGGGTATCACGCTCTCATGAATCGTGGGCTTTGGCTTCTCATCCTCCTCCTCGCTTTCTAGTCTGATTTGCGTGCGTTTCTTGGCGCGCACCGTAACGTTTTTCTTGTTTTCGTAGCGCTCCCTCGGCTTCACATCATCAGCAGATATCAAATCCTCGATGTCGTCCACATCGACGCCTGGCAGATCCTGTCCAAGATGGTACATTCTTCCTGAGTCTCCTAGTTTCGGAGTCAAGTCCAAGGCACATGTGCAACACCTCCAGCTGTTTACATTCCTGTTGTGCTTCTTCTTTACTTCTACAGTGCTGTGAAGTGCGCGTGAAAGAAGTAATCGATTGATGAAATCGATAACTTGTTCGGCTGTAACGGTCTGTATCACCCTATACCCGCAAATCTAATATAGGGAAAAAATTAACGTCTAAAATTATCACCTCATTTGTTACATTTTTATGCGTATGTTACCCTAAAAATATAACATATTAAATATGTTAATTTGCTTTAATGTTAATGTTATGTTGATGGCTTAAGTTACAATATGTAGTTTGAAGGGCTATTAATTTCAGCAGTTAATTTAAAAGGTTTTAAATTTTGACCCAAACCTTTAGTACTTATTAAGCAATTTGAATATCCCACTCGCTACAGCGAACGAAGTGCTGTTTCGAACATGGCCGAGCTTTTTGTGGTCTGTGCACCCTACCGTGTAGACACACAGTTATCAGTACGCTATCAGCGCGAATGTTCTACTCTGTTACAAACCGCCGCCACAGCAGCCCGTAAAAACACAACCCTCCGCTAGCCATGATTACGATTAAATGTAAAGACACTAATCTGGATCCTCTTCCGATCAAGGTGAGTTCATGGCCTTTCCGAAAATGAGCCACTGCTTTTCAATGCCGAACTAAAATTAACCCCACAGATTGGGATAATTGGCGGTTCGGGACTTGATGACCCGGATATCCTGGAGCAACGAAAGGAAAGAGTGGTGGAGACTCCGTACGGAGAACCTTCTGATGCCTTGATCGAGGGCGAGATCAATGGAGTCCAGTGCGTGCTCCTCGCGCGACACGGACGCAAGCACGACATCATGCCATCTAACGTCAACTACCGGGCCAACATTTGGGCTCTCCGTGATGTGGGCTGCACCCATTTGATTGTGTCCACAGCCTGCGGTTCCCTGCGTGAAGAAATCAAACCGGGCAACTTGGTCGTGCCGCACGACTTTATTGACAGGACCACCAAACGCCTGCAGACCTTTTACGATGGAAAGGAAAAAAGTCCACGTGGTGTTTGTCACTTGCCCATGTTTCCGGCATTTAGCGAACGCACTCGCAACATTCTTATCGAAGCGGCCAAAGAGCTGGAAATTCCCACCCATCAAAAAGCCACAATTGTGACAATCGAGGGACCACGCTTCTCTTCCCGCTCCGAGAGCCAAATGTTCCGTCAGTGGGGAGGGGATCTTATAAATATGACAACCTGCCCAGAGGTGGTGCTGGCTAAAGAGGCAGGCCTGCTCTACGGATCGGTAGCCATTGCTACGGACTACGATTGTTGGCGCATGGGGTGCGAGGGTGTCAACGTGCAAGATGTCCTGCGAACTTTTGCCGAGAACGTTATCAAGGTGAAGAAGATCCTGGTCAACGCTGTGGGAAGAATTGCCAAGGAGGACTGGTCGGAGGACATACTAACAGCCAAGGTGGGTGGAATTTGTAGCATTCCGAATCCAAGCACAAAGTTTATTCCTTTTTTACAGCAATGTGTTTGCAATAACACAATGTCGGGGGGCCATGTGACGTTTTATAAAACTTTGTCATGAAATAACCGAAGAGACGTTAATTCGCCGCAAGATATATGTACCACCGCTCTACCAACAGATTCACAAAAAACGAGGACCCAAAGTCCACTCCATATCCATTACATATGAATTGGATCCAGAGGACAAGCGGCCGGTCAAAACACCATTTAAATGTGAAACTGTTACGTCTGCCTCAGCGTCGCAGTAAAAAATATACATATTGTAACTAAAAAAATTACCTTAACCAAATGCAAACTATTTGTAAAACATCTGTTCGAACGCCATTGTGAAAATTGGGACATTTAGAAGTTCACACTTATATAATTACATAGAGTTTCGTCTTTAAAATTAAAATTGGAATTCGATAGCGCTGCCCCTACGGGCACTTGCGCTCGACTTGGCTCTTGCCGGCCTCCTCGTACTCCTGCGACGATATCCACATCTGCTGGAAAGTGCCTATGCTGGCCAGGATGGAGCCACCAATCCAGGCACCGAATCTTCGCTCTACACTGCCGTTGGCAGAAATCATTTTTAGTCGCGTGTTGGATGGAGCACGAAGCTGTAGATCGCGATTTAGACGCTCTGGGAAGCCTTGAAGAAGCGTATTGCCACCTGAAAACAAAAATTTTGTTCTTAAGTTGCAAACTTTATAACTTAAAAAAATTCCTACCAGTCACCACAACTGAACCGAAGAGCGACAGACGCACATCGGCATCGCACATGCCCACGCTGGTGGATGCCAGTTGACCAGCTCCCAGCATGGCATTGTCGAATAGGCTCTCAGCTATCTTAAACCGCTCAGATCCAAAGTCCTGGTGATAACCATTGGGAAACTCATAGTGCACCGTCGGAATCTGAGCAGCCACCCGTTCGTCAAAAGGATTCTCCAAAACCTGTAATACGTTCATTTGAAAGTCCTGCATCATCAATTGCAGCATATAGTTTTGCCATGACTGTGTGAGGTTTTCGGGTAGTTTGCGCAGTGTAAAGCGCCCGTTGTCACGCTCTTTGACTACATCCTTGGAGGCGATCTTATACACCGGCGACAGATCGATGCCTTGCTTCTCTAGATGTTGGCGACATTGCCGAGAAAGAAAGTCACCACCCAGTGGTGATTTGACTACCGCCTGCGACAGCACATAGCCCTCGTGTACAGGAACGGCCGAAGTGTGTGTGGCTCCACTGTCCACGACTAAAGCGGTTGCCCTTCCGCTAGAGAAGGCGGCCAAAACAGCGTTTTTAACCAAGAAGAAGGCCGGAACATTGTACTTCTCAAACATAAGTTCGGTCAGTTTCTCGCGGTTGTTGCGCACATTCCACGAGGCCTCGGAGAAGAGCACCGGATGGTATTCCGGCTCCGACTGGATGACATTGGCATAGGCATAGTCGATCACCTTCTCGAATAGGTCCCAATTATCGATCATGCCGTCCTTCATGTAGGTCTGCACCTCCATCTGGGAACGGGGTACATTCACATAGTTGGTGTCTACATAGAATTTGCGCTGGTCGGCATCTGGCGTGGATTACGGGGAAGGTTAGTAGGTCTGGACTAGTAAGAACTTTGTGTAAACTCACTATTTGGAGTAGCATTGTTGTCCGTCTTGGTTTCCGGGTCGAGATTTGTCTCCGGGGCAGCTCCGATGCCCACAACCGAGGGAATCTCCGCTTTGGGCGAATCCTCCTGCGCGTAGCCCACTCTTAGGGAGTGGTGTCCGGGATCAAAGACCAGGGCGCCGATCTCGTCACCACCATATAACATGGTCCCGCCACTCATCTTGGGGCGCTTACTTTCTTTAAAACTTTATTTGTTCAAGGTATCCTTGAAATAGTCTGTGTATTTTGCGGCTTTTTTCACGACGCTTCTTCCTCGGTAGTGATGGGATAATGTGCTATCGATTATTTCCAGAGAATATTGCGATATCTGCTACGACTATCGATAGTTACTTTTAAACAAATGCTATCTCAGATTGCTTGTCTGCTAGAATCTCAATCAATCTCAACAATTTAAGTTTATTTAATTTAAGAAGAAAATTATAATCAATTTAATTGCGAGCAACGCTGTAACGAAAAACACAATTGCGGTAAGCTCATTCAAACAACCAACCAGTTTAAAAATGAGCACCGACAGCACTGAGGAATCGGATAGTCCTGTCACCATTCCACAAACGGAGATTAACATATCCAATACAAGCACCAATTCCCAGATCGTTCTCAACGATCTGCTGCTTATGGAGCTGCTTTGCAGGCACCCATTCCTCTTTAACCGGAATTATGACAAGGATTACGTCTCATGGGGCTGGGAACAGTTGACCAAGACCTTTAATCAGAGCTACGAGGCCGTTGAGCTGGTAGCTCCGTTTTCCGTGACTGACCTTCAGAGCCGGTGGGACATTTTGCGTCCTTTGATCGGTGGCCTAGCCAAGGCTAAAGGCCAAATTCCCGATCCTTTGTGGCGGGTGGTGGTTAACGTCCACATAGCTATGCAGTTAAGAAAAATACCGGATGGACCGAAGACCAAGTGCCAAGACTTCCTGCTCAGCCAGTTGCCTTACCTGCAGTCTTTGTCCGAGGTGCAACGCAAACGCTTGGAGGTAGAGGTCTTGGACCTAATTTTGGACCAGGAGCGCCTAGAGAAAGCCACACATAAGCTAGGCCCTAAGGAGCAAAAGGCAGCTCAAAGCGAATACGATGAGTTCCTCAAGGCAATACGTGTTAAAGAGCTCCCAGCGGACACACTGGAGCGCCTGGCGGCGGACGGATTCTGCATTGGACGGCAGACAAAATCCGAGATTGCGAACGGCCATCAAAAGGATCGGGTGATTAGCGACGTCTGCACCACCCAGAATGTCATCAACGGATCAAAAGACGACGAAATTAAAACAGAGCCGACAAATGAATCTACAAATTCAGATGGCATAAAAGCTGACGAGAAACTATACGGAAAACCGCGCTTTGTGCCATTAAAAAGCGCGAAGTATTATGTTCAAAATTTTCGCGTACGCATGAAGAAGATGGATCTTGATGACCACCTGCCACTGGCCAGAATACGAAGATCAAACAGGGCGCGATAAAAATCTCACTTGGTTTCGTATCAAATGCACATAAGTTTATTAAAAAATACATTACTATAAATTACAACTTAAGGCTATTGTATAATCCAAATCGCATTTTGTAATTCGCTTGCTTTGCATTCTCGAAGAACTAACAACTAAACAAAGGCGCGGGGATCGGGAGAATCTTTATAACTGGAGAGCGAATTAACCAGGACAAGAGGACGACAGACGTTGTACCATGCACGTTGTCTAGGAGCCGCCGGCTTCGTTCGATGCTTAATTAGAATCAGCTAGCCTTTACATTACACAATCGTCAACAGTCACTAAAGAACGCAATTCAACAGGTCTATATGAAATACAGTCGTTGGTGGAAAGCGCAGCACTTAACAAAGAACAAACAATGTGGGTAAAAAACTAACAATCGTTCATTGTTGCTGTGGCTTTCTCAAAACAATTGGTCCGCCAAGTTGCCAATGAACGTGGCCAGGTTCATGGAAGATCCTTCCTTGAATTTCAGTCCAATCGTTTTGCCGTAGGCTTGTATGAAGATGGCGCGCACTGCATTTAAGCGTTGCTTTCGTCTGGAAAGATTAAATTTAGTTGCGAGTTAGTAAATCACTAAAAGGGTAGCTTATGCTCAAGAACCAGAATTTGAATTCAATTATTCTTGATTCAATATGGACTTTCAACTCACAAGTTAATGCATTGCTTAGTGGCCATAGTGCTGCCGCCCACGTCTTTGGAGGAACCATTTGCGAAACCGTGCGTTGAGCTGCCATTGCTGATGCTGCTTCCACTTCCACTTCCGCTTCCACTGCCGCTGGATGCTGTGTTAGTGCTGCAGTGGTAGCCGTTGCCGCCATTGTATAGAGGAATGTTCGAGGAGCCGCCACCGTCTGCCGCCTGTTGGGCCACGAACCGCATCATGTAGCTCCCGTTCATCATGGAGTCAATGGAGCCCGTATCGGTGACCACCTGCCAGCTGCCATTCGAGGACGTGGACTCCTGTCTTTGCCGGGCATTCGAACCGGGCACTGAAATTGGGCTAGTTCTTGATCTGAAAAAGGGATTGAATTGGAATCACGGAGGGCTTATTTTAGAGCAACGCGTTCTCACCGCTTTGGATTGGGCGACCTGCTGGTCAGCGGATTGACTTGCGCTGGCGTGGTGGCATAGAAGTTATCTGTTATAGACATATCACAGTTGGAACAGTTTGAGTAGCTGTCGTTGCTATCTTGATCGAAGGCCAGGATGTAGTCTCTGCAATTAAAACCAATCTTTAAGCCTCAAGTTCAATTTTGAATCCCAAACATACTCACTCCTTGAGCGGTTCATCGTCGCAGCAGTCGGATTTGATTACAATGACACTACTGCCGCTGCTGCTTGATGTCTTGGTGCGTTTCCGATGCTCCACGATGCTGTACTCCTCGTCCGTGATAAACTTGAGCACATGGAAGCAAAAGAACATGATGTCCTCCCCCGTTTAAGGCGATCCGGTAGTTGGTGGCCGAACAAATACCAATCGTACGCCAGTGTAAAGTACGCCATCTGCATGGCGTTCAGCGACTGGTGGATGAGCCCATCGGCCCACAGTGACAACCTAACCAGGGACACAAACAACGGAGTACGATCCCAGCCGCTAATGCAGTGAATCAGAATTCCAGAGCTCTCCTCCTGCACGTACTTCAGCGTGGCCCTCAAGTAGTTTTGGGTTATGGCCACCAGATCCCAATCTCGGTACTCCGGCCACACCACATCGATGTCCGCTGCGGGTCCCATATTGGGAATGTTGATATTCGCATCGTTGAACGACTGCTTCCAGTTGTAGTGCAGGTTGCGCGCCATGTAGTTGTTGTCCCGGAACTTTTTGAAGAACTCACAGCCCGGATACGGCAGGGATAGCAGGTTAAAGCTTTTGTAATGCTTGTTCGGATCCGCCTTCTCCGATGAGGAAACGCTGAAAGCGAACAGGGCAACCATTAGTTTAGGGCTACACTATGTATTTACATATAATATATACTCACGCCATGAAGTATTTGATCTTGCGGTTCTCCACCATGAGGTCCACAATGGTGGAGACGTTGAGTGTGTGGAGTAGTTGGATGTCGCTTTTGATGACCTCGTCGTAGCTGAATTGCGACTGCGCCTGGTCGTGCATGTGGGTGATGAGCGACTCATCCGTGGAGTCCGCATCGTTCTCCTCGCCGTTTGGCGCCGTATAATTGCCGCCACTAAGACAGTCGTACGCGTAGTCCACCACCTTCCGGCCGTACGTTTCCGGCATTACAGATAACGTGGCCGACCGGCAGATGTACTTTCCGCGGTACATGATCACGGGCACGGCGAATCTTTGCCGACATCTCGCGTACTTGGCCATCGTGACCAACTCCCGCATCCTTTGGATATCGTACTGGTCCTCATATATTGTGTTCTGGGGTGGCTGTTGCGATGACTGCTGTTGCTGCTGCTGGAGGGGATGCGACTGCTGGGAGGGATATTGCTGATGGAGGGGATGCGACTGCTGCATGGGGTATTGCTGCTGGAGAGGTTGCTGTTGCTGTTGGGTCTGGACAGGATTGGCAAAGGTGACGAAGGCCTGGATGCCCACACCCTCGCTACCGGTGCTTCCTGCACTGCTGTTGAGCGGTGTGGCCGAAGCCGTTGTTCCAGAGGAGCCTCCTCCCAATCCCCCGCCTGCTGGCCCAAACAGTCCGTTTCCCGGTACCAGCGTCTTGGCCATGTGCCCGTGCTCACATTCTGGGATGAGTATTCGGCCAGGATAGCGGGGACTGAGCAGACCATTCGTGTTGTCCAACTCGATGAGGCTGTAGTCGAGTTTAAACAGGTATTCGCATTTCTTGGAGATGTCGTACTCCTGAAAGATGGGTAAAGCATAATTCATAATTAATTTATCAAGGCATAACTACTAGTTTGTTTTCTAAAACACTGAAATAATTCTCTTCCAAATATTGAGTACCCGTGCGGGTATCCATAAAGTATTTAGAGGAGTGCGTCGTGCAAAGTCAATTGCTTGCATAAATCAGCGTTGCCGGCGTCGCTTTTTAATGGGCGGCGAGATTAGAACGCGGAGTGCAACTGGTTCTCGATGAGTGTATATACTATATAAACATTCCTAGCCCGAGTTCAATGGAACTTAGACATTCTGGGAGGGAGAACTGGAATCTGGAATCAGTCGACTCCGACTCACTATCTTTTCTGAAGGGTAAAACGAGATAAGCAAGTCGGACAAATGGCTAACTTGCAACACCAATTAGCCATCGAGATAATTGTATGGTTCCCAATATATTAATTTTAAAATCTTACGAATAACTTTTGCTCATTAAACTTTTGAATATAGGAAAATAAGAGAACAACTACATATCATTAATATTTTATTTGACAATTTCGTTAATCAGAAACGTTTCAAAAATCAATTTCTCAACGTTCCGACTTGCTGAACTAGTTTTAATGACAAATACTTATTTCATTGAAAATATGATTTCTTTCTGTATTACAATCAGCGAAAATTCTAAAGGTTGTTTTGGCGGCTGGCTAAAAATAGAAAAAAAGCTACCACAGGGGCGGTGGCGACGGGTGGGCGTGGCCCCTACCCAGCTGTCCGGGACAAACAAGTACAACTAGATAAAGGCACAATGATAATAACAACTACGAAATACAACCACATCCATCTACTCGTACAAACACAAACACCTTGAGGAAACAGGTTTTTAGCTCAAAAAGAGAAATGTGCAAAAAAAAAGACAAAGGCTGCGCAAAAATTAGCAACAACAAAAGCGAAACAACGAGCAAAACAAACCAAAGAAAACCAAGTGGAGCCTATGTGTGTGTATGTGAACAACTATTATGAATGTTTATATGTACATATGCGCAGTGCGAAGCAAACGAGCAAAACAACTAAAACGCAATTACAATTACGAACAAAAAGCTGACGGGAGCACGCAAAAACAATCGACTGGTAATGGTATTTGTTTTTGTTTTTTTTTTGCCACTTTAAATTGCATAAGCAAAGTATCCAAAACTAAACAAAATATGGTTAAGTCTACTCCTCTTAATATAGAAACAAACTAAAGTCACAATAGTGGAAACAAAGCTGCCCTCTCTTTTTATTAACTGTTTATTTGACTGTTGCTTTCTTTGATTTAGGCTTTTGGAATATTATTAAGTTAGTAAGTTTTATATGCATTTGGAACAAAATACACTATTGAAATTTATAAAAAGGTGAATCGATTTTAAAATAAAGTGCAAAAAAGCCTTTGCGAATCTTATAAACTCGTGAATGCCCAATACTAAAACAAATAATATTTTTAAAGCTAGTTTTGCTCAACTACTAGCTATTCAAACTACTTTTGGCAACACTGCCCGCCAGATGAGAGTGGGAGCGTGTGAGAAAGATGGGGATGCCAAAAAAGAAAATAAAAAATAACTCATCGATGACTGCTGCTGTGTGAGTGTGCTCCAAGTTGGAGACGTTGCCGTTACAAAGCAGTCACACATGCACAGGCACAAAGAGTACAAAGCGGTTATATTTGTTGTTGTTGCTCACTGCTTCTGTTGCCGTTGTTTCGTTGTTGCTGCCGTTTTTTCCTTGTAAGCGAGAAAAGTAAATGCAACTGTAACCGCTGCAGCGTTGCTTGAAAAACTGAGCGCCTGTTCCAAAGGCGCTGTAAAACTTAAAAACAACAAACAGACGCGCGCTCAAATAGTTACAGCGTGAAAAATAGTTGGCGAGCGTTACTGCTGATCATTAAACGTCATCATCATTATCATTATCGTTTTCATCATCGTTGACCCAAATAATGAAATTTAAACCGAAGGCTGGCTCAAAACCCAAGCTTGCCTCACAAACCCGGATTTTAAAGACTCTGTCGATGCTGGGCCACCAGAAATTCAGCAGAAGCTGCAAAGTGCGACACACTTTTCTCCTCTCACAAAAAAAGAAGAAATAAACGGAAAATAAAGCAGAAAAGCTGAAAATAAAACTGAACAAAAAACACACAACACAACGGCGACAGCGACAAGAAACAACCGCACTGAAAATAATCGTAGTCTTGTGTAGTCGTGCAATCGAACAGAGAAAACCACCAACCGAACCGAACCAACTCGACCAAGCACAGGGAAACAGCAAAAGAAAAGAGTGGAGAGGTCGGCGATTAAGTACAGTGCGGCTTCTATAACTCCGACTTGCAGAGAGTGGAGCTTACTTCAAGGGAACATAATGTGGCGGAGCTAGGTGTATAATGTTGAACTTCGGACCACCTTCTGCTTGTTACTATTACTACCTCAAAGATTTGTTTGCATATTTACTTTAAGACATTCTAGTTAATTTGTTTGCAGTATTAAATTATAATAAATTCATTAACATTTCAGTTGAGTTACGTAAAATAAATATTGAGGAAGTGCTGCTTCAATTTGACTGTACTGCTTGGCTTATTTTGGCAAGTAGCAAAAGTTGAAGAGCTAAAGGAGGCCTCAGTGCAACCCACACGTTGCATATTCATCAATCCGCCGGCGACAGGGAAATGGATTTTCTTGAATGAATTATTCAGTGATCGAAGAAAGGCTTGGAATCTGGGGCCACTGACCACACCCAAGTCACTGAGTGCTCCCCTCTTTATTCTCGTTCTGCCTTACATGATTTATGCTTGCGCTTCAAAATGTGCAGCGTGTTGTTCCAACGGAATTTTTGTTGCTGTTTTTATCGTCGTTCAAAGACCCCCAGATATAAGAACAAGTTGCGCCCACGTTTCGAACTCAGAATCGGGATTTGGATCAGGTTCCAAATTCAAGGTACTGCATACGAAGGCAGTACAGTTCTGCAGAGTTTACAACTTTGGGGAGTTCCGTTTAATGCTTTCTTTTAGGGAGTATTAAACACTACCTAGAAAAGTCTTGTTTGGACAGTTTTAAATAATTCGGTGTCAAAAAGTAACTAATTGAAGCTTTTGTAAAGAGAATTAAAAATTTAAATAATTAAGCTAACTTAAAAAAAAGCAATTGAACTTAAGTTTTCTCTCTTCTTCTGTATCACATTATCTATTTTTTCTTTACAATTATTACAGATAAGCCTGCAGTTGATGAGCATAAACATTTCTCTAAATTTATGCAAAATCATCTACATCAATAAGATATTAATGATCTTTTAACATGCAAATTGCTTTTGCCGTTGATTTGCATTTATTTGTTGTGAGTGCATAGAAATCACATGGGTGAAAAACAGTCTACAACTTTCGAAAGACATTGAAACCGCTTTGGTGGGTGATTTGCCGTGGAGATGTAGCCAAGAGGTCTCAAAACACGTTTAAACCGGAAGTTTTTTCACCGCATCAAAGAGCCAAATGGTATTTGCTTGCTGCCCCCACAAAAAAAGCACATCAAAAACTTCGCAACGCAGTTATTGAGCGCAATAAGTGACATCCAGCCAAGTGGGCGTTGCGGACAACGAGCGTTGGTAGAAAGAAAGGGGTATTTCTGAAATATATTCATCATTTGCTTAATTTATTCACCAGCCAGTCAGGAAGAGATTTTTCCTCGCCCACACACGCACAGTCGTTTTCCCATCCAGAACGGATTTCCTCAGGGCACCGATCGCTTTCCTTGATTTCTGATTTCCCATCAGACAGTTCAGTGTAATGTGAATAGAAGGTCATCGGAGTAATCGATTCAAATTGTTAAAAATTAGAAAAATTAACTGATTTAAATGTTTTGGTAAATATTAAGTTTTGAAATCCATGCTTCCTTATTAAACTGGAAAAATATTAAAACTTTTATATTCAAATTATATTAAGGGGTTATATACCTTTTTGAGCGAAAAAAATGAGGGAACTTTGGATTTTTTTTCAGGTGTGTAGCAATTTTTTTATGATACTGAGGTTATTATTTATTGATAGTACATGTTTTTATAGACACAACAAACGTTTGTTCTTAAAAAAATATAAATAACTTTCGAAGTTATGGCAATTCTCTCATAACCCTTTTTTTGTTGTAGCGGCTTGCGGTGACCACGATGGAAGTCCAGCGGGTCAACTAAAATCAATAAACCAAAAAATTTTTATTAGTTTAGTATTATTTCTAGTTCGTCATTGAATTACTTCAAGAATATTTGGTTTTTTCTGCATACAGTAACAATTTTTTCAAAAAATTGATTTTTCGAGCTCTAAAAATTTTATTAAAAATTTCTTATCTGCAAAATCGAAATTGCCGCAGAAAAACTGATTCAATGGCGAACTCGGCACAATCATTACGAATGTTTTAAAAAAAAATTGAAGAAGATCGATCAAATAGTTCTTGTGCAATCGCGGTCACAGCAAAGGCACTTTTGGAAAAAAACGACTTTGAGATAATCGCATTCAAAGTTTTACGTTGCGTTACAAAGAGTGACGAACCGCGCCTCAAAACGCTGTTTTCCTATCGAACTATTATTCGGATCTCTTCAAAAATTTGGGAAAATGTTCTCTAGGGGATATACTTTAGGATTCAGCTAAAAAAAATTTTTCGTTTTTTTGAAAAAAAAAAGGTATATAACCCCTTAAAGCTCTTCATGATTACACATCATTCTAGTCAGAAAGGGAATTTAATATGTTTTATAAACCCAAGCTGATTTATAAAATTATTTTCACCATATTTCTCCAAGTGCTTTATTAATAGAAGTGAAGCAATTAAAATGAATAAATACAAAGTGTATACTTTTATTTTCGGGTAGAGCAAATGTTCTGCGCTCCTGTTGGCTATTCGTTTTCAAACACACAACTTAATATTTACCTCGCTTTCCGCAACATCCCCTGTACTCTGTTTTAAGCTGGGCACAACCCAACGAATTCCGATCCCCATCCCAATGCGAACTCTTTGGAAATAGTTGACTGAAGCGGCATTGCCATTTCGCACATTATCGATTTTATCTGTCAGCGAGCAGGCGCTCATGAGTTGCAAGTTGGTGGCCTAAAATCCGCAGCATCCGTTCCAAAACCACATATTGTAGGAAAATAGGAGGAGTAACGAATATAGAGAGTTGCGCCCTTCTTCTAATCATGCTTACATGGTCGTCCCGGATGCTAGGCAGTTAGTCCGGAATGCGCAAGAAGTTCCGCAGCAGGGTGCTTCACATTACTGCAATTCGAATGGGAAATATTGCAACAACTATACACATATGTATATCTGGAAGCGTTGGAACCCTCATATCGGAGTGGCCCTTAATCAAATCGAACTCGCCGGCTCTCTCCATTGCGGACATGCGCCCGGAAAAGCTGCTGCATCCCCGACAAGAGCTGGAAGCGCAGTTGCTCATGTTACTTCGGCCCCAGATGCACTCCCTCTGCCCCCCGCATCCTCCCCCTTTAAAGGGTTATTCATGTGACAAGCCCTTTTCTTTTACTCCTGCGTTCCTGGCACAAGTGTTTGTGGTGCGACCCACGCACCTTGCAGCAACAGCTGGTCATTGGATACATTTGCACACCAGCACGACGAATTTGGGGGCGGCGCGGGGTGACTTATGCAAACGCGTGGGCGCAAAGTTCAACGTGCAACAGGCCAGCATAAAATGGAGCAGGGCTCCCTTGAACCAGCTGTGCACTGTGGAACACTTGCAGTTTATTTTAACTCCCAGAGGCAAAAAACTATTTTTTTTGTTTTGCTTAATAAGATTGGTTAATGAAGGTTGTCATTAAAGACCGTTTTAATTAAATAAATAATAACTCATGAAATGAATGAAATATACAATTTTTAATGCCTGTTTTAACAAGCTAAATACTGCCTTTCAATAAATATCTAATTTTTATATAATTATTAGCTTTATATACAAATAACATTGAGCGCCATTCTATTTTCACAGCTTTTCTGGCTGAGATCACATGGTAAACATTTTCGGCATGCTTGACGTGATGCCTTAATATGACCATTAAAAATCAATCAGTACAAGCGCTCTAGCCTTGCCAATTTTAATATAGTCATAAAACATTTAGAAATTATATTCAAGTATATTTATAATAGAAGAAAAAGCTGAAAATAAAGTTATCAATCATGTCTTCTAAATAATATGAATTAGTCCCACTGTAGCGTATTTTCGTTGCAATTGTTGCGCTGGAAGGCGTCGAACTTCCGCTCTTCCAGGGATTCCTGCGCGCCTATGTCGCGTTTTCCAAAGCGCCCACACAAATGACGCCGCACGGCTTGCAGCACCAGCTGCATCCGCTTCCGGGGGCGGTGGTGGAAAGCGCGCGTTAGCGGGGGCGTGGCCACGGCACAGACTGCTGCCAACACAAGCAGGCGACCAGGAGCTGCCAGAAGGTCATGCGTACTATTTACTTCGAAACTAAGGGGTGCCATCTAGCTGGGCTCCACTGTCCCTGGAAGCGGTTGCAACCCCCAAAAAGCGAGTGCAATCTCCCGGCTGGAAGCCAGCTGCAGACTGGAAAGGACCAGTCGGGATACACATTAATGCGGAGGAGTAGCTGCTGTCCAGGTCCTGCAGGTCCTGGGCCTAGAATAGTGTTCCAGCAGGCGCCAAAGGCTGCGCTCGCTTCGCGGCTGTTTTCTGGTTCAATTGGTTGGATTTTCTCCAATTTCCAAAAGTACCAGAAACTAGCTAGCAAGACCATTCAAATCATACAAAAAACAGTAAGTTTTTCAAAACCCGTTCTTACAGTTCTGCAAAGTTTTAAAGCTCTTTCGTTTCTTTTTTATTTTAGAGGGTGAAATTTTTGTAAAAATACTTAATTGACAACGACAGTAGCAGTAGCAGCAGCAACAACAAAAACAACAACAGGTGGGTTTGCACAATTTGAAAATAAAAACAAAATAAAAAGAACGAAAAGCAAAGAACACAAAATTTTCGGATAAATGGTGTACGAAAGTAAGATATTTATAAAGAAAGAGCCTTCCTGCTATTTTTGGCATTTTTGCTTGGCTGGGATTCACTTTTTGGCGCCCACACGAGCAGACAGATGGCCCACCAACCCACATAGATACTGAATACAAACGCAAATGCCAATACACACTTGCATTTGCATCTGCAACAGTTTTCAATGCCGTTTCGGCCATGTCATGAAAATAAATCAAATAAGTCTGCAACAAACACGGCAGAATACTAAAAATTATATATACCTGGCTGAAAACAAAAGTGATATAATGGTCAGCACATTGTTAATAGATGGATGGATCGTAAGAATCGTATGCGGAGAGTAAGCTTTCCTTTTTGTGGTACAAGTGAGGGAACCAAAACAAACAGCTAAATCAAAAATATCAAATGGTTTTTAACGATTGAAATGAATATTGAAGACTTCTTAGACTCTTTCTTCCAAATTTTGAAATATTTCCCGAGAAAGGACCCGACGAATATAATTAAAATATTTTTTTAAACAAATAACTACATTCTAACCCTATTTTTCGAGTTAAATACTCTACCCGACTGAACTAGAAGCCTTCTGAAGTTGTGATCCATAACTCCTTAAATCCTCTCGCAGTACCTAAACCAAACTAGATCAATTTACAATGGCTGGGAACAAGCCATCCACTTCGTGGCCCCACCGGATGATGAGCTTCCAGTGCCGACAGGCCGATCTCAACCGACTCGTGATGAACTATTTGGTCACAGGTTGGTCCCCAAAAACATATTCATTTCTTTTTAACATATAGTTTCCGTTCAGAGGGTTATCAAGAGGCCGCTAAGCGGTTCATGACCGAGGCGGCTATAAAGCCGAGCCCCAACATGGACACCATTGGCGATCGAATGAGGATCCAGGATGCCATAAGAGTGGGCCAGGTCAGGTACGCCATGGATCTGGCCACACGGATTTATCCGCGCCTCTTCGAGACCGACAACTATGTGTTTTTCCACATGCAACAATTGCGACTGATTGAGATGATAAGAGATCAAAAGATGGAAAAGGCTTTGAAATTCGCCCAGAGCAAGACCGCGGGATTTTCAAAAGTCGACCCAAGGCACTTTCATGAGGTGGAGCGCACCATGGGTCTGTTGGCCTTCGAGCGGCCGGAATTTAGCCCCTACGGGGAGTTGATGTGCTACTCCTATCGCAAGAAGGTGGCCGGTGAAGTAAATGCGGCCATGTTGCGTTGCCAGGAGTCGGAGAGTAAAAGTCAGGAAGAGTCCATGGAGCCGCGGATGATCTTTCTCATTAAACTGATTCTTTGGGCTCAGGCCAAACTGGAGCGCGAAGGATGTACCGACTTCCAAAAGCTCGATTTCGGCCATGGCGACTTTGAAGAGGAGTTCCGCCAGAGCTTCCAGGGTTTCTAAGGCGATGAGCCCAAAATAATTGTCCAACGATCGGTCGGTGTCTACTGCGAAACTATACAGATAAATTTTTTTTTTAGCAAATCTACAGATATAATTGTATTTTTTTTGTGCCAACATACAAATATGAATGTAATTTTTTTTAATGGATGTTGAATAATAAATATTTCCATATCTTGATGTAATTTTTGACCAAAATTGCGGTTGGCTTTCTTTGGGGATTTGGTTGAACATTTTTTGTAAAAGCTGCAGACAAAACTCCCTTAGTTATCAAAAAACTTTTTGCCCTGACAAAAAAATAAGAAAAATAAATATTTAAATGTACATTTTACAAGGATTTAACCTAAAAGTTTTGAAAACATAATAATATTATATATGTAATATCATAATAATGATTATACAAGTTATATAATTTATAGGTTAATGAACAAAAATGTGATCTTTTTTAAGCCTTACTGATTTTGTATTACTAAAAGCTTCCCTGTTTTTTACTCGTTCGGTAGACGAACTCTCTATTCTCCTGAGAGCTTTAAAAGTTATCGCCAGTCTACGTCATGGCTTTAAATTCTGTGCCATTGGCTGGCCGCCTATCTAATCAGTGTGGCTAAACCTAACCTTGAACCTCGGGGAGACGGGAAAATAATGAGCGAGAATCGGTCACATAATTCACCCTTTGCACCCGATCAAAAATGCAATGCTTTGAATCAAGGGGAAGTAGCGATTTGAGTGTGTTTTTAAATCGCAGGCAGATAAGGCAAATACTTGAGGAAAACCAAATCGAAGGCTGGCGCCCGTTGTTTGGCCCAAGCCAAGTGATAAGAGTCAGCCGTTGTTTGATAAAAGAAAAACACTTTTTTAATAGTGAACAGTGCAACAATGTATTATCCCCTTGCGAAGGCAGATTATCGGTTGTGCCCCAATAACAGCTGAATAAACACACGAAAGATCACCGCGGAAACGTGAGTTACGTGCCAAGTTTTAACTTGGCTACTTTCGCTCTGTTTCCAGGTGCCCGCCTCTTTACTTTAATATTCACAGGCGCAGCGGCATGCAAATGAGCAGCTGAACAGCGGGCTTCCACTGTTGCCATTGCAATTCTTTTTCTGTGTTATTGCCGGTTAAGTAGGTGATAACATGGAATTACCTAGTTAAACTATTAAAAGACGTGCTAAACTTTCAGGGGGTAAAAGCGGGATACGAAAGACCGAGCTCGAGTGCGTGTCGGTAAAATAAGTCCCAATAATGCGTGAGTCGGGAGCATACCTTAACAAGACAGTTAGCTGCCTCTAACGTACTAATTCAATTAAAGCTTGTTTTAATAACCATCAATTTTGCGACTAAACTAAAACTTTATTGCTGTACCAAAAAGAGGGAAACGAAAATTTATACTTTAACGGTTATTTTATTATGGACGATGAAGTAATTTTGCAATTAATGTTACAATGTACGTTAACATGAATCTAATAAGAAAATACAACATACAGATTAGTGTTTTCTACCAGACTGGTATTAGCGCATATTGATATTCATGAAAATGCAATTTTCCTTGTAGAAAGCTTAATGGCGGCCATTTTGGGTGGCTGACGATTTTCGGGGCGCGGCGAACTTAAGACGATGATAACAAGAAGAAGACGAAAGGAAGTAAGAGAGCCAAGAGGAAGAAAAGGACAGGACATATGACGTGTCCTCGACGTAGGCGCCACGCACACTAGCAAGCTCAGCTTTTTGCGACAGTGTGTATGTTTGTTTCGGTGTTCTTGCGGCGACAGCACGTGCACGTGCGCCTGAATGTATGTCAAATACCCACACAATGAGATTTGGGCACTTACCGCCGTTCCTTCCTCAAAGGCCACCGCCTCGAAGGACTTTTTTTCGAAAGTTTCCAATAGATCGTGTAGGTCCTGCTGCGTTACGTTGACCATGTTGTTTAGCGTCAGGTTGCTCATTTTTGCGGCGCTGCATTTACTGTTCGATTGGTTTATTTCTTTCAAACACACACAAGCACTAGCACTGGCGTTAACACTTGCAAAAATATGCCAAAATATGAACAATTATTCTCGTGACCTTTTTTGTTGTATTTCATCTGCTGCGTATTTGATTCGCGTTTATCGCTTCTACGCCGTTTACACGTTTCGCTTTTTCTCGTTTGTTTGCTTTTGCTTTTACGCCCTATAAGACGGCGACGTCATCAGAATTTCGCGGCCGCAAAGGCAATCGAATTCTATTTGGTCGTGCGTTCACGGTTTTTGTATTTACCGTAGTGGTTGTTGCGCACGAAGTCTCGTTAGCTATAATGTCGGATTTTATATATTATAAACAAAACGCACAGAAGAAACGTCAAACAGCCGCGACCAAAAAAACAACATAGAGCTGGCAAAACACCGATGGCACATTATGGATTCAGCGGGGTTAATATCGATTGCTTTGTATATCGATTGTTAAATTCCCTAAAGCCAGTTTAGCAAGTACACATTAGCAAGGGCACTTAATATGGAGTTTCCGTTTTAGTTGAATTTAAATAAAAAAAGCTAACCTAGAGATCATTATTCCCGCCACTCGGAGTTTTTAATATTTTTTTTTTTACTGAAAGCCAAAATTCCACCAATTAAGAAATATATTCTTAATAATTTAATATTCTTCATATTCGAATAATGTTGAGTTATTTTAATACATATTTATGTCTTGTATTATACATACATACAATAACATAATTCGCAAATTCTCGGAAATGAGTCAACCCCGAACGAGATAAGAAAACATATAAAAACAGAGACAAAATTCTGAGACGAGATCAATTATTATTATATATATATATATATATATATATATATATATATATATATATATATATATATATATATATATATATATTATATATTATTAGTTATATTGTGCTGTCCGAATGATGAAGTCGATTTCTTGGATTCTGTTGCTAACTTTGGTTCTTTGTGACCAAGGTACCTCTCGGTTTCTGGAGGAGCCATGTGGAGTCAAAGTTATTCCTAAAATTACTTATGGATGGAATGCTGGACAAGAAAATGCTGCTTGGATGGCAGCCATAAGAAATATTACTTCATTTATGTGTGGTGGCACCTTAATTACATCAAGTTTGTAGTTTCTTAAAAACAAATAACAAAATAGATTTGAAAATAAAATCAATTATATTTTTAGGATATGTGTTAACTGCTGCTCATTGCCTCGAAAATACTGACCCGAGGTAAGTACCATCAAAAGATCTTATATCATTGAAATCTAACAAACTCCCCTTAATAAAGTGATATATGTATTGATATTGATGATCAATCGGTCATTACTTTCCCTTCCAAAATACATATGTAAAAACCAATTAAAATGTCTTAATCAGCGGAAAGTGTTATCAAAACATACCATGACAACATCTAAAAAATAAACTCTAAAAATAACTTTAATGAAAACTTGATTTTCTTATTAATTTTGTTCTTGAATCAGTTTAATTAATATCCGATTAAACCTTTTTTTTTTTGTTTATTGCAGATTCGTGTGGTTGGGGGCATACAACAAGAGCAACCCGAGTGATGTGTACGAAGTCCTGGAAGCTATACCCCACCCGCAGCGAATCAACAAAAAAAAAGATATTGGTCTGATCAAACTGTCTAGGAATGTCGTCTACAAACGTAGGTTACCTACTTAGTTTTGAGTGAAAAAACGAATATTCATATTTTCCATTTACCATAGCTAACATCCATCCAATTTGCATTGCGACTGATTCATATTTAAGGAGCTATCTCGACAACACGCGTAGTTTTGATGCCTTTGGCTGGGGCAAGACACGTGACAAAACGGAAAGCGATATTCTGCAAACAACCGTCCTCTATAACATTCCTCGACAGCAATGCGATTACAGACTGAGCTGGGAAACCCTAGATGAAACACAGATCTGTGCTGCAGCACCGGTCTCAGATACTTGCGTTGGCGATTCCGGAGGACCGCTGTCCACTAAGATCCCAGAACTTGGCAACCGCGTAGTGCAGATAGGAATCGTAAGCTATGGAACAGTAGATTGCAACGATGTGGGAGTGTATACCAGAGTTTCAAACTATATCAGTTGGATTGAGCAAACGATAAGGCAGAGAGATCCGCCAGCCGCTCCCGTGTACGTTCCCCCGGTAGTTTTAAACTATTTTTGGGATGACAACTGCACGGAAGGTAGCATGGCATCGATTATACGACCCACCATTTATGGACCAGGATTTATGGCACAGGGAGTGTTGATCACAGACCGTGAGTATCAATTACTTAATAGTTTCGGGGACATGAAGCAATCTCACTTTCTTCTATTTAAAAAAATTAACTCTTGATTTTCAGTCTTCGTCATCACAGTTGCCAGTGGATTGCCGAGTGCCCAGTTTTTGTAAGTTACAACAGGATAAACAAGGATAAGATAACAATTACTTTTTTCCAGAGATGTGAATGTGAGGGGGATATCAACTTATGGAGAATACAAAGTTAAATCGGTTGTTAAGCACCCAAATTATTCAGATGATTACCAGAATAATATTGCTGTACTTAAACTGATGCACCCCGTGATCCGCGAAGGTAACTTTATAAATTTCTAAAGTGTCCATTCATCACATTTGAGCGCTTTTTTCCAGGCTTTATGAAACCGGTCTGCATACCAAAATTTTTTTCACATCAGCAAACGGTCGCATCATCGTCCTTCTTTCTAGTGGTTGATAATTTGGGAAATGAATTTAGGGTTCAAAAGGTGTCCCAAGACGTATGTTTACTAAAAGAAAATCAGATTTGTGTAGAAGATCGCGACGAAATTAGTAAGCCCCTTGACAAACCTGGCGATGTATTGGCAGTCAAGGTATCTATTAATGATAGACAATATGTGGTACTGTTTGGCATTGTTAGTCATTTGTCGAATGGCAAACCCGTTGTGACCAATATTATGAGATACACCCAGTGGATAGGAGAACAGTTAAAGTAACCAGTCATTTTAGTAAAATATAATACGGTAACTGCCAGTTCGTTCAATTACATTTTCTTTTAAATTTTCCAATTTTTTATTAATTTTCTTTTTATTTTTCAAAATTATCATGAGCATTTTGCACAGTTAGTACTGTTATTTTGGAGTCGGGCACCAGAAGAACTTCATTTGTTCTTGTGCGCACTCTCAGCATCATCAATTCGTCCGATGGGTCAATTTTATCCATCGCACGTTCAAATTTTCCTCGAATTTCTTGGAAACGTCCAGAAAATTTAACAGCTTCTTCTAGATCCATTGTGCTCTTAACCGGATGCCCTGATTCGTTTAAAATTACTACGTCTCGAACATTTTTTTTTGATTTGACCAAGTTGAATGCTTTTTCCACGTAGCGCAGAGTTCGAGGTGGCTATTTTAAGAATTTTTTCATTAATAAATAATTCAAATTATAAGATTTAAGCGTTTTACCTTTTTTGGAGGGTCTAAAAACATGTCTGTCTAAATAAAAAAAACTTTCCACTTCTTGACCCAATTTTTTTGTTTTCTTCGTTTCCAAGGTGCGTTTCCACAGAAATTGTGGTTATTGGGTTAGTATTACAGAATAGTTTCCGTTAAAAATGGTCCCAATGTTTGCCAGTGCATAAAGTTGTTAAACATTTCATTAAAGATTATTTAAATAAGAGTCAGGGTCACCCAGATAAAGTTTTCAATATGCCTTATCAATACTTCCTGTTAAGTTCAATCCACATATATTTATATAGATGTGGGTTTTTTTTGTCATAAAATTAGAAATAAAAAATGTTTGGGTTTTTTTGTTATTTTATTACTTTCTTTTAACACATCTGGCCAAATCTACATTCCCAATAGTTTCGTTATCAACGAAATAAAACTTTTTACCAGTGATGCCAACTTTTTTAGAGGGAGTTTAAGGAATTAAAAAGCATTTGGGAAAAAGATGGTTTCACTATTTGGTAACACTGTCTCTAATATCGAACAAACAGTTTACATTTTTATTTAACAACCACGACGGTGGACTTTAGCTAAACGTTAAACTAAATTATAGGAAGAAATGGTAAGCAGACATTTTATTAACACAAAAACTTCAAGATTTACAATAAATTTCTTACTTACTTGCAGTCGCAGGAGGTTGAGGAAACGCTTAAAAGAATTCAGAGCCACAAAGGTGTTGTTGGTACAATTGTGGTCAACAATGAAGGTGGGTCTGGGTGATTGAATAGCAATAAGGGTTGTGACGTCCTTTTCCTGTATCTTAGTCTAAGCCCTCTTGTTGCATCCTAATTAGGCATTCCGGTAAAATCCACGCTGGACAATACGACGACCGTTCAGTACGCGGGTTTAATGAGTCAGCTGGCGGACAAAGCCAGAAGTGTGGTAAGAGACCTGGACCCTTCGAACGACATGACATTCCTGCGGGTGCGATCCAAGAAGCACGAGATCATGGTGGCGCCTGACAAGGACTTCATTCTGATCGTCATCCAGAACCCAACCGATTAAAAGGCCTGGAGCTTGTCACCCTTTGCTGAAAATTATCTACTGCACTTTTATACATATGTGTTAAAATTGTCCGCAAGCGAAAGAGAGTTAAACTATAACGAAATTGTATTTGAAATAAAATTATTTATGCAAAATATGACATCACAGAAAAAGTTTCTGGGAGCTCTGTTAAGTTATCTGTTAGCCATACAAGGCTTTTGTCAGGGGTATTCCTTTTGTGTAAAACAACTTTAACCCATCGCCCAACAGTCTTATAAGCCTTACTACACACATTTTGTGAAATGGTAAGACTTAATTGAAATTTTCAAAAGTCGACTTTAATCGGAACAATTTCAAATCATTTTCTCCATTTAAGAAGTACGATATATTAATATGTTTTTTTGCATACAGCTCAGCTGTAATAACAGGTTAGAATCCTCTGTGTCGTTATTTCAGTCACAACGCGCCACGGCCACACTGACACGCCCGAGGGCGAATTTCGTCACGCGCCTTGGTCACACTGCTGCTAATCGTGTGAAAACCCGTGAGTTTTGCGTACTTGCATTTAAAGAAAATCCTGAGCGGCCGTGGAATAGTCAATAAATTGATCGGGCTAGCCCAATAAGCCACCGTTTCGACCCAGTGTACGCGTGTGCATCGAGTTAAGCGATCTATCAATCGATCGATTCGGAAAAAAGGTAATTCGAAAGATGGGCGTGCAGCGAAAAGCGAACGAGTAAAGAAAATGGCGTAATCACGCACTACGAAGCCCCAAAGCCAGCGAACAAACGCAACGCAAACGCAATCCAAATCCACGAAACCCCAATCGGCCAGTCAGCAATACTTTAAAAGCGAATAAAACGAGCTACAACGTAGTGAAAAAAGTGAAAAAAAAACTAACAAAAATACTGAGTGTGCTGCAGCCATATTTGTTCCGTGAAAATGAAAACGATACACACACACACGGGCAAACTTGAGTTTATATAGTCGTCAGTGCATATATATACCTATACAAATTTATACATATGTGCTAAGAATTAACTGAATAAAAAGAACTTCGTATCGGATCGCCATCGTACCGTCCCGTTGTTCGCAATTTCATTTCCAACGCGATTCTCGTTCAATGTACGTTGGTACATAGCCCGTCCGTACATACACGTACATACTTACTTATGTATGTACACATGTACTTTCAATATCGACGATGGCATCACAAAAACACGACGCGCACACAGACACGCACGCACGTACGGAACATACATGCGGACATAAAAACAGGGTCTGAATGTATGCGGGACTGACTGCTTGTTGTTGTACATAACGGAGAGTTGAACACATAAGGGCTGGCTGGCTCAATATAGAAGCATGTGGCTGCGCTGCCGTCGTCGCTGCCTGCAGCGCGTAAGGGATTTTATTACGTCGGACGTTTCGGTCGTCGGTCGCTGGGTACTTTTTATATTTTTGGATATTTTACACATGTCCATATGCCCGTCTCTTCCCTTGCGTCTCCTGCATCTCCTGCTCTCCCCACATGCATCTCTTGCTGGCTCTCTTTCCGCGTGCATGTATGTGTGTGGCTCCTTGAATGCAACGTAACGGGAAACTGGTGACTGCAACGTTAAAGCCCATAACATCTGTACGGGTGGGAGGGGGATGGATATAGCTCCCCGCAATGCAGGACCCCCACACTCGCGGCCATAACAATGCTTCCCCTTCGAAGTGCCAATGAAAACAAGTGAAAATCGTTAAAAATCGCGGAAAATAACCCGTGTGAATCACCTTAACAACAATTTTTCATCGTTACAAACCCAAACCTGTGCACAGAAAGAAAATCTTGTTGATATTATCAATTTAAACCAGTATTTCAAATTGAAAGAAATTTTCAAGTTTTGTTACATGTGGGAAGAAGATTTATCATGTTTACCTATCATAAATATGTATATGAAAAGAGCTACTTTTTTCTGTGTATATATCATCAGTTCCCTGAACATGACTCAATTGCTTAAAATTGATTAGTCAGCAGACTTAAAAGATCCCGGACCGAGTTCAGAGACTTATCAAGGGCGTTTGATTAGATTGTACCAAAAAAGAAATAACAGAAACTTTCAGGCCTGCCAACATTCCAAGGGCTTTGAAACGCTGGCAACCAGCATCGTTTTATGCTTGTATCTGTAGTTTCCCCTCTAAGCACAACCAGTTTTTTTTTTGTTTTGCTTTTTTTTTTTTGGTCGAACGCAAGGCCAAAGTTCACACAAAACTAAACAAAGGTTCTCGTACTCGTGTGTACATAATGTGCCATATCTTATCATGTGAGAGCAGAATTCGCAGAGCGGCAGCACAAAACTATCAATAGGTGCCCGGCGCTCATTATCTCTCCAATTTAAACTCACAATTTACCTCAAATTGCGCACAAGAATGCCGAGTGCGCAATCAGCTTGGAAAATGAGTGGAAAATGCTGAGCCATCGATTAAAGTTGCCAGCTGTTCTACGCAAATCGTAGAAAGCAGTCGTCGTCACAATAACAATTAGAAAAATGATCAAAACAGTTGAACAAATCTTCGGCTTTAAGTTACAATTGTCTGATATCCTTGCAGCAATCATGTCCTAAATATTCCTTACTGATAAAAAATATGTTACAGCTAGTGCGATTATTTGAGTTTGCTTCTTACCATAATAAAATAAACTTAAATGTTCTTTGATTTTGGCGATCCGTGTAATCAAGTTTGTTTATGCGATGACTATCAGATTAATACATTTTTGCAAAGATTACATTTACATACAAATATGGATTTATTGTTCGGAAAAAAACACGTAATCAACATAAGATCGGTTCTTCAGTATTGTCCAACTTTTTCCTAGCTGATTCACGCCATATTGGCTCCTTATCGGTTCTCAAACCCCTTGCATCTTGGCAAAAGCTGTTCGGCCCGGCAGCAGCGCGTCGAAGGTCTTTCCCCGTTGAACTTTCGACCCGCTGACCAGGCCCCGGAGAAACTTTTGCCCCAGCTAGTCGGCAGTCAGCAGTTTCCAGGCACACACAGCTACACATCCATACAGCTGCAGTAATTTCGATCGGAGAGCGACCGAGTTTGCTGCTGCAGCAGCCCCACAAAAATACACACAGTAGTCCTTCGGTTGACACAACCACATCTATACACGCGTCCTTATCCGCAGCCACCCCGCACACACAGATACTACGGATACATACGTATGCAGGCAGCAGCTTTCTTCCCTTAGACGACGAATCGAAAACTCGATTTTCATCCCCGTGGCGAGCAGAATTTAGTTTTAATTTCATTACGGTCCAGGCGAAGGGAAAACACTGCGGGAAACATGCGTATTAAAGTCGCAGTCGTCCGTTTCGGAGTTAGGAAAAGCTATTCGCTGGGAATTAAATTTATATGCGCGATTAGATAGGTATAGGTGTATTACATGGTGGGCTTTTTGGACCGGAAGGGAGAGCGGGGATTATGAATGGGGCATGTGCTGCGTGCGCGTGTCGCCATCGGAATCGTCATAGCTAGAGTCAGATGATAACAGGGCAAATATATACACGTACCCGTACCCGAACCATATAGCTAATAATATGGGATGGGCCGCAGCCTTATCGCCTCGCTGGTTTGAAAAACAAAAATAGAAACAGCTTCGAAACGAAGTTTGAATGTCCTATGAAAGTGAACTCGTTCACATGAAAGACTGGTTTTAAACATTTATTTGGTCACCTATATAGTTCATAGAGATTTCTGAATTTTCCTAATTTGCTTTCTAAAATCATTTCGTCTAGAAGAACTATTAACTTTTTCGTCCGTCCAATTTCTTAATCGCAGCGTTAAATAAACTAGAGTACACAAAAACAAACACAAATGACGTAGGTTCCTATTTTGGGCTTGCGAATCGCAAATAACTCGGCAGGATTTGCAACACCTGTCCTCGATTTCTCGCATCTTTGTCTTGTTTCTCCTTTTCTGCTGCTGCACTTTTGACCCTTCAACCACTTGTTTCGTTTGTGTTTTCGTTTAAAGAGGAGAACAGAAGACAAAGGGAAGAGGTAACGATAAAGACCTGCTGGCAAAAATCGAAAATTGCAAATGCTGAAGATTTCCAAAATGCCAAAAACTGCACATGTATGCCTGCGTATGTGTGTGTGTGCTCCCATTTCGGTTTTTTTTTTCTTTTTGTTTTTTTGTAAGAAAAGACTTGAAAGGCAGGCCTGTGCAAAAGAAAAAGGGACCTGAAATCCGAGCTCGACAAACATCTGTTCCGAAATGTTGTGTGTTGTGTGTTGATTTCACCAGCCAAAAAATTATTGAATACATGGCTGCAAAGTACATATCGCTTGAAAAGATATATACGCCTGACACAGACACAGGCGCATACACAATGCAAAGTGTGAAACAAGACTCTTTTTCACATACCTGCTTTTTATTTTATTCCAGGTAAATCGACGTCGACGACAGCGGAATACCTAAGAGCCAAAGCAGCGACAGAATAAAGAAACAAGGAAACATTTGCACGCCAGCGGAGCAACTGCAGCACAGCACAGCACCACCAGCACGCCAGCGACAAGAAAAACCACTTCAACAAAAGAGGATAACATACTGGAAGTGCTCCACTCGCACACACACGGCCACACGAGCAACATATACACAAACTACACACACTATACACTGTACGTGCCCGACGGTGGGAAAGTAAACCGACATCTTTTTACGACCGTCGAGAGTTTTGCAATCAGAAGAAGTCGGAGAGCCGAACCGAGTCGATCGGCCAGCCCTTTGATAAGCCAGAGAGAAGGGAACAGTTCGGCTCAGAGAAACGCAGAATAAGAGAGGAACAGGTTGCCAAGCGACGAGCTAACGCGCAACGAATTTGGAAATCAAGCCAGCCGAAAGTGCGTGATCGTGATCGTTGGAACGTAGCTCCCCGAAATAAGCAGCACACAGAGACCCGAATCGCAGACCCGGACTTGCATTTAACCCAGCTCGGCTTGAAGGGTTTCTTCCCCAGGCCCATGAGCAGCTGAGCCAGCGGCCGCAGCTGAAACGGAAGCCACACTTAAACTTGCACACCCGACCCAACCCAGATCCAAATGAAAACGTTAGTGCTCAGCCAGGATGACCTGCAGAACTTTAACAAGTTCATCTACGACCCCAAGTCGGCCGCTCAGTTGGCCGCCAGTGCAGGTGCGATTGGAGCAGCGGCGGCGGCGGCAGCTGCGGTCCACGGTCCTCCAGCCGGCACCACAGTTCAGCTGCTCCAGAGCGGAGTTGGCGGGGCGGTCAATCCCGGCGTTGTGCCTGTTTCCGTGCCCGTACCCACCAGCACAGCCAGCAGTGCCAACAATCTGATGGCGCTGCACTACTACCTGAAACATCCGAGCATTCAGCAGATGCCCATCCCACAGCAGCAGCATCAGCAGCAACAGCAGCATCAACAACAGCATCAGCACCAGCAGCAACACCACCAGCAACATCAGCAACAGTTACTGGCCCAGTCGCAGACGCAGCTGAAACAGCTGCAGCTCAAGCAGCCGACGATCCACCAGCACCAGCAGCACATCAGCTACCACCACCACCACCCATACTACCAGCAGCAACCGCAGCAGGCGCCGCCGCCGCAACCACAGCCACTGAAGAGCCAGCCGCAGTCCCACCTGCCCGTGCACGCCCTCAACCAGAACTCCAACTTCTCGGCGGCCAGCTCGAGTACGGGAGGCACTGCCTCCAGCCACGCGCCCACCCAGCAATCGAATGGATCCAGCGTTTCACCCACCATCGTGTCGCGGGTGGCGGCCGTCGGCGCACCCAGCAGCAGCAACATTGCTGCAGCGGCCAATGCGCTGCTACGGGCATCGGCCGCTTCCACCGCTCCAAGCTCCTCCGCCTCATCGTCCTCTTCGTCTTCTTCCGCGTCATCGAGCTCCTCGTCTAGCAGCTCCTCCTCGAGCGCTAGCAACTCGGCGAATTGCGCCAAAAAGCTGAAGACTGAGCCCGTGCTGTCGCAATACAATCAAACGGAGCGCCTCAACTTTGCCAACACGTACATTCTGTGGAGCGAGGAGCATTGGCGACGGGTGATATTCCACGACGAGCGTAGGTTTAACCTGGACGGACCAGATGGGTTCTCGTACTATTTCCACGACTTGCGCAACTACGAGCGTACGCTGTCGCAGCGGCCGCGCGGCAACTCCGTGTACATCTACCTAATGGTCTGCGTAGGAGGAGCCGTTCATCTTGAGGTGTCATCCGCCAAACAGCGACCCGAGTCCTGTATCGAGGCCATCATGAGGGAACGGCCGAATATTGTAACCAAGCTGGGCGGAAACTCCGAGTTCGTGCTGCAAGATCACAACTGGATGTCGCACGCCCTGCCCACCGCCCAGGATCTGCTAAACGCCGAGGGCCTCAAGACCCAGAAGTGGCCAACTATCGCCCACGATCTAAACATTATGGAGAACGTATGGGGCTGGCTTATCCGCGAGGTGTTTGACGGCGGGCGGAAGTTCTCGCGCAAGGACGACTTGATATTCCGCATCAAGGAGGCGTGGTCCCGCCTGCCGCTCGACCTGATCACCAACCTGTATAGCACGCTGCCGGAACGGATCACGGAGCTCTACTACACACAGGGCGTCTACACGAATTGTTGACAGCGGCGTACAGAGCAACCGGGATGCGGAAAAGGATCAGGGCACTTGACCGCCTCGGCGGTCGCGCAGGCGGACGGTGATCGTGTTCAAGAACCTGATTCGAGTTCGAGGAGTTCGAACTCCTCCAAGTCCGCCAGAGACCGGAGAGCGAATGAAGCAAATCTTTATATACAATTTAACTTAACTTTTTGTGTATAGCTTTAAGACGTGTGCAACGGAGCGGACGCGACTGTTTTGGGGACCGACGGACTTAAAGCAAGAAAGACAGACGACAGAACTGACGCACGGACGGGCAGACTTGGGTTATAAGTTATCAAGTTTTTTAGTTATTTAAAAAATTATGAAAAACCGAAAACAGCAGATTGTGGGCAGAACACACGATGAGTGTTGCCATATCGCTTTGTAATTAGTGTTTATCCCGCCCCCCAAATACATATTTCCTTTGCCCTTTCAAAATCCTTTGGCCCGAAAAACCATCGTTATTTGTAAGACGTAATTTAAGTTGTCGTTTTCCTTTTACCCCTCATCCCACTCTTTTAAGAATATAAAAAATATATTAGTTACAAACAAGTTTATTTGAACTGAACAACTCCCCTTTTGTTGATTGTTTTTAGTTGTGCCAGCAGTAGAAGAACAAAATTGAAATGCCAAGCGAGTAGAGGAAGCAAACAAATAAATTGTAACTAAAGTATTATTTTAAGGGATAGTTTTTGTTGTAGCAAATTACGGAGAACTCACACACACGTAAATCTTAACAGACACACATACACACACGCATGAACACTCAAAAGAAGAATCCTATCATGTAAAGTTGTTTACAAAGAGCAGAAATAATGATTAAAATATAATTATCAATGTAATTAATGCATATTAAAGAGAGGAAAACTAACAACAATTTGAAGAGCAAAGGCAACCTAGAGTTAATGTAAGATCAGAACAACTAACCAGAGCATAGTGAACTAGAGATGGATTAAATCATGCTGAAACTCACTGAAACACTCCTTAAATCCCTTACTCCCCAATCCCCAAAGGATCGGCCAGAGCCAGCAAACTAGTTTCCTAGCGACTTTTTGTAATAACGATGGCAGCTAACCGGGGAGCTTCTTTTGGGGATTGCGACACTAAACCGACAAACTCTTTGTACGCCATATTATGGTTTATACGTACGCACCCAATACTTAGCAATACAATTGAACTGAACAAACTGCATGTCACTTGGCAAGTGCAGGCAACTAATCTGTAGAATACTTGAGCCACTATGAAAGTATCCTTGAAATAAATGCAACTTATATTCATATGCGAAAACACCCTCTCTCAAGTGTAATTTGGCAGTTATGTGAATGTGATTTCCCCCCTGTTTTCGCTTCTGCATATTGGCTCGCCCGGAGAAATCGGCAACTTTATACATGCATATACATATACAAGCAAGAACAAGCAAAATCAACAAAAATTGAATTATGATTAATTAATAAATCGAGAAATGCAATTACCAATAAAAACTACCAGCAGATACGTAAAAAATTGAAAATCAATATTTGTGTTATTTATGGGGTAGGGTCGTTCAACCTCTTTTCAAAACTATTTTACTGGACTTAAAATACCTACAAATTTTCGTTCGAGTAAAATCTTTATTTAAAAACTGTGCGTGTCTGTATATATAATACTATTAAATGTGTAAATATATGTTTCTATATAATATATAAAATATATATATACTTCATCTATTGGAACTGTAAAAACGGTTGGAATTTTTTTATTTCGTAGCCTCGCTTGCAATAACGATACCAATTAAATTATTCGCCAAATAATTAAAGGAGAAATATTCCTTTTTTTAAATCCTACATTTTTGAGGGGTTAAAAGAATTGGAGTTTATAAAATTTATAAAAGTGTCATGCGAAAAGAGATATTGTTTACTGGCGACATTAATTTGATTGGACTCGTATATTGCAACCAGGTCTCTTTTTAAATGCAAATCTATTCTAGGCACTTTGAGTCTCTGGCATCTATTGATCACTAGTTGTGTTTAAAATATTGTGTTTTTCATCAAATATCCGATGATTGTGTCTTTGATCCTTTGTGCATATAAACGTATACATAAGTGAAAATACTGCATGGTTCCCAAGCCGTCTTAGTTAATTACGCTGCGCACGCAGGCGGGGCTGCAAAAGGGCATGTTTTCCTTGACGCAAAAGCGACCTCCTATCAGCGGCTTTGAGCACTGTGCTCCAGCGCAGACAAAGCAGTTGGCATGCCAGTGGACATCACCCCAAGCCACACCCTGATCTGCTGGTCCAATTGCTATCTGGCAGCGTTGACAGCAAACAGCAAACAAGCGGTCATAGCACACCAGACACAGGGGCATGTTGGACTTTTCATCCGCTACGTACTGCTGACCGGCCAGCGGCTCATCACACTGATAGCAGCAAAAGTGCTTGATGTGGAACGTTTCCTCCTCCGCTGCCGTGTACTCCTTGGTGAAGATTAGCTCATCGCAGGCACGGCATCGCGGGATCTTCAGTTTGATGGCCAAGTCGCGACCGCAGAAGACTTGCCCCTGGTGGAAGAAGTAGACCAGGTCGGCCAAAAGTTCTCGACATGTAACGCACTTAAAACAGCCAGGATGCCAGGCAATCTCCTTTCCAGCACGATCCGCCTTGACAGCCACTTCTCCGTAGGCGATGGGCTTGCAGCAGTCTCCGCACAATATGGTGCGCTGGGAATCTACAGGGATAGAATCAATTGCATTTAAGTCATTTTCAAGAGTTGCTAAAAAAGGTTAACTCACTTTTGATAGAAGATTCCTCATCGTTAAGACGCAGCTGCTTGAACTGCTCGGGCATGCCGACGCAACTTGGATACATGTTCATGTCCTCAATACCCGGAATGCTGGTGAATCTGCCCTGGCCAGCAGTAAGATCCTCGCTACCGTAGCATGGAGTCGAGGGTTTCGAGTGGAAGCCCGAATCGCTACTCTGCGAAGTGGGCAATTCGCCCAAACTGGGTTTCGGATAAGAAATATCCTTGCTGCCATTGGCCATGTCCGCAAAGATCTTGTCGATCTCACCCAGTAACTGATCATCGTCTAACAGCCAGTCGTGCACTTGTTTCAGTGGCTGCAGCAGCTGACATTGGTCATGCGAGATGCCCTTGTCCTGGAGAGATCGGAACAGCCGATCGTAGTAAGGTGCGTTTGACACAGCGGATTGAAGCATACTCTTGTCCAGACCCACGGATTGAAGCCTTGCCCTTGTTGACGGAGCGATACCTTTGAGCTCCGCAAGAGTGGCTACAGGAGCTGGTATATCGGAAATAACCACCGAGGAGGGCGCCCGTCCAGCACGCGCCTCCTGCAGTGCACATTTCAGTGGCTCCGCCTGGAGGATCTGCGCAAAGACCGGATCACGATCGTAGTCTGTGTTGGACGGAAGTCCGCAATCATATACTATGGTGGAGACCCCGCCGAACTTGACCCGTCGCATCGGAGTGTCCTGGCGCACCTGAGCTCCAAATCTTATCTGCACCGGGTTCTTTAACGGTAAGGGGGAGTTGAAGGGTGTGCCTGGAGAAGATTTCAAAGGCGTCATGGGCTGTTGCGGGCAAATAGAGTTGATCTCGTTCCTAAACTGCGGATTGTTAACATACTCCCTACGAAACTCGGCAATAGGACCAAGTTTTGGATCCCTCGAGATGTTAAGTTTCTTTTCCTGAAAAGTAATAGAAATAATGGTTAACTATATTTTTGGGGAGACGATAAAGCTTACCTGTAATGTTCCCAGTATCTTGTCGTAAACAACGCCAAGACTAACAAGGCTTTGCAAAGCTGGCTTGCTGATCCCCAGCAGCTTTTCCCTGGTCTGAGCCCGCAATGCTCCATTCTCCTCGAATTGAGCTGTTGAGTCGGACAAAGGCTCCGAAAAGGCCACAAGGAGTTTGGGCTGTGCATTGGCTGGACTCACCAGAGCTTGCGCTAACTTGGGGTTGGCAAGAAGTTCGTTAAGGGTGTCATCGGCCACTGGTGTAAGCCCCAGAGATTGCCAGGTTTTAAATGCCTCCTGGGTAGTTGCCAACGGAGCTGGAACAATGTGCTCCACTTGGGCGTGATTAAGGCGATCGCCCAAACGCACCACCACTCCCTGTCCAACGCATTGATCTCTTAACTTCTGCACATACTGCTGCAGTTGGAGGGTCTCTGTTTCCGTTAAACCGTCGCACAGCGCAGCATCAAGATCGTGAGGCGGTACTTGAAGTTCAAGCTGCCTTTTGCGCTTTAGGGCGGCATCACTTCCGGCCACTGGGATTTGGGCGGTGCCCAGTTTCTCCATGTAATCGGTGACCACATCGGGAGCGGCATTTGGTGGCACCCACTCCAGCTGTATCGGTTGACTGGCCAGAGCTTTGATTTTAATATCTGCCGAAAGCGAATGAGCTTTTTGTAATTTATTTTTTTGATATTATGATTTTGGTAGACTTACATGCTGGCTTGGCCCTGATCTGGCCCAGAATTTCGAACTGCGCCCACCCGGTGGCACCATCGTCGTCCGGGCACACATGCTGATTCTTGGGACACTTGCAGTTGCGGCATACCTTGCGCCAAAAGTGAAGATCTAAGCCAGGACACTTGTCCTTGCACTCGGCGCAGGGAGCCCCGGCTCCGACTTCGTGTCCCAATTTTGAGCGTTTCAGCTGCTCACGTCGGCTCTCCAGTTTCGACAGCCATTCCGGCGCCTTGGGCGTCTCCACGCAGGAGTCGGCGGACATGTTTCAGGTTTTAAAGCATTTATACAAATATTGTACTTTAAAAAATCCTTTGTTTTCCCCAACAAGCGGTGATTTTGGCAATATACTAAACGTGTAAAATAATACTGAAAATGAACTGTGCTCGATTAAAATAATATCGAGTGCAACATATATCGATTGGTTTAATTTACAAACAGGTTCACGGTAATGATTTAGTTCACAAGTACTATCTAGTTCAAAAAGATTCTCAATTTGAATTTTAGAAATGTATCATTTTGTTATGTTAAGTAATTAATTTACAGGAAGTGTTGTTTATTTTTATGTATAAGTTATAGATCTTAAATTTGCCTAAAATGTACACATTTTTAAGTGTTTGTTTTCATTATCCATAGCTCACTGTATAAGCCGCCAAGCTGATTGGTATTTTCGCTTTTCTAAGCTTTTGTGGCACGGTCACACTCATAGTATTGTTTTTTTCGCGAATTCAATTGCAGTTTTTTTCGCAACCTTTTAAATTAAAAGCAATAATCGAAAGGGCCAATTAATAGTGGTAATTGACGGGGCCTACTTAGTGTACACTCTAATAGAAAATGTGTGGTGATTAATCTAGGCAAAATACTCTTGAAACAAAACAATAGAAGCAACAGAAAACGCTCGATGCAATTTGCAAATACAGAAAAAAAATAGGTGAAAAACTGCGTCCCACTGAAAAGTGAAAGTGCAGTATGAGCCGAGGGACACGTGCGGGGGACACTAGTTTGACTACCAGAAGGCACAGTGGAAAATTTTCAAAGTGAAGCGTTACTTTTGTTATTTCAGAATCTAGAAGGAAAACATAGTTTTTACCGGTTATGTTTATCCGAAGCTTTTGTGTGTGAGCTACGGCAACAATTTGATTTTCGCTCAATTTTGCACGGTGGTTGTTTTTGCCCTTTGATTGCGCCTGTGTGTGTGTGCGTGCTTGTAGCGCGAGTGTGTGTAGGTGAAAGCATTATTGCTAGCAGCCGTCTAATTGATTTAAATATTAAAAAAATTCATTAAAGTGATACAAGTTTACAACATTAAAAAGGATTTATGGTGCAAAAAGGATCAACATTATTTTACTGACATTACAATTCCCTTGAACTGTATATACTATACAATATACAATATATATACATACAATTAAAGTTTGAGTGTCCTAAGGATAATTTTATTAAAATTTGTCTAACAAAACTGATTGGTTTTTTAAAAGATATCTTTAGCTAAATATTTCAAACCAAACTTAACTTTTTTTAAGATTGTACCATGATTTAAATAATAACAATGATAATCGTCCATATGTTAAATCCTATGCTATTACTTCAAAACCCAGCAATGTTAGTCCTCTTTTCTATTATTTTCTATTCAAAGCTATTTGTTAAATCTTATTTAATTTAATTTAGTAATCTGAAATAACTTTAAGAGTTAAGGCGAACTATTAGAGTTTTTGCTCAGATTTTCAGTTGACTTAACGATACCTTGTTTTCAGACCGCAGCTCCGGGAAAACGGGCAACAAAATCATGACCGAAAAGTACGACGGCAATGGTGATTTTTCCGCCTTCAACGACGATGACAATGAGTTTGGTGGTAAGCCTCGGAAGTCTGGTGGTTCTATTGGAGGCCCCGGTGGCACCCACAATGGCGAAAGTTCCGCCCACGATCACGGTCATCATGGAGGAGATCCCGGTGGCAGTGTTCAGATAAACGAAAAAGCCAATGAGTACATACGCGATTGCATGGCCGAACGGAATCGCATGGACAGGAAGTTTCCCATTGCCGAAAAACTTTTGGAGGGCGGTAAATGAAATATACTACATTTTTACATTGTCCTACAACTTCATCATTTTTATATTCTTTTTCATTTTAGAAATAGAAAAAGTTCAGACCACAGGACGAATCCCTTCCCGAGAGCAAAAATATGCAGATATCTACCGAGAAAAACCACTGCGAATCTCACAACGCGTTCTAGTTCCAATAAGAGAACATCCTAAGGTGAGTATGCGATTCCCCATGACAAAGCATATAGGTGTTCAATTCTACCGTCTTTTTTTCCAGTTCAACTTCGTCGGCAAACTGCTGGGACCCAAGGGAAACTCCCTTCGCCGTCTGCAGGAGGAGACGCTCTGCAAGATGACCGTCCTCGGGCGCAACTCGATGCGCGATCGCGTCAAAGAGGAGGAACTGCGCAGCTCGAAGGATCCCAAATATGCTCACCTTAACAGCGACCTGCACGTGGAAATATCCACCATAGCGCCGCCCGCCGAAGCCTATGCCAGGATTGCTTATGCCATGGCCGAGCTGAGAAAGTACCTCATTCCAGACAGCAACGACATCATCCGGCAGGAGCAGCTGCGCGAGTTGATGGACAGCACTAGCTTGAATGACAACGACAATGCCAAGAGTGGCTATAAGAAGGCGTCCCATATGCAGGGCGCTAACAATGTCATGGGTGGCGGCTCTATTAATCCGATCGGAGGGGTCAAGAACACTCCTCATCACAGTTATAGGTAAATGACCGAAATAACTTTTTTTGTTTGTTAGCACTTATAATAATTCATTTTCTATACTTTTTCCAGGGGATCGCAGCAGTCCTCGTTCAGCAAAAATGTTCTTGCCCCTAAGCAAAAAGTGATGTCCATTTTGGAAAAGGCCAGGACTGCCATGGATGAAACGTACGGGTAGGTAGTCTCAAAAGATTTAATATCCTTTCATGTAAACCACTATATTTTTTAGTCGCGGGTATGACGACGGCATTGGATATGATCCTCACCAGCCGTATGATAGCTACTCCTACGGCAATCATGGCCATGGACCTCCGGCTAACATCCTGGGCGGAGTGGGCGGTATTAGCGGTGGCGGAGGGCGTAGCGGACATTACGAAAGCTCGGACTACGAGCCGGATTATGGAAGACGGGAGTACTACCAGCATTCACCTGGATACTCAGGTGATTTAGGAAAATCTTAATGGTTGCATAAAGTGTAAACAGTTTTAAATCTTTTTAAAGCTGGAGGCGGCGGAGGCGGAGGCCTGGGCACCGGCAGCGGATCGCAGTCGAATGCTATCGGCGGCTCTGGGCTCAGTTCAAATCACAATCGCAGCCATGTTAACAGGTGAAATTTGCTGGATCCCAGCAGTGCCAGCGGAGGTCGAGCCACCAACCCAGCGGCAACCACACAAAATCTGACCATGAAATCCCAACCCAATAGCAGCAACAGTTTTTTGCCCAATCACGGAGCAAGTGAGTGCCACAACGGCAAGAACATAAACACCAACTACTACTACAATTCCAACGGCAGTTCCAAGGTGAGTGTAAATGACTGATAAACAGGCTGATCCATAAACATGACAACTGCCTTTCAGCTAAATCAGCAACAACTTCAGCAGTCGCAACCAAATCTCCCACCGCAGATATCAGCCCACAACAGCAATAACAACCGCAACAGCAGTACCAATAACACCAGTATGAACAATAATTGCAATAGCAACTTTCACCCAATCGGTGACAAAAACTCCAACGACGTTTCATTTTTATCCTCCTATCGACATGGCCCAATGGATGGTCAAAAGAGTGCCAACAGCAACAATATCAACAATCACACATTAGGCAGTAAAAACCACAACAACACCACCACCACCACAACAACCGCTTCAGTGCCCAATATGCTATTAGTAAGGTATTGAAATGCGATATTAACGAAAGTGAAAAGAGAACTCCTTCGTCCTTGCACACACCCCACACCAAATCGAAGTCTTTGGACAATGCAAATGAATTATCGGGTTTATGGTGATGCCGCTTGCTTGCTTTTTAACTTTACCTCTCCGCTTATCAACCAAAAACTCCCGTATTAGTTTGCATTGATCCAGATACCCCAAACCCTATCGATCATACATCAAACCGCAAACCGAAGACAAGAACATCTCTCTAAATCCAAATTAACATTCTCTTACAGACCTGCTAATCCTTCGCTACATATTGGCACATTTCCGTTTTTGCCTGTGCAGTTTTTCTGAATCCAACAGATATAACAACTTCAACCAGAACAAGCTAATCGAAAACAACCACATCAACATCACAGAAACTTTGTACACTCGAGTTCATAAGATTAGAGGAAGGAGTAGGAGGAGTATTTACAAGAAGGACAAAATGAACTTTACTATATATACCACATACAAAACATATACATAACAAATATATTTATACATATATTTTTGCGTGCAAGGATTGACGTTTAATGAAGTCGAGGCTGGATCAACAAAACGAAACCTTACTTTCGCGTTGGCTATTAAACACAGACGAAACTGTGTCCGGTTTTTTATCTCTATTTACAAACAATCTTTAAGATATTCGAAGAGCCTGAACGATTAGTGGGAGCTGTAATCGGTCGAGAGGAATCAGTAGTTAAGCAAACGGCTCAGCTCAAAGTTGAGCTGGGATAGTCTGGCAAATAGTTAAAGAGCGAATCCAACCGATGCAGCAAGACAAAGCTATGTATAGAGACAGAATGAACCGACCTGGATCGGTTGAGACAAAATCTATGAGATTAATTAACTTAATAGAATATAATAATTAATACAGAGGGCACATTTAAACCATAATTTTATTTATATATGCATATATTTAACGAAACTAATGATACAGATAAAGAATATATATATACACTTACAAAATCTAATATTTACATAATTAACAGAGATCGACTAACCGCATGTTGACACGAAAAGTAACGGATAAACTTTAAAGTACTTTAACAAAATTTATCTAATACTCGATCATTCAGAATAAATATATCGAATACTAAAGATCTACAAATAATTAACAAAATACAAATATATACAAGTTTATTGTGAATCAATATCCGCAAGTGGATAGTGCTGCAAATGATTACTTTATTAAAACACCAGATACGACAACAATAACAGATTAAAGAGAATACTTAACTGCAAACATAAATAACAAATACTCGATTTACTTATACACAAATACAAAGATATAACTAAACCGACAAAGTAAGTCAGAGTAAATTTAATGAACTAACAATGTAATTCATCGTACTTAAAACTCATTTTCACCCAAGAGGCCGGACAAAGCACTCAACGAGGAAATCTTTTTATTAACTCACTCCACTCAGTTTTCCCAGTTGTTCAACAATGAGTTGGTTGCTTTGTCCAGGTATCAGAACTAATTATAAACTAAACTAATAAAAGTATATCTAATGTGAAGCTCTGTAAACGAAAATTGGATAAATTGCCAAGCTCAAGTTTTATTTTCTGTTTCTTTTCCCTTATTAGTTTCTGAACTAAAAAGAATTTTTTGTAGAGCTTAAGTAGAAACAAGAAAGTGTGCCAAATGTATGAGGAAGGCGATCCTAGAGATCGAAAACCTTCCAAGGTCTGAAATTACCAATTGAAATGCCAAGTTATAGATTTATCGTTTTTTATACGTAACCTTATTTACTATTTTGAACAAATCAATTTGACTTTACTAACACAAAGAAATAACCATTTAGTCGAATAAGCATAAATGATATCTTGTCCAAAAACATTAAGGAACATTTACTTACAACCATGTGAAACGTTAAATTGTTGAAAACAATTAAAATCTAGATATAAAGGAATATCAGTAATACAGAAAATACAAAGGAATTACAACCATTATTACAAATAATTATTGTTGTTACAAATTATACAGATAACTAATATGAAATTATAACAAAAGCTACTTTAGGGCGGTTCCAAGCCCCAGATAATTTACGATAACAAGTTAATGAAATAACCGAACAACAAAAGCCCCCGCCCTAACAACAATAAGAATATATACACATATATTATATACCTACAAACAAAGAATTAAATGAAATAATATATTGCGATTGAGTTATTCTCATTAATTATTATATGTAAAATCAAATAACACAAGTAATAAATAAATGAATAAATAAATATATTTAAAATGTATCGAAAATCGAAAAGGAACATGCTGTTTTTTATTGCGATCTGGAAATAAGAATTGGAATTGGAAATTTCGGGAGACCAACCATGAATCAAAAATCGTTTCCTCTTTATTTTTTGCTTTGTAATTTTATTTCTTTCGTTGCTTATGATTTTTATATTGCTTCACAATAATTGACTAGAGTAAACAGCTTAGGATTACGGAGATTCCGGGTTTGCACAGATTCCACCCCCCGATAAGTGCTCAACCCTTAGAATCCATTTCTCTCTCTCGTTTTACTTGCAATGAGATCGCGGCAAAGTGACTAGAATGCGGAGGAGCCCCTGCCCTCCAGCCGGCAGTTAGGCGTGCAGCAGTCCATCGCTTTGTCCGACCAACTTGCCCAGGAGCGTTTGGTAGAGTGGCGACTCCGTGGGCACGCCCTCGCTCTGCAGGAAGAGCAGCGTTTCCCTGGCGCACATGGCGAAGCCCAAGGCCTCCGCCTGGCTCCTTTGGCCCGGAGTGGGTGGTGCGAACTGTGCAGCCACCTCAGCGTCCTCCGCACTCTCCTCGGCCTCCTCCTCGTGAGCTGCTCTGTCCGCAAAGCCATCCCGATCGTCTAGATCCTGCTCGAAGGCATCCAGTTCGGCCTGCAGCTCCATGATTTTCTGCAGGGCTTCCAGGAGTATTCTGTTCGGTGCCTCTGGCGGGGAGGGGTAATCCTGTCCGGGCTCTTCAGCGGGTGGCGTGAGAGGGCGATGGCGCTTCTCCGGAGCAGCCTCATCCGGCTGTTGCTGCAGATGCAGATGCGGCTGCTCCTGTGCCTGCAAATGTTGCTCCTGCGCCTGCGGATGTTGCTGCTCCTCCTGGCTGGCTCGCTTGCGCTTCATGATCAGTTTGCCCGACATTTTTGCTTCGTAGTGATTCTGTGTACTCCAACTGCAGTCTTCCGGTCTCAGAAATCCAGTCTGCGCGACACAACCTTCGTTCACCTGGCGATCGCCACGACTGAACTGCGACCAACTGCACCCCGGCGACCAACTGGCAACTCCAACCCCAAAGTGCGGCAGGAACCAGAGATAGTGGCATTAGGGGATGTGCCGCCGCGCCAAGGAAATTAAAAACAACAATCCAGCGGCGAGGAAAAAATTGTTGCAGCTGTTTGAGTTCGAGGCAGCTGAAGCGGGAGGGCAACAGGATACTGGCTACAGGCTACAGGCCAAAAGGCAGCAGCAGGATATTGCAACCCTCAGCTGGCTCGCTCTCCGGCTGCAGCAGCCGCGCTCCGAATATCCTCCCTTCCTGCGTCCTGCGTCCCGCACCCCATCCCCCGGGATCTCAGCCGCGCCCCTGCTCGTCCTTTCCGCCCTTGCAGTTGTTGTTGTCCCGTGGCTGATTCCCCTTGGTGCGGCAAAGTCGACAGCCTAGTGTCCTTTTCAGCGCTTTGGTAACATGGTTTCAAAAAAATTTCAACAGGATGTACCCTCTACCTATTGGCATATTACTAATTTTTACATACAGTAATACATTTTTTTATTAATTAGTTTTTGTTAATTAGGTACTTGTTAATTATATAAAGAAAACTGGATTCTAAAACAAGTTGGCTTATAATGTGCTAATAATTTTAATCTGTTAAGCGATATAATTTATAAAATTGCTTTCTTGGAAAGACTGCGCTGCTGACGCATTTACAAATTGTTTTAAAAAATCTGGTTTATAGTCGAGTGATTGTTTTCTATTTAATTAGTGAACACTTTGACATACTTTTAAAGCAAATACCATTCAACCATTTGTTAAGAATTTAACGATTTTTTTTAAATGAAGTGCAGGGGATTTTTGTGCCTGAGACGACCAACCACGATAAACATTTGCAGCTGGCACGCTTCACATTCATCCTTCGATCGGCGCTTCCCCTGTGAGTTAGTTTGACCTGCCATTGCAATGATAAGTGCACACCTATAGACACTGAGAGAAATTTCGAGGAATTTTCCCTACAACTAGGTGTTGTCATGGCGATTAAAATTTTTTATTTGATATTGGTTTGTAAGAAATCAAGTTTGGGTCTGTTGGCATGGAGAACCGAAGCTTATCGGCGTTACTACAGGTCATAAACCAAGGAAACGAAAGTGAAATAAATGTCAATCGATAATACATAAAGTGGGTTTAATAGCTGCCAAAAATTTGACAAAACAACTCGTTTCAAGGCGGTGGCTCGGCCATAAATAGTTGATGATCTTGTGGACCATATGTTTTTTATTCAAAAATGATAACATAATAAACAAAAGTCTCTCGTGCCAACTGACTGACTTATTGATGGCAATCAATTTTTATTTATGGTCAAGGAAATTAAGCATTATTGGATTGATTTGGGGCTCCAAATTTGACACTATCTTAGCGTATTGCTGTTAATGAATTTTGGTAGGCATTTAAGTAATCACGCCTCCGGTGCCTGCGAACTTTTGATATATATCTGATTGAAGACTTGCATTGTGTCTCTCGACAACGCAATATACAAATAGTGGGTACAATATTTTCCTGATAGCAAAGGGCATATCATAATTGGAGCATATATTATTTTTATCTGGCTATTATCGCACACTTGACATTGTGTAATATTGCGTGTTGTCTGCCTCTCGTTTCAGCTCAACTTAAGCGAAGCATCCACGATTTATTTTCGAACCTACTCAATTGCTTTTGTATCTTGTATCCATGGGATATATTTTTAGGCGACAATGCGAGCGGGAGAGTTGTACCTTTCGTCTGAAGTATTTGTAAATACATCATCCGCAGCCGCAGCTGTTGTGTGTATATAGTGCTATTATATATGATTGAACAGTTCGAAAAGCACGCGACAAGTGGCAGCGGATAATTGGTGTGTGCGGTGGCAGTACTTCCGATCCCCACAACAATTGGGCTCTCTTTATTCTCCTCGAAATTCGCATGCAACTGGAAAAGTAATATACACAAAGCCGGCGAAATAAATCTTACGAATACTATCTACTATCTACGGGTATGCCTCCCATTTTGGGGATCGTAAATCAGCGGAACAAGCGGTCCTCTTTGTTATCAATGGAATTCGCCTTTAGTTTGCAGAATTCACTTGTTCGGAATTTTCGAGAAATTAATGACAAAGATCGGGTTACCCGGCTCAGGCAGCAGTTCTAGCTGCGGCAATAAACCTATACGGTATACCCTCTAATTAGTGAACGGAATTTCGTGGAAGTGCATTTTTTAAGGGGCTCCGCATTGCAGCTGTGTGGCAAAGAGTTGTGTAGAAGAAAAGATACAAATTAGGTATGAACTTGATGAGAGTGCTCAAACTTTATTTAAGTGGTAAAAAACATTGAGATGTGTTTTTTTATCGTGAGTGCACTGTATACAATTCGGAGTACATTTCATGTTTTGGCGTGGGAATGTCGCGATATGTTTGGGCAACTGTTTCGCTAAGTACCTGCCTCTGTCTGGGTGTCGATGAGTCAGGTAGATACTGCCAATTCACCAATATAGCCGATCTGATCTATAACAGCCGATTATGGGGCGATAAGCCCGCTTCTGATGGCTCCCAAAAAAAAGGGGGAGAATGTATACAATGCGAAATGCAAAAAGAGCATCAGCAGCCGCGTTAATTAACCCGCTCTGGGCCGCAAATACGAGGCCTTATCGTAATCAGTCCGCTCCGCCAGCCAGCCAGTAAATTCGGTTTACTGTTTTTGGTATTCGGCTTTATGTTTTCGGCTATAACGGTTCTCGGACTCTCAGCCAAATCGGTGGGTCAGTTGGCCCGCGGACCGTGCGACGAGTGCATGTAAGTAGCGATCGGTGGCTCGGTAATTCGTTATTTGGTCTGCCAAAGTTCGACGCTTGGTGTTCATCGATCCGAAAGTAGCAGAGTTTTTTTTTATTTAATTCAGGGCTTTCGAGACAAGAAAGCTTTCGGGCCAATGCCATGAGTCCATGAGCAACTCGATCTGCGAGCTCGTTTCCGAGTTCAATTGAAAACCAGTTAACTGAGTGGAGTGGTCGGCTATGGCTGAAGACGGAGAAAAAATTATAGACGGGTTGAATGGGCTGGGGATTTGTGTGTTTTCGCACACGCAGAGTGATAAAGTGATAAGCGGCGATTAGATTTTAAGAACCCAATAAAACTAACAAATGACTGAAATTGCGATTTCTGTTCGCTCGTGATTGATAAATATTTGACTCTCGACAGTGCATGATAACGATCGAAAAGGACCTTCAAAGGCTACACCAAAAAATCAGGTTTTGTTCTTAGCCAGTGATTTTTATTTCTTCAAATACAAAAGACGCGATATCGATTATCTCTTTATTGTTTTATTTCAACTGGAGTTTTTTTACATATAGTGTATGGTTAACTCATTACTTATTTGCTCTTTTTTTTGTGAGAATAAGCTTTACCATTGCAACCTCAACAAAAAAGTATTCAGATTTCTATCTATCTATTTTGATAATGTAAAGTTTAAAGATTACTGTCTCTGCTTTAAACAAATACTATCCGAGGCCAATTCCAATCAAGACAATAGAATAATCCCCATAATTGGCTATGTTAAATATATTAAATAAATATAATAATAAACTGCCACCTACAACAGCCACATTTATGATTGCGATAAGTTATCACTGGTGAATTTTATTATTGCAGACCCAAAATGATGTCTGCGCGGAGTATCTTTATCGGATCCTGCTGCCTTCTTGCGCTCCTGATCCACCCGGTGCAGCCGAATCCCATTGCACCGCGGGCGGAAGTGGCCACCGAGTTCATCATCCTCCACAACAACGACATGCACGCCCGGTTCGAGCAGACGAGTGTGAGCAGTGGCACTTGCTCCAAGGAGGACGCCAATACGAACAAGTGCTACGGAGGGTTCGCCAGGGTGGCCTATGAGTGAGTTGGTTCCATCCTCTGTCTGACCTCTAAATCTGACCTTTCGATTAAAACCAGGGTTCGCAAGTATCGCAAGGAGGCCCAGGAGGGCGGAACCCCTGTGTTTTACCTCAACGCAGGTGACACCTACACCGGAACCGCTTGGTTCACCGTCTACAAGGACAAGATCGCCAGTGCCTTCCTCAACAAGTTGTCGCCCGACGCAATTGTAAGGACAGAGTTCGTCTCACGACAGATAAGAGAACTATAGTAATCCGAGTAACCACTTCACAGTCCCTTGGAAACCACGAGTTCGACCAGAATGTGGAGGGTCTGGTGCCCTTCCTGAATGCCGTGGAGTTCCCCGTTCTGGCCTGTAATCTTAACCTCACCGAAGTGCCCGAAATGGCGGCTGCCAAACAGCTAGCCAATTCCACGGTCTTGGAAACGAACGGGGTGAAGATCGGCGTTATCGGTTACCTGACTCCCGACACCAAGGTACTTGCCTTCCGGAACAAGGTCGAATACGAGGAGGAAATTGTCTCCATCAAGTGGGTGAACTCCCTTTGCAATTTGAAGGATCCGACACTATATTTATTACCATTCCCTCAGTGCGGAAGCCGAGAAGCTGAAGGCCCAGGGCGTCAACATCATCATAGCCTTGGGACACTCTGGGTACCAAAAGGATCAGGAGATAGCGAAGAACTGTCCCGAGGTGGACATCGTCATCGGCGGCCACTCGCACACCTTCCTGGATGCCAGTCAACCGGTGGCCGATCTCACCGACTCCGATCCCGAGGCTGTGCGAGGTCCCTATCCCACCACGGTGGTGCAGGCGAGTGGCAAGAAGGTGCCGGTGGTCCAGGCATATGCGTACACCAAGTACCTCGGAAAGATCCACGTACAGGTATGTAACCATTATTGCATATAGAAGGGTTCATAGGAACTCTATTAAAAGTAAGCTGTGCGAGATTTCTGAAGCATCCCGAAACCAATACCGATTATAGAAAATGCAACACCTATCAGGACATTTTTAGAACATATTATCGTTATGTAGAATACCCGACATGTGGCCATGATTTCTATTCTCCCAGTTCGATGCAGAGGGCAACCTGATTGAGTTTGACGGAGCTCCCATTCTGCTGAATGCCTCAGTGGCTCAGGAGCAGGACCTGCTGGACTTGCTGGACGAATACCGACCGAGGCTCGAGGAGCTGGAGAGCACGATCCTGGGCTACACGAAGGTGTTCCTCGAGGGCGGCAACATCTGCCGGATAAGGGAGTGCAATCTGGGCAACCTGGTGACCGACGCCATGATCTACTCCCGCGTCGTGGAGAACAAGGGTGGCGAGTTCTGGACGGACACCCCGATCGCCCTAATGCAGGGAGGAGGTGGGTACTCGAGCAGACCTTTCTATTAGAGATCAACTGAGAGTAATGACCTTGAACTCCCCCAGGAATCCGCGCCTCTGTTGATAAGCAGGACGATGGAGCCATCAATGGGGCCACCCTCCTGACTGTTCTGCCCTTCGAGAACAATCTGTACATAACCCGGATCTCCGGGAAGACCCTTCTGGCCGCCCTGGAGCACTCGGCCGCGGTGAGGCTGCAGGACTCGAACGGCGGCTTCCTGCAGATGTCCGGGCTGAGGGTCGAGTACAACTACAACAACGACGTGGGCAAAAGGGTGGCCTCCGCCCAGGCCCTCTGCTCCGGCTGCTCCGTTCCGAGGTACCAGAGCATCAACGAGACGGCCCTCTACCAGGTGATAGTGCCGCAGTTCCTGCTGGAGGGCGGCGATGGCTACGACCTGACCGAGGAGTCGGACCCCTTCAGCGAGCGGCTGGAGCGCAACGACCTCAACGCCACCATGGAGTACCTGAAGCAGCGCCACTTCGTGTACCCCGAGCTCGAGGAGCGGATCGTGATCCACGAGAGAGTGGACACCGGGTCGGCATCCGGAATTGCGGCTTCCGTAGCGCTGCTGCTGCTCTCTTCCCTGCTAACCAGATTCTTCTAGTGGGAGATGGGAACAAAAGATTTTCCTTTTCGCATCCAAGCCGTTATCCTCCTATGCAACTAGTTTAAAGTCTATAATTTCCTTTAGTTCTTTAGCAAGCACTTTCGGCCCACAAACTTCAAGTAAATAGATAATAAATGTTGTGAAAAATCAATTTAATTCGTTCGTATTAACATAAATCAAAGGCCATTAAAACCTAATTACTTTAAGAATAGTTTGTGGCTTAACTCCATTGACTATTGCATCCGTTTTATCGAATAGATTGAAAACGATGTGCACTCTATTAATCACATTTGTGACCAAACCAAGCAAAGCGACGTGCTCCCTGTCCCTGAGACGCATCTGCCCTACCAATATGTCGCCAGCTCTTCCGAACCGTTTGGAAGCAGAAATATCTTCCACACAAAACATATTTTCTTCGAGTTGAACATCTAGGCGGTGTGCACATTCGTAGGGCTGAATATATTGAACATTCAGTTTGTAATTTAGACCGAGATTTGGAGTACTGCCAATAATAGATAGATTCGGATCAGGTACAGCATTCTCTGGAATGCCATTTGAGGGGACGCAGATAGGTTTCAAGGCATCTGCGAAAAAAGGAAATATTGGTATTCACGACGAAAACTTCTAACAAAATCGGTTTACCTGTGAGTCTCACCGGTGGCCTTAGATTGAATAGTGTTATGCTGCTTCCGTCCTGTCCCCCAAATATGGACTCTACTGAATAGGTTTCGGGGGATCCCATCACCTCAACATATCTAGAATAAGAGTAGATGATGAACACAGTGCCTTTGAGTATTACAAGGGAACAACTCACAAAGGGGTTAAGTCCCTAGGCAGGAAACCAGAAAGTGTGAGCACAACCTCTGAAGTGAGAAGTACATTCGTGATCTTATGATGATAAAAGCAAGTTCAAATGTGTTCTTACTGTCTGTGACCAATACGCCTTCAACTCTGAAGTTAGGGTAATGTATGACTGCCTTCATGTTTGTTTCCGTGGAGCCATCGCTGCAATTCTCGTACAACCATACGTTTGGATCCGCGCTCCTTACTGTCGCCTTAATCCAGTCGACATAGCGATTTACATTGGTGTACACTCCCGAAACGGTGCACTGCGCCAACCCAAAGCTCACGATTCCGACCTGAGTGGCGAACTGTCGCTCATGTTGGCCCTCCCGGGACACATTGACGATCAGAGGACCGCCGGAGTCGCCGTCGCAGGCGTCTGCGAACTCTCCGCCGGCACAGATCTGATTCGGATTGATGGAAAACCCGTACAAAGAGTAGCACTCACCGGGATCTTTTCGGTTGATGCCAACGGTCTGGAGGATGTTGCTCCTCTTTTGCCACTGGGTTCTTCCCCAACCGTAGACATCGAACCTCTGAGCGTTTTCCAGTGCGCTTTCCAAGTCTTTATCCACACTAATGCAGACTGGTTGTATGCTGACTGCGGAAAAGAGCATTTGAATGGAAAGTCTGAATGGAGCGGTTCACTTCTGTACCAACCACTGTAGTCCACACTGATCGACAGCTGAAGCAGCGCTATGTCATTATTGTAATCGCGTGGGTTGAATTCAGGGTGTTCTGTCACTTTGCTCACTGGAATTTGAGACGTCGGATTCCTTTGGTCGTACGCTCCGAGGTACACGTACCTATAATAAGCAAAAAATTGTACTGCAACTCAAAGTGCCACGCCGACACTTGGGTGAAAATTTCACTTTAAATTTTTAATTTAGAATCCACTTACATAGCTCCCATATCTCTCACACAATGAGCGGCAGTCAGGACGAAATCTGGGAATATTTCAACGAAATAACTATTATCCTTTCGCATAGGACTTACTCTTCGTGATTAAGGAGCCCCCGCAAAGGAAACCGGAACCATTATATATCGCTGCCATCCAGACAGCAGACCTTGGATTTGCGTCGTTGCCACGAAATATTTTGCCCTCCACCGAAGCTCCACAGGGTTGCTCCAGGAATTGGGAAGCCGCCAGGTGGCTCAAAAGACAGAAGCCCAAGGAGAACCACGCGAGACCAAACCTCATGGCTGGATTATCTGTGACTACTGACTAAAAAGTGACTATACGCTTCAGATTTAATTTCTTGTATATATGCATACTTATAATGTACGTATTTTATATTTTATGTATCATTAAAAATCACTCATGCTTTCAATTTAATCTTTATGTATTTGAACTCAAAATCATTATCAGTTATACATGGAATAATATTTAAAGCGAGTTTTACTGCAAATATTTTGCAACTAAATTTGGAACGCAAATCTCACTTATCCAGTGCAAGGGTGCATCTATAATTAGCCCTTTTCCACAGATACTTAACTTTTTAATTTCTTGGCATGCGTTTGCAGATAGAAGAGTGATCTGTCCCTACACGAAGAAAAACAATTTATACCTTTCTTTGACATGGCTTTGGCTTTCCTATCTAGCTTTCAGCATTACTATTTTTGCACATGATTTATAGACTCCCTTGATAACACAGCAACGACAGCTTCCAGACCACCGTTACGTATACGCAGCGTATTACGTATAACGTAACAACTGTGAGAGAGCAGAACTTCCGGAGAGCATCTCACCTGCAATTGAGGTGCTGTTTTGCCGGCTAACTCAAAGTGATACACACAGCAGCACTCAGTCTCCCATGTGCCGGCGAATAAATTCGATATAAAAATAATTTATAATAATATTGGGAGCAGTGCTGCAGCAGAAAACAGGAACGGCGACTTCCAGTGCGAACTTATGCAGTGGGGAGCCCTCAGTGCGATTGAAACCGTCGGTGGCAAAGGTTGGACAAGTTTTTAGCGGAAAAGCAGTAGTGAGGCTTGGCTGCTGATCGTGATTCGAGTCCATTCGGTTAAAATAGTTCGAAGTTAAACGTGTCAGAAGTTATTTTGTTGCAATTGCGGTTGCGAGATAATCGGGGCGAATGCGAACTGTAAGTAAATTAACAGCCTCGGAAATTGGTTATATGTGTGATTCCCCCAACTGCAGCGCATTGGAGTGAAACTCGATACTATTATTTTTTGTTTTATGGAAATGCATCAGTTATTAAACTGGACATCGGAATTTCCCACTACATACAGTAATAATCAGAAACACAATAAATAAGAGGTCATTAATATTTAACGGAAAGTTTTGATTATTTAGGGGAGACCGGGGGGTCGTGAGACACGGGGGGTCGTGAGACGCGCTTACAGCCCTGAACTAAAAAGCGCGACATCTACCAGCTGACTGTGAAACTTCTTGCTTGTTTCCAATCTTCATTTCCACATCACAAATATTCCGCTCATGCCGATTCTTTATGTCTTCCCAAATGGCAACTCCAATTTTGTGATCGAAAGTTTTGTAGACCGTTCGTGTTTGCTGTCTTTTCGCTTTGTTTTACAAGCTATTTGCGAGAGTGCATACATCCGAAACATTCCTTGGTGAGTAGCCTTTTGACACCCGGAACAAATTTTGCATAAACATTTAATGCGTCCGTTAAGCAGAAGCCATATTTAAAATATAGCTATTGGGGGGTCGTGAGACAACGTTCTCGGGGGGTTATGAGACATTCTATTACCGCGTCATCTAGGAACATAAAATTGTATTTTATAGCCTGATATAGTGTTTCTGTACACAACCAAAACGTTTAATGATAATTTTGATATTTTTGATGGATTCAGTGTTTTTGATGATCGTTTTTTCTTTCTTTAGTCATCATGGTGCGTCATAAGTATAGTCAGACTGCCAAATCTGCGATTGATGACAATGTTTTTGTGGCTGCTATAAAAGAGGTTGCTATCGAGAAAAAGCCGCTACGGTCCGTTGGTAGATCATATAATATATATAATATATATGTATATATATGTATATATATAATTATTAAAGATTAAAATAAAAAATTTTGATAAAATTAAGCCATTTTCATTCTTATAAATTTGTGTCTCACAACCCCCGAACATTGCGAAAATCCATAAAAAACAACTTTTGAGCAGGCAGGCAAAACTTGAAGGTCGAACTAAAATTTCAACTAATTATACTCTTGTCTGAGTGAAATTACACTGAACTATGATTAAAAAATTTGTACGGGCAGAAAAATGGCTTTTCTATTATATTTTTTGTCAAAAAACAAAACCCGTCTCAAAACCCCCCGGTCTCCCCTATATATTTAAGCATGGGTCAGCAGCATGTCGGCAAATAATTGCGAAATACATTCGGGTGAGAAAGTGTTTTCAAGATAAGACCATGAATTATGTGTTCCGTTTTGTTTGTTTTCCTTTCAATCAATTGTTTGCTCTTCTGGAATTTTGCACACACGTTTTTTTCCATGGCTGCATCGACAAGCATCCCACAATTCATTTATTTTCTTTCTCAAATGAATATTTAATGGGGTGCGCCATATTTTCTGTCGCTCACTGTAGCGGGTTTTTTTATGACTGAATGCTCACGATTTCAATGATATTTTTGCTTTATAAGCAAGTTAATTAATTTAAATACATGGCTTTGTAGGGCGACACCGCTCGAGTTAATTGTATTGTTATTTTCGCACTTGTTTCTGGTTTGAGTTCTGTTCAGACGCTTTTGGTAAATCATTATTTATTCTAGAGCAGCGAAGAGTAAACAAGATATGTTTATCATTTGCGGGAGCGTTAGGAGTGTTTCTATAGAAACTCATTTGCAAAAAGTCTGCTGTTGGGGAAATCTAAAATAGAAGTTTAGTTTGTCACTTAAATAATTGTTATATCTTGAGGTAGTGTTTGTTTGGACGGTGGAGTGAATACTACACTTGCTAAAAAGTGTAAATTCATCTATGGAAAATAACATTGCTGAACTTAACTAAGATAATGTGTTTGTTGTCTGGAATAGTTTGTAATTTGTGCCATGAAGCTATATTTTTATTAGGGAGGCATAAAGATAGTAACTTTACTGTGAAGTGATGATGGGTTGTGAGCTGTCTATTCAATTGTTTTTCTAAATCGGATTCAAGATGCAGTCGTGCTGGATCGCCGGGGTCTTACTGATCCTTCTGGTTGGATGGACTCAAGCGAATCCCATTTCGAGAAATCCCAAGGCGGCCACCGAGTTCATCATCCTCCATAACAATGACATGCACGCCCGGTTCGAGCAGACGAGTGTGAATAGTGGAATCTGTTCCCCGGAGGACGCACATACGAACAAGTGCTATGGAGGATTCGCCCGGGTGGCCTATGAGTGAGTGGGAAAAACCAGCTAATGGCACCAGTGATCAAACCATTATCCTCTTTTCAGGGTTCGGAAGTATCGCAAGGAGGCCAACGAGGGGGGAACTGCAGTGCTGTACTTGAATGCTGGTGACACTTACACTGGAACCGCTTGGTTTACCATCTTCAAGGACAAGATCGCCAGTGCCTTCCTCAACAAACTGCAACCCGATGCCATTGTAAGTCCGTTTCCTTTACAAAGAGTGGAGAAATATAGGAACCCTTTTGCCCAATCCACAGTCCCTGGGCAACCACGAATTCGATGAGAGGGTCGAGGGCCTGATACCCTTCCTAAACGAGGTCAACTTCCCTGTTTTGGCCTGCAATCTGGACCTGAGCAAGGTGCCCCAACTGAAGGCCACCAAGCACTTGGCCCACTCTGCCATTCTGGAGGCCAACGGCACGAGGATCGGAGTCATCGGTTACTTGACCCCAGACACCAAAAAACTTACCCTCAACATGGACGTAGAGTTCAACGAGGAGGTGGAGTCCATTAAGTGAGTGTTGTCAACCCCATAAATCACCTAAGTTACCTTCATTTGATTATCAAATTGAATCACTCAGTGCTGAGGCCAAGCAGTTAAAGGCCCAGGGTATCAAGATCATCATCGCCTTGGGTCATTCTGGCTACCAAAAGGACCAGGAAATAGCCAGGAACTGCCCGGAGGTGGACATCGTGATCGGTGGCCATACGAACACCTTCCTCTACTCCGGTGCCCAGCCGGATGCGGAGCACATAGATGGGCCCTATCCGACGATGGTCAAGCAGAAGGGCGGCAAGGAGGTGCCGGTGGTGCAGGCCTATGCCTACACCAAATATCTGGGGAAGCTGCATGTGCAGGTAAGCTCTATGTTGAATTAAATAAATCTTATAATACCACTATGAGTCGGATAATAATACTATCATCTAGAATAGAGCTTCTAAAGTGCCAAAGTTTTTATGTGGAATGGAATAATTCTCATCAATCTCCATTCCAGTTCGATGCCGACGGTAACCTCATCGAATTTGACGGGGCTCCCATCCTGCTGAATGCTTCAGTGGCTCAGGAGCAGGATCTTCTGGATCTGCTGGAGGTCTATCGCCCGAACGTCACCAGCCTGGAGAAGTCGGTCGTCGGACACACGAAGGTTCATCTGGAGGGAGGCAAGGCGATTTGCCGGGCGCAGGAGTGCAACCTCGGGAATCTGGTCGCGGATGCCATGGTGTTCAGTCGGGTCATGGAGGAGCAGGGCGGCGATTACTGGACAGATGCAGCTCTTTCCCTCATGCAGGGAGGCGGTAACTTCCGAGTGAAGGGGTTTTAAGGCAATCGATATATTTCCCTGGTTTCCTGCAGGCATTCGCAGCTCGATCGAAAGGAGATCCGATGGCTCCATCACCGACAACGACCTCCTGTCCGTTCTGCCCTGGGGCAATGACCTCTTCATGGTGCCGATGACGGGGAAATCGGTTCGACGAGCTCTGGAGCACGGAGCCGCCTTGCGGGGCAAGGACTCGGACGGTGGTTTCCTCCAGGTCTCCGGCATCCGCGTGGTGTTGAACCCCGGCAAACCAGAGGGCAGTCGCGTGGTCTCCGTCCAGGTTCGATGTGCCGCCTGCCGAGTGCCCACCTACAGCGATCTGAACGACACGGCCGTCTACAATGTCGTTCTGGGAGAGTTCCTGCTGGACGGCGGCGATGGCCACCTGATCAGGGATTCGGCTCACAAGCCACAGCGACTGCAGAACAACGACAAGGAGGCGGTGGCCCAGTACCTGAAGCATCGGGACTTCGTTTACCCCGAGATCGAGGGTCGGATCATCTTCATCAACTCAGCAGGAGCACTAATAAGCTCGATGGTCCTGATCCTTATCTCTTCTGTTTCGATGCAATTGCTGAGCTAGACTTAAACCATAGATTTGCCATTTCAGAGCCCCAATACATCGTCCAGTTCATGTGCTGATATACCGCTTACTTATTACTAATTTTTAACAATTATGTTGGAATAAAGGAGGTTAAAGTGCCACAAAACTTAAATTAACAAAATCAGGTGTTATACCCTTGCAGACGCTACTATAATTGCAGTGGACAATTTTTATTAAAATTTTTATTATACAACTCCTTTTGAAATTCAGAAAAAATGGGTTTGCTGAAAATGTACCAAAATGCACTACATTTAAGTATATAACTTTTCTAATTTCAATCCGATTTCGAAGTGGCATACCTCTAAATGTTTGTATTTCAATTCTCTAACGAACTGCATCATTAGTCAATTTTTTTTTTTTTTACCGATTTTTTACAATTTTAATGAAATGGGTTTGTTTAAAATTTTACCGAGTTTCACCAATTGTAGGTCCATAACTCTTCTAATTTTTATCCGATTTTAAAGTGGCACACTTTTAAACTTTTCTTCGAATGAAATTGTATGCTATTGGGAATGCAACGTACTTTTGGGGCTTGCTAAAACTGATTTTCCAACAATCCTAAAAGTAGGCACTTGTGGATCCCAAGATCAAAGTTTTCAGTGGGTTTTCTCTCACTCTTAATTTTCATTTTGAATTCTCAGTTGAAATGTTAAAACTTGGTCTGCAAGGGACCGTTGTCCTTCTGCTGGTACTTATTTTTCAGGGTTGGACTGGTGGCTTTAAGTTCACTCTACTGCACACCAATGATATGCACTCTTGGTACGATCCCATATCCTCGAAAGGTGGGAAGTGCAAGTCTGGCGACGATAAGAAGGGACTTTGTTTCGGGGGCTTTGCTCGGGTGGCTGCCGTGTAAGTTACTTTGGATGGATAAAGAATGCCCTATAATGATTATTTCTGCTCCCCTTCTCAGGGTTGAAGCTGCCAGAAAAGATAGAAGTGATTCCGTTCTCTACTTAAACGGTGGCGATTCTTTTCAGGGAACTCCCTGGTTTTCCGTTTACCGTGGGAAAATGGTGGCCCAAATGCTAAATATGCTGGCACCCGACGCCATGGTAAATGTGATTTAATTAACTATTAGTTAAAAAGGTTTGAAACTCTTCAACAGGCCATGGGAGTTCATGAACTGGACGATGGAGCCGATGCATTTGCCGAGTTTCTAAGCATTGTCAACTTTCCAGTGGTTAGCAGCAACATAAATTTGAAAAGGGAACCCAAACTTGCGGAGAGCGATAAGTTAGTGAAATCCACGGTTATCAGGAGGGGTAAACACAGGATAGGGATTGTGGGCTATATCAGACCGGATACTAAGGAGCGCACTCAGCCCAATGACATAGTATACAAACCGGAGGTGCCCGCCATTAAGTAGTCTACCAAACACTTCATCTTGTAAACCCTACAGTTTCCAACTCCTCTCACTTTTAGCAAGGAAACCAAGAAGCTGGTGAACCAAGGAGTCAATATCATAATTGCACTGGGTCACTCGGGCTACGACATAGATAAGGAGATAGCCAAGCGGTGCCCGGATGTGGATATCGTAGTGGGTGGCCAATCCCACACGTTCCTGTACTCCGGAAAAGCTCCCAGCAAGGAAATCCCGGAGGGTCCCTACCCCACAATAGAGGTCAAGCCGGATGGCCGAAAGGTCCCGGTTGTCCAGGCCTATGCCTACACCAAGTACCTGGGAAACCTTTCTGTGGAAGTGCGTAATGCATATCTAAAGTGGAGTAACTATTTGCCAAGCTCTACCTATTTTTCAGTTCGACAAAGGTGGAAATTTGATAAGTTTTAAGGGAAAACCTACTTTGTTGGATAGCCGCTTCGAGCAGCGAAAAGATGTCCTGGATTTCCTGGAGCGGTATCGCGGGGTGATCGACGACATGGAGCGCCATGTGGTGGGGACAACCTCGGTCTACCTGAACGGCGATCGAAAGAGCTGCGGTTACGGGGAGTGTAACTTCGGCAACTTCATAGCCGACAGCTTTGTTTATGCGCGTGTTCTGGAGACCATGTCGGACAGGAGTTCCTGGACAGATGCCTCCATCGGGATCATCAATGCGGGGGTAAGTGCTTCGGACTGACCACAATGGGGTACTCTTAACTTGTGTGGACTAGCCATCAGAGCCTCCGTCGATCCCGGCGAAACGGGCGCCATCACAGAGGCCGATGTGGTGACTGTGCTCCCCTTCAGCCACGACATGTTCTACACCAGGATAAGTGGCAGCCACCTGATGAAGGCTCTGGAGCACTCTGCCCAAATGCGAAGCAAGCGCATGGACAGTGCCTTTCTACAGGTGTCCGGAATCCGTATGAAGTTCAATCACAGTCGATCGAGAGGGGAGAGGATCACCGAGATCAAGGCTCTGTGCTCCGATTGCCAAATTCCCCACTACGAGGCCGTCGAAACTGACAGATACTACGGGGTGGTGCTCACCTCTTTCCTGTTGAACGGCGGCGAAGGCTATAGCTTCATCGATCCAAAGCGGCCGGAGGTCCAAAACCTGACAATTCTCGATCGCGATGCGGTGATCCGGTATCTGCAGGAGCACAAGGTCATCTATCCGGAACGGGAGGAACGCCAAACTCCTCAGGAGAGATCACTCTTCAACACCGGTTGTAAAAGGGCTTTCCCGCCGTTCTTACTAATAATTTGTTTGGTATTTAGTCACTGTGTTCTCGAGTAAATGCGAAGTCCGAGTAAATGCGAAGCAAAAAAAGAAGCTGGTCTTTCTTCATGAGCTATCATTATCATTAGGTTTCGCTGTCTGCTTTTCAGATTGTGCTATTGCTTAGAGAGCGATAAGGCAGTGACCTTCTATATACAGTAGAATCCCGATTATCCGGATCAATTAAAACCAGGGGTATTCCGTATAATCGAAAATCCGGATAACCGATTTCAAAGCAAATCAAATAATATTTAAGATTTTTAATAATTATTAATTATGGAATGGGTTTTAATTAGATAATACGATATATAAAAAACAAGCTATAACGATGGATAATGAATTACATAATACTTATGTAATTTAAAAATCGATGTTCGGATAATCGGGATTCTACTGTACATATACGTTTTGTTCTATATTAGAGATTTCAGAGCTGGGTCTTCCCATCGAAACATTTTTAATATTTTGTTTGGGGAATTTTATTAATCTGATTTATTTTTTGAGTTTCCCAGAAAATTTTTAAGTTCACGCTTCCGAATAACCATATCAGGTTCAAGGACACCTTAGAAATATTTTAAAAATCAAACGCTTTATTCAACAAAGGCAATTGATCTTTAGAGTTTAACTTAGGGTATAAACATTTAGAAGAACTGGCTCAAGAGAAACAGTTCTACCAAGTAAATGCTGGACAAATGCATGCGGTAGGGTTTCCAAAGACATTTCGTGCCATCCCGCAAACAGCACTTCTGCTGACTTTGACTGATCAGCGAGTGTCTCGGCCATATTCATAATGCCAGGTGCTACCAGCATGACTCCACTTTTGTGGCTGGCCGTAATTGACTGCCAAATGAAGGCCTCCAATCGGCATTTGTATCTGTATCTGTATCTGCGGCTGGGTCTCGGGTCTGGGGACTTGGGTCTGGGGACTTGGGCTTTGGTCTACGGCCTCCGGGCTTCTGTCTCTCGGTTTATCGCCCGCGGTTCTGGTCTCGTTCTCGGGTGTCTTCTGCTGGTGCTAAGCACTATTAAATTCCCCATGGTTAGGCTTTTCATGAGAAGTTCACGGCGCACCGACCCCGCCGACCTCTGCCCACATAATAGTCATCAAGCTCGTGTTTGCCGCCCCTGCAGCGCCATTTCCTCCCCTCCACTTGAAGCCATTGGCCATCGGGCTGCAGCTTTCGGCTCTGCTTCTGGCCCCAATGACTGCTACTGGCGGCGTGTTCCAGCTTCGCCTTGGGCTTCAGATTCAGATTCAACTTCAGCTTCAGCTTCAGGCTCCAGCTCCAGGGCTCTGCTGTCGTGAGAAGCACATACACATCACGGAATGGATATGCACACACATTGCATCCACATCCGCATCCACATCCACATCCATGCCCAACTCGATCGTAGGCGACACAAACACAATCTACTGTCGGCATTTGGCCAGGGAATTGCGTGCACTGGGAGAAAATACTAACCTTACCATATGGGGTAACTGATCAAAAACTGATTTTTATATAATTTACTCTATTGCACATGTGTATATACCTTTTGTTTGTGTGTTCATGTTTAACTACTGATAGTTGTTGATATAAACGGATTATAAGCTATCGCTTACTTTTGAACTTAATCTGTGATTTGAGCGTAATCAGTTGTACAGCTTAGATTCACAATACTTCGTTACTTATTTTATGATGGTCGTAAAAACAGTGGCATGTTAATAGCCTCCACTTTTATTTTACACCAGACTGGTTTCGATTTCTAATCTTATAAAGTGTACCTACTGTAATACATTATAAGTTTTATAGGTTGATCGATATAAATTTGAAATACTAGTCTTATATAAAGTGGATTGATTAGAGGTGTCTTTTAAGTAATAGGAAAGTATTCCCCAGCTTTTTCTCTCAGTGGGTGGAAAAGGGAGAAGGGTGGCTGAAAGGGGGCGGGTCAGCGGGAGCTGGCATGTAATTATGTGGCCCCGTATACCGCGTCTCGGACTCGGACTCGGACATCGGTCAAGTGCAGAATCGGGCACTTTTGGCCGGCACCACGCTACAGTCGGCACCTGGTACTCGGCTATCAGTCATTCGGTTAGTCATGGCTCAGAGAGGTTCTTGAACCCGCCCATGCCTCTGGGTGTAAGTCCACTCCCACACCATCCGTATCCACTGCCACTGCCACTACCAGAGCCACATCCACATCCACACCCGCATGGTGGTTGGCAGTGGCATTTCAATTTTGCAAATGAACCCCACTGCCCCGTTCTAACTTGGCCATAATCTTGGCCGGGGCGGTGTGTCTGCACATAAAAGTCTACTTCCGTCTTTCTTTCATTTCTATTTGATTCCCTTCATTAAGAATGCTTCTTGGTTTCCTGCTCAGTTGTCTCTCTCCTCACTATTTTCTGATTTTGTTTTTCTGTTTTTTTTTTTTTTTTTAAGTCCCAAAGTCCCAACCGTTTAGGTCTAATGGCCGTATTAGCGACATGAGAAGATCGCGCGCCATTTGTTCGCCGAGCATTACCGATCCGGGCAATCCGGGTATCAGGCATCTGGTCTATATCGAATTGAGACATGGGAAGTGGAAGCAGATCATGCACGGGTCAATGAGTTGCGCGATTCACAAATTAGTGGAAATCATCCCAGCCCGAACCGAAGTCCCCCAAAAAGAGATGTGATTTTCGTGTTGATGCGGTTAGTTGGCATTGTTGCCATTGCCATTGCCATTGGATTTGCCATTGCTATTGCCATTGCCAGTTATTCCTGTTGTTGTGCCGGTCGTGATTTTGTTGCCCAGTTCGCCAGAAACGTTGAATTGGCTTCACCTTTTGACATGGAATCTGAAATGACGTGAAGCAACGGCCGAAGGAAGAGGAGCTCGCGCTCCTCCCCCTCCAATGGATTTCAGCTTCGGTGTCCCCGATTCTCCCTCCTCCACTTTGATTGCCAGTTAGCCATCGCAGCCCCATTCCATCCGAATCCCCATCCCAATCCCCATCCAAATCCCCATCCGAGTCCCCATCCTCCGGCAAATGCTCATTTGGTTTCGTTTCTCGTTTCGTTTCAGCTCCATTGCTCTGTGATCGAAATTATTTACCGTTGATATGGTTATGGTCAAGGCGAACGGGCAAAAATCAGAGGAAGAAGGCCAATTCTTAGGAGGTGGGAGGATCATTGGGTTACCTTGTTTTTCTCCATTGGTCCAAATAATGAGGAGGAAAACGAGGGAGATCAGTCTAGTTGGGGCAAATTAGAAAATCATGTGAACCGGAGGTAACATTTCGCTAGAAACCTTTAAAAGCATTATGGCTGTTTAATGAATTACTATATTACATATTATATTATAAATCAGTGTATGATAAATCAGTCGATGTTCTTATCGTAACTATTATTATTATTTCAATACAGGGGTTTATTTTATTTCAAAACCATATCTTTAACAATATTTTACCAAGCGAGTCTTATACGCTCCTTCTTCTCTATAACTTTGCAAACGAATGGCCTGGAAAACATTTACTGAAAACCTGGCATTCATTTGTGCATATTTTAATAAGTTTATTATAAATGCACATGACTCATGGCACTCGAAGGGGGAGGGGGAAGCGGACATGAATTTATGCATGAACGGAACGGATCGGACAGGATGGGATGGTCTAGGATCGGATCGGATTGGATCGGGTTGAATTGGATGGCAAGGGATGTGTCCTGATCGGTTTGCTGGTCATGTTCCTGCCATTTTGTGGGCTGGGCCCTCACGACAGTTGCCAGTTACCATGGTTGTGAGTGTGTGTGTGTGGTGTGACCTCCGATGCAAATGCTGATGACCTTCGTACCGCCAAGGACACACACACATGGCCACTCGGCTATCCGATCAGCGAGATATTCTAATTAGAACGCAGGCAAGTGGAAATGCGCGATGTCCGCCTCAAAAGAATATCTCGGTGTCATTTCTCAAGCCGCAAAAACCGATTCACATTAATCCTTTGATCCCAAGCAGAAAAAGTGTGTATTAGTGCTGCTCTACGATTTGTTTTTATTTTTTACACAGGGAAAAACATATAACTTTTGGTATTTCTAAAAGTAATTAATTTAGTTTAATTTACAAAACCCTAGATACATGGTGTAAAAAAAGTTTTGAACTCCTAAGCTCAAAAATCGCGATAATTTGATATTTCTTTGATTCTTTTTTGTATTTTCAGTTTTCTTTTCACCAATTTAGATCCTTTCGTACATTTTTCTTTCGGTATAGTTAAAGCTAGATGCCATGTTCATGTCGTCATCATCAGCATCATCGCTAAACTTGACGCTAAAATGGATGTGGATACACAGGAGCGGTACACACACACACACACACTCACGCACTTAGAGGCGAAGCAGAGCAAAGCGGACGAAAGGAGAGGAAGGGGAGAAGACGAGGAACCTAAGGAGGAGCAGTGAAAAGCCAAAGAGGCAACCAAAGTCCGTTGGCAAAAAGCCAAAGTCGAGGATTTCTACCAAAAGGCGAATTAAATTCCTCAATCTGGTGCCGAGTTTATTTTTAGACCAAAAACAACAAGCAACAGGAACAAGAACAGCAACTAGCAATGAAATGGGAACAGGAGGTGGAGCAGGAAGAGGAAGAGGAAGGGGGGTGGCCAGGAGAAGAAGAAGACAACGGCGACGACGCCAGGAAGACACATACACACAGATTATTCTCTATCGCTATTCTCTAACGATATTGGCTTAAATATGTGTCTCAAGAACCAGTTAATACAATTTATAGCTCTATGATAAATCAACAATTCAAATGAAAATGTTTCCAACATTTAGATTACTAAATATTTGTCATGTGTACATTTTGAACAAAATTGTATCTTTTCTTGATAAAGCTGATTTTAGTTTCAAAACAATTTAGGAACACACATAGTATTTTCCCCAGTGCAAGCCGATACACAAATACAAATGGTGAGGATCAGAAGATCAAGCTAAGAAGAAGCAGCAGCAGCCGCGAGTATAGATGGATGAATGCTGTTAAAGGCGAAGGCCATCCAATAGCCGCCTCCCCCGCCCCTTCCGTGTGGAAAATCCAGATTGTAAGGAGTCCAACTAGAAGTCGCGTCGGTCACATTAAGCTCCAATGTGCGTCGCCGTCGCAGTCGCAGTCGACGTCAGCGTCCAGCCGGCGGCAGTTTTACCATCAAAACCAAAAAAAAAATAAAAATAAGAACCCAAGCGAAGGGCCAAAATCTCGGTGCGTTGTACTTGCGATAGAATTTTCGATTGCAATGGGCACGCACAGGTTTTTAGCTGCACCACCCAGTCCACCGAGGCATCCAGCCACCGGACCCACTGGACCCACCGAACCACCATCCAAGCAAACCTCCACATCCTCCGCCGTTCAACTGGGAAATTGCGGGCAATTCATTTCCCATGACTGTTAATCACTTGGCCATTATTATATTTAGCCGAACGCGTACATAATTATAGCCCACAACCGTCGATCGGTCGATGTGTCCAATGGGGATAACTATTGGTTAAGCTAGCATTAAGCCAGAATTAAATAAGAGTGATAAAGGCCACATGGGAGTGCTCTACAAGCCGTTGAAGGGGGATAAATTATACATATATATGTACCTGGCTGGAATTTATACACAGAAGAAAAATATCTTCAATCAGGCTGCTGATACCTGACGTGCTTACAGATTTTCTTACCAGTTTTCACTGACACACATTTCTGGTCAACATCCTGCTTCACAGTCTGGCGATCTAGAGCTAATATAGGGTGTGGAATCTAAATGTGCGAAATCACAAATAATATTTGAAGTAAACTTAACTTTAAGGGCTTCCTAACATAATTTAAGTCATTATAAAAGGTAAACCAAAGCAGCTTCTAAGAAACTTGTTTGCTGATCTTTCCCTTGTAAAGTCCTCTATCCCATTCCAACGTTTCTAATTGGGGGTTAATTTCCCCTGAGCCACTTATAACTTTCGGTTATTAATAATCATTATACCAATATTTATCCTTCTCCAAGTTCTGAGGTCGATTAGAAAGCTCCAGAAGCCAGAAGCCAAAGACAGAGGAAGAAAAACCGAGAAGATGCCTTTAATTACATATGCACACATTTATCATAATTTTTGGGGGACGGAGGTGGAAAAAGGAGAAGGAGTGTAAGCTCGTGTTTTGCGGCGGGCACCCGCAGAAAAGAAATATTGTCAAAATGCAAAGCAGAAGATCATTATTACATTTCACGCTTCCAGCAAAAATAAGTAAAAGAGCCAACTGAAACCGCAGAAAGCGGCGAGTTCCACGGGCGACTCAACGTCGCGATAGCGTACCAAATTAATGGAAATGGAACCACATTGCGTCGAGGTTCATGGAAGGGGAGGGGAGGGGGGTGGTTTGGGGAAGGGGTCCGCTCAGGGGGGATGGGCGGGGGACGAACGTGCAGCGAGCCCTACAGGTAAGACTGTAGCGAAGACGAAGAAAGACCAGCAGAAAGAACCTAAAACCAAAGCGTCGTTGTGGGAGAAAGAATAAAACTAACAATGGACTGCGATGACTCGACGTCGACGTCGACGTCGAAGTCGGCGTTGGCAGAGCAGTCGACCGCGGCTCCGACTCCCATTGGAATGATGACGGCAACGTGCAGTCGGGCTTAAAGGTGTGAGTGGACACTGGAAAAAACAAAGGTACACAAATACTTTTGTATCTTGAATATCAAGCGACTCATTGTTTCTGGAAGATAAAAATGGAGAAATATTACCAGCCATAAGAATGCTTAAATTTTTGTATATATTTTTTATAACTTTTTTCAGTAGCTCAAACTTTTTTGAACACAGAAGCAACCTTTTCTTTCTGTGTACTGATATTTCGGTTTGAGCCCGCTTTTGTGTGCCTTTGGTTTATTGCGCTCTTTGTCAAGCACTGACATCGGCTCACACACACCACGAACAACAGGAAGAAGTCGCACACACACACTCAGAGCGAGGCCAATTTCCAATCACATCCATGAAATAAGCAAATAGTTGGTTCTGTCCTATTCGCCTATTTCTTCTTTCTTTTTCACGGCCTTTTCCCGTTTTGAGCCAGCAATTTCCTTCTTAAGCTAACTGCTTTCGGCACCAACCGACATTTACCAGCGCTAACTTGGCCAGAACAGAAGCTCAGCGGATCTAAAGCATTTCCAATTACCAATTCCAACTCCGGGATCCAAGGATTAACACACAAGTCGCTGCCTCTAACTCTGTATCTGCATCAGTATCTGCATCTGTGGTCGAGTGTGTGTGTGTGTTTGTGTCTGGAAGAGGAAACTGGAATCGCTGGCGTTCTGGAAGCAGCGAGTCTGATCGTTGTTCTTGGCCTCTTCGGGTTCTTCGGCTTCTTGGCTTCCCAATTCCCACTTCCATTCCCGACTTCTTGGCGGACAATCGCGGCTGCGTGATATTGGCCGGATCAGTTGAGCGATCAGTCGACGACGAAGGCTTGCAGTGAACGCGACGTGAAGTGCTGAAACTCCAACTCCAACTACCACTCTTTTTTAGAGCCGATTCGAACGCGCGTCCCCAAAAACGCTAAGAACCCGATTCGTATTCTCCGATCGTCGCCAGTGGCAATCAGATAGTGCTCCGCGCTTCCAAACAATCTAGCAAACCGAAGAAAAGATGGCCAAAATCGTTCTCTTCTGCCTGCTGAGCCTCTTGGCATGCGCTGCAGGTTAGTAAAGTCACAGAATTTTGATTGATTTTCTTTCTTCTGTTTTTATTTACTTAAAACAAACAACTTAAACTTTTAATATAGAACTCAATTCGTGCAGTAAGAGTGATAGATAATTATCCTATCTATGATTTAATGTGATTTTTAAGGGTTTTCTACGACTTTAGCTCAAAACAATTTTTTTAAAGGACCTCCAAAATATTTGTGAAGTTTTCAATTTTTAATGTGTACATACTTAATTTGAGATTGGGTTTGTGTAGTTCTTTAAAATTGTTGTGAATATATTAACATTAAATTCTTGTAAATGTTTAATATATTTATAATACATTTTTATTATGGTTAGACTTCAAAACAAACTTAGACATTAAAAAACATTTCCTTTTTTTAAAGTGCTGAATGTGCTTAAAACGTAACTACCTGCCAAGCAAATTAAACTTCTTCTCGGAACTTGAACGATATGAATAATTAAGCTTTTATCCTCAGCATCTGTAAATGCCTTGCTAATTGCCGGCTTACCTCTGTCCGTTCATGATAATTCAATCTCCGAGAAACCCCTGCAATTATTCCTACCTTCTCCCATTTAACAAGTAAACAAAAGAAGTTCCAAGGAACTGAAAAAAAGACTTATCCAGCCAAGCCTGAAAAACGGGAAAGAAAAAGATGCTGGCGAAACGAATGATGCATTCCCATCATTAAATCCGAATCAGAGTCGCAGTCATTAAGTCTGTTCGGTGTTTTTGCATCGATTCTTCAGTCTTGAGTCTCCAGCCTTCAGTCTTCAGTCTTCAGTAAATGCTGAGAGCTCTCTTCTCATCGATTACCCACCGGGGTTGTTCCCAATCCCATTCCCGTTCCCGTTCCCAATCGCAGGAAAACAGGCAAACAGGCTTTTCTTTTTATCAATTTCCCTCTGTTTATCCCAGTCGCCATCTCCATTATAATGATTTGCCTGCTAACTGGCCGGAGGGATGCTAGGTGCTAACAAATAACTAGAGTTAGCCACATCCTCCGGCAATCGCATCAGCATCAGGCACATCAGAGTCGCAGCAAACACTAGCATTGACTTTGACTGCATCATTAGAGACGTGCTAGATTCGCGATCTATCGCTGGCCAGGCGTAATTACCTTCGGAAATTATGGTGCTCGAAAGCTGGAGGGAACTTGGGTTCGCTTCGGTTCGTTTCGGTTCGGCCCGGTTTGGCTCTACACTGCCCAATTATGGGGTTGCCTATCCCGATCCCGATCCCGATCCCGATCTCGATCCCAATCCCATCCCGATTCCGATCTCGTCCCCCAGTTGAATTCACGTCCAGAGTCAGTGTCAAATTAACTGCTCGTTATCTTGTGGCTAAGTGCCAAGAACCATCTACTTTGTCTTCGAATCCGATTTAGTTTCGCCATCAGAGCTGAGCCGGGGGATTCATTTGGGAAAATTAATGCCTGAATTCAATCTGATCTCCCGAGCGCACAAGCTCAAATTGCCCCATTAAAATGAAATTTAAGAATTTCTTCTGCCCGCTTAGCTTAGCTTCTGATTTCATCGCGTGGTCATTATTCTTATTAGTCAGATGAAAATCTCGACTCCTCGGACGCATAATGAATAATTCCCCCAAAAAGTCTTTTCATTCATAAATCTTTGCTGAGACTTGCCTGTTGTCTATCATCAGACGGATCGGTCGAAGACTTTGACTTTGCTTCGTGTGTGTCTTGCATTTAAATCGCCGGAAATAATTTCATATACGAGCAGAGTACACACTTGGTGATCCGAGAGTGTGTGCGTGTGTGTGATCAAACACTGGAACTCTGTGGACGTCTAGGCCCTTTCCTATACCTTGCCATAGCCCATATCCAATATCCATCCACGACAAGTGCCATAAATGGCCAAGTGTCGAGGGTTCGTTGAGTTGAGTTGGAGAACAAAGTACTCGCACTGGTGTTTGTGTTTATCTTTTGAGCCGCTTTGTAAGGGCCAAGACACACAGATGAGCACATATATATACACCTTCGGAGAGGGCCAAGATCTTTGTCCCTCATCTACCTGTTGCCCCGAACCCGAAACCCGAAATCCAGGCCCAAAGTCACTGTCATCTTGCATTGTTCCCAGCCTCGCAGACTTCCCTCCACTTTACTTCACTTCTCGGGTCAGCGGTTACATAAGATTCGGCCGGGTCTTCTTCTGGCTCTTCGTCTCCATTTCGGGCTGACCAGCGGGCTAATTAATGTCATCAGCACCTTGGTTCCCCATTTCGGATTTCGTGTAATTAGCCGGAGGTCAGGGACCGCATAAACGCTCCTGGTCATCATCATTATTGCCATCATCATGATGAATCACGCGTCCAATTTGGGGGTCCAAAGTTTGGTTCTTCTTTGCTTTACTTTATGGAGTGGGGCCCAACGACGATGGCTAGCCACTTTTTTGGTAATCCTATTTAATGATGTTTCTGCGATTACGCATGCGATGTCCGCAGTTGAAACCGTTACCGTTTTCGCTCTTTCGGTTACGCATTGCGATTCCAATTGCGTTCGGAATTCACAGATATATGTTATAGTATGTGGGTTCATTCACCTGCTGTGAACTTGGATTGAAGACCCAAAAGTACTTATCAAAAGTCTAAAGATATCACTGAATTTATTTATATAACCTTTTGAAAGACACTATCATGGAATATGAACGACATCCTTGGTTACCCTTACAGGCCAACGCATCACGACGATCCACCTGGATGGAGTGCAGTACTTCATCAGCCGGATGAACCCCTACTCCCCGGAACTGAACTACTTCCTGGCCTACCAGTACTGCCGCTCCCTGGGCCTGCAGCTGGCCTCCTTTGAGACGAAGGAGAAGGCCGAGTCGATGACCACGTATCTGAAGAACGCCGGTTACGGCAACTACGATTTCTGGACCTCCGGCAATCGCCTGGGCACGGGCATGTTCCTATGGATGAGCACTGGTCTGCCGTTCAACGCCACCTTCGACTTCTTCGAGAACTCGGCGGACGCCATCCAGGCCGGTCTGCTCGATCCCGTCGACCATAATAGCAACACCTCTCCCCAGCGCACCGCTCGCGACAGGTAAGTAGTCCCAAAACAATATCAATTGGTAGAACTCTTGCTCTGTGCTACCTCATCAAATACCATGCTACATACTACATCGATATCCTTTCCGTTTGCTTGCTCCAATCTACAGCAGCAGTGGCGCCGAGAAGGGATGCGTGATCCTGAAGCAGCCCACTCTGAAGTGGATGCCCGAGGACTGCTCGGCCGTGAAGGACTTCATCTGCGAGCAGACCCGCTGCTACTACTACAACTACGGCAGCATCCCCGTCTCGTCGGCGCAGGGGTAAGGACACTTGACCGCGGAGCCACTCCACACAAGTCCAAAACTCCACACTACCACTACCACACGCAAAATCGAACAGATATTAAGGGCACTGATTGGAGGAGGAGCTAAGAATATTGATAATGCAATAAACAAATTATGATATAATTACGTTAATTAATTCGCTATACGAGCCGCCCGCCAGTGGCAATTAAACAAATGTCCCTAATTAAGTAAACGAAAACAAAACCACATATTTATACCAGATAAAAAGCTAAACTAAAAAAACCCAATCCAGATCAAGAGATTACGCGAGGATATCGTAATTAAACACAAGTTACTTTAGTTGACCACAAAAACACAGACACACACACACACACAATCTCAAGCAAATACACGCACACACACATTGACAGAGTGCGAATCCGCTTTCGATTCTCAAAACAGAATTTGCAAAAAGAATGAACAAATAGGTGAGCTAAACCCCAAATCGTAACCAATCTACCATAACTACACACACAATCTATATGCATACGTAAATCTAAAGACTAATGCGACTTCTTACTAACGCCACTCCAAGTTTCAAAAGCCAAGTTTCGAAAGAAAACAATTGGTTTGCCCATTTTCTCTAAGATCTACGAAAATCAACAAAAAGAACACTATTTTGTAGACGCCAATGGGATGACTCAAGCTGAGAAAGTTAATGCAATCCTTGATGATTACATAAAACCAAAATATATATTATGTTTTTTAAAAACATTTTTCCAAGAGCCTATATAAGGTATCCGTATCTGTTCTAATCGCTTTTATAGTAGGATTTCGATTGCATTGACTTCTATGATCCATCCCAAATGAGCGCCAAAAATGTATTTTGTTTGGTGGTTTGGGGCTTAGCTTCCTTAGATGTTGTATCGCTCTCGTTGTTGCTGTCGTTGTCGTTGATGAATGATGTTGTCATGATGAATTGTGCTCAACTAACTAACTTTAGCATAAGCAACTTTCGCACTAACCTCGCCCCCGAACCGCCCAGAGATCAGAACGCCTTGAACTCAACAATTTTGTTATTTTCTCTGTTAATCTCCTGCCGAACAGACGTCCCATCACCTCCACGACTCCACGGACTCCTGCCTCGCTGATGGACCTGCACGTGGCCGCCACCACCACTCCGCTGCCCCTGCTGATGTCCACCAGTGGAGCCATGTACACCGCCGCCAAGGCCAAGTCCTCGCCAGCTGGGGGTCAAAGGTTGATCGACGATTCCAGCTCACAGCAGCCGTCCTTCATGTCCTTCAAGCTCAACCACGACCGCTCGCTGCCCGACACGGACTCCACCGACGTGGATGTGGACGACCAGGAGACGGACGTGGAGACCGAGGAGCACGATGACCACGAGGCGGAGGGCGAGGGCTACGAGGAGCACGACGGCGACAACTTCGGAGAGCATGCCCGCGAACTGGGCAACGACAGCACCGACGGCGACATCAAGGAGCACGTGTTCCCCCTGAGCGACAACGAGCTCCACCCCGAGATGCACTCGATTGAGGAGGTGCAGCAGCAGTTGCAGCACCAGGATCAGGACGCGGACGCGGATGCGGAGGCGGCACCAGCCGTTCCGGCGGCGGAGGAGAACGAGGGTTCCCAGCACGATTCGGAGGCGGATGGCGAGCACGAACTGGAGGCCGAGGGCGAGACCGAGTCGGAGAACGAGTCCCAGGCGGCTCCCGTTCAGGCCAACGAACCAGTGATCCTGCCCAGCTCGACGGAGTCGCCGGCTGCCGCCATCGAAGAGCGCATCAAGCAGATCGCCCAGGACTTCCAGAAGATGACCAGCTCCCAGGAGCTGCAGCCCAAGGAGGAGCTGACCCCGCAGTCCTCGCTGTCCCTGAACGACCTGATACGCACCCTGCGACCCAACGAGCAGCAGATCATCCCGCAGATCGACTCCGACTACTCGAACGCCATGCGTGTCCTGGGCAAGCCGCTGGTGGCCAGCAACTAGGCGTGTCCCTGCCGGACGCCTCTAGCCTAAGACGTGTGTGTGTGTGTCCGTGTCCGTGTCTGTGTCTGTGTTTTTGGGTCGGGGGCTCATCCCACCGGGCATCCCGCGTTCCACTGAGGAATGGACATTTTCGAGGGCCGGCCGGACATGTCCGAAAATGACGCTTCTCTCTGAGGACCTCGATGCCAGATGACACCGGATGACCCCGCTGAAACTAACGATCCAGCAAGAGATTACAGGAGCTAAGACATTAATCTATATATTAATATATATGTATTGTATGCTTTAATTGTATGACAAACACCACAAGAAAAGGAAACTCTTGATTAATAAACGTATTAAGTAAAAAGCTCGTTGGTTTTGATGGCGGAACTCTGGGAGAATCAAGACAAACTAGTTGTTATTTTATGGTTTTCTATGTTTAGATAAACCACTGAAATGCTTGTGTTCCTGTGGATAAACTAGATTCAGAGAACTGCGAGATGACAATCTTGCTGGCAAAGTTTAATGCACTATAAAGCCAAAGATTAGGCATTAATGAAAGATCCCGGGGCACTTAAGATTCCCAAAAGCGATGCTCCATAAACCGCCATCATTAGATTTCATTCGTTGAGCCGTAAACTCTTCAATAATAGAATATAATCCTAATAACCAATAGCATCTCGAAGATGTATCTCATAACGGCTCGCCTTGACCATGGCCAAAACGCAAATCATAAACCAGTCTGGGGGATTTATTTGGCTTAGTCGAAACGAAGATGAAAGCCAATAATCGTAAATTAACTGCTAAGGCTCTAAAAAAAAGCTGAAGTGTGTGTGCCGTGTGGAATTTTATTGCATTCGCTCTCCAAAAGCCAGGGGCCGAAGAATAAATATAAATTCCTCGGTGGGCTTACATCACGCTGCCCGTGTCCATGTCCGTGTCTGCATTCAAATCTGCAAATCATCTTTCTTAATTTAAAGAGGATTCCGAGACGAAGACGAAGACGCAGACGCATCACATCAAGTTTTATGTGTGTCGGTGTCGTTCAACAATTGGATGAAGATGAAGATGGAGTTGCGACTTCAGCGGTGGCTTTGGCTTTGGCTTTGGCCACAGCTCGCATTAACCAGAAGATCCGAAAAGGGACCCCTGAAGAGAAAAAAGGAACCCGCCCCCCACTGCCCACCTGCCGCTCCATCGTGGTCTTCATCTTCATCTTCATCTTGAGCTCCACCTTCGCGCATGCGCAGACGACTGACTTCGTTTGAAGTTCTGTTGACTGATGTTGTTGCTGTTCTCCGTTTGGTTGTTGTTTCTGTTGCTGTTGCTGTTGCTCTTGCTGCTGCTGCTGCTGCTGCTCAAAGTGGTTAATGAAAGAAGCACACAGAACCAAAAACATATATAGACGTACGTACATATATGGTATGTGGCAGCAGCAGATGCCAAGACAACCTTGAAATGTATAGCAGGGTCCAACGAACGAATATAAAAAAGGTTCTTGGGTTCTTTGGTTCTTCGGTTCTTGGATTCTTGACTTTTTTTAGCCTCCGCTCTCCAAGACACCAAGAATACCCGAGAACAGTAAGTAACTGCTAACTGGGAATGCCCCGATTCGTATGAATCTCTGGGGGAATCGACAGCTCCAGAAAGCAAAAGTGCCCGATGCGAGGGTTTTATTTTTAAACAGCCAGACTTTCGAGTGCACAAATGACTTAACCGGAAGTGCAGGAAGTGTTTGCTGGAGAAAGTACCCACTTGGAGGGAATATATAAGGGAATCTGGATGGAGTACCAACATCAGTGCAAGCCAAACAGTCGCCTTGAGAACCAAATCCCCACCAAGCACACAATGAAAGTAATCCTGCTCCTGACTTTCCTGGCCACTCTGGCTCTTTCCCTAGCTTTTCCCCAGGTGGGACATGGTTCTCCTAACGGACCCAGCGGGGTAAGTACCAAATTAAACGAGTTATTAAATAAATTGTAATAAGCATAAACTCTAAAATTTTCAGCGTTTTCCTATGACCAAGAATTGGGCATCTCCTCCGGTGGATCTGAGAAAACCTATTATTTTCCTGCCAGAAGCCACGCCCATTCATGAAGCCCAGGAATCACGACCCAGACAAAGCAGACATCGCAAGAGTGGATAGATTTTGGGGAATATAAAGATATAATTTATTATAAACCTTTAAAATAGTTTACTCTTTATGCTAATTTTATAAAGTTATATTGTTGTTGAAATATATTATGTTCAGAAATTCAGATAACATATTTTCTAAAGGCATGTTGGGATTTATCCTTAGAAAGGGCTAAACATTATTCACTCTAAGTATCTAATGTACATTAAGTTACATTCTTTAGTTTGTTTTAATGGCTAAAAAAGTAAATTCATTCGATTTTAATTATTTAACAACTCAGTATTTTAACCATATGTTGCGCTTGGGCCTCTGTCAACCATAAATATGATGTGTCCCTGTAAATATTCATAACTTGTTTTGACATAATTAAGTCACATTTACCTAATTTAGATAACAAACTTGTTTTCCCAGACTGATGTGGGGATTCCCTAAGGGAATCCAAACCAGAATATATTAGATGTATTTACATTTTAAACTCTTCTTCGGATCGGAGAGGTTTCTTAATAGAAGACAGCTACTGTTTTTTGATTATATATTCCTAATTTGGCCACAAAAAGTGTTGATTGGGTGCGATTAAAATGTTAGTATGTAAATTAATATTAATATGCATGCAAAGAATAGTTTGTTGGGGTTCTAATCAATTAATGGGGTAGGCATTACGCCACATTTGATTAGTCACGACGCAGATGCAAATTAGTGGGCTCTAAAGGGCAGCCTCGAAACAAATTGGCCTAAGTCCATCACAAATGAAAGGTTGGTCGAGTTCTTGATTCATGATCGATCCGATCTGATTGATAAAGATCCTGTTTTAACGTCGCTTTGATTAAGTGGAAACGGAACTTAAGCGTGTTTGCCTTTAAGTTTAATTTTGCCCCTGCCGTGTTACTTAACTTACTCGAATTTATGAACGTTATGAACGGGTTTCGAGTGGGTTCCGGTTTTTCCTGAACAAAATGATACGTTATCACTGAGTGACTCGAAAAGGGATTAAAAGTGCTAATTGAAAACGAGAATCCACGCGACAACATTGCAGTGCACCGAGATAGAAACGCCGAAATGCGTAATCACTGCTGACAAAGATCCAAATAATCAGGATTTATGATCGTGTTATTATTGGCTCATCTGCCCCAAACTAGATTTACTTAAAATCGGTTTCAGTATTCTGCTATATTCCCATATTCAGTGCCTTCTTACAGAGCGCTAATGAAGCAAGACGAGTTCCCAAACCACTCCGGTGAATATTAGCAGTTCGCACACAACAAAACAGTTATGGCACATATAATCAACGCGTTTCGTTTCGATCTCCGTATAATTCCGAGCCACTGGACTTGGGATTTATGGATCTGATTGGATCGGGTGGGGGCGAGGTTGGCCAGTTTGTAGCCCGAAAGCCACTACTCTAATAGCTATATAAGCTCCGTCCGCCGATCGAGCCAAAAACATTTGTGTGGACTGTCCGAGCGCGTAAGGTTAGTGTCTATTGGGAAGTAAAAACTAGCGATGATCCGATCGAAAACCGGCACGTAGATATATATAGTACTCAAGTGCATCGGTTGATAAGCATCAGCGGCAATCAAGAATAATTATTTGATTGCCTACGTTAATCCCGGGAAACCAGTTGCAACCGCTTTGTCTAAGCCATTAAGCAATCGATTCTTTCCCAGATCAGAATGAAGCTTCTGTTTGTTCTTCCGCTTCTGGTGGCTGCCGTTTCTGGCCAGGGATTGTTCGGCGGAGGAGGTGGATTCGGAGGAGCATTCGGAGGAGGACTCGGAGGCGGGCTTGGCAACAATCGCTTCGCTGGAGCTATTCAAAACGCAGCAGGCACTCTTCAGAATGCTGCCAGCAACTTTGCCAGTAGTGTGCCCAAGGTGCCACTTCTGTCGAACGTCCAGAACTTTGGTGACTTCCTGGTGAGCTTTGAAGGATTGGTTACCGCAGGTTTCGGATTACAATAACAACCCGTTTACAGGCGCAATCCGGAAAGACCTACCTCAACGCCGCCGATCAGGCTCTGCACGAGGGTGCCTTCGCATCCACCAAGAACTTGGTGGAGGCTGGAAACGCCGCCTTCGCCCAAGGAGTCGCCACCTTCAAGCAGGCCGTGAATGCCTTCGCCGACTTGACCCACGCCGAGTTCCTGAAGCAGTTGACCGGTCTGAAGAGGGACCCCGCTGCTAAGTAAGTTCCTTCTTTTTGAATCCTTTCTTTATTAGATTTACTCGATAGAGGAAATCGATAATGGTACTTGATTTCAAATTTTATAAATAAGATTAAAGGGTTGTAAAGTTGCCATTTTTAATTGTTATGCAACTTACTTTTTTTTCGTTCCAGAGCCCGTGCTGCCGCCAGTTTGAAGGAGGTCAGCCTGCCCGATCAGCCCGTTCCGGATTCCTTTGACTGGCGCGAGCACGGAGGTGTCACTCCTGTTAAGTTCCAGGGCACTTGTGGATCCTGCTGGGCCTTCGCCACCACGGGAGCCATCGAAGGTCACACCTTCCGCAAGACAGGCAGCTTGCCAGTTCTCTCCGAGCAGAATCTGGTCGATTGTGGCCCAGTTGAGGACTTTGGCCTGAATGGCTGCGACGGTGGTTTCCAGGAGGCCGCCTTCTGCTTCATCGATGAAGTGCAGAAGGGCGTCTCCCAGGCTGGAGGCTATCCCTACATCGACAACAAGGGCACGTGCAGCTACGATGGCAGCCAGTCGGGAGCCGTCCTTAAGGGATTCGCCGCCATTCCGCCCAAGGATGAGGAGCAAATGAAGAAGGTGGTGGCCACCTTGGGCCCTTTGGCCTGCTCTCTGAATGGCCTGGAGACGTTGAAGAACTACGCCGGCGGCATCTACAACGACGATGAGTGCAACAAGGACGAGCCGAACCACTCTGTTCTGGTCGTGGGTTACGGATCGGAGAACGGACAGGATTACTGGATCATCAAGAATTCGTGGGACGACACCTGGGGCGAGAAGGGATATTTCCGCCTGCCGCGCGGAAAGAACTACTGTTTCATCGCCGACGAGTGCTCCTATCCTGTGGTTTAAGATTAATGTCAGAGAAATGTTACTAATATGACAGCAACTTTCGTGGAGATGTTGCTAATGTTATTAAGTAAAATTTAATAAAATCTTTTCTGTTAATAAATTAAGCGGTTCACGGACTCGAGCAGCAAAAAACAAACAAGTTATCATGATTAACGATGTTTTAATTAATTTTTAGCTTGACATTGTGCTAATTTCAGTGATAATTAAAATACAGGTATTTTTTTATGGTACAAATCGAAACTAGTATCAAGCCGTTGCTAATTTCTACATATAAACCCAGAACAGCCTTACCTGCTCTAAATTTAAGCTTGGGTATATGTATTATTAAACTTTTTTTGAATATTTTTAATTTAACGGAAATAATTTCAAATAAGAATCCTCGCGGTAAAAATCGGACTCCTGCTATATGGTTACACTAAACAAGGGATTTAAGGGTCACACTTAAATGGGAATTTCTATGGTCACACGGCATCAGCTCCAACAACAATAATAGAAATAAATTAAATCAATTGGGCGAATTAAACTATTTTAGTCGCTGCGTGACTGGAGGGAACTTGATGAGAAGCAGGAGGGGATTGCCGTGACGAATGGCGGCAGTGCGTCCCATGGAAGGCCAACGCGCAAACGTGTTCCTGCAGGTGTGTCCGCTTCGGCCGCGACGTTCTGATCAGAAGAGACCAGCCCACTTTTGGGAAAGTGGGCGTTGACACCAGCGAACCGCGAATCCAAAGCGCCGGATCACATCACCTTTCCCCTGTGTGCCCCAATGTGTGTGCTAATCGAGGTTTCCCCTTGACCCTTCCATTCCAGAAATGTACGCGATAGAGCATGTGCATTGCGACTAATCCAAAGAGTCCCCCTGTGGTCATAACGCAACAATAACCAACCCAGAGCAATCCCAGGAAAGGTCCTACTCACCAGAGATTCCGAATCCCACCACCCACCCTTAACCATGGACGAAGACATCCTGAACGCTGTGGAGTCCCTTTTCGGCAAGGATGTAAAGATTGTTGACTGCGAAACATCCTCGTCGCTGCAGCAGGAGGAGGTCCTGCTGGTCAACGGAGTGCCCGTCAAGTTGGATGGCCTGCCGGCGGACGATGCGAGTGCCATCAAGGCTGCTTTGCTGGACGGTCAAATGCCCTCAGTGGAGCACCTTAACCAGCTGCTGTTCCGCGCCGGATTAGCACAACAGCCCATCGAGGTGGAGACTTCGTTGACCGTTAAATCGTCACTCACCACTACGGAGGAGGTGCTGGTTTCCCGCAACGGGCAGATTCTGGACGAGCGCACCGTGGAGACAAAGGAGAACTTTAATCATCAGTCTCACCAGAAGGAAATATGGCACCCTGTCAAACAACATACGGCACTGGCACGTGCCACTCCAGAAAATGCCCTCAAATACCGAACCACTTCGAATTCCACATTCGCCTCGCAGGCCTCGGACTCGGACGGTCGCCCGGCTGATCCCTTGGGCCGCCAGCTGAACCAAACCTTCTCGAATGCATCTCTTATGTCCAGCAGCTCGGCCATCACTGGATCCGACCAGGTCATCGGATCCGTTTCATCCACAACAATTGGGGACAAGAGCTCGAATATAAGCAGTTGCGACTCCGGACATGATGGCCTTTTCCACAGCGTGTCCATGAGTGCGCCCTGGTCGCATCCTCGCGATACTCTGACAGACTCCATGTACTGCGACATTCCCAGCTCCGCAGACGAGGCAGATGCGGTGTCTATCCTGGTAGGTCCTAAAGTTGTACCATATACCTGATTAACAAATTCCTTCCTGCTTTAGAACACCCAATTGCAGATCACAGAGCCATCCGATTGCCAAACACCGCCAGTTTACGCCAAAGACATGCCCAAGGAGGGCAGCCTGGACTCGCTAGTCAGCCTGCTAATCAGTGGAAATGAGGAGGATGTGGAGTTTGCCTTTTTCACATCGGCCCGTTTGTTTTCTCCACCTCATGAGCTGCTTTCCAAAATCATTGCCAAGTGCCAGGGCAAGGAGGAAATTCTACTCCGTCTGCTTAACCACTGGCTCAAAGTCTGTCCAGGCGACTTTTGCCTTGAAATAGTGCTCCAAAAGCTGGAAAAGAAGCGGGAAGTCAAGGGAATGGCTGCTTTTTTGGAAGGCGTTCCGCAATCCCTGGCTCTAAGGGCCGAAAAGGGAAGAAGTCAATTACAGTATTTGGTGATCAAGCAATCTTCTGCCAGCTCCTTGGGACGTCAGAGCAGTATTAAGTCTCTTAAACGGTTTGCAGCCAATGTGTACAAAACGGACAATGTGCTAAACAATTGCAGCAGTGCCTTTGAGTTGGCACACCAACTGTATGCCATTGAGTACGCATATCTGTCACAAATACGCCTTGAAGAGTTTGTGGAAATGCTAGAAAAGGATGAGCTAAAGTCCTGCATGACTCAAACCAAGGCTGGCACCTTGGGTTCAAATCGCTCTATCCAGGTGACAATTGACAGCTATGTGCAATGGTTTAACCACCTGAGCTTCTTCACTGCCACGGAAATTCTTAAGGTAAGAGATTGTGATATAAAATGTATTTACTAATGAACTAATAATTTTTCCCTCCAGCTGGGCAAAAAGTCTCAGAGAGCACAAATGATTGACTTCTGGGTAGAAACAGCTCTGGAATGTTTCAACACAGGCAACTTTAACAGCTTGATGGCCATTCTTACTGCATTAAACATAACTGCCATAGCACGCCTAAAGAAAACGGTGGGTTTTTTTTTTACTTTGACGTGAAAACATTTTTTCAACAAATATTTGTAGTGGTCAAAAGTGCAGACGACTAAGTTCGAGGGCTTGGAGCATCAAATGGACCCCAGTTCAAACTTTCTTAACTACCGATCCACCATGAAGGCAGCTGTTTGGCGTTCGGAAAGGGAAATGGCGAACAAAATAGAGCGCGCCATAATTCCCTTCTTTTCGCTGTTTCTCAAGGATTTGCATGCCATCAACGAGAGCCACCAAACAAAGTGAGTTTGATTTTGTTAATGGTTAACTAAGACTAGAAAATTACCAAAACCCCTTGCAGATTGGCCAACGGCAACCTTAACTTTGAGAAGTGCCTACTTTTGGGCACCCAACTGAGAAACTTCAGCAAGTGGCAACGACTGGAGTGTCCCTATGAGCAGCTGGCGAATGTGGTATCTTATCTTCTTAAGGCGGAGGTGCTAACGGAGGATCTTCTCATGAAGGCCTCTTACGAGTGCGAACCGCCTGAAAACGGCGAGGAAAAGGATCACTACAAAACTTTGAAGGCGGGGAAGAAACCGAACACATAATCACCAATCATTAACGACAATCCTCGGGATAGTGCAACATAACATACAAAAGCATATAAAAAAACAATGCAATAAGCCTCGCACACTTTCGTTGGCGTTCCATAATCACATTTTGCATTTGTATCGCGTTAAAACAGTAACAATAATAATTCTTACACTTCCATTGTGTTTGTTAATTTGTACTTAAGCTTAGACGACGATATATATTTATTTGCAACCGATTTATATATACAAGTGACGGGCATTTAATTAGAAACACCAAAAATATGCATACAATTACTAAAGTAATGTTTTAAATGTTGTATTTTAGCAGTTAAATACCCCCCGAAAATACACAAAAATAAAAGACTTCGAATAAGCCCGTGTATTTTCTATCGAATTGTGGCGAACTTCTGAAAATCAACGGTTCCAAACTTCCCGAACAGCTCCAGAGGATAATGCTTACCCTCGACGGGCGCATGGATGCGGATTTGACGCATGTGGGTGTCCCGCCCGTTCTGATGGTTAGAGATCACAGCGATCTGCAGCATGAAGGTGCGAATGGACTTGACGTTCCCATCCTTAATGGGTATCTGCACCCAGCCGGTGGGCTCGGTGAGGTCCATTACCTGCAGCTCCTGCAAATCGTTAAAGTTGGTACCGGAACGGATGGAGATCCTGGATGGAGTGTAACTTTCGTCCAGTTTGTAGTCCGTGTATATGTAAATTTGGCTTATGTTGGTGCGCTTATGAAACTGAATGTTGACCAAGTGGGGCAGCTGTCCATCTGACTGCCAGTAGGTGTCCATAATGTTATCTCGCAGACGTTCCACGCCGAAACCTGCAAACCAGGGACTAACATTAAGTTTTGTGGAGGATTAGGACAGCAAAAATTACCCGGCTTGCAGGAGGACAGGCTCCAAACAGCCTGAGCGCCCACTTCCCGCACAAACCCAAGGCGCTCCTCAGCCAAAGGATCTTCTTCATTGCTGGGAAGCGGATTGGCAGTGATATCCAAGTCCATTGATGCCGCCATTGGTAAATAAAATAAAGCCTCTTCCTAAAATTAATAATAATAAAAACTGCTTGCTGCACTGCTTAAAGACGCACAAATCAGCTGTCAGCTTAGTCGGTTCACCACTATTTTATGCTTTGGTCACACTGCTCGGCCCATGTGCGATATAGTCAACAGATTTTTTAAAATAAACAAAAATGGTTCGGAAACTTAAATTTCACGAGCAGAAGCTGCTTAAAAAGGTAGACTTTATCACCTGGAAGGTAGACAACAGCGCTAAGGAGAACAAGATTCTTAGACGTTTTCACATACAAAAAAGAGAGGACTACACCAAGTGAGTGAACATCATGAACTAAAAAATTCAACAAAAATAAAACATTTAAAACAATTTTTAGGTACAACAAGTTGTCCAGGGAGATACGGGAACTTGCCGAAAAGATTGCGAAGTTGGAACCCTCAGAGCCCTTCAAGGCGGAGGCCACTACCATGCTGCTAAATAAGTTGCACGCCATGGGAGTTTCCAACGATCAGCTAACTTTGCAAACGGCGGCCAAAATATCTGCCAGTCACTTCTGCCGGCGCCGCCTGCCAGTAATCATGGTTAAACGTAGGTGTTATTTTATGAAGTATTAAGGTGTTCTTTTACCTAAATTCTCCCGTTGTAGTGCGTATGTCAGAGCACCTGAAAGCCGCCACAGACCTCATTGAACACGGGCACGTCCGTGTGGGTCCAGAAATGATCAAGGATCCCGCCTTCTTAGTATCCAGAAACCTCGAAGACTTCGTCACTTGGGTGGATGGCTCCAAGATCAAAGAGCATGTTCTCCGCTACAATGATCTTCGCGATGATTTCCAGATGTAGATTATATTTTCATTACCTCCTTTTGTAGAATAAGAACACTACTTTAACTTTAATTCAATAAAACCAACAGCAAATTTGTTAAATAATCATGTTCAATAACTTTATTACATTTTATATAATAATGTTTAGATCTCATTAATATTCATTATTACGGACCAAATTGCGCCAAGGGCACAACTGCGTCGACTTGCACGAACATATACATACAGTGGCTCGCAGCTTATTTCGTGCAGTTACCTAAAAAAAGTTCAAATCGTTATTCCTGCTAAACTAAAAAAGATAACTGAAAAATTTAAACGCAGTATTTTAATATGGAATATTAACTTATTTATTGAACGAAAGCGATTTTCTTAATCATAAAAACAAAAAAATTATTTAATAAAAACAAAATGTACAGGGTTTTCGATGCCGCAGCTTATTTCGTGCAGCAGATTCTACTTAACTTATTATTAGTAATTTAACAGATACGGTTTTGTATGTCCATTTTTCTGGTTCAGGACATCTTTGAGATGATTTCCCATGGAGCAAAATAACTTTTTAGTGGTTTCCAGTGGAATTTTTTGCCATTCTTCCATAAGAACAGTTTTCAGGTCGTTTTTGTTCGAAATCTTCCTCTTCCTTATAGCGATGTCCAATATTTCCCAAAAATTTTCGATCTCATTTAAATCTGGAGACTGTGCTGGCGTTATAACGACATGTGGGCAGTTCCAGGTAACCCAAGACTTCACAATTCCTGCTGAATGCTTCGGATCGTTGTCCTGGTAAAATCGAAAACGATCGCGTTTGCCCAGTTTTTTAGCAGTTTGCAGTAGGTTATCCTCTAAAATGTTGAGGTACATTGTGGCGTCCTTGATGCCATCCATGAAAATGACTTTGCCCATGCCAGAGGCTGCCTTACAGGCCCAAACCATGGCCTGACCAGCGCCATGTTTGACCGTAGATTTCAGGTGCTTATTTTCAAACTCTGTATTTGGTCGCCGCCACACAAATTGTCGTCCATCTGAACCAAAAATGTTACATTTTGACTCGTCAGCAAAAATGAAGTCATCCCAGATCAAAATTAGTGAAAGTATGTGCTCCTGTGACCAAATACAGAGTTTGAAAATAAGCACCTGAAATCTACGGTCAAACATGGCGCTGGTCAGGCCATGGTTTGGGCCTGTAAGGCAGCCTCTGGCATGGGCAAAGTCATTTTCATGGATGGCATCAAGGACGCCACAATGTACCTCAACATTTTAGAGGATAACCTACTGCAAACTGCTAAAAAACTGGGCAAACGCGATCGTTTTCGATTTTACCAGGACAACGATCCGAAGCATTCAGCAGGAATTGTGAAGTCTTGGGTTACCTGGAACTGCCCACATGTCGTTATAACGCCAGCACAGTCTCCAGATTTAAATGAGATCGAAAATTTTTGGGAAATATTGGACATCGCTATAAGGAAGAGGAAGATTTCGAACAAAAACGACCTGAAAACTGTTCTTATGGAAGAATGGCAAAAATTCCACTGGAAACCACTAAAAAGTTATTTTGCTCCATGGGAAATCATCTCAAAGATGTCCTGAACCAGAAAAATGGACATACAAAACCGTATCTGTTAAATTACTAATAATAAGTTAAGTAGAATCTGCTGCACGAAATAAGCTGCGGCATCGAAAAACCCTGTACATTTTGTTTTTATTAAATAATTTTTTTGTTTTTATGATTAAGAAAATCGCTTTCGTTCAATAAATAAGTTAATATTCCATATTAAAATACTGCGTTTAAATTTTTCAGTTATCTTTTTTAGTTTAGCAGGAATAACGATTTGAACTTTTTTTAGGTAACTGCACGAAATAAGCTGCGAGCCACTGTAATTATTTTAACCTGATCCCCCGAATTACAGATCTGCTCGGAATCTATTGTAATGGCGGTTCATAGTTGGATTATGATCTATTAGTTTTTACCCTCACTTCGCTAGCTAACGTCAATCGTTAAAATACAATGCGGCGTGTTAAAGTAATATCATTTTTTGGAAACAAGAGAGCCAGCGGATGTACACAATAAATTATAGAATACCAGCGTGGATTGATCGATCGCTTTATTTATAAAACAGGATGAGTGCGGTTAGGGTTTAAGGTGCAGGCAGGTGCATCAAACGGTTGAGCGGTCTAAAAAGTGTTTTTCAACAGAGCTAAAAGTAAGTGATGGCAGTTACACAAGTCAATTCCAGCCAGCCTCAACTTAAGAAGCAAATGCATTCGAAATGGTTCTAATCGTTAGAAGTGCAATACAATTTGTGAAGTTTTTAGAGTCTGACTGCTCGTCGTGCATCTGACTTTGCAAAAAGGAATCTAAAAGAGCAATGGATTTCCGTTTCAGCAGTCAAAAGTCTTTTTCTTGTTGTATAGATATAGTTATCTTTAAATATTAGTTGTATTATTCCTTTTTAAATACGCATAAAAAGTAAATATTAATTAGTGTTAAAATAAATAGCTAGTGGCATTAAAATTAGTGTCGACTTTGGCTGCGGCCCATACACGATTTCATTTCCGCCTGCCCAAGGCCATGAAAAATTTCACATGAATAACTTCATAACAATATAAAACAAATTAATAAAAGGGATTTTCTACATTTGTTCCTCATTCTTGATTAGCGGAGCTCACAATTTGCAAACAAAATACAATCATTCAAAATTCCATTCCATTCATTTGGCTTTCGAGTGTGCTCTGCTCAGTGGTTTTGTTTCTATTTGTTATCTGTTTTTCGTTTACATTTAGATGGTTCTCCTACTGTTTCAGGCTTGCGTGAACAATAAATTCTTAGGCTGGATATATGCATTTATATTCAAAATAAATATTCAATCGCATTGTATTAATCACTACAATATTTTTCGTAAATTCCGATTTCTTGTTCTTCAAACATGTGCAAATAGTAATTAGCCGTATATGCCCCGATGAACACCAAAACCCCGCGACCTACAGAAAAACGTTCGGTATATGTTTTGTTATGTTTCCATAGATGTCTTAATGCGCAAACGTGTAGAATAGTGTTGTTTCGACCAGAACCGCGCCAAGCGCCCGTTGGCCCAACTGCTCCACTGCTGCCTTCTACTCCTCGCATCCTTTCGATGCCTTTCGAAATACCCTGACTGCCGCTTAGATTACGAGCGCCATGTCCTTTTTGCTTGGCAACTGCACGCGTTTGCCCTGCCACAATGAGTTGTGTATTGTGAAGGCGTCAATGGTCACCGTCAGATGTTTTGTGTGCACTTGCGAGAAGCACTTGCCTCCTGAGTTGTATCTGCAAGGATTGAACGGAATTTAGTTAACTAGATCAGAGGAGGAAGTGTCCATTAGCCGCTCACTTGAAGAACTTGTCGAACATGACTTCGTCGACTTGACTAGGCCCTGTGCCGTACAGCTTGGTCACCTGGTCCGTTTCGGGCTGGTAGCTGTAGAGGGCGCGGAACTGGCAGCCCGCATCGCGGAAGAGTACCAGGAAGTGCTTCGCCTCTGATCGCGCGATCTTCTCCAGTACTTTCTGTTTGGCCTCGCGGTTGACAACGCCGGGGAAAACACAGTACTCGACGGCGTTCAGGATGATCCCACGATTCGATTTGGCCGCTGGTTGTTTATAGAGTTTGGGACCTGTGAACGCAAGTCGGTTAGAGTTAGCAAACGCGGAAGGGATGTTTGGGATTTTGTGGATATTTTCTACATTCTGGTGGCAATGGCAAGCTTCTAGATCACAAACTCTGCTATTATTTTTATCAATATGCAGGCTACGTGCACTATTAAATGCTTAACTATGGGTGAATCTACGGGATTCACTGATTAAATACTTGGGAACAAAAAGTAAAAATATACAAGTTAATATTTTTAAAGTTCCTGAAAATAATAATTTGTAATTGTAATGTGAAATTTTAATTCAGCCTGGCTTAACTTCCTTGTACGCATTACTTAGTTTTTAGTTCATAAGCAAAACATTTAAAAAACAAATAAAAACTTAACTAGTGCTTGCAATTTGGCGTTTGTTTCTCAAATTGATGCGGTTGGTTAATTGGGATTAGAAAGCTCTTGTGGTGTTTTTAAATCACTAGAACACATTTTGGGGTTTCATTTGACCATCGAAAGTCGTGGATTTGACGACGCTAGGGAACGTAACAAGTGGAAGAACGAAGAATCGGATTCTACAGACTGTCGCAGCCCTCTAGAACTTGTTTATCTATGTAGAACTCATATGTATGTCGAATAAATAATATAGTATGCAGTCTGCACAAAAGATGCCAATTCGTAATGAATGAACGAACAGAACAAAATCAGAATGAAAACTTTCAAATCATAATGAGGCGTTCCAACTTAAGTAGTACAGATGCAGGTGGATGACCAATGGAGTATGGATTGGTGGAAGGTGAATATATAACTGAGGGTCGATTTTGAAGTATTTGATATGGCATGTATGGTTTGGTTTTTGTTTGTTGGTTTTTTTTTTTTTTTGAAGACGAGAGAGAAAGAGAGATACAAACCCGAATATTCCATGTTCAAATTCGGAGTTAATGAGAAATCGCTGGATCCATCATCAAATCCGCGACGTTTCGATATCAAACCTGGCGGCAAAGAGCCCGGTCCGGAGGGAGATGGCAAATGCCTACCTGAAGCGCCCATTCCCATTCCAGGCGACGGAGCACGCCTCGGCGGAGTGGCGCGTCCCAGTCCCGAATCTGTGTCTAACCGGCAAGCAAGAGATCAGGGTGGAATCCGTGTCAGTCGAGGCATTCAGCGGGCGGTCACATGCGTTAACAAGACAAATCAGATCAGATCAGGTCAGATCGGATCGGATCCGACCGGAACAACGGGATCACCCAAGTCCATGCAGGTGGAACCAGTCGATGGATGCGTTACGATGCAGTTGTGTTAGTCACCAGTCACGAGGATGGATGGCGAGCGATGAGTTCGTTTGTTTTTTTTTCGGTTAATATTCGATTGTATTTTTTTTTTTGGTTTGGTTGGTTAATTTCAAGAATCGTTTTTAGACAGGATTGAGTTGAAAGAAAGAGAAATAAAAGAAGAGAATGTGTGCACAAAATTTAGTTAAGCAATTTCGTAGATCTCTTAATAGCTAGTTGATCATGATCTGGACTAAAATCGAACAAATGTACTGATTAGTGTTTGCGGTGCAGATGTTTGAGTGAGTGTGATTGTGCTAGTGTATCATCCCGAATATCTCACAAGTGGATTGAGCAAACTCGATCGAATGATTGGATTGAAAGTGTGCCGGAACCAGTTGCGGATTTAAAGCCGAGGAGACCAATCCCAGTCCCCGCAAATCAGCTGACGAACACAAGAAAGCTTGAGAAGGGACCAGACCAACACCACCACCACCGCGTCATCGTTAGGAGCTTGGAAAGCCGAATCATCGCAGTGAAAGGTTACAAACTAAAATCGCAAAACAGCAAAGTATAAGATATTCAAATATGTACATAAAAACAAAAAGACAAGAGTACGTAAAGGAAAGGTACGTAAATTACTTATCACCACCAAAGATACCAGAACCAAAGTACAATTACAAGTTAAACCGAAAAGGAGACCACTAGAAATCAACAGAAAGTAGCAGACAGATAAATACTTAGTTGGATAGAGAGTAGAGTATGGGTAGGTAACAAAGAAAGGTGGTAACAGGCAGGCAGCTTGCTTTTTGCCGCCGTGGAACGCTTCTTACCGCACAGATTCATTAGCGAATTGGACTTTCGGCCCCGGAAATTAAGCGTGCTGCCCTTTGCGACGGAGATACGCGACAGAGTGCGGCCCCTTTCTACGCCGGCTGGCTCTGAAATCAGGTCAAGTCAGGTCACGAAAGACGCGAGCCGAGTGCATCAGTATACAGGTGGAACACTTGATTCATATGCATTCGCAATCGTTAACACAAATGAATGGGTGGCACAAAATGAGGTACAAAAGTCGTAAATCAAACTTATCGCCCGGGTCCCCCAAAACCAAAAATCATCGTCAATGTAACAACAGCCCCAAAAACCAGATAATAAAATTACAAAAAAAAATGTGTATAAGAAATCCTCAACCACCTCTCAGGTTCACTTTTTTGAGCTCTGGTGCATTCCTTTTGGCAGTGCTTTGGATTAGTTGAGGTTCTATGCAGTTAGCTATTAGCCATAAATTAGTGGTTGGGCCGAAATTAAAATCTTGTTAGTTTAACACAAAAACCATAAAAAGTGGAAGCGGTCGAGCGTTAACTTTCGTTTTTAGCGTGTTCGAATGCGAATTTTGTGAAAATAAAACCAAGGGAAATCAAAATCGAGAACTAAGTGGGCGAGTTATCCATCACCAACCTCTGGAAGTTTTGTACGATCCCCGTCGTCCAATCGGAGTTGAACTTGTACTGGGATAATCATCGGGTGACTCTGTTTGAACGAGATTAGTGGTTAAAGCTTATCAAATAGGTTGTCCAGATTCCAAAGTTATTTTAAGGAAAACTTAGAGCTACAATAAAGTGCAATTAAAATTGTTAGACTATAAGTCCCATCTACCGTAAAATAAATCAAATTAACGTACAACTAAACATGCTTAGCTTAGGTAAAACTAAAAGGATGAAATATAGGACAATGCAAAGGGGTTAAAATAACAAAAACATAAATTACCTTTTACAGTGAGGGAGTCTTGCGAGCCCCTGTAGTAATCTCTTTTCATTGAATTTGAGCTTAGTTGACCGTAGCCTGTTCAGTTCAAATTCAAAACGAAACAAAAAGTCAACAAATTAGCAGTGGGTAGGGGGATAAACAAAATCAATAAATCAATGTGGGTAAGGCACGTGAATCAAATTAAAAAACAACGAAAGCGCAGTTTCTGAAACGATTTCGGCATGCCGAAAGAACCATGAACTTTGAACTTTGAATCAATTATTCCGAGTTGCATGTTCGGCTGTTTAACCCCGGTCCACTGCTCACCGGTTAGATTCGAGCTTGAGCCTTTCTTGCCCCGACTAGAGATGCTCGAAGCCTCGCTGATGTCCACGCTGGCATCGTCCACGTGGATCGTCTTCGGCCTGGGACGCGTGTTGCGCTGCTGCCTCAGTCGCGGAGTCGTCGAGGTGGATGAATGGGGCTGCAGTTTCACATGCAGATCGGGCCGATCCAGGGTTTTACCCTATAATACATGATATAATAATATGAGAATAAGTCACTGTGGGTAATTTAAGTGGAAACCCACCTCTCGCTCGGCCTCTTCGATGGCTTTCTTGAGTCTGTGCTGCTCCAAGATGGCCGCTCTCCGCGCCATCTGCTCCTCCTTCTTGCGAGAACGCTCCTCCTCCTTCTCGCGCTCCTTCTCCCGCTTCTGGGAAGACTCGATTTCCTTGCGGGCCTTGGCCTCCTCCTGCTGCTGGCGGCGTTGCAGGGACAGCAGCATGATCTTCTCCTTGCGCCGCTCCATCTCGTCCACAGACTCCTGATCCAAGTTGGTCGAGTCTGCACCAATGACCAGCGCCTTGTTCTTGGCCGCCTCCGCGTTGTTGCTGCTCTGCTGGAGCCGGGTAGGCGACATCGGCTGCTGCAGCTGCTGCGGCGACTGGTTGGTCACATCCTCCAAGTGGCGGCGTTCGTGACCAGTCGGTGACACTGCTCCCGAAACGGCCAGTTGCCGCAGTTGGATGGGAGGCTCGTCGGTGTACTTGTTGTACGTGGCATTCCCGGGGGATTTGACACTGTTGGAGTTGTTCAGCCCGTGTATGCTGTGCCTGGTCACCGGCTTGCTGTTGTCCTCCTCTCCGCCGAACCCTATGTTATTGTTGTTGTGCAGCTGACTTAGCGATTCACGTTTAAGCGTCGCCATGTTGTCGACGCTGTCCCTGCTGCCCGGAGGAGCCTCCTTCTTGGGCGATCGCTTGGCCCGCAGCGGCGGCTTGGGTCGCTTGGGCTGCTCGTCGTCGAAGGAGATGTAGAAGCCCTTCTCGGGCGGCTGGTCCTCGCCGCCGGATGCCGCTGCCATGGCTCGCGGATCCTGGAAGCTGTTGGCCTGGATGGAGGGACGGGAGGGCGAGGGTATGCGGTAGGTGAGGTTGCCGCTGGTGATGTTCAGCTTGTTGGAGATCATCTCCCCGCTATCGTAGTCCTCCGAGCTGCTGCCCCGGCCGCTGTGCCCCTGCAACCGCTGCTGCTGCTGCAGTTGCTGTTGGTGTTGCTGCTGCTGCTGGTGCACAAAGTCGGAGATCCGCGTCGACTGCATGGACTCGATGATGTTGCGCTCCAGCTCATCCACATCCTCCTCGTCGCCGATGAAGCAAATGCTCTGCGGCGCCATCATGTCCTCGTGCTGCATCGGCATCCCCATCGGCATGCCCATGGTTTGCGGCGCCTTGGGAGAGCGATTGTCGCGCAGATTGGTCAACGATTGCTGGCGCTGCACCCCGTTGGATCCGCCTCCTTGGCGCTGCGCGTGCTGAGGGGGAGGCCTGCACCTGGAACAGGTGCTGGAGCTCGCCGCCGCCGCCGCTGCCGCCACCTCCGCCGTTCTGGTGCAGCACAAAGCTGCCGGGACTGGGGGCTCCCACACTCGAGGGCGGCCGGTTCATCCAGGGCTGCTTCTGCTTCTGGTGCTGCTGCGTCTGCCAGGCGTTCACGTCCACCAGCGGCTGCTGGATCTGCTGCTGCTGCTCGAAGGCGGCCGCTGCTGCGGAGTGCGCCCAGGTCCGGCGCTGCGGATGCGGATGCACCTGCGGCTGGGGCGACGACTCGTGCAGGTAGAAGTGGTTGGTGGGCTGCCCGTAGTCGTCGTACACCACGCTGCTGCGGTACTGAGGCGGCGGAGCTCCGCCGTACGGCGAGTGGTTGCTGTGGTTGTACGCCGCCCCGTTGTCGCTGTAGATGCTCTGCGGCTGCTGCTGCTGCTGCTGCGGTTGCTGCTGCATGTAGTGGGCGGGCTGCGGCGGCGACATGTACTGGCCGTGCTCGTTGACGTACTGCATCGGCTGGGGCATGGCCATCGGCTGCTGGTGCTGGAGCTGCTGCTGCTGCTGCTGGTAGGGATCGCGGCTGGGCGGACGGGAGCTGTAGGCGCTGACGGGGGCGTTGTAGGCCTGCGGAAGATGCGGCGATGAGCCAAAGCTTTGCTGCATGGGTCTCGGCTGCTGGTAGTGGTGGTCGGCCAGGTGCTGCTGCGACCCGTAGGTCTGCTGCTGGGGATGCGGTTAGTGCGGATTGCAGGTGGGCGGGTGGCGGTTGCAGTTTCGAGTGTTGCGTGTGGCAGGGTAAACGAGATCAGAGAACAATTTGTTAGTTGACAAACGGGCATTCGATTTTTGGAGTTCCCTAGGTGGCAATCAGTAATACAAAACTTAAACTCAGTAGTGGTTGGGCTACATTTTTCAAGTATCTGAAATGTGAACACTGTATTTCGAGGGAGTGAACCGAATAGTAATTTAATTTTAACTAAGTACCACATTCTCCTATCAAAAGCTAGGCAGATTAAGTGTAAATCATTTATCAGTAATGAGGCATAATCGCCAATCAAAATTAGAAGCAGATTAAGCAGCCATCACTAATCAGTACTTAAAGCGCCAACCGAAGGACAAAACAAAACAATAAGCGTTCCATATCCTGCGTTAATTTGCGCGGCTGCTGCAATGAGTTCGAGGCAGTTGGTCGGGGGATGCGGTGTCGGATGGTTACCTGGTTCAGCATGTTGGCTATCTGCTGAGCCTGCATCAGCTGCTGGGCCTGCAGGTGCTGCGCCTGCATTTGGCTCTGCTGGGTGGCCAGGCGGTGGATATCCTGCTGGATATCCTGCAGGTTCATGTTCATGATGGCGATGCTTTGCTGCTCGATCCACGTCCAGGCGATTGGGTGGTCGGTTAGTTGTTCGGTGGACATTTTGGTTGGGTTAATGGGCGTGTTTTGTGTTGTGTAGTTGTTGCGTGTGAGTATGTGTGAATGTTGAAGCAGGCACAAACACAAAATGGGGGTAAAAGAGAGACACAGGCGTTAGACATAAATTCTTTGGCACTCGGCGGAGGATGGTTATCGGTTAGACGGGAAAACATAGAAGGTGGCTAGAAACTACGCAAACGCACCTGGTATTTGTCCAAGTCAACGGGGTCCATGTCGGGCGTGCGCTTTGATTCGTTGCTCATGGTCTCCCACTTCATCACGTCCGGACACGACTCCAAATCCTCCTGGAAGCAGAACGAGAACAGCTTCGAGATGAGCTATCAGGCCCAAAACTAAAAAGCCAACGCCTACCTTCTCCTGATGCCGCAGCAACGCCATCTCGATCTTGCGCTTGTCCTGCTCGATGCGTCGCCGCTTCTCCTCCAGCTTCATCCGGATGGTGGACAGCTTGCTGGCGTTCTCCAGCGATCGCATGTCGTCGTCTCCGACGTCCAGCTGCCAGGCAGCCGGACTCGCCGGCATACTGCTCGTTGAGGATTTGCGCACCGGCGTGCTCTCCGGATCGTAGCCGCTGGTGGAACGCGTGTCGTTGTACGCATCCGGCGCCATGCCGCTGTTGCTGCTGTAGTCTTTGTCGCTGGAATGTTGCTTGTGCCGCGCCATCGGCAACGGGCTGCCCGCATTCGAAAGATTGTGCGACGAAACCGTGGGCACATTGTCGACACTGTGGATTAAAACCAAAGGAAGTATTTTATGAACCGTGTTATATATAGTTTAAGCCAAGTTATGGTTGAACCCTGCTCAATTTAATGACTGACCTGACTTGCCGGCGCATCGAATACTTTTCCGTTTCGCGATCCTGCTTCTCAGAGCCCGAATCCGTGTCGTAGCCCAGCTGCAAGGTGCCCCGCGCATCGGCGATCGAAGAGCGAACGGCCACGGCGGGTTCAATAGGAAATCCAGTCACGCTGGTGTTGGACAACTTGCGCTCCCTGTCGCGTTCGTACCTGCCCAGAGTGTTCAGCTGATCCTGGGAACCGCCGAAGTTCTCGATGGTCAGCTGGGAGTCCTCGCTGGAGGAATTCCTGCGCGAACGGCGTCCTGAAATTGCACAACAGCGACATTAAATGGAATCTTTGGGAAACCTAACAACACCAATTGGTTCGGGAAACGTTTGTAGGATATGTAACAAAGCTAAATAGCCATAACATAAACAAAATTGCATTCAACTCAACGCACAAATGGAAAACTACGTTGGCTACAACGATTCTGGTTCAACAGTGGCTGATTTGGCTCATACCTGCAAAGCTTGGCCGACGGCTCTGTTCCCAGTTACTTGGTCGACCCGCAGCGACAAAATCGCCTGTTCGTTTCGATTCGAGAGCAAACAGAAAAGAAGTCAACGAAAAAGAAGATGAACGAAACGAATTAAATAAATAATAAACAAAACTAAAGTACGGACTTGTATGTAGCACAAACGAAAATCATTTCAAATTCGAAATCAAGTGGGGATCTGTGTTCGGGCAATTAACGAGTTCCCACACGACAGGGTTAATAACACGTTTGGCCGCCACATACAAGTCGACTAGGAAATAAGAAATGAACTGCTAGCAAGCTGGGCAAACCTCTCTCGTCCGCCTTCGACTCGACATTGGTCTTTTCTTTGGCCTGGCGCAAGCGGGCCGGAACCAAGGGCTCCTGCTGGAGCTGGAGCTGCGACTGGGATGGGTGTTGCTGGTGTGCCTGCTGGTGGTATTGCTGCTGCTGCTGCTGCTGTTGCTGGTGGAGCTGCTGCTGCTGCTGCGAGTGCATGGAGGCGAGTGTGGTGATGCCACGCGACTTGTGCACCACGAAGGCTGCGGATCGGCGGGGTGGCGGTTGCGATGGTTGGTGGTTAAGCGTGTGTGGGTCGGTGGGTGGCGAAAAGAAAATATTCAAAATGTAAATTTAATAAAAACCAATAAAAGTTTGGAGTTTTTGTGTCCGTGTGCAAGTCGAAAGCAAATCGAAACGTACTCAAAATAAACACAAGTAAACAGGTAACAACGTATAATTAGTTAAATAAAATAATTGAAAAATAAAATTACCTTCGGCATGATTGCCGCCGTCAAAATTATTTGACTGAACCGTCTGGTATTCGTTGGGCGGGGATGATCTGCGATTTAAGCCGCCGCCAAATGAATTCGAGTGCGGAACTAAATAAATGAAAATTCAAAAAACACAGAAAAAAGAAAACGTAAATGAGTAAAATCAATTTGTTCAGCTTGCGAGGTAAATGAACTTGAATATTTCAGTTGGTTATTCATTGACTCGTTGCATCGGAAGCGGGCAAAAGCAAACAACACAGTTCGAAAGCAGAAACAAGGTGAATCGCAGTCCGTGGATGGGTGCCAAGTAAGCTGAGAAGTGCCCCGTGAACTCTGTAATTATCCCCAGGGGAAGTCTGTCTATCATGTGACTCACGCATAATGCTTTCACTTTTATCAAGATGAAATTCCCACAAACCACCCAAATTTCTGTGATTAATAATCGTTACTAACAAACACTTGTGATTCCGATCTGGATGTTCACCTATGATTTCGTTACCCGATTTCTCTGTTAAATAGGTCAAGTCGCTTCGGTCATGGTGCTTAGAGAGTTAAAATGACAAAATGCAGTCTCTAGATACAACGATTTCTACTGATTGGTCAGATGTGAGGTGCACTTATTACAGACATAACAAAGCATCGGTTTCTGTGCATCGTGTGAGACATTACTTATGCTATATTAAAATGGTAATTATCATACAGCTGCATATCATGTAGTTATCAATCGATTCCTTTGGCTAGGCACCAAGAAACAATCAATGAAGCAAACGAACGAACGAACAAACAATCAAACAAACTAAATGTGAGCAGAACAAGCAAAGAAACATCAAACAAATGGAAATGGAAAACACATTCATGAACAAACGAAGGAGGATAAATCGAGATTCGGGAAATCGGGGGTACACAGAAAATGCTCGGATAGAAAATTGAAGTAAACCTTGGAACGGCGGCCGATTCTGGGGCGAGCCAACGGGCGGCTGGTCGAGATCGCTGCGCAGATCGGGAATGGGGGTGACGGGCTGTACAGTGAGGCCTCGTCGATGGCAGATTCCGTGCTCATTGGCGCCCAAAGTTCGCCGGGCGATGACATCTGGATATCGTCGAATCGAGTCGGGATTGAAGAGCGGATCAATCGAGAAGTACATGGCACGTTGTACGTTGAGTGTGTTTTTTTTTTTTTATTTGGTAAGTGTGAAGATATGTTTGGTGGGTGTGTGTGTGTGTGTGTGTGTGTGGTTAGGACCCAAATTATTGGTGGATTGTTTGCGGTTACGAGTGGCAAGAGGAAGCGTTTTGCACATAAACAAAGAAAGAGAATCAAGTACAGAATTGATTTATTCGATTTGGGTTGGATTTTAAGTGTGGAGATTTCACTACTTTTCGTGGGATCAGGTGAATGCTAAGATGATGAAAATTACATATGATTCCATGTCAATTTCTTGGTGGACTCGGTGGTTGGTTGGCTTACAAACGAAAATTAACCGCAGGAACTATATACACAAACATAAATAAGATTTTGCTAGATTTCTGTGGTTTCTCTGACAGATCTTTACCTAAGAGGTGCTTTGCGGTTGATCTTAAACTGAGACTTATTTGCGGCATTATCAGCGCAATCTACGAGCTGTGAAGCGCTCTAAATTCCTAAGTACTTAGTTCTCTGTGACTAATTGGTGGATGCTTTTACCTTCTGTTGAATTTGCTACAAATTGAGTCACTCACAATTCCAGCTGAATGGAATTCTTAAAAGGCATTTATACATTTACAAGTACGCTGACTCATTTCTCTCTTCGGATGACCAATTCTTTGAAAAACCAAGAGTAAGAACTAAAGCAAATCATAGGAGAAACGAAGACAAAACGAAATGCAAACAAGGATACTGCTGATACACTTGGACAACAATGCATGCCCCGGACTGATATTCAAACACAGGCAGGCCAATCGTTTTGGGGGGTTGAGATCAGGGGGTTGGGGGATAGATGCGATGCGGTGCAGCGTTTTGGGAATGGATACTCAGTAAAGAAGTGCTCCACTTACCCTGACCATCCATGCCGGGGTAGCAGACACACTTCGCCGGGTGAATCTCGAACAGATTGAACAGATCCGTGAGCAAAACCACCAGATTCAGTTTCATGGATCTAAAACAAAACGAAATTGAATCCAGCAAACCTTTGGATAGAAACAACTCGGTAGCTACCCGCGCATGTAGGTCACATCCTCGGGAGTCATGTGAAACACGCTGTATGGCAGATGCTTCTGGGAGAAGTTGCACACCAGCAGGATGTTGTGAATCGAGTCCTCGACGGCGGGCAGATAGTTGATCCGCACACTCGTCCACGGCACCACCTTGGGGCAATAGTACGAGATGAGCAGCGCCAAGCATATGCCATCGCACAGATCCTGGAAGTCCCTGACGGGTGGTATGTCCGGCGTCTGCAGACGAGAGCCCTGTGGTTAATAAATATGTAAGTTAGGGGGAACGGTAATTAGGAGGCAGAAACTCACATTATCATCGGGCAGGCCTGCGTCCACCTCCTTGATAATGCGCTTTTTAAGAGCGGCGCAAGCATGTGAAATCCAGCCCAGCAGAGCTTGCTCGTAGGACTGGCCAGGAGGCGCCTGGTAGTTGTTGCCAGATATTCTGTGCAGAGGAAAAGCCATCATTACCATACGTTTATTAATGTGAATCAATAATCTCACCTTCGAATGGCCGCCATGATGCGGTCACCCGATGATATTTCCTTCGCATACAAAACCATCAGCGATTCTATCACAGACATGTGGGCGTTCTGAAAGCGGTAAAACCAAACCAAGTGAATTAGGGAGAGCCATAAAGATCGAAATCTAGATCTACTCACAATTCGCAGCGGGTTCGTTTGAATTAATACCGTTTCGGTAATGGGCATGTCCGAGGATTCGGCCACGGGAACTCCCTTGCGCGCTAGCGTCTGTATTATTGACCAGTGGTTCATGCTTTGGTAGTTGGGATCTGAGTACAGATTGGCCAGCGTCTGGCAGTAGAGCGTGGCGTTGCCGAGCTCCACGATGATCTGCGGCTTGAGGCGCTCCTGGTTCTCATGGTCGCGGTAGAAGGGCTCCTTCAGGTTGTCCGGCACGCGATTGTTGAAGGCCTTCGAGAGCAGCCACTTGACGGAAGCACGTTGACGAGCCTGCAATGGATCAGTGGGAAAAAAGAAACGAGTTGGCATCAGAAGGGATTGCGATAATGTGAGAACATTCTGTACAGCAGGTGGCACCCACTGCCCGGACCCATTTCAATCCCAAGGCCAAGTTGAGCCTGCGTAATCAACGCTCTATAACTGCGATTTCTGCGGATTAAATGACGGGCTCTTTCGTGGCAATTAACTAGCGCAGTCTTAAGTGCTTTTGTATCTGTACCCCGGCCTGTTGCTGCATCTGCTAGTACTTGTATTTGTAGCTGTGCGCGAGTGAAGCCATGCGTACAATCTTCAATATGAGTTCGATAAACTCGCTCGTGTTTGGCTTGGCGTGCGCCGCCAGCCACCAGCCACCAGCCGCCTTCCATTGTGCTCTCCCCAAACCGATTTGGTTTTTGGGCCAACAAAGGGAGCGGCTGGGAAGTGAAGGGGTTGCTGCTTGGATGGACGATGGTCACTCAGCATGAAAGACTCCGCTCGCGGGGCAGTCGCTTTTTTCCTGCTCCGTTTTTAGAATCATCTCGAGTGCCTCCATGTTTCGCCAGCCAACCCATTTCTTGTTGCACTCATAATCACAATTCTGCTCTATTCCGAATGGCCTCTTCTTGGTCTAATTGAAACTGGGGGGAAAAGCAATCAAAATGAATTCTCAAGAGGGAAACTGTCGCTGTTCAGACGCGGAAATTGGGTTGATCGGACAAATCCAATATGAAATATGTTTTAAGTCTTGGTATCCCATCGTGGAGACTACTAAGACATGTATTCGAGTCTGATAAGAAACGTGTAAATAGATATACATAACTCTGATTTTTTGATAAGAACAACTCTATTTGCTATCTTAGAACCCTCTTTTAATAAAAACCCTGAAAGTAAACATAAAACAGCCGACGCCGGTCAACAGTTGAGGATTATTTTTGGTAAAGATAAGGTAGAAAACTGAGAGAGTGGAGCTGAAGTTCGAGCAACATGAAAAACCCATTAATTCTTTTTTGCTTTCGGCATGCTTGCCGTATTTGCTGCAAGACTTCTGTGCTGTCTTTATTATTTGCTTTCATTCCATAAATCTCAAACGGGTTTCTTTCAAAAATCGTTGCATGAAGTCATCAATAACTGTGTCAGAGAACCCAATCGAAGTAGTTCAATTCTTTTGTATATCGCGCAGCAGGTCGACAAATGGACGATCTCGGGCGTTGTTTGGATTAAAAGCTTATTACAAAATGCCAGAAATAATTCGGGCAGGTGGAGGAGGAGAGGAAAACTGCATTTCAGGGGAAACAATATTGGCGTAGGTCGTAGACCGACCAACTATGCGAATTGGTCAACAGGTGGAGGGAAAACCTGTTTGCCCAGCCAAGCGCTTTTCACCAAAAGCAAGAAACTGTCCGCAACATAATTTGAATGGCCAGCGAAACGGAAAAACTCTGGCTGCACTTTGCATCGAATGGCGGGGAAAATGTCTGAAACTCAAATTTCAAAAGACCGTGTAAACAATTCGAAGAAAAACAATAAATGAGCGCTAGCTGAGACGCCCACAATGAATGAAAGAACGACGGATGGATGGATGGATGGATGGAATATATTTTTAATCCAGCAAACATATGCAGAGTAAAAAAAACTGACCTAATTCAAAGAATTAACTAAAGATTAATTAGTAAAATCTATTCAATTATGTTCTAAAGTATATGAAATGGGAGGGTAATGGATAAAGTAATACTATTTAACTTATGATTTCAGATGATCTTATCGAACTAATAACTCTTTTTGCTTTGTGCACACACATCGCCTGCACATGTTTGTAATAAAATTTCAGTTGCTGGTGGTTTTCAAATGTCACAAATTGAAATTGGCGCGGCTTTATGATTTCATTATCTAGCCGACTGTAGTTTGTTTTTGGCATTCCAGAGAAGGGACAACGATAGCTAAATATAACAGAGAGTGCCGACGAAGGAAAGCGGCCGAGAGAAGAGAGCGTACCGCTTGAGTCAGCAGTCGGCAGTCAGCAGTAAGCAACTTGGATGTTTGAATGGGTTTAGCTTTGAGTTATTGTCTGTAGCAGTTTGTTTTTGCTGTCATAGAACGACTCTGGCACACACATTGGACTTAACTTTCTAGGGAGTTGTCTAGAGGAAAAGTCGCTGTACACGCAAGACTCCAAACCGCGGAGCAGAGTGTTAGCGCTCCTCCCTTTTCGCCTGACTTTCGCATGCGTAAGCCGTTTTTTCTGTTATTTTTTCATATTTAGCGATTAGGTCATGCAAGAGCAGCTATTTTCAAAGCGAGGAAAACGATAACAAATGCCTAATCGAAGGGGCGCAGAGCTCATTTTCCGGCTTTGTTTCTCGCACTGCAGTTTTATGAATGGAAGTTTCAGAGTATTATTTTCCGAGCAGCACACACCCCACACACAAACTACCGGTTGGATATAGTTGTTTGCATTGGCCATCGAAACCAGTCGAATGGTAAGTAGGTGTCGGTCGCATACTAAGCGTTAAGTTGTCGAGCGGCATTACCTCAGCGCACCATTTTGGCCAAGAGAGTAGGTGTTAGCCCGCTTCGCCTCTGTTGGAATGTTAATGAGTGCTTTTAACTCGGGTATGAGCCTATTCTGTGAGCAACATTTGGACTTGGCTTCTCGAGTCATCTTACCTGTCGTATTTCCTGTGTTTCGACATCCATGCTGACGGATTTTCCTGCGACGGACTCTCCGGCCCTCCGACGCCCGCCACTTCACTTTCCGCACTTTTTGCACTTTTCGCACTCTTTGTTTGCTGTTTGCCACAACACACCGCTTTTCCTTTTAACGTGTGTCTCTACCGAGTGCGTGTGTGTGTGCTTGTGCAGTTTTCCTCAGCTTAGGGGATTTTCACTTGGAGCCTGAATGAACACAGAGGGAAAAAAAACACGATTGGCACTTTGGCAAACAACTTGGAAATCGAAAACAGAACAACTAATTGCGCACACGCATTGGCAGCAATTTTTTCGGGGGGTCGCGAAGCGAGGGAGGGGAAAGCAGGCTGGCCGAAAGAAAATGTGAATCATTCACAGAGGGCGGTGGGCGGGGGGTGGGGCTGCAGTGCGACAATAACAGAGAACACTTTACAGTTGTCTGTTCGCTTTTCTCGAGATGCTGCTGCATCAGCTGTTGCGATTTAATCGCCTCCCCGACGCACCTACGCACTTATCACCTCGTAAACCCCACCAACCGCCCATCCATAGCATAATTAATGTTTTTCTTGCTTTTATTCAAACAGCAAGTTGGCGATTTTCTTTGGGGAAGCGCCGCCGACTTGAGTAAATGAAAACATTTTCCTTCGCCTCGCACTGTTGTTGTCCGCCGCCCGCTGTTTGCTTCTCTTTCGCTCCCGCTACGCGACCAATGCTGCTGCGCGACACTGTTAGTGTTATGCTCTTCGCTCTCACGGCGAATGAGTGGTGACCGAAAAAGCTGTGTATGTGTGTGCGCGCGGGTGTGTGTGTTGGGGCCTACGCACATTTGAGATGGATTTTCGCACTGATTTGTCGCAACGACGAATTTCGCATGCATTTCACACGGCTCGCGCCCGTCCCCGCTGCATTTTCCAACAGCTTTAATACTACAAATTGGCCTTAAATTGGGGAAATCACGGACACCGATCTGCTCTAAAATCTTACAAATTTTCAGTGTTGCCAGATGGCGGAGTGATGTCGACCAACTGTAGTTTTCCCCAGAATCTTTAAATAAAGTGAACCTAAATCTTCCCTTAAAACAGAATTCTTCCACCTAGTAAACATTGGTTGTAATCTCGGACAATGAAAAACTCAACATTTAGCTAATACATCAACCAATCAAGAAACAAAGTTGGCTGCAGTCACATAGGTGTTCGTCTCGTCGTGACTGGCAAATGCGGCATCTCGCTCTTCCTTTTTCACTTTTTGCGTGTGTGTTTGATGACGGAAAATTGCGAATAGTTCGCTGAATATGGCCAAAAAGAAAAGCGAGGAGCACTCCGGTGCGGATGCGAACGACAGCGACTACAACGAGGAGCCGAACTTCGACGATCCGCCCAATTTTGTGGACAACATCAGCGATGAAGGTGAAACTCGGCGACTGCCAGCGCAGCACACGCGGCAATCTAACCTCAATATCCGGCGATGTGCGAAAGTAATCATACATATTTAATTAAACCTGTATCCGCGATGCATTTACAGATCTGCTCGGCGACATGCTGGCCCAGCGCCCTTCGGAGGCGGACGGCGTCGAGAGCGTGGTGGTAGTGGACAACATACCCAAGGTGGAACCAGTGCGTCTGGAGAAGCTCAAGTCGGTGATCAACAAGCTCTTTTCGCACTGCGGCGACATCGTCAATGTTGTCTACCCCGTCGACGAGGAGGGTAAGACCAAGGGCTACGCCTTCATGGAGTACAAGCAGGCCAGTCAGGCGGAGGAGGCAGTCAAAAAACTAAACAACCATCGCCTGGACAAGAACCACACCTTTGCCGTCAATCTCTTCACCGACTTCCAGAAGTAAGTCCTTAATTATGACACAAAATCCTAGTCATTTATTATTATTTACTATCCTTAGGTACGAGAACATCCCGGAAAAGTGGGAGCCACCAACTGTGCAGACTTTCAAGGTGCAGAGCGACCTTTACAATTTTATTAATGACCCGGACACTTATGACCAGTACTGCGTGGCTGCCGAGACCGCTCCCAACTGCGTGCAGGTGGGCTTCTGGCAGAACGTCCTGCCCGAACCCTTTGAACTGGAGACCCGCGAACGCTTCACCGACACTTTTGTCAAGTGGTCCCCTCTCGGAACATATGTGGTCACTTTCCACAAGCCCGGCGTGGCCATCTGGGGTGGCAGCAGCTTCCAAAAGATCCAGAAGTTCCCCCATCCAGGCACCCAGTTCGTGGAATTTTCGCCATGTGAGAATTACCTCGTGACTTACGGCCCAACGAACACTGGCCAGAAGATCATCATCTGGGACATCCGCACCGGAGCCGAGAAACGTTCGTTTGTTGCCGATGGCATGTCGGTGCTGTCCATGTTCCGTTGGTCGCACGACGACAAGTTTGTGGCCCGCATGGGGGAAAACTCTATCCACATCTACGAGACGCCATCTTTCTATCTGCTGGACCTGAAGTCGATCAAGATTCCAGGCATCCGAGGCTTCTCGTGGTCGCCCACGGACAATGTGATCGCCTACTGGGTGGAGGAGCAGAACCAGATACCCGCCCGCGTCACGCTAATGGAGATCCCCAAGAAGCGGGAGATTCGCAACAAGAACCTTTTCCATGTCGCCGACTGCAAGTTGCACTGGCAGAAGTCCGGCGACTACTTGTGTGTCAAGGTGGATCGCTACTCCAAGTTGAAGAAGGACAAGAAGGATTTGGACGTCAAATTCCTGGGCATGTTCTACAACTTCGAGATCTTTCACATGCGCGAGAAGGAGATTCCCGTGGACTCCGTGGAGATTCGCGAGCTAATTTTGGCGTTCGCCTGGGAGCCCATCGGCAATAAGTTCTCGATCATCCACGGCGAGCAGAACTCCTCTAACGTGAGCTTCTACGAGGTGAACAAGGGCGTGAAACCCACTTTGGTGAAGCGTCTGGAGAAGAAGTCCTGCACGCATCTGTTCTGGTCTCCCCGTGGCCAGTTCATCGTGATGGCCAACCTCATAATGGGCACCTTTGAGTTTGTGGACTCCACCAATGACTACATCATCACCGCGTCGCCGGATCACTTCCGTGCCTCCGAGGTCGAGTGGGACCCCACTGGGCGCTACGTTGTGACTGGAGTCTCCTCGTGGAAGGTGAAGGAGGACACTGGCTTCAACATGTACACGTTCCAGGGCCGCATTATCAAGCGTACCATTCTCAAGAACTTTGTGCAGTTCTTGTGGCGCCCACGCCCACCAACCCTGCTCAGCGAGGAGAAGCAGAAGGAGATCAAGAAGAACCTGAAGAAGTACTACGCTGCCTTCGAGCAGAAGGATCGCCTGCGCCTTACCCGTGCGTCCAAGGAGCTGCTTGAGAAGCGCTCCCAGCTGCGCGAGACCTTCATGGAGTACCGCAACAAGCGCATCGCCGAGTGGGTGGATCAAAAGAGTCGTCGCATTATGCTACGAGGACGTAAGTATTACCTGAAACTTTTTACTGTTTACTGGGAGACGCTTTTAAGTGTGAGCTTACACAGAATGTTGTATCAATGGCTTTAATGTCAAATTAAAACATATAAGTACTCCCATTATCAGTAAGCAAGGATAAAGAACAATGCTTATCAATTTATTTTCCTAATTAAACCTTTTCTTTTTAACAGATGTGGACACCGACAACTTGGAAACTGATGAAGTGGATGAAGAGATTGTTGAATTTTTAGTCAAGGAAGAAGTCACCCTGCTGGAGTAGACGACCCCCTCGACGTCAATCACCTGCTGTCGTTCCCTGCCTACTCCGAAGCGATCCTGTCGCCTCACACTTCGTGTCCGGGACGCGTCTACGCCCTGGTTGATGCCAGGGCCCCAACATATTATCCAATCCAGTAGCGCGCCTCTGCTTGCAACCAACTCTAAGCGGAACCTTTGCCGATACATACAACATACGAATTATAAGCCCTAAAGTAAACTCCAACAAAATCAGCACTTGCGAACATATTATCTAATTAAATTACCTTTATTGAGCACACCCCTCCAACCAGTATGCCTAAAAGTAGATTTGCGATGTATTTGTATGTAAACAGCAAAAAGAAGACGAAAACAAAATATGTTTGGGGTGTGTTTTTATTATTCAAAGGGCGATTAACGATAGGTGAAACACTAGACAGGTTGGTTGCCATTGGCAACACGGAAGGTAGTCAAAGCAGGCGGAACATTTTCTGTTTTTGCTTGTCTTTCTCATTTAAAAAATACAATTATGGACGCCACTTCTCCCAAGACGAATCTGAAGAAGAAACGCAAGACCCACACTTCGAGAGGCTATCGGAGGAGGGAGCGGGAGGTGCAAGGCTTGCTAAAGGATAACGAGAGCAGCATATATGGTCAGGAACTGGACTTCGAGGCCCTTAGCCTGCAGTTTTTCCATGGAAACGATAATGAGGTGCTTCGCGAGAAGGACTCCCCAGTGAAAGAAGGAGCTGACAAGGAGAGCGACGAAGATTCCGGCGGGGAGTTGGCTGTGGAGCCGTCGGATTCACCCTCTCAAACATTCATCCAAATCGATCTACAGGATCCACCACTGGTCTGGAATCAGCTCTCCAAGCAACGCCACTACTATGATGAGAGTTTGCTGTACCGACCGAACAACACCCTGCACTTCCAGTTGCAAGTGGGTGACGCCCACCTAAAGGACTCCCAAATCCGCCTGTTGAATCGCTACCAAGAGCAGGCCAAAAGCCAGTCCAGCAAACTGAGCGCAGATTTGATAGCCCAGCTCAGCCAGGAGAACGACCCCAAGTTCCTCTTTGATGACAAACTGTATCGCAGTGTTTGCCACAAGAAGTTCCAGAGTGTGTTCTTCGATCCCATGTTACCGGACGAAGTGCAGGGCTTGCCCAGCAGACGTTGCCTGAAGTTGAGCATAAAGCAGCTCCGCTTCAGCACGCATCCCCAGCTCTTGGAGGAGCACCGACTTGCTCAGCAACTGGAGGATCTCTTCGATGTGTACACTCAGCAGAAGAGGCAGAGGATCTGCAGAAAACTGAGGGAGGAGCTGGAGATTGCTCGCCAGGTGGCTGTTAAGCTGCTCGCCTCGGCTGGCCAGGATCAAGCCGGGGAGGTGAAGCGACAGCTGAAACTCACCCGCCAGCTGAGGCAACGCTACTACTCGGAGTCGGCTGCACAGCGCAATCTTCTGCAGCGCTTGCTGAGGGAGTGGGCCAAGCTGAAGGAGCTGCGTCGTCAGCAGCGCTTCCAGTGCACTCGTTTCCAATTGGGCTTGAGAGTGGTGCACCCTCCCGATTTAGAGGCCTCCTATTCCGCCTGGAAGGAGAACTTCGAGAAGGATTTAGCCGAGGTTTATCGGGATCACTTGGAGGTCTTCTACACCCGCCTCCGTCTGTGGAGCGAGCGAAAGTCCAAGGGCCGGAAGTCGGCAGGCCAATCGAAGCCTCCAAGGAAACCGCAGTTCGACAAGGTGATGGCCAGTCTGAGAAAGGATTACGACAAGGCCTTCAGGGATCCGGAAGAGCCGATTGTGGAGGTCATTCGCCTGCACGCAGACGAGTCAACTGCCAGGCTGTCCAATCCCGGTGGAGAGCAGCTGCCCAAGGCGCGGAACTACTTCCTGAAGATCTTTCTGGACGGCCAGTTTGTGGGTCAGAGCAGGAGCTATCGCCTGGAGCCGGATCTGCAAATATCCATCAACGAGTGCATTGGGGTGCTGTTAGAAAGGTCGATGCCGGAGAACCTTAACATCTGGGTACGTACCTACCTTTCGGATTAGGGAGGGATTTAAACCATTTTCCTCTAGCTGTATGAGAAGTCCACGTTGACCCCAAAGAGCCGTCGCCTGGCGCAGATGAGCACTCCTCTTTTGTTGAGTTCCAAGGATGATGCTCTGCAGGAGAAGATCAGCTTTAGGACCTCATCCTCCACTCAGTTGGCAGGCGACGTTTATCTGTACTATGAATACCGATCCACGGAGGGTTGGGGAGGTGCCCACAATCTGGACGATGTGCAGAGGCTTCCGGATTCTCTGAGACAGACTTTGATACCACCGAAACTACTCGCTTCCCCTGAAGCCTCCAAAGAACTAGTGACTCCCAGACCGCCAAGTGGCAGGACTAAGAGGAGCATCCTGCCGCCGCTGATCTTGGCTGAGCATCGGCTACAATTCTGTGCCATTGAGGTGCTGCTGGAGAACAGACGGTTCCAGTTGCTCCACTCCCGTCATCAGCAAAAGAATCTCCACACCAAACAGCTCCGGTTTGTGCCCGCCCTGGAGCAGGAAATCACTGAGGATGAGCCGATACCGGATGGTAGGGGCACCGTTCAGCTCTTGGAACCGGGAACCTATTGGAATCCCATCGATCTGCACAAGCATCGCGGGCGGAAGTTCCTCCAGTTGCTCTACGAGGTGATCACCAGTCAGAGTGCCAGGAGGGCCAAGGCCTTGGAAACGCCTTTGCCGCTGCTCCTGCTGGCCGATCACTCGGATCACTCGTCGGCCACCGGTTGGACAGCCCTTTGGCGAGCCATCTGCTCCGTTTTCCAGAGACAACCGATTTCCCTGCCCCGGGAACCTTCAGTTTGGTCTGGCCAGCAGTCGGGCCTCGATCTCTTCAAGCACTTCAGCGTTTCCCTCCATGTGGTGAGGGCCACTGGGGTGCCAGTGAGGAGTCGCCACATCCTGAACCTCAACGAGCGACGCACCAGCGCCGGAGGCGATATGGGCACCAGTTTGTTCGTCACACAGAGTGAGTAATCTTCAATGATAGAAATGAGTCATAAACGGCAATCCTTATCAGTGAAGTGGAATCTTGCTGATCAAGAATGCCACTTATTCTTAATTGCTAAGCTGCAATCTAAACAGATGTGAAGATTAGGTGCTAAAGAAATGAGTTTTTGGACTGCCTCCTTTTACTAAACCCATATTACATCATCTGAACTTTAAGATCGATTTTTATAGAGGAGACAATATATTTTTCCGACTTTTTCTCACAGCTCTCATGTACTCGAATGTGCGACCCTTCGTGACCCTGAGCTATGGACAACGACTGTGCCGGAGTCGCACTGCCGAGGGCAGTAATCCCACCTGGAATGAGCAACTGCAGCTGCAGATCAGCAGCCAGTTCGGTGATCTCCGCGAGGATCTCAAGATCAGTCTGTTCGATGAACTAATAGAGCAGCAGTACAGCGAAGAGGCCTCGGATTTGTATCAGAGGGTCCAGTGCAACTGGCTGGGGGAGTTCCGGGTGCCCATCAACAGTCTTCTGGCCCATCGGAAGGTCGGTTCTTTCTTCCATCATTAACTTTTATTTACTATTCAATATCCTCAGTTTGAGGGCTGCATAGAGTTGGCCATGCCCAAAGTGTTGGTGGGCTACAAGCGGCCTTTGATCGACTCAGTGACTAACATGTCCGCGGATCAGTACCCCGAGTTCAAGGAGGCAGTGCACCTGTGGTTCTACCTGAGCATCGAGCCCGGTGGCGGAGAACTGTTGGCCCTGCACTCGAGTGCCTTGGCCTGTGCCGAAATGCCGGAGACGCAGCAACATCTCAGCGAAAGGCGGTTGGAACTGATGCAACTTCTTCCCCAACCGCAGCGGTTTGTGGAACCCCTGGTGTGCACGGCGCAAGGAAAGAGGGTGTGCATCACCAGACTCTTGGATGCGATTCCCCTTCCACCAGCGGCGGCCACTGGAGAGAGTCCTTTGGAGAGCGCCTGTCGCTTTGTTTCGCTGCTCAGCCAGTTCCGCAGCTACGATCCTTGTCAGGGTTTCCGGGGGGTGTGGCTGGACAACCAGTCTCTGCTGGACAGCACCTGGTGCTCGGTCAAGGATTTGGGTGTCCTTCTGTGCAACTACTTGCTTTCCTTAGGGCTGGAGTGCTGGCTGATTCTGGGAGTCGCCTGCCCTCACGGCGAGTGCTCCTTCGTGCTTTTTCGCCATCCAGAGACCGCTGAACTTTTTCTGGTGGCCCCCGCCACTGGCAAAAGATACCAATTGCAGGATGTCCATTGTCCTTTGAGAAGGATATTTTGTGTGGTGGGAAAGACGAATGTAAGTCAGTCAACATGCAACCTTCCTCATTCCCTTATCAATTCTCATAATTTTGTTAGATTTATTTCAACATTCAAACGGAAACGCGCGTCAGCATGACGAACTTAAACCTTCAGGATGGCGCCTGCTGGTTTCCACTCTTCAACCGTCGCGTTCCTGCCCCCCAAGGTGGCGTACAGAAATTGGACTACATGTACAAGAGGAGCCACGAACTGAGTCAGTTGCAGAAGCACATTGAGCGCAAAATCATGAAGAAGATCAGTGCCTGGCGAACCACTAGGAAAACCATCTGGAATCGGTTTGTGTTACTTTTACTTTTAACACCTGAACTTAACCATAGAGAATGATGTTATTGACAGAGCCTTCCAACCGCGACTCCAGAGGATTCTCAGCGACATGGAAAACTTATCCACTTTTTCAAGGGGCCGATATGATGAGCCTGTTTTCAGCGAGCAACTGGAACAGGAATATCCCAACTACAGGGTAAGCTCACATACTCACCCTTTTTGCAAGCGAAAAACCTTCCTTTTATGTGGAAAAATGAAAGGCCAAACTTTGGGGAACCATTGCGTAGAGGTTTTTATTGAGTGCGATTCGCCCATTGACTTATCAGTTGCTCGTCACAAGCCGACCCCTGTCCTACCCCGCCCCACTCATCAATCACTATCTCGATCGATCACTAACCCTTTTGGTTTCCAGCTCTACGGCTTCACCCTCAACTTTGCGTACACGAATCTGGCGGCGATATCGGAGCGCATCCGGACCACCTGCATCCACTACAACCACGACGCCTCGGTGGAGTTCTGCGTGGCGGTGCACCTGCACGCCCACGCCAATGACGTGCTGTCCGTCTGGCTGTTCCTGCTCTCCATGGTGCCGCTGGTGGTGTGATTCACATCCCAGAAGGCAGTCGAAATGCCAGAGGCCGTCCCCAGCCACGCGAGACTCGCTATCAGTTCTGTTTACAAGTGCAAGCGTAGCCGAATGGACTGATTTTTATCGCAACACCAAACTGTCGAGGGAAAGAAATCCATTTAATTCGGTTTACAGCCTGAAAAACGTATATATATGTATTTATAGAAAAAGTGTGTAGTAGTTCGGAGTGATAAGGCGGTGACGGGGGCACAGGTACCAGGTGGCGCACCTGGTCGGGGTTAGTTCGCCGCGCACTCTCAGACCGTCGACACCGCATCGCCTGACATCGATTTCACAAGCCCATGTCGAAAAGAATGTACCAAAAGCTGGCCGAGGATTATGCGAAATTGAAGCGCAACGTGAAATGGCTCTACCTGCTCTACGAGCTCAACACACAGATCGCCATCTGTGAGCCCTGGGAAAAGGTGTTCCTCAGTAAGTGTTCAGCAGGGCCCGTGTCCTCGCCAAGATTAGGTCGCGCCACTATACGTATCTACAAAGTAACAACTTTGGCGCGGTATTATTGTCTTTGCTCATCGATATCTTATCTGTGCCGGTCAGTCGGTCTTAGTCATGGAGCGGCGAACACCCGACGTGCTAATGGATGGCCATGTCTCATCGAGTAATGTGTGTCTCCGGTCTCTCTTTCAGATGTCCTTCTGGGCAGCTTTGTCTCCTTGATCCTCTACGCTTCATTTGCCTTTGTACCAGGATATTGTGTGACGGTTTTTCACCTCTTGTGGCCCCAAACAAACATGCCAAATCTCACCAGCACCTGCAATGCGAATATCGAGGGGTTTTGTGGCAACGAAAGTGGATCAGTAATAACATAATCTTAGTTTAGCTTATCATAATCAATAAATAATTTTAAACATAACGATCATGACCTTTAATCCGCGCAAACAGCACGTTATCTGGAGACATCGAGGCCAAATAACAGGTCTGAAAAGTCTTTATTTCAACCCAACTGGCTTTTAAGGGAGAATTCCAGGTTTTAATATTTATAAATGTTTTAAATATAACTGCTTTTACATTTTTGAATGTTTACGGCACTGCCAGGTGCAAAAAATACATCAGATTAAAAAAACCAACATTTTGCTTATTATTTGAAAGGGGTGGCAATAATACGTTGGTATTTTCATAATCGGAGTCAACAGTCACACTGATTGTTTGTTTGGGTTTTGGTTTTCGTGGTTTTTTAATTTAATGAATTAATTTTACAATGTCCAACGATAAACGCACCGTTTATGTGGGCGGACTGGCCGACGAAGTTACAGAGAGGTTGCTTAACAATGCCTTTATACCGTTTGGCGACATTGCTGATATCCAAATGCCTGCGGACTACGAATCGCAACGTCACCGGGGATTCGCGTTTATAGAATACGAACAGGGCGAGGATGCCGCTTCTGCAATAGATAATATGGTGAGCAGGAATCCAGGAAAAATATAAAAAGATAATACAACCTATCCTACTATTTCCAGAACGACTCTGAGCTTTGTGGACGCACAATTCGCGTGAACTTGGCCAAGCCGGTGCGCGTAAAAGAGGACAGTTTCAAGCCCGTTTGGGCAGATGACGATTGGTTACAGAAGCACGCGGGTGCCACATTGCAGCCTGAAGGTGACTCAGAAGCGGAAAAGGTGGAAACTCCCTCCACGGGGCCGGCAGTCATCGAAAAATCAGAAAAACGTAACCCTCAAGTGTTCTTTGACATACGAATCGGCGGAAACGATGCCGGTCGGATTGTTATGCTCCTCCGGGCGGATGTTGTGCCCAAAACGGCGGAAAACTTTCGACAGTTGTGCACCCATGAGCAGGGCTACGGCTACAAGGGCTGCTCATTTCACCGGGTGATTCCAGAGTTTGTAAGTTGCAAAGTAAACATCCTGCCTTCTTTCCTATAGACCGTTTATCCAACAGATGTGTCAAGGAGGCGACTTTACAAATAACAATGGCACTGGCGGCAAGTCCATCTATGGCAAGAAGTTCAACGACGAGAATTTCAACTTGAAACACAATAGTTTTGGCACTCTGTCCATGGCGAACTCAGGCGCCAACACAAATGGCTCACAGTTCTTTATATGCACCACAAAGTAAGTCTTACAATCTGTGCTCTAGCAATTTCTTATGAATACCTTATTCTATCCAACAGAACCGATTGGCTGGACAACAAACATGTGGTATTTGGTCATGTTATCAGTGGTGCCGAGGTGGTGCGCAAGATGGAGCGTTGCGGCTCCAAGACGGGCACTCCCAATCAGAAGATAGTCATATATGCCTGTGGAGAACTGAAATAAAGATGCTCGAGCTAGTTTACTCTTCAACGGTCTCATTTATTGAAAAATCCACTAAGTCATAGTAAAGGCGGCAGGCAAATCCTACTGGAAGTAGGTCCTGGGCTTCCTGAACGAGAACAGCTTCCTGTTGCCCTTGTGGTGGACACGTTGGACCAGCGGGAACTTGATCTTGGAGTCGTGGAACTGCTTGACATGCACTCGGCGGGTCTTGGCAGCGGGGATCGACTCCACCTTAATGATCTGGATGGAGTGGGCACGAGCACGGTGGCGGGCGCCCATGTCGCGGTAGCACTGAGTGACGGCACCGCCAACGGTCAGGTCACGGTACTCGCGGTACATGTTGTGGGTGCCCGAACGGGAATCGTATCGCAGCCAGATGCCGAAGTTCTTGATCTTCACGGGCGACGTCTCGTACACCTGCTTGATAGACACGATCTCGCCGGTGGTCTTCTTGAACTTTTTCAACTGGCGCAAGAAGTACCAGAAGCGGGATTTGGCAACGATGTTGTCAGGAGCAAAGATGCGCATCTTGTAGAGCGGCGTCTGGGGCTCCTTCTCGCTGGGCAGCTTGCGGCCCACGACCTCATACTCCTTCAACTGCAAAAAGGAGTTTGGTTTAGAAAGAAGGTTTATAAACTTTGTAAACAAATGTGTCCAATATCAGGCAAACAAACACACGCATGGCTGTTGGTTTTTTAGGTTATGTTGTCGGCGGCGCAGCGTAGTTATAAATTAATTTTTATAAGGCTTTAAAAATGTTTTAAAAAACTTTAAAACATTCAAAGATACTACAAATATCTTTAAATTACATTCGGTAAGCACTTAAGTGTATTTGTTTAAACGATTTGCCTTGCCAAACCACTTCTAACAATTTGTTTTTATAAGTAGGTGTTTCACACAAAAGCTGTGCATTTTTATTCCTTTCAACGATCCCATTGCATGCTGTAAGGATTTGCCTAGCTGTAGCACACACTTTTGACTCAAATAACGATCTTTTAAACCATTTTTTTTATTAAATACTAACCAATCCCTTGGCTCTCATGTTGGACGTTCACGCGAAAAGGAAACGGAAAGAGCTTGTCAGATAGGGATGACACTGAATTTGGATTCAGGGCTGGTAAAAAACTATCGATAGAAAATCGCTGAATAGAGACCAATGAAATGTATTTATTATAATCTAAAATAGGTAATTTGAGCTTTTTATATTAAATATCAGAAAGTTTTTTTTTTTGGATTTCAGTTTATTGTTTTTATGATTGGCACTAGCCAGCTATCGGTAGGCTACCACTGAACAGTAAATGAGCCACGCAGTGATGCTTGCCACAGGGTTGCGTTTTTGGCAGTCACACCAACACGCTGCGCAAACAATCGAAAAATATTCCATCTCTAGCTTCTGCGCGTGTTTCGATGTAAAAAAGGCGAAAAATATTGCTAAAAATCTTGTTTTTCATGCATAATTCGAGCGCTTTCCGCAGTATACATGTGAAATATACAGGCCACCATCGCTACTTAATGTGCTGCAATTGCAACAGAGTGGTAAAGTGCGCAACCAAAGTGAGCAGAAGATAAAATGCAAAGCGTGGACGGCGACGTGCAAAAAGAAGAAAATTTTTTACCCCGCACAGAGACGCGCAAAAAGGCAAGCAGGCGACTTCATTGGGATTAATCTAAAAAGGAATTGCGTGCAATTGTGAAATCCGCTTGCATAACTAGCAAAGGAGTCCTTTGCGTTTATAAACAATTGAATCTAATACCAGGCGTAAATTGTATAAGTACGCCAAGAGGTGGGGGCGCCCTATTCTCGTTCTGTCTCGTCTCGACCAATCCGCTGGGCAAATCTCTCGGTGTCGGTCTCTTTTGGTTCAGTTGAGCAGCGAACTTCCGTGAAATCGGTTCTTGTTTTGTCTACGTCCTCTCTTTGCGGTTTGCGCGCGTAAATTCGTCGTTCTCTCTCTTGTCCCTCTCTCTGCCGCCCACAATTTGTGGGAAAATTCTACCTAAGCAGGGGTACAGCAACAACAACAATAATACGTTGAGCAAAAACAGCAACAACAACAACACACAGGAGAAGAGCAGGTAAATAAACGTGCATAATTGCTGTATATGTGATTGTAGTGTCCATTCCAAGAATATTTCAAGTAAATTCGTTTATTTTTAGCAGAAAGTTGCGCTCTCGGCGGCTTTTTGCTACCATTTATTTTCAATTTTTGGCTTTACTTTTTGTGCCAGGGCTGCAAACACCCGATGACCGGTAATTTTTAATGTTTGTGCAATAAATATTGATAGAGAACCAATATTCGTATACAAAATCGCGTATTTCTCCCACATAAACTATTGAAAATATTGTCACTTTCTTGACGAAATGCCAAACCCTCATATCTCAGGTAATAATATTTTTTTTTCATTTCGCTTTCAGCTGCGTAGAGAACAACGAAAAATAGAGAGCGAGAACCGGAACGGATCCAACGCCAACGGCATGCAAAGGTAATAAAACTAATCATTTCTGCCCAAAGTGCGTTTAATCGATCATCGCTCTGATTGTTTGTTTGTTTCCCTTTATTTTGGCTGATAGCGTGTGAATGCAGAAAATATGATGGAAGCATTGGATCAGCAACAAGCCAAGCTAACGTCTAAAAGAGATGATGGAGAAGCAGGAACAGGAGCGGGAACGGGATCAGGATCGGGTACAGGAGCTGCCGGCGAGGAAGACGATTTCGAGGACCCTCATGATGCGCTGGGCATGGCGAAAGAGGAAAGCGAGGCCCATTTGCAGCAGGGAGAGAACAACAACGCACAGGAAAATTTCGGGGAAAAGCGGAAAAAGAGTGCTGGTGACGTGATAGACTTAACCCTGGCAAATGGCCAGGATTGTAAAGATACGCCAGAGAAAGGGGCATCCGAAACAGAGAAGGCAGATATGGTACACGAATCTGCAAAGAAATCTTCCGTGCATGTGATAGAAGACAGAGAAATGCCCGAGAAGGACACATCTCCCTTGGATTCGACAGTTTTCTCTCCATCCACAGATCTTATAAAGCAGGAGCGGGTGGACGGTTTCCCAGAAGAACTTCAAGAATCCGCTAAAATCTCACTGCAAGATGAGTTTTTAAATGACGTTAAATTAAAGACCGAAATGGATGATAAAGTCGATTCCGTTAGTGATAACCAAATGGAGTTCTTATCAGATGCCGAAGACCAGCCGATAAAGTCTCCTGAGGCAAAACAAGAAGCAGCAGTCATCAAGACGGAAGACAATTTCCTTACGGGGCAACCAGAGCACGATGACGTGGAAGCAAAATACTCTCCGTCTGCAAATAACGATTTTGAAAGCGATGATGAGAGAAAGGCGTACACCCCGGCAGTTATAGATCTTGAAACCGACTCTGAATGTGAGGAAAGGGAGTTCTTATCCATTAAAGATCCCAAAAGTCCCGTTTTAGAGAGTGAGGAAGAGAAGACACAGTCACAGTGCTCAAAAGATCTATATGAAGACGCAGTTGGTGAGGATCTGTCCCCTGCAGAGCCAGAAGTAGATGAAGCGCAATCGCAACCTACCGGCGAATCTCTATTAGGGGGATCCGATACAGCGGACTCTCCTTCGTTGACCATGGATGTGGATCTTCCAAGCAGCGAAGACGATCATGCGCCCTCTGGACCTATTAAAATTGAGTCGGATTCGGAAGACGAAGCTCTCAAGGGTAACATTAATTCAAAGAAACACCCTGTAGAGGTCGTTCCTCTAATCAAACTTAATGGGGCGCATCAAGCTTTAAAAGAGGAGAAGTTGGAAGAAAATGAGCAGGAGCATGTGGAGTCCCCCGGCCAAGAGCCAGAAGAACCCAAGCAACTGTCTGTGATAACAAACCACTCTGGCAACAACAGTAAGGTGGAGGACACACCTGTTTCCCAGGAGCCGCCGCTCTCTTTTATCCTTCCCGTTCGTACGAGCCGCAGTAGGAGCACAAGTAGTAGGTGCAGCACCGTAAGTTCCGCCTCCCAGCCCCAGCTGGTTATCGATCATCCGGAGAGCGAGCACAATTCCAGGGTGCAGACGCTGAAGCTTTCCCTGAAGCGCAGGCGCAGCAAAAGTTCCTCCGTCAGTCAACCCGACAAACAGCCAAAGGTCGATAAAGGCGGATCCGTCTCCTCACTGTTGCTACAACGCCTTCAGGGGAATCCCAATGTGGGTCCACCGGTTGCCCCTGCGGAGAGCCAAGTCCTAAGTTGTCCAAAGTGCAGCCTGCAGTTCGAGTTCGAAAGTTTTCAACAGCTAAATGAGCATCAGGCTCAGTGCAGCGGGATCAGGGGCGAAGAAAATACCAGCTCTCAGCCGACAGTAAAGAAAGAACGCTTCTTTCGCTGCGCCCAGTGTAGCAGCGTGCACCAGTGCTGGCACTTCTTCCTGCACATAAGGGAAGTTCATCAGCGCTACATCTGCTTGTACTGTAACCACGTCTATCCAAGTGTGGAGAAGCTGTCGCTGCATCTGGAGAACAAGCACGATATCGACCAGAGCCACTTCGCCAAGGATGCGTGGGCAGAGCAACAAAGGTCGGAGGACAGGGCGAGGCATCTCATCTGTTGCACATGTCAGGCCACCTTTGTGCAAGGCTCCGACTTTGAGGGTCACGATTGCTCCCAGCTAATGCAACCCTGTACTTTGTGCGGCCAAAAGGGCTGCCATGCCTTGGGCTGTAAGAATAACAAACGAAAACCGTTGAGAAGACGGAGAAAGGCGCGGAAGCCGCCGGAACCACCTCTGGCGCCGTCGCATGAGGCAGTTGAACAACCCGCGCCAATTGAGTTAATACAGGAACCGGAACCACCGCAGTTGCATCTGCAACCGGATGTCCAAAACATTTTCCCAGCAGAAAACAGTAAGTTGCAATAATTTGGAGTTTTTTATTCAAATTTCTAAATACATACTTTACAGTTCCAGCACCCGAGCCCGTCGACGATCCTCCAGCGCCTCCCATACCCAAATTGGTGGTGCCGAAGATTATGCTGCGGGTGCCAAAAGAATTTCAGAAGTCGGTGGACGCTGCTCTAAGCAGTACGGATACGGAGGACGAAGAAATAGACACGACGCAGCCATTGGAAGAAGCTCCGCCAGCACCAACCGAGGACTTATCCGTTGAGGCACTACCTCCTCCAAATCCAGTGCTATGTTTTGATGACTCAACATCGGCCAAGTTAAATCGAGTTTTGGCAGAATTGGAGCGCACCAAGCTGGACATTGAACGAACCAAGGCGGATATAATTACCAAAAAGCAGGCCAAAGTTATCATGGCACATGCAGAGGTGGAGAATGTGCCGCAAGTGATGGATCCTCCGCAGCAGTTACAGCCGCAGCAAGAGGAGCAGCGTCGTTGGTCCCTTACGCCGCCAGCATCGCCACACAATAATCATGTCAATCTTCCCGAACCTCAGCCAGCGGTGATCACTGAATTCCAAGATCGGCCCGATGCAGTGCGTCGCAACAGCCTAGGCAGTGATTGCATGGACATAGATGACAGCTTGAATGCTCCGGAGATGGAGGATAGTAGGGAACAACCCGAGGAGCAGGACGAATCACAGGAGGTGGCACAGCCTGTACAGGAAAATGATCATGATGTTGAACCGATACCCGTACAACCGCTTCTACCCGCCGACGGAATTATGGTGGCTGGGGAGGACACGCACACAGTGGATCTGCAATTAGATCGTCCCCTGGATCGATTTTCGATGGTGGATTTCGTTCGTTTGTGTTTAAAATCAGTGTACTCCACCTGCCTGTATTGCAATCACGCACGAAGAATCGCGGTGAACGGAAAGCAGTTAGTGCTCCACATAATCAGCCAGCACAGGTTCACAGCTACGGTGGATAGCATTACGGCGGAGGAGCTACATGCGGAGACGATCGTGGCAAGGCTAAAGAGCTTCCTTCCGCACCTAGAAAACGAGTATATGAACTCGGCCAGTTGTTGCAGTCTGGAAAATGGGAAGTATGTGGAGCCATTCAACGAGCGAATCTACGAGTGCTTCACCTGCCGCTATGTAACCTCCACGCATAAGGAGCTGTACACCCACAACAGGAGGATGCACATCAAGTCGAACATAATGTGTGTCATGTGCCAGACGAATTTCTACAGCTACAGCGAGATTCTGTGTCACATTTGCCCAGGCGAAGTGGCCGGGAGCATCTATGACCTCCAATTCCGGTGCTGCCTGTGCGAGATGGCTCCCTTGCCCTCGGCCTTTAGGCTAATGGTGCATTTGAGGAAACAGCACCAGGCCTGCGACATCTGCCTGGAGGATTGCCAAAGCCAAGCGAAGCTCTCGGCGCACGTGTGGAAGCACAAGTTGCTGCATTTGTGCTATCGCTGTGGTATTGCCTACAGAAACAAGCAGGACATCTCAAAGCATCTGTTTTGGAAGCACGGAACGGAGAGCGCAAGCTGCAAGCAATGTCTCCAGAAGCGCTGGCGTCATGTCTACCACTTTTGTGTGCCGCCCGCGCAGTTTCCATGCGAGCAGTGCGGCTTCATCTTCAGCAAGGCCATCTATTTGGAGGTGCACCAAAGGATGCACACAGGGGATTTCCGTTATGCGTGCACAGAGGTTGGCTGTGAAGAAAAATTTGTGTCGCGCAAGCTGCTGCTTAAGCACGCCAATAGTCATGTGGCGAAAGAACTGCCCCCACCATCTTCCGAAGTGCCGACGAATGACGAGAAAGTGACCGAAAAGCTGGATGAGGTCAAGCAGGAAGCGAAGGAGGGCGACGAAACGGTGGACGGAAATATTAACGAGAAGAATCTTTCGCCTAAAGCAGAACCCAGTAAGGATTCCACCAAGAAAGAGGAGTCAGTCGACAAGGAGGCGGCAAAAGAACCGACAGCGAGTAAATCTGAGAGTCGCAAGCGGCGCAAAAAGTCTAAGCGCAACAAGGAATCCCTTGAGGACCTCAACCTCATAGCCCCCAATCTGTCGGAGTCGGACAGCAGTGATGACAGTGATTCCGATGCGCCGAGAAGTAGCCACCAGGAGCAGGCAGTACTGCCAATGCGATCTTCTGTAGACGATTTGGGAATGCCCAAGGTAATGCTGTCCCCATCCTCGGAAAGCGATGCCGACGAAGCGGATGGCAAGCCCAAACTGAAGCAGAAAGAAGAACCTTCTGATGCCTCCAATGAAGATAAAGAGATAGAGAAAGCCGATCAAGACTCGGAGCCCAAGAAGGAGGAAGAGCAAGTGGATGTGTCGATTTGGAAAAACCTCCTACAAAACCAGCCACACAATCCGGAAGATCAAGCCGTTAAGGAGGAGGATGGGGAGTCAGTGGTGGTAAATCAGCCACCTGCCAAGCTCCATGTGGCTTGGTCTGATCACGATTACTGCAAGCTGCACCGCACTCCTCCCCCTTCGCCCGTTAAACAAAAGCCTGCTACCAATGCCTCCACTAAAGCGCCTGGGCAGAATGTCTCCAGTGACAGCGATAGCTCCAGTAGCTCCAGCTCCTCAGACTCGGATTCGTCGAGTTGCTCCTGCGGTTCGAACTGCAGCTGTAGTTCTAGCAACAGCAGTAGTTCCAGCGATGATTCCGACGACTCGGATAGCTCCAATGCTCGAGGATCGCCTCAAAAGCGGTCGCGCAAGAAATCTGTGAGGATGAAGAAGAGCTCAGAGTCCCTCAAAAAAGTACCCCAAAATGAGCAGGAACAGGATGAGGATGTTAATGTCTCTGCCCCCAATGAGAACAACATTCCTGCTGCTCCGCCTTCGCCCATGTACAATGAGTCTGATTTCGATACTGCTTTCTCGGAGACTGATGAGGAGTTCTACGACTCGCATCCCCAGAAACTGGCCAACGAGCTGCTGGCCCAGAAGCGCGAGGCTCTCATGGCAGAGCATGCTCCTTTGCGACCGAGCAACAACTACGATATTGTGGAGAACAGTCGACCCTCGACTCCCTCACTTCCCGAGGAGGCGTCCGCTTTTGCGGAGAAGCGGGAAAGGGTAAGAAACAAGAAGAAGAAGCGGGAACGAAAGTCTACTTGTAAGTCCGGAAAGCTGCCTCCGGTAGCTAGTACTCCCCCTGCCCATGGACGGAATGGTGCCCGAAATATCAGCAATGCCTGGAATGGTGGCGCCTTTAGAGCCACCCACTCCCATTCAGGCTCACCCAGAATCGTCTCTTTTTTCTGTCACTCCACTAACCCATCGTCACCTGCAGTCTTCGATGACCAGAATGAGTGAGGGAAGTAGTTGCTCCGATGCCGACGGCCAACTGAAGCGTTCGAAACGCCAGCGAAGACCGAATAAGTTCTACGGGTATACGAGCGACGATGAGAACATGAGCGCCGTCCTGGCGCCACCGCTTCAGGTGGGAATGCAGCTGATTAAACCCCAGCCGCCGCCACAGTTGACCTGGGCCAAGGAGGATCTGCCAACACCGCCCAAACAGCGGAATAGAAATAACAACAGCCACCACCATCACTCGCACAGCAATGGAGGAATTTCATCGGCCGGATCGTCGCGGAAGAGAAGTAAGCAACGATCGCTGCTCAGCGCAGGAGGATCGCGTTCCGCCAAGCGCCACAAGCCGGATCGAGAGGATCACTTGCCACCCATTCCGACCCTCAAGATTCGGCCCAGCCTGCTGCCCAGCACGGCTCCGCCGACAGACAGCAGTGACAGCAGCTCGGACGACGAAGATGCAGAGATTAATGTGACAAGTTTGGTGGCGACCCCGCAACCAGCGGCACCCCCAGTTCTGAGCACTCCTCTGCCGGCGGTCTTGCCAGTGCAGCCACCTCCACCGCCGCCGCCGGCGGCCACGGCTTTCAACCAACCCATACCGCCTGCTTTGCTGCCCAATCCCGGCTTCGCCACTCTGCAGTACTTCAAGGCCAACAACATCCGGTACCCCATACGACCGCCTGCGGGAGCGCGTCTTGCTCGCGAGGGAGAGTCCGTGTACTGCTACTGTCGCTGTCCGTACGACGAGGTGTCCGAAATGATCGCTTGTGACGGGGACAACTGCCTTATCGAGTGGTTCCACTTTGAGTGCGTGGGCATCATGGTGGCGCCGCAGGGCAAGTGGTTCTGCGCCGAGTGCAGGCCGAAGTACTCGGAGGGTATCTATCAGGGCGCCAGTGCCCAATAAACGGACGCGGATTATCTGCATTATTGGTTCCTCCTACCACAAGAAATCAACTATAACTACAAACCCCACTACAGAATGGATTACGCTTATTAATGATAAAAATATGTAGTCGCTTTCTCTCGACGATCGGCCGAGAAGAAGATATCTATATCTTATCCAAACTACTAAAAAAAAAAAAGATACCTAGAGTAATAAAGTAACGTATTTTTAAAGATCGAGGGCAGAATGAAACCCCAGGCTCAAAAAAGCTCTCCGAGGAGAGCCTAAGCTAAGCTAATGCTAATTTAAATATCTGCAACTAGCTTATCAAATTATATATATTTCTATATTCACTTAAATTGTATGTAAATATCGATGGCTGCATATTTCGTATGCACTTTGTAAAATAGCTAGATTACTCAAGAGATCCCATTAACACTTAGACTATAGGGTTTACATTTATAAATAGCAGTCCCCAAGTATAGTACATAACTAAGTCTACACATATACTTATAATGACTATGATTAGAACACAAACAAATCGAAAGCCAGCTGCAAAACGGAATGCAATGGATTATGGGAGAAATAAACTTGCAACATTGTGAGACGTATACAACAAAAATATCAAAACTAATTGTCCTAATTTGTTTGGCCAATCGTCGACGGGACTAATATTGGTTCATCAATTTATATGGTAATCAATGGGGCATTAGGATATATAATTGGTTGCATTGAGAGAAGGAAAGGAAAAAGTGGATAGAGGGTTTACGTGTGCAGGTAATATAATGTAAATTTTTACTATATATGTTACTATATTTTTTTTTTTGTAATTTTCTTTTCTAACAACGCGTGCAATTTATTGTTCAATATTAATCTTAGGAGTTTTTATGGTACCCATAACTCTTCCGTAAGATTTGTGAGTTCTGGGAATTCCTATTACAATCCCCAAATAGTTGTTGTTTAACCAACCGACTGCGTTGCGGGTTTAATATCCTAGAAAAGAATTCCTTGCTCCCGGCTCTGATTATGCCAAAGTAAATGCAAATAAGCCACGACTGCCGGACAATGTTGTTGTAGTTGCGCACGATGAATGGGCACGAAAGGCGCCAGGGTCAGCGGTGGGGTCACCCCCCGTCCACTCACCCACGCGGATTTATGAGGGAGTCTCGGTTTGTTTACCAAACAGCACGTTGATTTAATTGCTATTATGGAAAGGAGTCGCAGTAGCGAGTTCCCTCGGCGAGTGGAAGCAACAACCACATCAGAGTTCAATTACAGGTGGTGCCGAGGGTGTTACCCCCGACTGGACGGGCGGACGACTGCTCGGTCGGGCGGGTGGTTGTCCAGTGGTGTGCGTGCACTGAAATTACCATAAATCTGATGGCTCGAATAAAAAAGGCTGCTCTGGTGAACTTGGCCAGTTAGTTCGTGTTGAGTTTTCGCGGCGAGCGGTTAACCGGAAACGCGGACAGCCGGAGAACGAAGCGGACTTTTGATTATCGGCTGACCTGCGTGTCCGTATTGCCATGTCCACGGGACATCCCAGTGCTGAGCAAACAGAAACACCCCCTTATCCCGCCGCCGCCTAGCTGGTGGCATCCACATAGGTGACCATGGTGCGCCGGGCCTCGAGTGTTCCGCATCTAAACAGTAGTGGCGGCAGCAGTGCGGATAGCGCCGGCACGTCGGGAAGCCGCCGGGGTCGGGCGCCTGTGGCCGGTTCGCGCGGTCGGAAGGCGCCCTCTTCCACCTCCACCGGCCAGAATCAGCGGCAGAGCTCCGGGAGCAGCAGCAGTGTGCCGCGATCCCGCAGTCTGACCAACGGCATGCGGCGCCTGAGTCCGCAGAAGGGAACCGGGAGCAGCGGCGGGGGAGGAGGTAGCTCCCGGAATACGCCGTACTTCCTGCGTTCACGCGAGAATGAGTAAGTGCGGGAATGGATTGCGATGCTTCCCACCGTAATCAATGGGCGATAAGTTGTGAAGTCTGCCGAACTACTAACAGTAGCCTCACGCACTAGAAGTCTTTGAATCCAAACTTAGATCGATTGTTCTATCTTATTCTGCCTCACTTTGAAAGATAAAGAAATTTGAATGTAAGGTACAGGCTAAGTAAAGCTTTGGTTCGGCTTAATAAGTTAGTCAGTCTCCACTGTACCTTTATTTTTGGAATTTTAATAGCTACAGGAATATTAAAAATGCGTTCTTTCAAAAACCTTGGCAAAGTCGTAATATAGGCCATTATTTATTGAAAGTGCCTATAGGGGGAAAATGTATTAATTTGCATCAGAACGTGTGGCAGGGCGGGAAGGGAAAAGATGAGGGGAGAGGCTAATGATAACACGACAGGCCAGGAGCTGCCCACCCCTAATAGGCGATCCATTATAAACCCTATGGGCGAAGGTAAGGAAGCAACGCCACAAGCCAAACCATAATGACCACGCACAATAAGCCAGGAGGCAGACACGACGACTGACGGACGGACAGGCCATCAAGCGGACAGACAAACGGACGAACTGTGAGGTGGACTGACCGGCCTCCATTTAAGCAGTTTCTAGCTCGGAAATGGAGGAAAGCAACGACAGATCTGAGGGTTGAGTTCCGAACGAGTCCGACACAAATCGATTTTGCAATTAAAGCATATTGAAGTCTGTCTGTGTATGACCGGAGTAGAGAGCGAAAGTGACATTTGTATGTTAGTTTTTATATTCTATGTGGGTTCAGGTGTGGCAGACACAACGGAGTTAAGGTTAAGGACCCTGGCTCCTTAGCTCGCTGGCAAGTGGGTTAAGTGCCAGTTTGTGGTTTGCCTCCATTTGGAAGGGATCATTAATAATTTAGGGAAGAAAAGTAGCTTAGTAAGAAGAAAGTCTTTTTGAAGTTCCACTAACTTTCTTTGACTTATTTTGACTTTTTTGTATTTCCCACTCTTGATGGTAATTATAAAGGATGTTCAAGTTTCAAACCAAAGCGGAGTTCACCCATTAGCTGCCTTTTAACGTGTAATTTAATTGTTCGTCAAGTGCCATTATTCAGGCTAATGTTCTCTAAAAGATACTCAGGCTAATGAACAAGGCCACAATTGACACCTATGTCACTTGGTAATTTATTGAATTGTCTGGATATACAGAAACCGAGTTTATTTTATAGATACGACGTGATTAATCCCACCAGGCTAACCGCATTATGGGCGTTATAATTATTTTGGAGCACGCATGTGTTTTAGCCTTTTGATTAATTAACGCGATGATAGCTATATGATTGACGACACACTTTGAATTGGAAGTGGGATAATATATATCCATTTGATATAGTCAAAAACTTTTATATATTAGCTCAATACCCGGCAGTGTCCAATCCGTTTTCAGGTCAACACTCAAAAAGTGACTTCGCGTGCGTAGCTCTAGGTTTTGCAGTTAAAAATCCTCATATACTATAATGTTTATATCCATATAGATTTTCTGGCATGCACGGGTTAGGTCATAATTACGCCCCCGCAGATAATCAAGCCTTGCATTTCGTTGCCTAAACTTTGCATGGCTAATAAATGTATCCCGCGGACGACTTCGGTTGCCTCGGATTCCATGGTTGGGAAATAAAAGTGAGAGTTCTCACTCGCCACACTCTTTATTTGAATGGCAAACAAATGGCCAGAAAAACCCACATTGTGACTTCTCTTTGGGCTTAGCCTGAGGTTTCTCGTTGCTTTTAAATCAGGCCTGGGTAATTATTGATATTAGCTCCGAGCAAATATCAACAATACATATTTACAAGTAGGCTTTCATTTACCAATTGCATTTTAGAGCAGACCCCACTTAAAAAGTATAACAAATTGTAAATATCTAGATCTCATCGTTTTGATTATTATGTTCAACCAAAGACTATAGAATATCTATATTCTATAGTCTTTGGTTCAACCTATAACAGTATTGGAGGATTATTTTGAAACGAATCAAAACTTTCGCTTTTAGCTAGCACGTCACAGGGATTTTATTGGCCGATTAAATATTAAAAATGAATGGGGTAGACTAAAAGTTGATTGAACTTTCCTCAGCGTTGGCTTCTTAAGTTGCCGCACCTGAGGTTTCGTGTTAATTTTCTTCTATTGGCGCCCTCTGAAATATTTACCAAGAGCACACAGCCGGCCCTACTCATGTCTGATTAATAAAGGTAGAGTGAAGTATGGCCATTAGGGCATAAATGTTTAACAAGTCATTTACGTGAAAATGTTAAATGTCAGCTATGGGCCACACACAATCACGCCAGGATGGCACATTGCACATACGCCGCGTTGCCCGGCCTATTTGCGGTTCAATAAACTGTTTGTATTGGGAACTTTGTTCGGTTTGTGTGGGATACCATAAAATTAGAGGAATAATTGCTGGTATGGCGTACGATCAAAACAAAAACTATGGAAAATCTTAATCAATAATTAACTGCTATGTATTTACACATTTCCATAATGCGCTAGAACGGTATTTCTTTGAAACGAATTTGTTAATCCAATTGAAATGTAACCTCTGACCCCCCTCAAGTAAACTAATAATGAATTAGTGTGAAAAACGTGGTCGAATGATTCGATATAAGCCCCATGAGCAATGAGCCATGCCATCCACCCTTAACCTTGGCTATTTATAGGCCGCCCAACGTCAGAACTCCATCAAGTTCAAGGCAAATCCACTAAAATCACGGAAATTCGCAGAGGCCACAACAATCCTAGTTCATAAAACAGTGGTCGCTTTACTTCACTTTGATTGATTAATTGCGATTCTAGGAATTGTGAGCGTCATTTGGGTTCTAAGCTAAAAGTTGAAAGTGTGTTTTTATTTTACTTAATCTTTTATCCATGAAGAATTGGTAGTGCTGACACCCTGGAAATCGTGGCGTCCAAATCAACGGGCAGCGAGGAGTGCTCTACGCCCGAGGATAATATCAATGTGGTGGTTCGAGTGCGTCCGTTAAATGAAAAAGAGAAACGGGATCGTCATGGATCCACGCTTCAGTTTCCCGGAAACGGACAGGTTATAGTAAGTATGGTCCTCCATTATCCTATTTTTATGCTAAAACAAATCCGCTCCAGCTGGAGGGCAATGATGTGGGTCAGAAGAGGTCCCATAATCGTGACAGCGTTCGCGTGTTTACCTACAACGTGGTATTCGAGCCAGGAGCCACGCAGGAGGACATCCTTGACTACTCGGGCATCAAACGCATCATCGAAATGGGCATTGAAGGATTCAGTTGCACCGCGTTTTGCTACGGACAAACGGGATCCGGCAAAACGCACACGCTCACCGGACCCCCGGATTTGGTTAGTAGGAAAACAAACAATATTTAAGAGAACGGTTTTAAAGCCATGGCTTTTTCAGTTCGTTGGAAAACCGAACCCTAAGGACCCGCGACATGGCCTCATCTTCCGCTCGTTTTTGTATCTCTTCCAATTGATTAAGAATCGCAAGGACGTCAACTACGTGCTGAAAGCCTCCTTCATGGAAATCTACAATGAGCGGGTAAGCAAAGCCCAACGCAGAACTTTCCATTTACTTCAACGACTTTAATGTCAATGGCTTGACCTCAGTACATTCAATTTAAATTCAAATTGCTTTGCCATAATACTGATTGCTTCAGCCGCGAGTATGTATTGCATTGACCTCTATTTAATGGATGTCAGCACGCTTCACCTACCGAAAACGAAATGGACAGAAAGTCCACCCACCTTTCTTGGGTTGTCACAATGCGTAAAATGTTTTCTGCATTTTGCGTGGAATTTTCAATGATTTGTTTTCTTAGCCCACCTGCCATTTCCTTATTCGATTCGCAAATTGAATTTAATTTTTTATCTTTCGCTAGGTAATCGATTTGCTCAATCCTGGAAGTGCGCGGAAACCGCTGGCAGTGCGATGGTCCAAGAAATCGGGTGGCTTCTTTGTGGAGAACCTTTTTACGGTGGACTGCGAGGAATTGGATGACCTGCTGGCTGTTCTGGAAGAAGGTAGAGGATTTCACACATTACAAAATGAGTACTTGGTGTTTTGCCGGCTCAAGGTCTGGGGGACATCAAAAAACACAATTTATTTTTTTTTAAAAACCAATATATTTCGGTTGCTCCTCGGCAACCGTCTTCAGGGCAAATTTTGACACGTCTGCGCCAAGTGACGTGGAGTTGAAAAAATGAGGAAATTTACTAACTTTGTGGATGTTGCCTTCCTTTTTAGGTATGAGAAATCGAGCCGTTGGCTCTCATGCCATGAACGATCACTCCTCGAGGTCCCACACAATCCTGACGGTCCACATCCTGTCCGATCAGCAGACGGATGGTGGGGTGTTCCTTTCCAAACACGGAAAGATCAACTTCGTGGACCTGGCTGGCAGTGAGCTGACCAAGAAGACCATGAGCGAGGGAAAAACCCTGGAGGAGGCGAACAACATCAACAAGAGTCTCATGGTACTGGGTTATTGTATCTCCTCACTGAGCGATTCCAAGAAGAGAACTGGACACATTCCATACCGAGACAGCCAGCTGACCAAGCTTTTAGCGGACAGCCTGGCGGGGAACGGCGTTACCTTGATGATCGCCTGCGTGTCTCCAGCTCACTACAATCATGCTGAAACGCTGAATACCCTGCGTTATGCCTCGCGGGCAAAGAGGATACGCACCAAGCCAGTGATCAAAATGGATCCCAGGGAGGCACTGATCCTTAGTCTGAAGAGGGATATCCATGCGCTCCAGATGGAGAACGACCACCTTAAGGCGGCTCTGAATCTTCACCATCAAACGGCACCGAACGGAGGGGCTGCCGAAAACCTCCTCGAGCTTCAACTGGATCGCGTGAGCAGCGGTGGAGGAGTGCCGGTGCCCAAAGTGGATCTGCAGCGACTACCAGAGCTGGATGGCTCCGAACTGGCCGAGCTTGTGAAACTCTACATGGTGGAGAACGAGTCCCTGCGTCAAGAGAACAATCACTTGTTCACCGTGCGGGAGACCATCCTGAGGGATCAGGAGATTGTCTGCCGCGAGAATGAGCGCCTACTCAAAAAACTGGAGGATGTTAACAAGTAAGTAGTAGTAAGCAGTAGTAGTAAACCTTGCCTTGGGCTTTATAACACATTTTCCGGATGGGTGTTAGTTTTTCCTTCAGGCCTGGCTCATTGTTCTCTCCCATTTCTGACTCGTTCTAGGTCGAAAACGAAAGGGGACGAGGACAATGAGCCAAGCAAGGAAGCCCAGATGAAAAAGGAGTAAACCAATAATATATCAGTCGTTTTTTACTTTTTACATATTATTGTGGAATATGTATTTGGAAATGTTTTTTAAAAACAAGCCTTGAGTGTGACTAGTCTTATAAGAATTTGTAATAAAAGTTTGTTTTTGTTCCTATGAATTGGAAAAGGGCTTCTAGAAAAATTTATAAAAATTTTTGGAGAAATTGATTTGAAAATTTGTATACCTCTGCAAAGGTATTAGAATTTAAGTAATAAGTTTCCAACGCAGTAAAGGACACATCAGGACACATAAAGGACCCCAAAAAGTATTTATATTCTTGATTAGCATCACCAGCACTTGAAAGTCTATAACTTTTCCTAATGATGTCCGATTTTGATTGATATTGTGACTTAGTCCTTTAAGGAACTGCATTATTACTTTGGATTCGATTTTTAGATCGATTTTTATCACATTTTTATGATGTAAAGTCATAGCTTCGATGTTGTTTGTAGCCTTGTAAATTTTGGTTCGACAGAATTGATGACTGCAAGGGTACATATGTATGTATCTAAACTTTGGCTCCCCGAAGCTATTTTGTTTAATTTAATACTATAACTGTATTTCAGAGTCTGTGTCCGTTCACCTTTAATACCGGCACGTCCGGCAATATCTCCAACCTCAGGAATGGAAACTCCTGGCACTGAGATATGGACCAATCCCGAGCCTCTTCAATCTCCACCAGGATCGGATTTGCCCATTGAGCAGCGAATATCGGAAAACGCTGATAGAAGGACGGATACGGCTCAAAAACGAATCGATCAGCATCGCATTGCTAAAAATATTTTGATTATGGCCAACGCATTCCGGAAACCGGATTCCGATTTGGCAAAGGAGTTGAGCATTAATTCAGAAAAGGCAAAGCAGTCAACCGGTTTTATGCCTGAGTAAGTTCCAAAAGTATTGACAATTATACGCTGCTCTTAACTCTTTTATTTTCAGCATGCTTACATAATCAAATTAAAAAAAAAAACTAGTTCTAAGCTCAGTAAATTATTATATTTTTGCAATAAATAAAGTAAAAGATGTCAAAAAGACAAAAATATAATACAAATTCAATTTGTATTGTTTAAAAACGCACAATGTAAAATTTTTATTGGGAATTTTTTGGTTAATTTTATATAACGAAACCTTATTAAAAAATATTTTATTCTAGTAATAAACCGAGCTTTTATGATCCGTATAGCGTTTGAACTCCCCACATCCTCAAAGTTTTAAAGCTTTTGAAAACGGCTGGAAAATCAAAGCGGTCACACTGTACCAAATATTGATTTTTCATCATACCCCACCAAAAATTACTGCTAAAGGTGAACAGCTTATTTCTTAAATAAAAAGACTAAAAGACAGAACACCGAAGAAAAATCAAATCAAGGATATTGTATCCGGTATCCGGCAGCAGTATTAGCATAGCTTCCACCATAGGTCTCGCGGAGACAGCCGTCCTGGACATAATGGCTGCGAGTCTGCAACAGCAGCGCTCCATCAACCTGCAGCTGCGCCGGGAGGTGGAGATGGAGCGGATGCCCGTCTCAGAGGCATGCTCCCTGATGATGAAGTACATGCTGGATCACGAGGAGGAGGACTGCCTGCTCAACGGATTCACCCAGAAGGTTAATCCGTTCCGTGAAAAGAACTCCTGCAGCATTCTGTAGGTCCGGAAAAAAACGGACTCGTTCCTAACAGTATTATCCTATAACTTATACTCAATTACGGCAGATATCTCTACCGTGCATGTCATGTAACCTATTTGCTGTTCGTTGTAAGTGTGCTGACCTCAATTACGTCTATAAACTGAGTATATACAATAGAATCGGGCGATTCGAGAATTTATGAATGTGTAAACAAAAAAAGGGAACCGTCTTGAACTTAAACGCCTGCATATGTGTGTATAAATATCGTGTATTTTGCTAATCCTGTAGCTCTTTATTGGAGAACTTAGCAAACACCTTCTCATAGTAAATGTTTTCTAATGAAATAATCCTGAAATAAAGCCATGTAGCCAAAGATTTTCATGTGAATAATATTGTTTTCGATTTAGTTTAGGTATTACATTCAAAATTTCAGAGTAGATCAAATGTCGTCTGCAAACTTTCGGGTAAGCTGTTTCACTTTTGGATGGGCGATGCGAGAAAACAAGTCCCTCGCTGTAAATCCCTACTTTGTTTTTCTTCATCAATTCCGGAGAAATCTTAAGAAGCGTGGAATCCACCAATTGAACCCGGTTGCCGTGGCCAAAATAGCGGGCAGAAAGTGGAGAGAAATGTCGCCGGCCCAGAAGTCTGTTTTTATTGAAATTGCCAAAATAAATCGCGCCAGAGTTGGGACTCGAAAACGCCCTACGGTTCTAGTTGCGGGGGCAAGAAGATAGTTTCTGTTTGAACACATACATTTTTGAAAGTCCATCAACGTTTTTTAACGTATTAACCCGCTTTCGCTTGAAATTTCCAAGAACAGTTTGCAACACTCCTACAACGCAGTACAGCTGTTTATCATCGTTTGCCAGCACTGACAGATTTGTGAAGTGTACAATAGAGCAATTTTACGAGAAATAAACCATGAGTTCGGGGTTTGTGACTGAAGCTGAGGCCGCTGAGCAGCGGCAGAGACGTCAGGAGGAATGGGAGCGTGTACGTCAACCTGAAGATCCACTGGAACGACCCGAGGAACCCTACGACGGACGGTCCTTGTACGAACGCCTTAAACAAAATAAGGACAAAAAAGACATGGAGTACGAAGAGGCTCACAAGCTTAGTATGTCCTAAAATGTACCATTACCAAAGCCCTGATCTAATATACGCATTGCATATACAGAAAACCTCATTCGCGGTCTGGACGACGATGAGGTCCATTTCTTGGAGCTTGTAGATGCCCACAAAATGAACGCGGAGCGCCAACAAATGCGCGATGAGGAGCTTGAGCTCGAGGACTTTCGGAATCGCGTGGAGAAGTTGCAGGAGGAGAGTGTAGACAAGGTAAGGATGACAAACTATTAGGTTTAAAATTCAATACAAAGCGAAAATTCGGAAACCCCCAGAAGCTGCAAGCGGAGCTGAAGACCACAGCAAAGTCCGGTGGAGCGTCTGCCGGGCGCAGCACCCAAAAGTCGTTACTTGGCCAGGGCATCAAGCGAAAGAATGGAGAACAGCCTACCACCAGCAAAGTAGCCAAGAATGCGGAGGGTGAGGTGCCCCAAACAACCGCGGAGGAGGCTGTCAAGGAGTCGCCGGTCAAGACAACGAACACTACGCTAACCACAAACAAGTACGACCAGGGAGCCTTAAAATGCATTGCTGTACTGCCAGGCATCGGTTCCTACACAGAGTCCAGTGACTCAGAGGCCAGCACGGACGAGGAAGAACCAGACCTATGCAGCAAGACCGATCTGTGTGGCCGGAAAATACCCAAGAAGAAGCAATGCACCGAGTAGGGTCAGCTTTTTATTTGGATTCTTAATATGTAGTTTCTTTCCTTGCAAGAGAATATAGCCTAGAGTGTAAACGAAACGTCTTACGCATCCTTCTTCTTGTTCCGATTGCGGTTTTTCACGTTCGTTGTCTCGTAGAAGTTGCTACCGATCTTTTTGCGTTTTTGGCTGCGCTCCAGTGAGCGTTTCTGCTTGGCCGTCAATCGAGGAGCCTTTGAGGTGCTGGGTCCATCGTCATCGGAGCTGCCGGCAACGTCCGAATCTCCCGGTTGAGTTTTGGCTACTCGGAATTTACCAGACGATGTAATGGCCAGTTGCTGCGTCTTCTTCGCCTTCGCCTTCTTATGCACAACACGCTGCAAGTCCTCGTCGTACTCGTCCTCAGAGTAAAACTCATCCGCCCCATCGCTCGAGTCCTCCTCTTCTTCGCCGAGTTTGTGGAGACGGGCCTTCTTCTTGGCCGCGCGCTCAGCCTTCTGCTGTTCTAGCAACTCAAGGTCTATGTGGTCTAGCTCCCTTACATCCTGCTGCTCGTACTCGAGACCAACGCGAATCTTTCGGAAGTCCTGAATTTGCTTAAACTCGCGTGCCTTTTTCACGGATTCGCTTACAAAGGTGGGTGCCTCAGATTTGGCATCTTCGTTGGGATCCGCGGCCACTTCTTCCTCTTGTTTACCCTCCTGTGACTTGGGAGTGGCAAAACCTTCAGGAGGAACATAGAAGGGCAGCTTGCCACGCTGCCAATCGTTAAGCACCATACGGGCTGTGACCGTTACATCTGGCTCGCCACCCTTTAACAACTTGCCGGTCTTCTGGGCAAGCTGCTCCAGGAAGTGTGTGGATGTGTTCCAATTATCTATTTTGTAGTTTTTCGCGATATATTCGTGACGCACGCGCTTTAGCAAGGAATCGACATAGTCCTCGGGATTGGTGACCAGTTCCACGCGAACAACGCCCTTCAGCACCTTTTCGGTGTCCGTTTCCGCGGTGGGGTACACCACGCCGGGACAATCGATCAGGAAGATGCGCTTCATCAGGGTAATATACTGCCACACCTTTGTCTCTCCCGCAATGGGAGCTACTTTACATACCTTCTTAGAGCGTAGGGCATTAATGACCGATGATTTACCGACATTGGGATACCCAATGAAACCCACGCTGATCTGCTTCTTATCCAAATGAAGTTTGCCCAACTGACGGAACAGGTTGATTAGAGCACCTAAGAGTAAAGAGGGACTGTTATCAATTGCATTCAAAATTAATATTCTCACAAACTTACCCTTTCCAAAGGGATGTTGCAGGGATGCATGGAACGCTATGGTGGGATACTCGGCACTCAGGATGGCCACCCAACGCTGGGTGACCCACACCGGCACCAAATCCACCTTGTTCAGGATAAAGAACAGATGCTTGTGTGGCTTTTCTTTGCGCAGGAACTCTTCAATGTACTTTGAACGGGTACCCATTGGATCACGGGCATCCAGGACCTGGAGCAGTACATCGGACGCATCCACAACCTTGTGCAACTCGTTCCAGATTCGCTTGCTCTGGCCAGCACCAAAGACCCAATCCCGTACGGCCTTCTTCTCGCCCGTGTCCTCCCGGATCAGATCCAAATCTTTGGCCGAATCGTACTTATCGGCCTGATCATCCGCCGCCTTGCTCAGATCCTCTAGGTCTCGCACTTTCAGGCTGACCCGCTTGCGCTGCTTTTTTGGCCCAAAGGTGCTGTCAAAGCTTTCGGTGTCCAGAAGGTGCACCCTTTTGTACTTGGCCGCTTCATTAAGCAGCGTAACTGGTAGCTGGGAAGGCTTCATGATCACTTGATAGGGATCCTTAACAGCTTTGCCAATCTCGTCCTGAAACTTCTGCAGTGCCGTTTGCGAGATGACTCGGGAATTGCTGAACCACTTGGGCGTGGGCTCTACTCGGGCCATCGTTCCAGCCGGCAGGCGCCCCTGAAATAACATACAATTAAGATTAGTTTTAATTATCAACTCCTATTTTACCCTCTTGAGCAAACCTTTAATTTTTTAAACACAATCTCTTACTAACATTTTAAACTCACTTCTGGAATTTTGATATCTTGGTATTTTAGGAGGTGTATTTATTTATATTAATATTTTTGGTTCAGATTTTAAATAAATGTTCAAATACATAATCCTTCTGTTATCAACAACCCATTTGGTTGACACCAAAAATAAGGTATGAATATCTCACTCTAAGCTATTGTTAAGATGTCTGACACCAGAACTCACCTGGAAAGGGGCAGGAGTAAGGATCTTTCCAGTGCGGTCGCGCTTAGCCTTGAAGTTGCGGTACATCTGCAGCCGCTTTATTGTCCCCTTGGTGCGGGGGTGTGCGACTCCCTTGAGGCCACTTTTTGGGCGCTCCGGATTCATCGAGTGGTTGGAGTGGTTAAATCCCTGCGTCCGGGGCTTCCCCCGGGGTGCTGCGTACCTTTGGCATGGTGTTTCAAATATGCCGTGGTCTACGAATAACAATAAAAATTTTTTTCGAAACGTTCAAACCAAAACACACGTGTTTGGTTTAAACAAGAAAAACAAAGGGATCGACCGTTGCACAGCACTGTTTGGCTTTACTTTGCAACACTGATTGAAAATGCGGTCGCAAAAAATCTCTACTACCAGGACTGGGCACACTTAAATCACAACACCATATAAAATAAGTTTAACTACAGCTTTAAAATTTGGATTGTTAATATTAATACTGACTAAAAGGTTGTAAAAACGAATTGCTCTTAAAAAAGATAATACTAGTATTAAATTATAAGGAATATCACGTGTTTTTTCAAAGTGCTTAGCAATATCAAGCAGTAAGCCTGTCTTAGATGGGTGTATTCGTGTGACCCGAACTGTGTTCAAGAAGCAAGCTGGTTTATATCCGTGTGCATACATATCCGCTTAGCCACGAGCTTCGGCTGCACTTAATAAGCCTTAATAGTTAACGAATTAGGATCTGCTTGTCTCCACAAACTAATAATGTGAATCAGGTCATTTAAAACGACCCGTAGTGTTTAGTTACGTAGTGATTACTGTTAAAGTAATATATATTTCCCAAGCCTGACTTGAAATTGCGTATGCGTGTGCCAGCGCCTGCATGTGTGTGTGTTTTGGAATGTGGCCCTGCACGAAATTCAAATAGTGACCATCCTTGAAAGTTGCACTTTTGCGCTTGCGAGATGGACGAGCATACACTGAACGACCTGTTGGAGTGCTCTGTGTGCCTAGAGCGATTGGACACCACTTCGAAAGTGCTTCCATGCCAGCACACCTTCTGCCGCAAGTGCTTGCAGGTGTGTAATACCAGTAGTTTATTCCCTTCATACTGATGTTAATAATGTTTTGTTTGTCTTAGGACATTGTGGCCAGCCAGCATAAGCTACGCTGTCCAGAATGTCGCATCTTGGTTTCTTGCAAAATCGATGAGCTTCCCCGAACGTCTTGCTAATGCGAATCTTGGAAGGTAACGACACCGCCCACGCAAGTTTTAACTGGCACAGCAGCCTACGCTCCAAAAGCTGAAATGCTCAGCTTATGAGTGGGGCTGAGTGCTGTTAGCAATGGAATGCATTAGATATAGAACTTCAATTCCCTTCTCACTTATTTTCAAAGGCATGAAACAAACGGCAGCAGCTGGAAAAGTTGACGGAAAGGGCGAGGAGGTCGAATCGCAGCCGGAGAAGCCACAAGCTAAGTCTTCAGTGGAGTCCACGGCCTCGTCTGCCAACCAAATCCTTCAGCAGCAACCACTTCAGAATTCCCAGCAGCCAGCCCGGCACAGACAGCGCCGTTTTCTACTTCCCCACGCCTATGCTCTCTTCGACTTCGCCTCCAGCGAAGCCAGTGATCTGAAGTTCAAGAAGGGAGATCTCATATTGCTTAAGCATCGCATTGACAACAACTGGTTTTTGGGCCAGGCGAATGGCCAAGAGGGCACCTTCCCTATCAACTACGTTAAGGTGTCGGTACCGCTGCCCATGCCACAGTGCATCGCCATGTACGACTTTAAGATGGGGCCCAACGACGAAGAGGGCTGTTTGGAGTTCAAAAAGAGCACCGTAATCCATGTCATGCGCCGCGTGGATCACAATTGGGCAGAAGGTCGCATAGGCCAAACCATTGGAATCTTTCCTATAGCTTTTGTAGAGCTGAATGCAGCGGCGAAGAAGTTGCTGGATAGCGGGGTCATTAACCTTTCACAGTGCCATCTGCCGCAGCAACAGGGGCAGCGGGCTCTTCCACCGGTTCCTGTTATTGATCCCACCGTAGTCACGGAGTCCAGTTCGGGATCCTCGAGCACCACGCCGGCGAGCAGTAACTCCAGCTCCACGTCCAGCTCCAACAATTGCAGTCCAAATCACCAGTCGTCGCTGCCAAACACTCCTCAGCATGTGGTAGCGTCTGGATCGGCGTCTGTTCGTTTTCGGGACAAAGGAGCCAAGGAAAAACGGCACTCACTGAATGCTTTGCTGGGAGGAGGCGCTCCTTTAAGTTTGCTGCAGACCAATCGTCATTCGGCCGAGATTTTAAGTTTGCCGAACGAATTGAGCCGCTTGGAGATGACCAATACGGCGGCTCCCAAGCCGGCGTCAGTCATGCAAACTTCCCGGGTTCTCAAAACAAATGTTCAGCAGCAGATGCCACCGAATCTGCCCTGGGGGTACTTGGCTCTGTTCCCGTATAAACCACGCCAAACAGATGAGCTAGAGTTGAAGAAGGGATGCGTTTACATAGTGACCGAACGATGTGTAGACGGTTGGTTCAAAGGCAAGAACTGGTTGGATATTGCCGGAGTGTTTCCGGGCAACTATTTAACGCCATTGCGCACCCGCGACCAGCAGCAGTTGATGCACCAGTGGAAATATGTTCCCCAAAGCTCAGATGCCCAGCAGACGAACCCACATCAGCAGCAAGTTGCCTCAGATGTCCGGCTCACCAACATGCTACCCATGCAGCCACCTGATTTGCCGCCCCGCCAACAGCAGACCACCGCCATAACCACCAGTTGTTCCGTCTGGACTAAGCCAGTGGAGACGCTTTTTAGCAGAAAGTCGGAACCGAAACCAGAAAGTGGCAATGCCACAAGCAGCAGTTCTTCGGGAGCAGTGGGTCTTATGCGGCGCTTAACCCATATGAAAACCCGCTCCAAATCCCCGGGGGCACCGCTTCAGCAAGGTTGCAAGGAAATTAGTGTGGAAACCACTACTGAACCAGCAGCTAAATTACACCCAGTGCATGTGAGGTGAGGTGAATGTAGTTTATAAACTTTAAGAAAAGCTTTCAAATTGGTTTATTTTATCTGTAGATCCGGTTCGTGCCCCAGTCAACTGCAGCACAGCCAATTAACTAATGAAACTCCAACAACGAAGGCAGCGCCCCAACAGCAGCAGTTTTTGTTCAAACAAATGCCTGGCCCCACAAATAGCAGTGTTTCGTACGGATCGCAACGTGTCAAAGGCAATAAAGATCGGCCTCAATTAATTTGGTTAGTTAACCCTTGTTTTACGCAACAGACAATCTTGACTTACCTTTGGTGTTTAAACGCAGCGCAAGGCAATCTTTGGATGCAGCCACATTTCGGAGCATGTACAGCAACACCGCGTCACCTCCGCCACCTGCCTCTTCGGTGGCCCCAGTTATCTATACAGGTGGACAGCAGCTAGCGCTCCCTGGAGGAGGACCTCAGTCCCAGTTGCATGCTAACATGATCATTGCACCAAGCCATCGAAAGTCGCACAGTCTGGACGCTGGCCATGTGTTGAGTCCCAGTAGCAATGTGATCACCGAGGCAGCCATTAAGGCCAGTGCCACAACTAAGTCGGCTTACTGCACCAGGGAAAGGTAGGTTTTTAGACCTACATGTGGTTTTAAGGTTTTAGTTTATATGTTCTGTTATTGCAGTCGCTTCCGTTGCATCGTGCCCTATCCACCGAACAGCGACATCGAACTGGAGCTGCATTTGGGCGACATCATATATGTGCAACGCAAGCAGAAGAATGGCTGGTACAAGGGCACGCATGCCCGCACTCACAAAACCGGACTGTTTCCCGCCTCCTTCGTTGAACCCGATTCCTAGGTGGCCTTCAGACAAAATGGAATTTATTTTACGAAATTTAAAATAACATATTTGTCAAAATTGATTCAATCGCCGGTCGATACGGGCTTCCATTTCGCCATCTCCTACTTAAAAAAAAAAAGAAATTGTACTCTTGCATTCGATTAGGCAGTCCGCTCTTCGTACTTTTATACGATCCCTAATCAAAATAGGCTAAACAAGTCTTAAGAAAAAGTTACTTAAGTTCTAGCAATTAGTTAGCTAGATAAACCATCTAACCGATTCCTGTGCCCGCTACGAAGTTATTTGTAATATAGGATTTTGAGTAATAAGCCTGGAGTTTTTTTTAACTTATTTTATTCACCAAGCAAAACATCGAGGCTAACAGTGGTTTGGACTACGGCAGTCGGAGGAATTACTCGCTCTTGTCGAACTTGGATCCGTAGATGGGGACGTACTGCAGCACAAGCTTCCAGTCGGTGTAGTAAAGCACCGCCAGGCCAGCAGCTCCACCAAATCCAGCTCCAGATCGGATGCTAGAAATGAAATAGACTGGTTAAGTTCTTGTTGGTTATGCAATGTGTTTTGTATGCTAGGAAACCGGAAACCCCGTAAATCATTTTTGGAGGAAAGGGCACAATATACAATACTTACAAGGAACTCGCGATCTCAGCGTGCTTCTTGCCAAAAGGTATGCGAAAAGCCATTTTTTGTCGATTATTACTTTTCTCGCAGCAAAAGATTCGCAACGGGTTGAAACTATTCGAATGCCCTAAATATTACCACAGCAGTATGACGCTAAATTAAGACAAACTTTAGATAGAAAGGTGACAACTCTGTATTGCCTACGTGAGAGCAACAATTTGTCATAAAAACATTTGGCTAAAAACTACTTAAAATTACAAAAATCAATATGAAAGTTTCCGTTTTTGGCGAACTTAACACATTCGAGCTGTTTATCCTGTGTACAGTAATACCGGCTGTTTTCGTTTTCTTGTGGACCCTAATATCTGGCGATATGAAGGTAGGGCATTTGGTTCTTATCAGAACAACCAATTTAAAGTAATTTTTTACTTTCAATTTGATAGAACTTCAAGGGCAGTAAACTGGCCTACTCAGTCTATACGGCCAAGGACCCGATTAATTGCTATCAGGAATACATGCCGGAAAAACAAAAGGATTCTTAGAATATCAAAGCCTTATCATGTATTCAAATTGTACATATGTACATATACGAAATAAAAGCAAATAATAGGAGGATTTATTTATAGTCACTATGATTTAAAGCAACTAAATTGTATTATTTAACTTTGTATTATATTTTTTATTAACCATATTATGTTTTCTAAATCCTCCATTTATTAAATATCTCGCAAGGATCATAAATAATAAATTACGCTTTTTAATATTCTGAACTGATATAAATTTTTAGTTATTGGGATGATTTAAAAGTAATCAAATGGAAAATTGCAGTAAAATTTATTTTATCCCAAGCTGGTCACACCCACGTGTTCGTGGTATTTTAAGCGTTGCCTCTTACTCTCTCACTAAACAGCAAGTTAAAGAATTTAATACAATTTTTGTTTGATAATTGGTTAAAATAACGTATTTAACGTCGGGTTTGAGCTCTTTCCATCGAGTCCGGCGCACACCCTCGTGCCAATCTGCACCAGCAATTTGACAGTCCCGAAAATAGACCAGAAACTAGAGCAACCAAAGGAGACAACTACGCAGAAGAGAAACAAAAACAATGTCGGAAACATACGGTTTGTCATCACACAACTTACTAATTAATGACTGTTACTAATTAATTCCGGTGCTGGGTACTTACCCAGATTACCTATTCAAGTTCCTGATAATTGGCAGTGCTGGCAGTGGCAAAAGTTGTCTGTTGCATCACTTCATCGAGAGCAAGTGTAAGTCGGTAGTCAAAACTGGTGAAAGCCAATCCTTAAAGGTTTTAATGCAATATTTACCTATTAGTCAAAGACGACAGTTCGCACACGATTGGCGTAGAGTTTGGCTCACGAATTGTGAATGTCGGCGGAAAATCGGTCAAGCTGCAAATATGGGATACGGCTGGACAGGAGAGATTTCGCTCGGTGACGCGATCGTACTACCGAGGAGCTGCCGGAGCTCTCCTGGTGTACGATGCCACTTCGCGGGACTCGTTTAATGCCTTGACAAACTGGCTGAATGATGCGCGCACCCTCGCCAGTCCAAACATTGTGATCCTCTTAGTGGGCAACAAAAAGGACTTGGAGGAGGCGCGGGATGTGACCTTTCTGGAGGCCAGCACATTTGCTCAGGAGAACGGTCTGTTTACACTGTTCATTACTTCAAAATCTTTTTCTTCAATCCCGTTTTACCAATTCGTAGAGCTAATCTTCCTGGAGACGAGTGCCAAGACGGGCGAAAACGTGGAAGAGGCTTTTCTTAAGTGCTCTAAGACCATCCTGGCAAAGATTGAGACCGGGGAGCTGGATCCCGAGCGCATTGGCAGCGGCATTCAGTACGGCGGGGCAGCTCTGCGCAACTTACAGACGCGACAGCGTAGCATTAACAAACCGGATTGCACATGCCGCGTTTAATCCTCTTGTACCGTGTACTACGTACGGTTAGGAGAGCAAATTTATCTCTATTTTATCTCAAACCGGAATGCGCACTCGTATTCCCCTTAGTTTTACTTGTGTGTGTCCCCTTTGTTTTAGTTTGTATTTTGTCTTGATAGATTAATCATTCCAAATGAAAGCCTAATGCGCTACGGTTCGTTTTAAAATAACTTAACCTTTTTAATTGCCTATGATTTCGGATTTATTCCCAAAATGTTACTTACTATAATTTGTAATTCGTAAAGCACGAGAAGCCCTCGAACAACGAAATATGTATGGCACATGAGTCGGATCGAGAGGTGAGGAGAATGCACTCTGCATTTTTATTGTAAATAAGTGGCGTTCCGTCGTTGACGACGTCGATTGTAAATCTAACTCAAGCATGCACGCGATAAATAAAAACGCAAAAACTAAAAAAACGATTTTAATTCCAAATTTATTTATAATATTTTTAAGGCTTGGGGGTATACAAAAATATTTAATTTCTAGTAACAGTACAAAAGTGCATGCATTAAGAACTTTGAGTTATTGGTATTTTTAAATTTTTTTTTTGCTCTTAGCAAATTAAAATTTGTTTTTTTAGAGAGCCTTCTTGAACAGTCTGAGCAATAGCAACCAATAAAATTTTGATCCGTTATAGGGTCGGATACACAGCTCTTTGTTCTCGCATAATTATTTTGTTATTAAAATGATTTCTGCGACTAGGCATATAATTATTACTTTAAGCCGCCTTTCCTTTTAACATCGAGAGAATTTTTTTCGAAGCTGGACAACAAAAGGCATGCAGTTACGAATAAATTCTTTCGAGGTTAAAGGAAAAAGACAGCCGTGTGGGAAGATCAGCCTAGGCATCGCATTTACTTAACTTCTGAAGCGCGTGCTTGGCAGCAGCCAACTTGGCCTGATTCTTATTGCTGCCGAATCCGTAAACTTTGATCGACTTCTCCATGCAAGTGAACTCACAACTGATCATCACTTTATCCTGGTCGACGATGGGCGTACTAAAAACTGGGTTGGCGAGCTTATGCTCTGTAAGCTGGCGGATGGGATTGATGGGCACGTTACGCGTAAACTCTTGCAGCTCCGGCTCGAAAAGGTTGAAGATTACTTCCCAGGTTCGCTCCAGATCCCTGCAATCCAGGTAAACAGCGGCAATCAAAGCCTCTAAAACATCGCCCAGGGCCTTTGGAACATCCACGTTTGTCGACATGTTGAAATCACCCTTGGGCGGGGCGTCTGGCTTTTTGCCGTTGGGAATGGCACTCAGTTTCTCCTTCAGTTCCAACATCTCTAGCTCGTCATCCAAGTCCAGCTGAGTGAGGTGCACGTCGGCTTCTTCAAGCAGAATGCGCACATGATTGGTGACCCTGTGTCCCTGGCTCTCCTGGAACTGCACAAACTTAGAAATCGATTCGGAGAGCATCGCGTTCTCCGCCAGAATAAAGAAGTGCAGTCTATGCCGCACGCAAATACAGGCCAGAGTCGTATTATTGACCAAAGCGGATCGCAGATCAGTAAGGGCTCCGGGATTCATTTTAGTGTTGTTCTCGAAAATATAAGCGGAGATTAGAAAGTCTAGTATGGCGTCGCCTATGAACTCCAGTTCCTGGTAGCAGCCAGTGATCCGATTTGTGGGGTATGACGGATGAGTGAGCGCCTGCAGCAGGTATCCCCGATCCCTGAACGTGTAGCCCAGATTCTCCTCCAGGTGACTGTGATTTATGAGAAAGCCATCGATTTCCGTTGTGCTCACGTTCGCCCGCATCTTGGCGCCGCCCAAACTGAGGTCCAGCAACTGGGTGAGCGGCTTGTCAACGTCTGGCCTGCAAATGTTAAAGTATTCCAGCATCCGAAAACCGTGCTGAAGTCCGTAGTTCTTCACGATCACGCCAAGAAGCGCCTCCAAAGTATCAGCAACAACCTTGTCGGCAATCTTTACCCGACCCACGCAGAAATTGACCTCGGCGGAAAAGTCGGAGGCGGCATGATGGGTATGTGAATTCAATTGGCAGCCCTCTACGAAGTGCTGAAAGTTAGGAGTGCTGCAGTTACTCTCGACCAACGATTCCTCGTCGCTAAGCGCCAGATCACGCAGATTATGCGGACCAACCAGCTGGGCCAAGCCCGGCTTTTCGTGCCACAAGGCCAGTACATTGTGGGGTAAACTAATGCTGGGTGGTATCCATGTGTATCTCGGTGTAAAAAGCGTGGTGCTAATCTTCCTGGGTATGTCCGTATCACTGAGGCAGTACAGCAGATTCCGGTTTGAGACAAGCTTGGACTTGACCTGCGTGAGGGTGCCCTCGTTCCAGTCGGGATACTTGTTTGCCAAGTAAAGTGTGGCACTCAGTTTGAGAAAAGAGTCGCCCAGCATCTCCAGGCGCTCCATGTCGTACACATCAGCGCTGCCCGACGAAGTGATGGCAGCCAGAAGTTCACCCTGCTCCGCGGCCGATATGTACTGATTCGAAACGCTTTTCTGCAGGATAGACAGGCGGTTCGCCTTTCCAGAAGAAGTCGGACTCGCTGGCATCAGCGCTGGTAGGTCTATTTTCGACTTGGCTGGACTTCTACTCCCATAGATATTTCCTTTGGGCATTTTAAACTGAGTCTCTGCCCAGTACTCCTTATCCTCGATCTCCATCTTGTCCAGGCGAGACACTTGCCCGGCTATGAACTTGTAGTAGTAGTCAACCTCTACTTGATATGCGCCCATGATTTTGCGCGATATATCCACCGGCTCCATGTACTGCTGCCACGGATTCTCGAAATCAGCAATGTGGAGGTTGGCCATGGCCGTCTCCACGGACTTTGTCGGCAGCGGTTCCAAAAGGGAACGCGGCTCTTCAAGCTCCTCAGTGCCTATGGCATTTCCCAAAGGGTCGACATTCCTTTTCAACGACCAATCGATTTCCAAAGGTTTGGGCCTGTAGTCTGCTCCATTCAAGGCAAGCTGCTGCAGTCCCAAATAGGCATTAAACCGCTTTCGCAGGCTCTCTGCGTGGAGAAGGAAGTGCATTCGGCGCAGAATGCTAGGCAGGAAGATCAGCTTCAACCAGAGGTCGCCAGGGAACTCGAAGTTGAAGCACAGCTCCGGAATTAGGACCACTTTGGCTCTGGCCTTGCTCTGCACGGAAGTTTTAGTTCGCTGCTGGACGTAGAAGTTGAGCTGCTCTGTCAGCTCCCTGACCTCTATCAGAAATTGATCTTTATGCACGACGTCGACGATATGGTTGCTGTACTTGGACATCGTAAATTCGTAGTAAGTCTTGTCCTGTTGGCTCTTCTCCATCAAGCTGAACGGAGTGAGGTCCCGGTGCACCTTAGTAACCAGCATGCGCTTGGACTCGTAGTTGGCATACCACTGGGTCACGATCTTGCCCTCAAAGTCCTCGGGCCGAGGAGCTGGTTGCAGTTTCCGCTGTGCCACACTTGACCTTTGGACTTGGGGCAATCTCTGGAACTTGCTTACCAGCGGCCAGTCGATGCCCTTCCGCTGATTCTCAGCAGCAATGAGAGGGACAACCAAGTAAGAGTTCTCCTTGCTGCGACGATCCAGTACGAAAAACGGATGCCACACCTTTAAAAGATCGCGGAACACTGTACCGTGAAAGTGATGGAGCAGTTCCAACTGGTCAGCATTCTGGATAACCACTTCCAGCGGTTCCTCAGCTACACGGACATGGAGTTTACCTTGATGGGTGAACAGCGGCATCTCCGCTAGGAGGGGAAGCTTGTTTCGCAGCAGCAGAGCGCAGTTTCTGGTCGTCTGAAGGTTAGTAAACATGTGCTCTGTATAGTCATTCCGCTCGAACTGCGGCTCCAAGAAGATCTCATAGGCGTAGCAAACTTCGCCCACTCGGGGACGTGCGTCAAAGAACTCCGCAGGACAGTCGGTCTTGTAGGTGCGATCCTTGACCACATCGTCCCTCTCTTTCCCAGTCACTAGAGATATAAAATTTGTGTTGGTTATTGAATTGAATATGTGCTTTTCATGGGGACCCACCATCGTCGCCGTATTTCTTCCAGTGCTCAAAGTGGACATTAGCAATTTCCGCCACCCGCTCTTTAAGCGTTATGGGCAGGAATCTCTCGTTGAGCTCACGCAAGTAGTAGAGTTGCTTAACTGCCTTGAAGGCGGCCGATAGTTTGGCGGACTTAACACAACCCATAGGATCACTCTGTAATAATAAAAACAATTAGTCTTAGGCTGTCAACATCGTCAATCTTTTCTTACGTAAATCGTTTCTTTTAGCCTGGAATTCAGTGGCAGTCTGATGGAAATCACTTTCTTTTCTCTTGCAGAGTAACCAAACAGTGCCTTAGTGGCGTCTTCGTCCAACAAATTAATCCAGGGAATCACAAAGCCGAAGGCATCTGTGGGCATGGATTGGCAGTACCGATGGAGCAGAATTAAAGCATTGCTAGCCATCAAAACGGCACCGTGTTCGTTGACGAAAGGCGGAATAAGGTCCTGGAAGTGTTCTTTGATTTCGAATAATTCCGGCTCAGATCGCTCTAGAACGCGAGTGTTTAGATACGCGGCAATCTCGGCGTGGGCTTCGCGATACTCAAGGATTTGCTTTGACACCTTAATTTTGTCCAGCTCGGAGACAAACATCACGAAGCTGGCTTCCTTTGAACGAGCCCGGCCCTTCGTTTGCACGTACATGTTGAATGTTTTGAGCGGATCAAGGATCAGTACATAGTTGCAGGCCTGCACATCGATGCCCTCCTCCAGAACGCTTGAACAAACCATTAGATTGGCGTTGCCGTCTCGGAATTGCTGAATGGCCTTTAGAAAAGAGAGATTTGTTTTTGGTTCAATTATTATTCATATTAAAAGGTTGGAAGAACGGCCGTTCTCTTCCCTAGCTGTCTTCTGACACACATACCGATTTTGTCCTGTTCCGATCCAGGACGCTCTCGAAGTCCGGGGATATTGAGTTGCGGCCCACCATAAACTGCGGAGTAAGAACATTCCGCAGCTCGGGAGTGGCCTCAATAAAGTTCAGCAGCAGGCCATAGATGCACTTGCATGTGTAACGGCGTTCGACAAAAACCAGACAACAGATATCCTTCGGATCCTTGTGGGCAAAGGTTTTCTTAAGGTAATGCAAAAATTGCTGCACCTTCGGCGTTGAGAAGTTTAAGATGGTCTCCTCCGTGTTCGCCTTTTCATCGGGATCTGCGTCATCGTCTACCATGTCCCGCAGCTTCTGCACCAGCAAGTGCCGAATGCTTTCGCACAGCGTGAGAGCCGTTCTGTGCATTAGCTTTAGGCTAAGCGTCTCTGCCTGGCGCTTCTTTATCTCAAACTCGACAATCAGCGATACGATGGCTATGGAGGCCGCGTAGATGCCGTAATCCTGCAGCTGGAACACAAAATCGTTGAAAAGCTGCTTAACGAAACTTTTCTTTTGTGGGTCTCGTTGGTTTTGCAAGGACTTCGACCTCCGCACAGGCTGAACGCCAATGTCCATTAGGTCCAAGGTCGCAAAGAACTTGGCAATCTGCGACCGTATAGACTCAGTGATCGAAAAGGCCTGGGTCTGACTAGGGTACGGAAGCAGAAACTCCTTGGGCTTTGTCGAGTATCTGAAAGCAATAGCTCATTAAAGGGGTTTTCACAGAAAAGTCCTGCATTGCATACAGCATTATGTTTTCCATCTCCTTGGTGTCTGATACGGTAATGATGTTCCCTCTAAACGTGGTCTCCAGTTCCTTTAGTTTTTTCGCAACATTCTTTATCTCATTTCCTTTGATCAAAACTCCGGTGAGCCCCACCACTCGCGGCAAGCGCATATTCTGGCCCACGCAAAGAAAGAGACGCATGAACTCACGATACGGATGATTTCCAGTTCCATGATGACACTCGTCAATGATCACGATGCTTACGCAGCTCAACTCCAGGTGTCGCTGGGTGAAAAGATCCAAGATTACCTGGGCCGTGCCCACCAGAACCTATGTAAATTGAATTGTTTAAGATAAGTCGAGTGTTTAAGCTATGTCTTTACTTAAATATCTATATTTTTTAATATAAACAAAACCAAAGATTTGAGGAAACTTTCAATAATTTGTTTATAAAATTTTTAGAATCCCTTTTCTATAAAAAAAAATTATTTGAAAGTAGGTGCCAAAAATGATACCTTATTATCAGCAGTAAAATGTATTCCAATACTTAGCGAAACCCGATTCCCTGTGGATATGAAAACGCTGACTCTGTAACATTAAACTGCTGAGGGCATTAGGACCGGCAACGCTTTGTAAGCTAGACCACTTGAAGTGGTGAATCAGGGTCCAGTGGCGATCCCTTATGTATGTATGTGTATATATGTGTATGTACAAATTCCGTACGTGACTATAAGAAGAAATCAATTCTTAGGGACACGTCATACGTCCCATAGGAAAAGGCAGACTCCTTAAGTACAAGATACTCACTTGATTGTTTTGAATCTCATCGGACCACTGGCCGCGTGTCCACTCGTCTACGCCCTGTTCGCCTACATAGAATCCGACTTTTAAATTCGTATACCGCTTGGCGAACACAGCCTGTTGACGAGCCAATTCCACGGTGTTGCACATAAACAGCGCACGCTTTCCACCATTTTCGATCGTTCTGGGAATTGTTCACAAAGCGCATGCAGCTTTATTTATATATGAATGTCTATGAATGAATCTAACTGGGCAACTCACTTGTCCAAGTCCTGCGAGAATCGCTTAAGTGCCAGAATGGCCACGAAGGTTTTCCCGGATCCCGTGGGCAAGTAAATGATGCCATTGTGCTTGGTAATGCAATCTACGAGTCGCAGTTGATAATCTCGAGCCTGTCCGGTAGTTTTCCGTTTATTTGGGGATTAAAACTCTGTTCTGGTGTAAAGAATCTCACCTTTATTTCCGGATCATCAATGTTTTGATTCATGGTTAAAAAAATTCGTTTTAGCCGTACAAAAAAAAAAAAAAAAAATTGTTTAATAAATGCGCTCTAAAAGCCTTTTCTTAGTCTGACGCCTGGACAGATTATGCTGACGTGGTGAAATCGACAATGCAATAAAGACGATTATGCCAGTTTGATATCTTGGGATTCACCGGTTTTGTTTATGCGATTTTAATGTTAAAGCTTTGCAGTAAAGTGGCAGCACCCTGAACTAACATAAGAAAATGTTTTGCACTGCCTTTCCCTGCTTTTCACTTGACAATAAACCTTGCGCGATCGTAATTTTTATTTAAAGTATCACTTCTTGAAAATAAGAACTACAAAATTAAGATGATAGCTAATGTGATATGTCAAAAAAACACAAAGAACTGCCGGCGGCAGAGTGGCCAGTTATAACAAACTGTGTCGCTTAAGTTTTATTTTCAATAACTTCTGTTATGTATCGAACTGGTCACACTGTTCAACGCGAAATACTTTAACGGTTTTAAACTTTTATCAGCTAAACCACAAATATAAATAGTTACAGAAAAGAAAATTATAAAACAAGTGCAAAAGTAAATTAGCTTGGAGTTGGTTATGAATTTATATATAATTTGTTTACTTGCGTACTTTTGGACTCTAACCCAAATATTTTTTAATTCGAATACATTTTTATCTAATTGAAAATATTTTACAATATTAATAAATATAATGCTTCTGCAGTTAAGATGTAAGTGGTGGCCTTAACAGAACAGGAACAAAGGTATCTTTAATAAGACAAATTAACGCAAATATACGTTTGCGATCTCCTCCGCCGGACAACAAGTGCTGGATTTCGATAAAAGTCTTGTCCTTGGTCTCAATATTGATCATTGTTTTTATGAAGAAATACAATTTATTGAAAATATATGTATTAATAATGTTATCAGATCGTTTTCCCAAAAAAACCAATGCCTTTAATTTGGAAGTGTTTGACTTTATTGATAATGATACTCAGTTCTTACACAAATAATTATTACACAATTTTCTTATTGGCTTACCTAAGACTAACTAACGTAAATTCACGTTTCGTTCTTTTCAGCGCTCTTGTCGACCTTTCCTCCGGACAACATGTGCTGGACTTCGATTATCGACTTGCCTTTGGTCTCCGGCACGAAGAACAGCGAGTAAAGGAAGGCGATTACGGCGATCGCGGTGAAAATCCAGAAGGTGGGTCCTGGACCGATCGCTTCCTTGAGGATCGGGAAGAGCAACGTGACCATGAAGGCCGACAACCAGTTGCTGGTACCGGCAATCGAACCCGCCACACTCTTCACGTCTTCCGAGAAGAGTTCTGCATTCATCAGCCACGGAACTGGGCCGAATCCGATCGAGAAGAAGACGATGAAGATGCAGATGCTGCTGATGGGCAGCCAGCCGTAGTTGTCCATCGAGCCGGGGTTACTCTCGCTCAGTTGGAAGTAGACTCCCATCAAGGCGGTGGTTATGGCCATCAAGAAGCCGGAGATTATAAGCAGGATCCGCCGACCGGCCTTATCGACAATGGCCACGCCCACTAGTGTGCTACTGACTTGGGCGAATCCGATGATTAGAGTTGCGTCGGTGCCACTTAGACCAGAGCCGGTATCCTCGAATATGGAGGTAGAGTAAAATAGAATAGCGTTGATACCCGTCCACTGTTGGAACACCTGAAGCAGCACAGCTATACCCAGTCCTTTCAAAACGATGGGACGGCGAAGAGCAGCCAAAATGTTAACCTGAAATTAAAAAACCTTTAAACTTATGCAAGCTAAATATATGATTTGGTCGACCGTTGGTAATAAATTTGACATTGCATATCTCTAATTGTTAAAATGTCTATCTCAATCTATCATTCATTTTTCCGATGGTTTCCATTTAATTTTCAAAACATGTCTCAAATATGCTGCTTGTAAGCTAAAATCCACGACGATATCTAAAGCTAGGTGATCCAAGCCCATTCTATATTAAACGTTTTGTTTCAACTAAAAGATTTCTTTGCTTAAAACTAAAACTAAATCAACTATATGGTGATACTCATCAAGAATATACATATATAATATAATTTGTGGTTTAGGAATCTACAAACCTTCGGCAAATCACTCTGCCTCTGGGACTCCTCAAAGATTTCCTTTAGCTCGTCATCGATGTCGGCGTTCTTGCCACGCAGCCAGCGCAATGCCTTGGCGGTATCCTCGTTGCGACCCTTCATGGCCAAGTAAACGGGGGACTCCGGCATGAAGAAGTGCACTGTGGCGAAGATCAGGGGGAGGATGGCGCACAGGATGTTGATGGTCAGCAGCGGCAGGAAGGCGCCCACCAAATAGCCGTAGAACACACCCGACACAATCAGTAGCTGGAAGAAGGCGCCGATCGTGCCTCTTAAGGCCGTCGTGCAGATCTCGGTGCAGTACATGGGAGCAGTGACGCAAAAGGCTCCTCCGCACATGCCCAGGATGAAGCGGCCGAAGTATAGCATGGTTACATTGTTGGCGAACAGCATGAGCACCCAGCCGACCATATAGGGCGGGATCAGGGCCAACATTGTGGGTCGCCTGCCAATCCAATCGATAGCGAAACCGATGGGAATGCAGACCACCGTGGCGCCAAGGGTCAGAAGCGAGGACACCCATCCGAATTGACTGGAAGTTATGGGGAACCCATAGTCCTCGTTCACCGTGATCATGTTCTCGACGGGCGAGGACCATCCGATGGAGGCGCCCATGCAGAGGGCACCGAAGCTGGCCGACAAGCCGGCAATATACTGCGGCAATACCGATCCCTTGGACATGATTGATGCTCTATGTTGCGATGGAACTACTTCTACTTTAGGTGCTCTCTTCTCGATCGCTAGGAATAAACTGAATTCGACACGCGACCGTTATTTCGCTGGAAAAATCGCTTTTCATGCGATAACCAAAGCAGCGCCGTCGACCGAGAAGTCAAGCACCGCAAGTTGTAGTCGTAAATCAGTTCCCTATAGTTCCTCAACGCCAGGTGATAGGTGGTTAAGGTGGAGAAGGAAGTGGGGGTAGAGGCACAGCGTCATAGAAATCGCCCAAAATCAGTTAAAAGCCAAAGCAGCTAATTAAACGCCCGCCTTCGCTGACAACACACGTCGTTATAAGAGTAATCAAGTGCTTCTATAACAATTCCCCGATTTTGCCCTGCGGGGTATGTCCACTAGCCCTTCGGCTTGAACTTGAAGTTTGGTTTTTTGAGAATCAAAGTGGTCTTGGGAGTCCCCTCACGCAATTCTTCAGTAAAAGGTTTTTTCTTTTATTTGTGAGATTGTGAATTGCTTTTGAAATCTAAGTTACATTTCAAGTTTATTGGTCACTCGGCTTCTATATTTATTAGATCAACTAAAATTTATTAATGAGTATTGAAATAACATCTAATTATAATATGAAGGAGTCAAGAGTATGACATAGTTATGTAAAAACTAGTCATGTTAACATAATGTATTAGCAATTGTTTGTCTAAGCATTCTATATTAATTTTCTATTGCGTGTCAAATACAGAGTTAACACTGGGTTTATTCAACTATTTAAATTGCTCTGAATACCTAGGTTCGATTACTACACATAAGAAACTTTCAGCAATAAGATTAGAAACGATGTAAACAAAAATCTTTGAAGTCATTGATACAAAAATGTTTATTTATGATGACAAATTGATCGTTAGCTTAATTGTAATCTTAAAAAAACAATTAAACAAAATAGTGTTCAAAAATCTGATTGCAAAAATTCTTCAATCTTCAATCAGCGATTTTTCTAATAATTTATTGAAAAGTTATTATCGATATTGATTTAATCTACATTGCCCAGAAGCAATATAAAACTTGAACTCATGAATAAATCCCACCCACAGAGAGTACGAAATGTTCGGCTTGATTAAGTCATACATTTCCGGTATTTTGTTATTTACTGCACAATTGGTTCGAAGCTGCCGTGTGAAAAGTAGATAATGACGGAGACAGAACCTACGAAATAATTGAATAAGCGTAAATCGCCCGGGGTTGATCTAATCTCTGCCGCAAACCGACATCGCATCCCATCACGCCGAAAACACATGTAGAGCAATCCTCCATTGCGTTGATCCAGATTGGACCCCAAACCGTGACAAATGGCCAAAATACCTGTGACGGCGGTCACCTGGCGGTCAAGCGGCGCTATCGCTATCAGCTGAATTCTCATTGATGGCTCACGGAGTCGAGGACTCCTCTGATATGCGGATGGGGGAGTGGGAGTGAAGAGCGGGCTCGGCTGTAGATAAGCGATTACCGGGTGATAGGATTCGGTAAAATAACCCATTTTCAAGTAGCCCTGCCTGCGTGTTGTTTAGAGCTGCAACCATGTACATGTATATATTGATGTAATGGGTCTTATCGGCCTATCCCCACACCAAGTGCTCTTGGCTTGCTATCGACTTGTTTTCGCCAGTGGCCATGGACTCCGAATGCATTTCAAGTATCCCCTGGAGCGACATCATCGTTATTTCCTGATGATTTACAGTCGTAAACACTTATCGAATCCTCTTGTTATTCGATGAAATAAAAGTCTTTATTACGTGGTTACAGAGCAGTTAGTCATCCCCTATCCGGAGCATAGGTTGTTGTTTGCATGCCCTCGGTTATATAACGAGGGATTATCCGGAAGGCTGATTGCAAATCCTCTACTTCTTCCTGGCCTCCGCTTCCTCCATGGCGCGCATCAATTTGGCGTCGTGTTGGGCGTGATGCTCTCTTATCGCCCGCTGCAGTTCCTCGTGGTGGCTCTTGCTCTCCGGCGGATAAAGTTCCCGCTTCTTCTTGGTTACCCACTCTTCGAAATATTCTGGCTGGTTGAACAGGTGGAAAAGCGTCACCGGGAAGGCCATGTACATGCCCATTTTGGCCACCTCCAGCACCCAGGTACCCATTTTGTTGCTTTTGGTCACTGTTTGCGCTTTAAAATATGAAAAAGCTGAATTTCTTGAGAAATACTTTTTGTTTTCCTTAAAACTATCAACAAAAATCAGCTGTTGCTAGAGTTGCCTAGTGTTTTAAGGGAAACAAAACCTGTGTTGTATAATTTCCCAATTATTTCGAAACAACTTTTTAAATATAAATACTACCTGATGAAAATCCTTCCCTTTCACATTGAAAATGCGCAGTAATATAAGTATATTACATATACATATGTATTTACATGTACACTATCGCACACTTGAAATGTTGTTCTACTACTTTATCAGTAACCCCCCACCAACTTTATTACACAAATAATCCATGCAATCAAACACCGCGCTTACTTTCCGATTATATATAATTATATATCTATTTATAGAGATTTTTGAGACATGCATTTAAAATGAAAGATCTTAAACTAAAATTGTTGAACGCGGCCAAGTTAAAACAAAAGAACGTGTCATAGCGAAAACATTTTCTCACGGAAGCTATCTTTTTCTTAAACATTTTGATGAAATATAATTTTTAAAACCGTACAACGGTTTTAACGTTAGATTATGAAAACACTACATATTTGTGCATTAGTTCAATTTAAAGCTATAGAGCCGTTTCGCCCGGATACTCCTCGGAAGAAGTAATTAACAGTTTTTTAGTGCGCGAGTGCTCCTCCTGCAGATTCTCGATGTTCTCCTTATTATCCGCATCGTCGTTAGGAATAAGGCCAGACTTCAATGGCGTACCTGCAGATCTTTTCCGCCCATTGCTGTTACCAAATGGTGAGGCCAAGGTCGGCTCATTTCCATCTAGGCAATAAAGTAGGCTGGGACTTAAATCTGACTCGTCCAGGTCGTCAATATCCTGCGTGGTGCTAGCTCCACCAAAATCATCTGAGCGACTGGCAAATGACAAGTCCGCCGGACTGGCTGTAAGCACGCTGCGGGTAAGCAAATATTCCCTGGAAATTAACCAAACGGAATGTAAAAATCAATGCCAAGAAAATCTACTCTTCGATGCTCACTTAAAATCGCTGGATAGGGCATTTGAGGTTTTAGTGTCCTCGTTGCTGGTGCTGCTGCTGGTCGTTCGCTGTCTGGAGTTAAAGAAAGCAAAGCTCTGCTGCTGCCCCAGGATATCCGCATATCCGCCCAGTGAAGTAGCATCCTCGCTATGCAGCGATGGCGGGTCCCGTTGCTTGATGGGTGTGCCACCAATGGAATCCTGTTCCTCCTGCTCGGCGAAGCTGAGATTCAGCTGCTTGTCTCCATTGCCAGCCAAGGCGGTCAGGAGCATTACGGGTTTTCGAGAGCGGGGAGTCATAATAGATTCCTAGAAGGGTAAACAATAATTGTGTGATTATTAAAGAAAGAAGGTATACTTAAGTTGAAAAGGGAGATAGCACCAACTTGACATTAGAACTACACTTTCTAGGGCAAAATTGCTGGTTGATTATTTACGGTGTTATCGTGCAAACAATGTAATTTTCTCACCTGCATTGCTTTGGGCATGCGTTGAGTGGATTTCGTTATGGGCGACATTGAACGCCGGCCCATGTGTAGAGCGGGAGTACTTGTGATGAGATCCATGTTGCGGTACACGCTGCTCTGCAGAATCTGCTGATAGCCGAGGCTCATAGCGGGGAGTTCATTAGAGCTGCCATTGTTCTCCGACAACGTATCATCGTCCTCCTCGTCCACATCATCGTTATGTTCCACCTCTTCATCGCTGTCATCCACATTCTCCAGCAGCGGGGCATCCGCAGCCAAGAGACAGTTTTTGACCTCTTCACCACTGGGCCGCCTTCTCAGCGTAGCCGAAACACTCCGCACTAGTCTCTTGGTCGTCTCAGGTGTGCTAAACGGAAATTTGAGGTTGCCCATGCTGACGCCTTTCATTAACTTGCGTGTTATCGATCTGCCCATGTGGCTGCCACTTGCTGCCATCGTGGTGCGGCCCTCCACGATGGGCGTGAGTGCCCCGTCGTTCTCTTCCTCCGCGTCCACCTGCGGCAGGATACTCGAGAGATTAGGTTCCGACTTGTAGCGCGACGATTGTTGGACTGGCGTGGAGGGATTCGAGTACTCCTCGATCTCCAGCAGGCGGTGCTCGTCCCAAGCAACGCTTTTCTTGTCGATGAGCTGTTTGGCAACTGCTGACATGATCTTTAAAGGTGTCACGCAGCAATCGGCATCAATCTCGTCCAGATCCTGGTCGGGAACAGCAGCTCCATTGCTGGAAGGCGATTCCTTTGACTGCTGGCGACTCACTGGAGCAGAGATACTACCGCTTGCCGCGCTGGAGCTGCTGTCCGATGACGAGGTCTCGATCTTAAGGGAGGCGGATGAGATGGATTTTTTAAGCTGATGCCGAGGGTTAGGTGCCAGTGTGACGCTGGTTATGGTCGATGAGGTGGGTGTTGGTGGCGTGGGACTCTGGAAAAGCACCCGCATTTTCGGGGGCTTCACATGCGACATGTTGGGCGTCTGGCGAAGGTCATGCGATGGATGAGAAGGCATGCGGTTAGTCAACAAACAAAGAAGCATATACAACCACAAACCACAACTTACCTCGGATCCTCCAGCTAAATGGAAGCTGGGCGGCACTCTCTTCGGTGTGCGTGACATGAGACTCTTGTGAAAAATGTGCTTCTTAATAGAATCGCCCAAGGACTTTGCACTTCGAGTGGCCTCATTGTTTTTAAGCCGATTCATAACCACCAACTGCAACGGGGTGCCTGATCAAAAATAAAAATAAGTAAGAAATAAAATGCAATTAGGAATATGGCATTTAAAACTTGGACCTTTTCGAAAAGAAAAGTGAATGTAGATTTAGTGGTTTACGTAGCTTAAATTATGTAACTGAACTGAAGTACTCATGCCAGCTATAACCAGTCAATTTGGTTATAACTAGCAGTTTAAGTCATACAACCCAGATTTTGTGGGTTTAAAAGCTCTTTAACAACTATACAATAAATTACCCTGCCCGTTTTGCTTGTTAAACTGCTTAATCAGTCGCCGCTTCTTAGAGGATTCCGGCATGCTCTGTATATGGGCATAAAGCTGAGCCAGCTCCGTGTCGGTGTTGTTCGTATTGGTGGCCGCAGCAGTAGCGGCTCGATCTACGAAAGTGTACACCGTGTTGACCGTCGAGATGTCCGAGATGGACTCGTCGAGCGTTTGTTCCGGCGACATTGTTTTCTTTCGTTTGCGCTCGAGAAAGTACGCCCGGATGTCCGTGGACAGCTTGCCAGGCACCTCAAAAATGTCCAGACCGCGCACGATCATGTACGTGACTATGCTAGACATCTTCTTCGCCTGGTAGTGTAGCACCTCGGGTGGCAGTTGTCTGGGGCATATTAAATGCGGTGTGAACAAAGTGGCCAAGTTCTCGGCGCTCATCTTGTTACTTTTCTCGTGCTGGGCCACGGCATGCAACATTTCGATGATGTGTTGCAGGAGTTCGCGGTGTTCTTCGGGCAGGAGAAGGAGCAGCAGCTGCACAGAGTTGAGCAGGTGCTGTTGACGTTCGGCGGCGGCCATCACCTGCCCATTGAGCGCCTGGCAAAGCGGGGCTATTTGAAGATGAGCCGGATAGTGGGCATCCGTAAGCAAAGGTTCTGGGAGCTCAGAGAGAAACCCTTTGAAAACGGTGGCGCAATCATGGGCTGAGAAACCAGCCAGTTCTAAATTAAGTGGTTTGTCGTGCTGTATGTGCATCCTAAGCTCGTTTTGTCGGGATACAGCGCCAGCTTTCCGGAAGAGCCCCTCCTGGGTAAGGTCTGCAAGGATATACGAATTAATACAGCTTTTTTTAAATCCCCCTGGATTTCTTACTTTTCTCTAGCATGAGAAACTCCTTGAGCTCTTGCAGATGCATCAGAAATCCTGGATCAATTTGCTGTTGCAGTGTCTCTGTGGGACTATTTCCCACGGATTTGCTGCCTGAGCCGGCTGCACATGATGTGGCAGCTCCTCCATGACCCAACCGATGTTTCTTGGACAGCCGATTCCACTTCTTCATCTTGCCCTTCTCCTCGTAAATAATTTCATGGCAGGGAAGGTCGAACCTGAACAAGATATACTTTAACATAGAGCAATATAGCGACATCATTCTACATACTCATCCGTGTTCAGCTCCAATTCAAAGGACAAGTGCATGCGCACCAGGGATTTGTACTTTTCATAATTGCATCGACGCATGCGCGAGGCTAAATCGCGATCTCTGAAATCATTTAAATTTACATTGTCCGTGTCCATTGTGGTTTCCTTATTTTTCCAGATGTGAGTCTGTTGAGACTATCGAGTAAACACTGTGTATATGTATCTACGAGCAACCACAACAACAAGAACAACTGTAAGCGGATACAGTAAAAACAACAACAACGTCGGTAAGGACAATGACAATTTCGTTCAGTAAAACCAGAGGCTACTTCTTTCTTTGCTACTTCTATTGATTTTGTATTAAGAAGTGTATTTTTGATAAAGGTTTGTTGCTTGAACAGAAATGTCTGCATTTGTCACATATCACACTAATTTTTAACTGCTAAAATTGAAAATTAAACGAGACGCTACCGAACCAGTGTGACCGCGGCTAAAGAGCCAAATTATGAACTTCTTTTTGAGCGCTGATCCGGTAGCACGCTAGTTTAAATAATTTAAACCTTATCAGGTTTTCGTGTAATATTTAGAAGTTTTGTAACCTTTAGATATAATGGATCCCTACTGTTTTTGAGTAGGAATCCTTCATCTGTGAGAATGATTTAAAAAGAATCTAGAGCGTTGCCGACGTACTGAGTTTTGAACTCCTCAACAGTTACCCAAAAATATCTTGTAATTTCTTGTTTAAAATAAATCCAGAGATATAATTTTTTTTTAATTAAAACAATTTATTTTAAAAGTTTATGAAAGCTTACAATTTTACTTCCCAACGCTGCCAGAGTTTTGGGGGCAAACAAAAACCTTTTTCAACACTATCTACATACTTTTTGGCAAAACCTATTGTTTGATCGCGCTTTTATCAGTTAGTGTATAAAAATGGTGCTTATTATGCCCGTTTCCCCGCCAGAAAATGGTCTGTTGTACACAGCCAACAATATAAAGCTTAAACTGGGCGACAAAGTAGTGGGGGAAGGCACAATTTATATCGCCCAAAAGTGAGTGCACAAAGCTTAGCCGGCGTCTACAATTAGTTTTGTTGTCGCACAACAGTTTCCAAAAATAACTGTCGTTTCATGCTTTTAGTACGCTTTCCTGGCAGCCGAGCGACCTGGCAGAGGGTATTTCCATTGAGTGGAAGCAGGTGAGCCTGCACGGGATCTCCTCGAACCCGAGAAAGTGCATCTACTTTATGTTGGACCACAAGGTGGAGTGGAGCGGGGTTTATGGAGATCCTCCTCAGCCGGCGGTCAACGGGCAGAACAGAGGTGGTCCAGATGCGGAGGTGGATGAGGGCAACGGAAGCGATGAGCACGAGGAGGACGACAACTTTGAGGATGCCGTCGACGAGCAGTTCGAGGAGGTCACAGAGTGCTGGCTGCTGCCAGACGACATTCACACCGTAGACACCATGTACAGTGCCATGACCACTTGTCAGGCATTGCATCCGGACTCGGCAGACAGCGACTCGGACGACAGCGATCCCATGCAGGATGCAGGCGGCCTAGACGACGACGCCATGGAGGAGGAGGACGCTTTGACGCTGGGACGCAATGGCGTTCAAAATCTCAGCCTGGACGACGATGACGAGCGATTTGAAGACGCCGACGAGTAAAGCATCACCTATATAACTATATCCCTTTTTTACCAGAATAAGTGTATGAATTGTAAAGACATATTTGTATTTGATTAGATTTTGGAGTACTGAATAAAAATACGCTGCAAGCGCGTCTAAGAACTATGGGCTCTCCTTGGCGTTCTCCTTGTTTCGAGCTATTTCCACCTCCAAATCCTGCTCGCTAATGGGCTTTGAGAGCTGCGAGAAAGATTTTTGTAAAAAATTGATTTATTAAAGAGTAGAATTAACCTACAGCCTTTGTTACATCCACCAGAAGGAGCGCCTGCCGATAGGCATCGCTGTTTGAGGGCACTTTGTCGTAGTTCCAGTAGGTAAACTCATCAAAAACTCCTGTAAGTCGAAGCTGCCGGTCGTAGGATTCGCTAATAGGCTTTTCTGTTTCCTGGAGGACTAAGCCACGGTATCCTTCGGGCACTTTCAGCTGTTCCCCCACTAAAGGGTAACCGCGCAAAGCGTTAGTCACGACTCCACTTCCGAATTCTGTTGCTTCCCTTGTGTAGTTGTTAAAGTATTGCTCCACGTTGGCCTCGCCATCCCCGTCTATTTTGGCAGGCAAATAGTGCAGCTCGACGGATTTGCTCTTAGCCAGGTTTTTGCCATTAAAATCCAGAGTGATTGACATTATTTATGTTTATATCGGTACAACAAAAGGTAAACAGAAACGCCGCCAAATGTGTAGTGCTGTGTAGCGCTCTAGTGGCTTCAGCAAAGCAACGATAGTTCTCAAATTTTATTTAAAAATGTTGAAATTATAGACCTATTTTTTCCGCTAAAATGTTTATTATAAAATTAAATTAAAACAAAAAGAAACTGTAAAAAAAAAACGAAGAGGTTCTAATATTATTTCAATAACTATCGATATAGGCAATCATATTATCGGAAAGTCATCGACTGGCTTTCATCTCTAGACGATTGCCACCACTAATTAAAATGGCGTTCGAGGTTGTAGTTAAATTTTTAAGAGAATCCAAAAAACAATAACGCGTGTGGCCGCGACAGCATATTTCGCGCATTATCTACCGTTCCGTGGACGTGCAGGCGTGTGGGCGTGCGTAGCTCACAGAATTTGTTAGCCGATTCGAGTGAACGAGAGCCAAAGAGTTGTGGCTCCGTTGGTTATTATTGCAAATTTTAGTACCACACATACTCGCTCAACGATAGCGACAGAAATACGAGTGCGAGTAAATAGTGAGGCACCCATACTGGAGCAGCGACTAAATTAAAGTTAATTAAACGCCTAGTGGTATTTCATTTAATGCAATTTGTGAAATAATAGACGGAAAGAGAGGGAGGGAGGCAGATCGAAGCGAATTGCTACTCCCCCGCTCCCACTCACCCCTGCAGCATGCGTGAGCTGATTCTGTGTGAAGGTGCGTGAGAGAGTGAGTGAGACATGTGCGTGTGAGGTGCAGCAGCAGCAACCAACAACAAAGGCAAAACAATTTTGGGTAAGTTTTTCGTGAATATTTTGCCTGCCTACCTGCAAGTTTTCCTACCTTTACCTTTACCTTTTTGGGCTGGGTTCTTGCACATAGGTAAAATAAAATACATACATATCGTTACCGAACTTACTAATAATACCCATATTTATTTGTTATCTTCAATTGCAGCTTGTAAAAAGTAAAACAGCAAATCGGTGTTATTATTTATATACATGAATATCTATGTGCGTGTGCCATGACACACAGCCACTACGATTTCAACCTTCAAGGCTACCGCAATAGCGATAACAACAAAAACAACTGCAGTTACCTTCGGCAATGAAATTTCCTCTCACCGCCCTCACCTGCTCCTTTTTATCCTCTGTTTCCTTCACCCTTCCTCCATCGCCTTCAACAACAAACATGCCCGCGACGTATAAATAATCAATATACAAAATAAATCCATTTATTTTTATACAAACCAAACAATATCAATTAAAAGTCGGAAATTATGAATAAATTGGATTACCCACGTCGCAATGGTACACACAAAGTTCGAATAACGAGTAAGTCTACTGAAATAAATACGCGCCTAGGTAAACCCGTCTAATATTTTGCGTTGTTTTTTGCAGTATTGTGTGCTAGAAACTTGGCCCGCAAGGATTTGTTTCGTGAGTATTTATAAAACACAGATTAAGAATACCTTTTTTTCGAGTCTACAAAAAGGGCTTGAAAATATATTTTCAACATTAAACTTCAGCTATATATTTTTTTGCACAGCTGGTTTTTTTCCTTTAATATATCTATATTATAAGAAAACTTGATAGTATTTGTGTCAATGAAAATATATTTCCCGGCCTGGTTCGTTTAAGCACTTAATTTCCCTGATTAAGTTTGATATTTTGGGAATTCGTTCAACTGATTGGGGCTAATTACTTGACTCACCTTTGGTTTGTTACGGGGAATTTCAGGTAGTTCGCCTGCTCCAAAACCACGAAAGTTTAGTTATGTTTGTTTTTCTTTTAACCATCAATTACGCACCTGTTCAGCCGTCCAATCAAAACACACAGTTTGCGGTAAATTAAAGTTTTGTTTTATTTGCCGCGCTTATTGCGCCTCTTCGTCTTCCCCTTCTTCGCGTTTATCTATGCATATGAGGTATCGCTAAATTTAGCACTTCCTTTTGTCTACTTTCATTTTTATACAAATTGCGGAAAGGGGCGGGCCCCCGTCCATCCCCTCCCCATTCCGAACCCATCAAGACAAGTGGGTGAGTGTGAGTGGTGCCATATCTGAGCTCTTTTTCCATATTTTGTTTAGATATAACAAAAGTGATTATTACTAATTTGCTTTCATTGCGGCTCACTCGCTCGCCCACATATACAATCGCACATGGCATAATTTTTCTTTCCCTGTATTCGTTATTTATTATTTGCTTTTTTCCACTTCTTGTCCATTTTTTACACTTGGCTGCACTTAAATCACGCGCCACGCAATACCCAATGTGCTGCCCTAAAAAAAAATGTTTGCTATACGATCTGTGATATGCTGTATCCGCGAGATTCCATTAGGGGATCTCTGGGCTCCCAAAAATGGATCCGTGTCTCCTGGTGTCACTTCCATTTCCTATCGATTATTAATGCTAATGCCTGAATTCCATAGCTCCGTATAGAAAGTGGCAGGGTCGAATACACTGTACTTCACATTTTATCGATTTGTTTTGATTAGATTTCAGTTATACCCTTCGCGGCGAACAGTCATTAGTGGGAAAATCCAAGCTTGGTTTGTTTTTTATCATGTCATAATTAGACCGGCTAGGTCTTTATTGTTCATAATCGTGAGTCAGAGTCAAAAAATCCCTAACACAGTAAGCTTAGGACTTTTCCTTCATAATTTACAACATAACACACAGTCAGTGAAGTATTCAGAGCTACCGGATATAGACGAGAAAATGATATCTTTTCCATTGCATCGCCGAGTTTTCTATTCTTACAAGATTTCTTCGGGAATAATTGGATCCCAAAGGGGGTTATCGGAATCTAAGAAGTTTCAACATGCTGTACATTCGTCTGATAAAATTGAAAATAGAAACTTGTCAAGCATTTCCGGGACCTCTATCGTAATAGATGGAAAGATCCAAATACCTTATTATACTAAGAGCGCAATCCCGCTCAAAAAGTGGCCAAATAAAATCTTCCATGTTATGGACCAAGAATCCAATTTAATTGATGATGATTTACTGTCTAGCGAACAGCGAAGCATTAACAGGGATCTTAACAAATCTATTAAGGGAGAGGGCTCAAAGTTTCCCAGCAAGAAACCTAAGCCAACAACGAAGTTTCCCATCAATGAAAATGCCGAAAAAGAACTAGAACCAGCTGAAAGAGAAAAACTAGAAGCCAAGTTATTAAAAAGGCTAAGAGATATTGCATCAGGAAAGAAATCAAAGCTCGAGGAAAAAGTTGAGGCGTTAAGGGGTGAAGCGGTCGAAGAGGAATCCGAAAAATGTGTGGAAAACACACCTGAGGAAGAAGCAGACGCTCCAAAAGACGACAAACCACCAATGAGTCTGCAGGCCAAGGAGCCACCTTCTACTCCACCACCCAAAAGTGATTCAGCTCCGCCGAAAGGAGGTGCTCCACCACCGAAAGGAGGGGCTCCACCACCGAAAGGAGGCTCTCCACCCACGGCTCCTCCAAAAGGTCCACCGCCTGGAACTCCACCTCCGCAAACAAAAACCACTTTTGGACCTCTAGCCGATGCAGATCGTATCTTCACCAACTTGTACGGCCGCCACGACTGGCGTTTAAAGGCAGCCATGAAGCGAGGGGATTGGTACAAGACCAAGGAGATTTTGGACAAGGGTGACAAGTGGATAGTGAACGAGATTAAGACGTCCGGATTGCGGGGACGCGGTGGCGCCGGTTTCCCCAGTGGACTCAAGTGGTCGTTCATGCACAAGCCGCCCGATGGAAGGCCCAAGTTTCTGCTGGTCAACGCGGATGAGGGCGAACCGGGCACGTGCAAGGATCGTGAGATAATGCGCCACGATCCGCACAAGCTGGTCGAGGGGTGTCTCATTGCTGGACGGGCAATGGGTGCCAACACCGGGTTCATTTACATTCGCGGAGAGTTCTACAACGAGGCGTGCAACCTTCAGTACGCCATATTAGAAGCCTACAAAGCTGGTTACCTGGGAAAGAATGCCTGTGGCTCGGGCTTCGACTTCGATCTCTATGTGCAGCGCGGAGCAGGAGCCTATGTTTGTGGCGAGGAGACCTCCCTGATTGAGTCCCTGGAGGGCAAGGCGGGCAAGCCGAGGAACAAGCCTCCTTTCCCGGCGGACATCGGAGTCTTTGGCTGCCCCTCGACGGTGACCAATGTGGAGACGGTGGCCGTTTCTCCAACGATCTGCCGGAGGGGCGGCAATTGGTTTGCCAGCTTCGGACGCACTCGCAACTCGGGCACCAAGCTGTTCAACATCTCGGGACACGTTTGCAATCCCTGCACCGTCGAGGAGGAGATGTCCATTCCCACCAGGGAGCTCATAGAACGCCATGCCGGCGGAGTGATCGGCGGGTGGGACAATCTGCTGGCCGTCATTCCCGGTGGCTCCTCAACGCCGTGTATTACAAAGAAGGATGCCGAGTGCTCCATCCACGACTTTGATGGACTAATGGAGGTGCGTTCGTCCCTGGGCACCGGCGCCCTGATTGTGATGAACAAGGACACGGATATCATCAAGGCCATTGCCCGTCTGTCGTCCTTCTACAAGCACGAGAGCTGCGGTCAGTGTACTCCGTGCCGTGAAGGACTGCACTGGGTGAACATGATCATGCAGAGATTCGTAAAGGGACAGGCGCAGATCGGCGAGATTGACATGCTGTGGGAGCTCACCAAGCAGATCGAGGGCCATACCATTTGCGCCCTGGGCGATGGCGCCGCCTGGCCGCCCCAAGGACTCATCCGGCACTTCCGGCCGCTGATCGAGGAGCGGATCAGGAAGCGGGAGGCCGACGAACAGGCCATTGCCGAGGCCGCCGCCGCCGAGCGGTTCCCTTGCCAGACGGTGGCTCCTTGCCCAGAATAAAGCGTGCCAATTGCAGCGACTGCTCCACTATCTCGATAAGATTATTTATTTTCCAATTCCTGGGGCGGTGGCACGCTGCTGACTTCAAGCTCCGCTGACTGGCGGCTTCCGTTCGAGTGAAAGTGCAGCCAGTCGTTAACTTCCCCGCCTGGTCGACTGGGCCACGGAATTGTGCCACGCAGCGTTAAGCCAGCGAGGGTTGAAAATGTAGTCTTGTTGCTGTCGAAAAAGCCGGCGAGGGCTTTCATTGCTCTTCTTTCTCGCTTTTCAGGCAGCTCAGCCGTGAAGCAAGTGGCGAAATGTGGCTTGTGGACTCGGAAGTTGGGTTATGCAATGCAGCTTGCCAAGCTTATTCTAACATATTTGGAAACTTTTGTTCATCTTCGAGGGCAGCGTCGTGGTTCACATGTTCGTTTCTGGTCGTAATGTTCTCGCAGTCTAATCGTAAAGTTACATTAAGAACCCGATTCCCCTGACACATTTGTATTCCCCACTATACTACCTCTTGCGAAGCATTCAAAAACATTTTTGGATTTAGATTGTAGATATTTATTTTTATACCCGACCCAACACGAATCAACAAAATTTGTCACACATATGGTTGGGCTCTAATGCGAAAAACTATGAATGCTGTGAAACTAGTTAGAAAATGTAGATACTATTTATCTATGGTGCGTTCTCTCAAAATCCAATTTAATGTATGTTTTCTAAAATCAGATGCAGTTAAAGATATTGTCATTCGTCGGTTGTTTAGGTATGTAATTGATGTACTGCATTGCAGAGGAAGTACTCTCCTTTCTTTCATTCAACCTAAACACACCTCTTACTTCCATATAGAGTGTTCTTTGGTTGTTTCGCTGTCTACCTACCTTCTACCTTCAGTCTTTCCCCGCTGCTTCTTGTACGAGTATGTTCCCTCTTGCATAAAATCAATCAACAGCTGCCTGGCGACGACAGCGAAGACGATGCAATGTGGCCTACTCGAATTACCTGGCCAAGTCAAACGGGTTGGTTGGTTGGTTGGCCGCTTGGTTGGTCGGTCGGTTGGTTGGTTGGTTGCTTGGTGGTATCCTCATCAGCTGATGGAAGCGCTGCTCTGGCTCGATTTGTGGCCCTAGCCATGACAACAGCGACAGCCTTGAGATAACGATTCGCGAGTGGATATAGATACACTAATATGGGAGTGCGAAAAAACCTAGTTGTGAGTCAGAGGCTGTCAGACTGGGAGGGACTGGCTGGGTCTAGTCGGATCTGGTCGCATAAATCACTGGCCGCGGCTCGATATACATAGTTCCTAATTGTTTAATTCAGCCGGAATTCCGTGCGCTTAATTTGTCAAGATTTCAGGCATTATCGGTGGCCGCCTGAAACGATAAGCAGAAGTAAGCGATTCGCCAGCGGGGGTTCCTATTTTGGTTCCGATAGCGGAGATAGATTTCACTCCGCCACTGCCTATATGTGTTTCCATATCTCTATCGCTGACTAATGACACTTGACCGCATTCACGTTTGCTGCTGGCCGGGATGTAAACATCTTTATTGAAGCGTTGTTCAGATTTAATTGACATTTCTTGCCCCTGCAGTGGAAACCGAAATAGCGGAGTGGACTTTCAAATGAGTGGTCCCCCTTCGGTTGCCAGTCGAGTTCTTAATATAGAACAACCTATTTCCACGGAATATGTGACATTTACAGAGTGGTTCAGAAATATTGAAATCAGTCTCTTGAAGGGCATGTTTATGCATTTGAAGAATTCAGGCGAGGAATGCAGGCTGTTATATTTATTCGAGGTTTTATGTTTTCACTTATACATCTTATCCGTGCGGATTAAAAGGAGGTGTTGTGGGAATCTGTGGCATTGTGCCTGGACGCGGATTCCAGCCTCTGTGGCGTCTCTCGTCAAATGGGGATGGATTTCCGGTAGCCAGGGTTACAAGGAGCAGGGCCAGCAGTCCCAGCAGGTGAATCCACGAGGTAGGCATTGCTATTTTGCTTGTGATGATCTGCAATGAAGTGGCTGTGCTTTTATAGATCTCTTTAGCGGAGGGGGTTTTCAGAACCGAAGCGATAAGCCTAACTCGAATGGGAACCACACGCTCGGGGCGGCACTTGTTCTGTGATTTTTAATCTGTCTTTGCTCTGCTGACCTCCTCCAGCGAAGAAAAGATTATGGATGGTGTTGGAGTTGGAGCTTCGGTGTATTTCTGGGGCACCTGCAAGCAGGCTGGCTTTATCTGCAGTCGTTGAGCGAAGCCAGCATGCTGGTGGGTATATCCGACTGCCTCGAAGTAACATTGGGGCAGGACTAGCAGTAGCAAAAGCACAAGAGACTTGAAGAGTTCCATGTTGGGTACAAACTAAACGAAAACACCGAACTAAGGTGCACTTAAATAGGGTAATTTTCGTGTCTACTATTGTTTGATAGATCAAAATTCACACTATCTGTAATTTACAGTGTTAAATGTACCCATTTTTCCAATCTAATGTAAATTAGGCTTATATATTGTGCACTAAAAGTAATAATTCGTAATAATCGTTGAAAAAGGTTGCATGCTGATGGAGAACAAATCATTTGTAATGCAGAAAAATAGCTTGCTGTGATTTGTTTATTCAAAAGCCTCTTTATATTTATTCAAGTTAACTGAGTTTTGTATTTACCTCGTTTTGCAGGTCTGCCCGATCCCTTTGCCAAGGTTCAGGTGGATGGAACCGCCCAGGTTTATTCGACGGAGATAAGCAAGTCCTCCCTGGATCCCAAATGGAATGCACACTACGATTTGTTTCTGGGCATTGGCGATGCCATCACGATAACCGTGTGGAACCAGCGCAAGATACACAAGGGGAGTGGATTCCTGGGCTGTGTGAGGATACCCGCGTTCAACATACAGAGCCTCAAAGGAGCCGGATGTAAGTTGAACTTATTTTCAAGAGTCATGCAATTACTTACTTATAATCTCGTTGAACCACAGTTCAGCGCTTGGACCTGGGAAAACTGTCGCCGGATGACGACGAGCTGGTGCGCGGTCAGATCATCATTTCGCTGCTTTCCAAGGACGGCCCCAGTAGTGGCAATCCCTTGGCGATCGTGGGACCCAGTGGCGATGTTCGCGGGCCGTCGGAGGACGACTCTTCGGAGGACAGTTTGCCCGAGGGCTGGGAGGAACGTCGCACGGACAATGGACGCATCTACTATGTGAACCATGCCACCAAGACCACGCAGTGGGACCGGCCCAGGCACGCTAGCGGAGTGGGTGGCCAGACCACCTCGCCGCATCAGCGCCACAATGCGCACAACGGCAATTCAGGCGGTGATCGACAGGCGCCGGCTGGACCAACGCGCTCCACGACCTGCACGAATCTGATGAACGGCGGCCACCGCAGCAGAGAGTCGGCGGTCACGGCCTTGGACGAGCGACGGCACTCCACGGAAATCCTGTCCAGTGCCGGCAAGGAGAACACCAGCCCCACAACCCCTGTTTCGGCCACGGCCACGCCCGGCAAGAAGACCACCTCATCGAACTCATCCTCTTCGAGTGGTCGCACTCTGGAGCAGCGCCCCACAAACGAACCGGCAACGCCCACTAGCAGCACTACGGCGGCGTCGGTTCGCCTGCACAGCAACAACGACAATCATGTGAAAACGCCAAAGCACCAAACGAACGGCCATGCTCCGCCAGAGGCTACGCCCACCTCGCCCACGGGCCAGCAGAACTATGTGAACGGGAATGCCCAGAACGGGAGTGGCGCTGGAACCGGAAGTGGCCAGGCGGCGCAGCCCCAAAGTGCAAGCAACGGCTGGGCGCAGGAGGATGCCACAACGACGACATCGCCCGCGTCGACGACAACTCCTCCCAGGCACAGCCAGAGTCCGCCGACCCCGAACACATCGCCACCTGCCTCGGTGACGCCCTCTGCCAACGGGAATGTGCACAGTCCGAATGCAAACAGCACACCGGGACGAGGCGGGAGCGAGGGAGGTGGAAGCAGATCCTACACAGCAGCCACTCCCGGCCAGCGTTCGCAGCGCCGCAGTTCGCGACAGCAGGGCGAGGAGTCCTCCACAAGGCGACGCTCGTCGCGAGGAACTCGAAACGGAGGCACCTCTGGTGGCGGCGGCGGTGGAGGATCTGGGCAGCGATACGCTTCGGCGGCCATTGCCGCTGCCAACCAGGCAGCTCGTCCCTTCCTGGATCTGCCACCGGGCTATGAAATGCGCACTACGCAGCAGGGCCAGGTGTACTTCTTTCACATACCCACGGGCGTCTCCACGTGGCACGATCCACGGATTCCCCGTGACTTCGACACCCAGCACCTTACCCTGGATGCGATCGGACCGCTGCCGAGTGGCTGGGAGCAGCGGAAGACGGCCTCGGGAAGGGTGTACTTTGTGGACCACAACAATCGGACCACGCAGTTCACGGATCCCCGGCTGAGCGGCAGCATCCTGCAGATGATTCGACGGGGAGCAGTGCCACCGGCGGCGGCGAATTCCGGGGCACCTGCTCCACCGGCTGCCAATCCTGCACCGGCCACGCCCTCAGCCACGGCAGCCGTTCCGGCCCAGACAACGGTTGCGAGCAACGCCACAACAACGACGACCACAGCAAACCCGCCCCATCGCATCGTTCCGGACCTGCCGCAGGGATTGCTCGAGGGCGCCGACCTCCTGCCCAAGTACCGCCGCGATCTGGTGGGCAAGCTGCGAGCTCTGCGCACCGAGCTGCAGACGATGCAACCGCAATCCGGCCACTGCCGTCTGGAGGTGTCGCGCAACGAGATTTTCGAGGAGAGCTATAGACTGATTATGAAAATGCGGGCCAAGGACATGCGCAAGCGTCTGATGGTGAAGTTCAAGGGCGAGGAGGGTCTGGACTACGGCGGAGTGGCGCGCGAGTGGCTGCACCTGCTCTCGCGCGAGATGCTGAACCCGCAGTACGGCCTCTTCCAGTACAGCCGGGATGACCACTACACGCTGCAGATCAACCCAGACTCTGGAGTGAATCCCGATCACCTGTCCTACTTTCACTTCGTGGGACGCACCCTGGGCATTGCCGTGTTTCACGGTCACTGCCTGGATGGTGGATTCACTACACCCTTCTACAAGCAGCTGCTGAACAAGCCAATCACGCTTGGTGATATTGAGGGCGTGGATCCTGAGCTGCATCGCAGCCTCACCTGGATGCTGTAAGTCGATTTATCACATTTGTTGTTTAAAATTGTTCCTTTACGATCGGTTTGTCTTAGGGAGAGTAACATCAGCGGCATCATCGAGTCGACTTTCAGTGTGGAGAACAATAGCTTTGGCGCTCTGGTGGTACACGAACTGAAGCCTGGTGGTGCCTCCATTCCCGTGACGGAGGAGAACAAGCGGGAGTACGTGAAGCTCTATGTGAACTATCGTTTCATGCGCGGCATCGAGCAGCAGTTTTTGGCCTTGCAGAAAGGTTTGTAGTTGGAAGTGGTTGTGTTTTGAGAAAATTAATTAATTTGGTATTATTCTCTAGGGTTCTGTGAGCTGATACCCAGCCATCTCTTGCGACCGTTTGATGAGCGCGAACTGGAATTGGTCATCGGCGGCATCTCCAGCATCGATGTCAACGACTGGCGGAACAATACGAGACTGAAGCACTGTACGAACGAAACGACGCAGGTGTTGTGGTTCTGGCAGGTACGTTTTACCACTGCTTATCCCCAATTTGGAACCATTCTTATATATTCCAATACTTATTCGTTCAATTCTCACTCGTCTTTAGGTGGTCGAGTCTTATAGCTCCGAGATGCGAGCCCGCCTGCTGCAGTTTGTGACTGGATCGTCGCGAGTGCCGCTTCAGGGATTCCGGGCGTTGCAAGGCTCCACGGGAGCGGTGGGCCCACGACTGTTCACTATTCACCTAACTGCCGACGTGCCCACACAAAACCTGCCCAAGGCGCACACCTGCTTTAACCGGATCGATTTGCCACCCTACGAGACGTACCAGCTGCTCTGCGACAAGCTGACGCAGGCCGTTGAGGAGACCTGTGGCTTCGCCGTGGAGTGAAGAGCAGCAAATGAAGTTACCAACTCCCGATCCACGCATATGCATATACATAGACACCTTTCAATATATATAATACACAACATTATAAAGCAACATATATCAAGGCGATTTGAAATCAAAATTGTACTGACCCTGGTCAAGATGATAAGTTTTTATTTTTATTTGTTTGTTGATGAACTGCTTCCGCAGCGCTGTTTAATCTTGTGTGCTGCGCATTTTGCAGTTAAAAATTTAATTATTTAGCGAGTATGTACTGACTCATCGTATACATAGTTACCAAGTGCATATATAACATGAGTATATACACTTTCACACCCCCGAAACCGACATATACATATTTATATATATATCTACCCTGGCCTTTGTTCGTTTACGTCGTGGCGCGTGTTATAAATTGTAGTTTAAAATATTACGAAACCAATTATACATACAATTATACAAGATTATACATATATCATAGTTGATAATTAGGCATAACAAAATTTTTAATTGTAGGCATTGGACCGGCAATTCTTTCGTGCTTTTGTTTACTTTAGTACATTTTTGATGTTTATTAATTACATTTTGTACATTTTTATAAAACACAAATCGAACTCACTGCTAAGTTTTTAATTATTGTTTAAATCGTCCTTAAACACACCGCACATCTGCATCAACACACACTCATCGACACACCTAGCTTGCATATTTTATAAGTAGTATGTGAGCAAAACGATTGCCTACCCCAAAAATGAAACGAAAAAATATGAGAGCAAAACAAAACACTTGAAAAATTACTCAATTATTAAATTAGTTATTTTTTAAATTTTTAAATAAATGCAATTATTTAAATTACCCTTTTGTTGATTTTAATTTTATTCCCTGCCGCATCGCCAAAATCAAAACTCTAAAGGATCAAACTTCATATACACCTACATCTTTAATACAACATATTTACATAAGTTTTTAATGAAAACGAATTGGACAAATTTCTAGAAAGTGATATTAGTGAAAATTTTATCTGACTTTAATTAAAACTTACCATTTGGTAGATATTTAAGAACCCCACCCTGTACCCGTTTCCAAAACCACCCAAAGCCCCAAAATGTAGTGCATATGTGAGATCTATTGATTTTTTATTAAGAACGAGGATTCAACCCTTGGATTTAAGCAGATAGAAGTTACCCCCCAAAATACAACACAAATCGATCGTTAACTTTTTAGCTTTAGTGTGAGATCTAGGAAGCGAATGACTAAGGACTTAAGGCAGCAATCCTGCGCACATTGATAAGGACTCTGCTCCATTAACCGAAAGGGATTAATAAATTAATGAGCCTTAAAAGAGTTGTTTTATTTTTATGGCGATATAAGTTTGTTTCGATTAAAAGGTTTTTGAGTGTGTTAGTCTTTTAAAAAAGATTATTATAAAAACAAAAAATTGATTGCCGAAACCCGGGATTGAACCGGGGACCTTTAGATCTTCAGTCTAACGCTCTCCCAACTGAGCTATTTCGGCAGATGTCGAGGATGTGCCAAAAATAATACTAGTGGATAGTATCACTGCTTGTGTAAACTTTAGGTGAGTGTCTTCGCTTAAAACAAACAATTTACAGAATTAATTTTCTGATATTCTACATGTCAAATGTGCCCATCAATTTGTTTACTTATTCGTTTTGATTTTGTTTATTTTCTACAATTGAAAATTATTAGGATTTATTCAAACGCTTATGCTTTATACGTAAACCAAACTTCTTTTTTAGTCGAAAAACTTTTTCTTGTCACAAGAATTGCCTTCCTACCCCATGTAAACTTGAAAAACTACCTCAATTTTGTATATTTTCCATCTGCCGAAATAGCTCAGTTGGGAGAGCGTTAGACTGAAGATCTAAAGGTCCCCGGTTCAATCCCGGGTTTCGGCAATTATATCTTTTTTGTTCCTCACATGATAAAATAAAATAACAGAAAGATTACGTATATATATTTTTGAATTTATTTGTCTATACTGATAGTCTCAGTCTGAGACATTATTAGTATTATAGCAAGCCGCCAGTACTTTAAATAATACAAAGTTTACAATGTAGTGAATCTAGTTTTACATACGACCTAGGATTAACTAAGAGTGCATGACTATTTATTTTCCGGGGCATTCGAGCCCAAACTTCTAGTAAGAAACATTTCCGTCGTCGAGTGGAAGTGTAGATATTATATATAGCAGCTCCATAAGGTATACGAAAGTAGAAGGCTTAGCCTAGTTTAGCTACGGCTGGCTGTGGTCTTGGTGAAAAGCGGTCGACTTTGGAGCCAAGCCAGCGGGCAGTTCATACGATAAATTATAGCAGCATTACAACTACGATTCTTTACGCTATTAAGTTACAACTCAAAATCGTTCGCGGGTTACTAAAGCTAGTGCACGGCTGGATCCGGCTGGTCCAGTCCAGGCCAGTCCAGTCCAGTTAAGTCAGGAGGGAGCGACGAGAGCCCGCTCAGAAGTCGGGATCGTAGTCGCGGGAGTAGCGCGTCCGACTCGCGTGGTTGTTGTAGCTGTACATCTGGTGGGCGTCGGCGAAGGCGTCCGGATACTGGTGGCCGTACCCCTGCTGGCTGTGCTGCTGCTGCTGCTGCGATCCCTGGTGGTGGTGCGAGGGATACTGGCTGTGGCCTCCTCCTCCGTGGCTGCCGTGGTGGAGCTGCGGCCTCTTCAACGAGTCGCCCTTCTGCGAGTAGGTCGGCTGCTGGTCGTAGAAGTAGTCCCCGCTGGAGTGCGGGTGGCGGGTGGACCGCCAGCTGTCGTAGATGTTGGAGCTGTTGCTGCCGTGCATCGAGTTGGTGAAGCGCTGGAAGGAAGGAGTATTACAGAACGGTTAGAAGGATTAGAAGCTCTCTAATTAATTGGAAATCTCTCCCTACCTTCGGCTTAATGGGTTGCTTGGTGTCGTTCCAGGGATCGTCGATGTTGTAAAAGTCGTCCACGCCGTAGTTGTCCGCACGACCCATGTGGTTGACCTTCAGCTCGTTCAGCATGTCGTTGGTCAGGGGAATGGGCGTCTTCTTGGCCCTCTTCTGGCGATTCAGTAGCTGTAATCAGAGGAGAGTGGTTAGGCAAACCCTTGAAAGCTGAAAAGTTAAAAGATGAACTCACCACTGTGACTCCAAAGATGACGACGAAAACCAGGGAACCCACTCCGATCACAATCACCACGATGGCCCACTGCGGAATGAGCAGATCCTCCTCGGCAAACTCCACGTTGGTGTGAACATTCTTGGCAATGACTGCAGGGGATATAAACTTGAACAACATATTCCTCAAACAGATAATGCCTTCACTCACCACTGAAATCCGTGGCCACGGGGTCGATGATGTATTTGCCCATCTGGTAGCTGGCCGTGACCAGCTGCTCCTCCTGGGGACCCGAGACACTGTCCGTCTCGTTCTCCTGGGCATCCTTGTCGGGCAGCACCAGAGTCGCCGGCTTGGTGAGGGCGTCGTGGAAGAGCTGCTTGATCTCCAGGGTGTCCACGTCCTCGGTGATGTTGGCCAGCTCCACGTAGTAGTCGACCAGGACGCTGCCCTTGCTGAAGCTGTCGATGCGCACCTTCTTGTACCACTTGTTCAGCTGGGGAGCTCCGGAATAGACTTCATTAAGCTGTGGAATCAAATAATAAGTACAATATATAGTGGAATTTTTCCTATTTTAAGAGAAGTGGAATCCCTAAATTCGAATGCAAGAGTATAACCACCACTTACCTGGGCCTCCAGCTCGTGGGCGAGGTTCTTCCACTCGAGGGTGTTGTGGTCGAGGAGCTCCGGCTTCCAGGCCACGCCATCGATGATCTTGATGGTGGCGGCCAGGTCGCAGTCGGCGGTGCAGTGGCCCGGCTTGGTGGGTCGCGGAGTGGTCGTCGTGGTGGTGCTCGTCGTGCTGGTGGTGGTGCTCGTGGTGCTGCTGGTGCCGCTGGCGGTGAGCAGGTCCTCGAAGTTGATGGTCTGCGCGCTCAGCTTGTCGATGGAGAGGGGCGTGGTGGGCGGAGTGGGCCAGCCGGTGAACTCGGTGGTGGCCCGGGTGGGCGGACCCTTCTTGATCATCACCTGCAGCGGCGAGTTGCCGGACTCGGTGGCTCCTCCCCCGTCGGCGGAGGGATGCGGGGTGGTCAGGCGGTGGGAGCCCACCCGCTTGTGGAAGCCCTTCGGGAAGACAACCTTCAGGCCACTTCCCCCGGAACTCTCCGTGACGGCTGCTTCGGTGGTGCTGGGTGGTGAAGCCACCTTGGGCTTGGCGGTCGTGGTGGTGGTGCTGGTGGTCGAGGCCGGATGCACCTTCTTGGCCTTGTAGCCCGGCGGCAGCAGGGAGGCCGGGATCTCGTCGCTGCCCTCGCTCTCCGTTTCGTTCAGCTTGAATCCGGGCGGCAGCAGGTTCTTCAGCTCGTCCAGCTTGATGGCGGTCACTCCTGGTGGCAGCTTGGGCTCCTCCTTTGCCTCCTCCTTCTGCTGCTTCTCCTCCTTGGGAGCCTTGTAGCCGGGGGGAAGCTGGAAGGTGCTCAGGTCGTCGAAGGGCACGGCGACTGGCAGGTTCCTCTGCGTGGTCGAGGGATTAGCGGTGGTGGTGGTGTTCTCCGGCCTGGGAGTGCTGCTCAGCTTGTAGTCCTTGGGCAGCAGGGAGGCCAACTTATCGTCGAACTGGATCTGGCTGAAGAGGCTCTCCAGACCCGCAGAGGGATTCGGACTGCTCTCCTCCGGCTTCGACGTGGTGGTGCTCGTCGTGGTGGTCGTCTTCGGTGGCTTGTAGCCCTTGGGCAGGAGTCCCGCCAGGGCCACGTCCTGCACGGTCACCTGGCCGCTCTTGAACGACCGGCTGATGGTGGAGTTGCGTCCTGGCTTGGCCTTCGCCACCTCAGCGGCGGGAGGAGCCTCCGTGGTCGAGGTGGTGGTGGTGATCTTGCGGTTCTTGTAGCTCGGCCTGGGCTTGAATCCCACCGGGAGCAGGGTGGCCAGCTCGTCCATCTCCGTCTCGTCGAAGTGCTGTACCTTCAGCTTGCTGCTAGTGCCACTGCTGGTGGTTCTCGGGGCGGAGGTGGTCCTCGGCTGGTACTTCCTGATGTGCGGTACGAACTTTCCTGGTCCCGTGCCCACCGTGGTGCTGGTCGCCGGCGTGGAGGAGTCCATCTGGCTAATGATGGGGTACTTGCCGGACAGCAGGCCGCTCGAGAGCTCCGACTGCACGCGGTCCAGCTTGTCGATGATGCTCTCCGTGGAGGCGGCCACCGGAGGCTGAACGGAGGAGGATGAGGAGGAGCTGCTGGGAGCGGACACCTCCTCACTGCCCTCCGGCTGCTTCTGCGGCGGAGTCTGCTGCTGCTTGGAGTGCACCTTGCGCTCCAGCTCGGAGAGCGTCTGCTTGGTCTCCTCCTGCTCGATGGCCGGGAAGGGCAGGAACCGGGCTCCGTTGATGCTGCGACTGGGTTGGATGGAGGCCACCACCACGTAGTTCTCGGTGGCGTTGCCGCCCTTCTCCTCCTCCGCGTTGATGGCAGTTGTGGTTTCCAACTTCAGATCAGCATGCGAGGCGATATCCTCCTCGTCGTTCTCCTCCTCCTCGGTTATCAAGTTGGAGCTGGGGGTAACTGGCGCTGGGAGAACAGTGGATCCGTTGACCACGCTCTTGGTGGTTACCACCGAGATGATCTCGCGATCCTCCTCGTGTTCGCCACTGGGCGTGGATGGCTTCGAGTCCTGGCTCTCCACTTCGCTGGTCGAGTCCTCGCCTCCCTCCTCGTCGTCGTATTCGTAGTCCTCGCCCTCGCCTTCGTCATCGTACTGGGATTCGGAGTGATCCTCCGGCTTCTTCTCGCTGTGGTCCTCCGACTTGGACGTGCTGTGCTCCTCCTGCTTGGAGGACTTGGGCTCCTCCTGCTGGGATGCATTCTCCTCCGGTTTCGGTGGGACCTCCTCTTCCCTTTCCTTCTCGATCTCTGCCTGTTTGGAGGTGCTCTCCACTGGCTCTTCAGTGGTCACGATCTGCTCCTCCACGTGGAGCTCCTCGGTGGACTGGTTCTCCAGGGGAACAACAGTGGTGGCTTCTTCCAGCAGCTCCTCCTCATGAGCCGGCTCCAAAGTGGTGACCTCAACCTCTTCGTTGGTGACCTCGGAAACATCCGTTTGGCTCTCCTCGGTGCTGCTGGTGCTGCTCTCGTGATCCACCTCGGAAACGGTGGTCAGTTCGGAGGGTTCCACCGGCGAGGATGCCTCGTCCTTCTCCACGGTCACTGGGGTCACACTCTCCTCCTGGAGCGGCAGCTTCTCCAGGCTGGAGGACTCCTCGGTTCCCTCGTCGGACTCCTCCTCGTACTGCTCGTCCTGCTCCTCGTCCTCCTGCTCCTCCTCCTCCTCCTCGGCGCTCTCGGTGGTGCTGGTGGTTCGCGCCGTGGGTCTGGCCGGCAGCTTTAGCCGGGCCGCACTGTAGTTGAAGGGTCGCTTGCTGACCACGCTCACTGGTTCGTTCACCTCGCGGCTGATGAAGACGGGTCGCCTGGGATTCGGCGACTTCCGACCGAAACTGGGACGATCCGCCGGAGTATTCTGGGTGGTCGAGGTGGTGCTGGTGCTGGTGGACTTGGCGCGGTTGCTGCCATAGCGGTTGAACCGCTTGCTGCTCACCTCCGCACTCCCAGTGGTTGTGGTCGTGGTGGATGCAGTGGAGCTGCCGGGTTGGTAGCGATTCCGAGGTCTAAAAGGAGTGACCGCCGGAGTGGCTGGATTCTCCGGGAGGGCCGAGACCGGAGCCTGAGTCCGTGTCCTGGAGGGCGAGAAGCCCCCGTTGCCAAATGGCCGACTGCTGCTCGACGGACGCTTTTCGTTCTGCAAATAAAAAATTCAAAGGTTTAATGGGAGGATTACCAAAAGTATTGTTATGATAATGGGTTCGGATTTCGGTGCATATGGAGTACTTTGGCCAAGAAGAAACCGCTCGTTCACAGCCTCGACTGTCGTCATGGGAAACTGTTACAGTTTCGACATGGAGTGGAGACCGCAATCTCTGTGGTTCGTCTGCTGTCGATTGTCTTGCGTGCGAACTCTTCTCAACCGCCGTGCCATTCAAGTGATTCTCAAATTTGTCTAAAGCGTTTTGTGCAAATTTCCAGACTCCCCACCACCACCATCTACACCTCCACCTCCACTTCCAACTCCCTTCATCCGTTCATCCATAATTTATGCGCTCGAATTTATTTAGTTTTTATGTGAAGGCAACCTCGCAACTGTCAAAGTTAGCAGATTCCCCCCAGCAGGTTACCAAATCCGTTGCACGGCGAAAAATAAGATCGTTTTGAGCCCGACTTGATCTTCTTTCTCAGTTTTGACTTTGTATAATTTAAGGAATATTATTTATTATTACTAAACAAGGGTGTTTTTAAATAAGTGCCTGGTCCAATTGATTTAAATATGAAACTTTGTATATAGTTACTTTGATTGATTCATAGATTATTGATGTTTTCTCTACGTGAAAATGATTGGAGATTGGCTGTGGATGGCAGGTGGAGAATGGCCAGAGAAGTGGAATCTGTTAACCACCCGCCTGATCTCAATAGTAATGCCAACTAATGAGCTCCGAGCGCCCACCAGCAATCGTTATTATTGCCGATTAATCGTGAGCTGATTTGATATTTAAGCCGGCATCAATCAAGGCAACACTTTCGCTCGAATGGGCCAACAAATTGCTGCAATTAACTGAGAAATTTGTGTGGGCAAACCGAGCAATCGGAAAAGACAAATAGAGCGCGAAACTCTTCCGCTCTGACATGTCAATTATGAGTTCGAAACAAAATAAGTTAAGGCAAATATTAGCAACTTGAAGTCGCACAAGCTGAATGCAAACACTTGCTCCTCGAACTGTTTTCAAAATAAACAGAAATTGCCGAAAAAAAGGCTGGCAAAGGGAACATGATTTATGAACGGAGTTCGCTGGTTTGCCAAAACTTTAAGCAAATAACAATCAAAATGTGGAGCATGAAATGCAATCGGTGAAAGGTAAAATATTTTTGCGGCAATTCGATTTGGCCTTTTTCTGCGGTTTTGTGAGGCAAATGTTTTTTTTTTATGTTTGAGTAGTGAACAAAAACTAAGTTCGCGTGGCTCGCAACTGGTTCTGAAGTTTGGCTACTTGAAGTGGTAGTAATGAATAAAAAAAAAGAAAAAGAAACGCCGCGAAGCATTTACCGCTTGGAAGTCACGTAAGACTCCCGTCTGGCCAACACCGAAAAAACTGATATTGGCCAAAATCAGAGCAGAGCCAATTGTTTTGTTTTGTTAACTCGTTATGCAATGCCAAAGCGAAATTGTTTTGCCTGAGCTCGATTTCGAGTGCTTCTTGTTATGCCAATTGAGATTGCTTTTCTGTCGCTTTTACTTTCCGCGATCTGCACTCTCCATCTGGATTTACACAGAAAACAAAATAGCAGATAAGCAATTAACTGGATATTGATTAAAAAGTTATTCAGATTATTGATAAATTAATTACATTCTGTTGAGATCAATTGTACTACAATTGGGTTAAAGGTTTGTAGAGGTTCTGTATTATATGTAAATTAAATCTATAAAAATCTTTTGCTACACTTTGTTACCAGTGTATTTAGACCTCGATTTGCTTACCCCATTTTCGCTGAAGTGGGCCAGAAACTGCGTCTGCTGGTGGGGCACATTGATGCGCTGCGTCTGCGGCTGGAAGCCACCGCTCAAGCTGTTTCCCGATCCCGATCCCGATCCAGATCCAGATGCCGATCCACTCCGTATCGCCTTGGCGCGTGTGAAGCCGTTGGTCAGCGATGCGGACGTTGCACCAGATCCCGCTGCCACTCCCCCCGCCCCTCCCGCTGCCGCCGGCACCCCAAAGGGGCGTGGCGAGATATCGTAATAGTCCGTCTGGCGATTCGGTTTCTGCGGTGGAGAAATAAGCATCGTGATAGGCTTTTAATGGTGTTACGGCGCGGCAGGTTAATTAGTTTTACTTTTTGTTTTGGGGGCTTTTGTCAAGCGATATAAACGGTATGATAAATAATGGATTGGGGCTTCCAGCAGAATGGCTCTATAATTAAAACTATGTGGGAATTAATATTATAGTTCTTCGTTTGAGGATTCCACCTTGGGTTTTTGAACTTTCTGCGCACCTCATTAATCTTATCTTGAAGAACCGCAGCTTCTTAAGGTCATGAACTACATTTAAATAATCTTCATTTTTGGATCATTAAGGAGAAAAGAAGAAAGATAAATAAATATTTTTTTAAGACTGAGAAAGGTAAATATTAATATCCTAAAACCAGAAGCCTTAATGATTTTGGAAGCTGAGAAATAACAGGTATTCTTGGGTTATCTTGAGAATAGGATTAAAAATTTAACAGGTGGTGTACTGATTTACAATTCCCGAAATTGAATCATCCTCTGAATAACCTAATGAATCATTGTGAATCAGAAGCATTTAAACGTATTTACCAACTTGTTTAGTCACCGCTACATGCAAATCATCTTTGAGGGTTCTTTTTGACGAAACCCAGTGGTGACCCAATAAAGTATTTCCCAAGTGGGAAACCAAGAAGAAAAGTACGTTTCCAATTAAATTGACAAGTCTTATCCTTGCTCACATTAGAGTTTCTTAAGCCGACAAAATGTGACTTTGAGCTCTAAATTGATACCCCGAAATGCGTTCAAGTGGCAGAACTATGGTAAGCAGGCTCTTAAGATGACAAAGTCGGTAATCTAGGTCAAAATCAGGTGGGCAGGGGCACTTGGTGCTCGGAAAAGATCGGACAGGCCCTTCTCAAGCGACTCCAACGTGTGGCGAACAATGCCACGGAGCTCTACTCAGATTATTAAAGAAATCCACATCGAAAGCCGGCGCAAACAATGGAAATCGATTGAAAGCATTTGATTGAAGTGTATCAAGGCCGTGCGAAGCGATATCCAGCGACTCACTAATTATCCAGTCGCAGTTTCGCCTCCGATCTAAGTACTTGTTGTTATGCCACTCTTATTGGTATTGTTTGGACTGGATTTTACTTAACGCCGTTCGCTGGCTTTTTGAAAGTGCAGCCGCCCGGGCTTTTCGACTGCATTGGCTCCAAAAGATTTGCTCTGTTAAGCAAATTGCATACAAAACGCGAGTTTTGTTGCTAAAAGGTGCATTTCAATGCATTTATTTTTCCGCTTCTCGGCGTATAGTAAGCCACTCCACGCATCAGAAAACCCGCGGCTCCCTCTGCCACCGAACTCTTCAAAGTCCCAGATTGGGAGTTCCAGATCTTACCTCCCGAGAGAAATGCGGCTTTTGGCCATCGGACTTACTCTGATTAACAGTCATTTGAGGGGCGGCTCCACTAATGGCAACACCTTCTCATTTGTGCAGAGAAATACTAGTTGTTATATTAGCTTTTATTGTAAGGCAATCTTTTTTGTACAGAAAGCACTGGAAAAATGTAACTTGTACTATATAATAGCTTTAACAGGTAATAGATAAATTATCTATCTATTCAAACTTGAAATGCTTTATTATATGTTTCTCAAGTTATCAAGAACTTCTAATTTGATATGAGTAGTGAGGTTTTCCTCTATCTATTTTTATTGAATTTCAAACAGAGAGTAACTATTATTTTTTCTAGTGTAGGTTTGTATGCTCTGATATGCTTTCAGATCTAAATTTCACTCCCATTGTCAAACGGTTGGACCGAGCTTTGTGTGTTAGTTGGTGAGTGAGGCCACTCACGAAGAAAGCGATCGCCAGTCGACGGGGAAATTAAGGGGTTATATACCTTTTTTTTTTTTAAAAAACGAAAAATTTTTTTAAGCTGAATCCTAAAGTATATCCCCTAGAGAACATTTTCCCAAATTTTTGAAGAGATCCGAATAATAGTTCGATAGGAAAACAGCGTTTTGAGGCGCGGTACGTCATTCTTTGTACCGCAACGTAAAACTTTGAATGCGATTATCTCAAAGTCGTTTTTTTCCAAAAGTGCCTTTGCTGTGACCGCGATTGCACAAGAACTATTTGATCGATCTTCTTCAATTTTGTTTTTAAATATTCGTAATGATTGTGCCGAGTTCGTCATTGAATCAGTTTTTATGCGGCAATTTCGATTTTGCAGATAAGAAATTTTTAATAAAATTTTTAGAGCTCGAAAAATCAATTTTTTGAAAAAATTGTTACTGTATGCAGAAAAAACCAAATATTCTTGAAGTAATTCAATGACGAACTAGAAATAATACTAAACTAATAAAAATTTTTTGGTTTATTGATTTTAGTTGACCCGCTGGACTTCCATCGTGGTCACCGCAAGCCGCTATAACAAAAAAAGGGTTATGAGAGAATTGCCATAACTTCGAAAGTTATTTATATTTTTTTAAGAACAAACGTTTGTTGTGTCTATAAAAACATGTACTATCAATAAATAATAACCTCAGTATCATAAAATAATTGCTACACACCTGAAAAAAAATCCAAAGTTCCCTCATTTTTTTCGCTCAAAAAGGTATATAACCCCTTAAAAACAAACGTTTCTAAGACATTTGTCAATATGGATAGCGTAATGAAGCTATGAAGCTATGAAAGCCTCGCTCACGTCCGTGGAAAGCTGTTGCTGTTGAGCAGAGGAAGAGGGTTATTGCACCGCCAGTCGGCATTACGACGCACTTTCCCCCTAGACCAACACACTTAGACACTCGACTTGGCCAGTCAGCCAATCAGTCACTCAAATAAATCATAATTTTCCATTATGTTTGTGATAAGCCCAAAGGCGGAGTGGAGTTCGCAGGAAGGATCTGCTTTTCAATCCCTGTTCCTTTATCTGCATGAAGACGTCTTCATTCATCATCTGGAGAGCTGCCCTTGGGTTCTTTGATGCTACTGCATCTGGACTTGAGCCGGGTTAATTGAGTTTTTCTCTGGCTCATAAAGAAGTCATTTCCATTAGATGCAGTTGGATATAAAGCGAATAACTGGACACCGAAAGATGAAGCACCCTAACCCATGAAAAATTAAAGTACAAGTTAGGTTTTACTAAATCTGTTTATAAGCCTTATTTGTTCCATACTCCTTGAGGGGTTCTTAAATATTGTCAGTTAATTAACATCAATTAACATCATATACCTTGCATATTTTGAAGATACATTCCCAAATGATCTGTAGAAAATATTGCTTAATACTCTGTGGAATCATAAAAACTCTTGGGAAGGGAATTATGAAATCAGCAGCACAAAACGAGCGTTGCAGCTCCAGTTGGAGGATCGCATCTTGGGATCGGTGGTGCAGCAGTCCCAAGCCAAAGCCAAAGCCCCCTGCTGAGGGGCACCACCTCCTGCCCCTTTTGGGCACCAAAGGCCTTTCAATTAGGGCCAAAGCTGCAAGCTGCAAGTTGCAGGCTGCAGACAAAGTGCGTGCTCATCGCATTTCAGACTGGTCGTAAACAATATGAATTTACACTTTTTTCAATTAAGAAACAACCTGGCCATCGCCACCCTCCTCCTCCTTTCCTCGAATGGCTTTGAATAGCCAACTTCCACAATGGCTCACGCATATTGTAGTTATATTCGGATTCGTTGATATGCAGAAGCCGATTCGCTTTGTTTGACTTTGGTCGAGAGAAAGTACGGGCTTGGGCCATCCAAATGGCCAGCTTGCCATCTCGATTCACGCATATATTTTATATCTATAATTCGATTGTAGTTTCATGTTTATTTCTGATTGGATAGCGTGCAGCCTACGGATTTTTTAAAGCAATCCAACAGTTTTTGACAGTCGCGTGCCGGCAAATAATATGAACATAAATGAAATTTTTAGAAATGAGATATCAAAGAGAAAGGTTGAGTCTCTAAAGATCAGGAGATACACTGCATATTATATCCTGGTGTTAAAATAACTTGACTAAAGGTCTTTCAATTGATCAGGTGGAAATTAAGGAAAAAGGAACCTGTCTATATTAATTCTTTATTATCGACGTTTACAGTTTTAATAAGATAAGGTATATCTCTGGTTCACAAACTAACTAACACCTGCTTTTAATATTTAAAATTTTTCTTTTACACAGCTAATAAAGCTCCGTGATCCATAACGATCCCCTGACAATGTATCCATATCCTGCCTTTCGTGACTCGCCACCATTTCGACATCCATCAGCAATTTAAATTCCTGCCTGCAGTTTTGGCCAGCCAACTAAATCAAATTTCATGTGAGGCATGTGGAAATCCTTTGCGTTTTGCATTCGATTTGATTTCGTTTTCGTTTGTGGCTTTGATTGACTGGCATGCCTGGAGCCCACAAAAGTCGGAAAAGCCAGCTAATTGCCCAGAGCGGAGCTGCTCGAACGCCCCCTCGCCGAACAAGGAAACGTAATGGGGAAATAATCGAATCGAATCGAATCGAATCGCATTTGAATGCGAATGCGAATGCGAATGCGGATTTGGTGGAGGCAGAGCAAAGACTTACCGCAAACTGGGAGCTACCACCGAATGGAGACCCAAACTGGGAACTGGACGCTGGAGGGGACTGCTTGGCGTTCTCGTTGGCGATGAAGAGGAGCTGCTCCTGGTAGGAACCCGGGGAGGGGGAGAATCCGCCGGAACTGGCTCGGAATCCACTCAGCGACTGCGGCTGCTGGCGCGGAAAGGATCCGGACGATGGCACGAATCGGTTTTGCGACGGGAAGTAGTAGCTGGAAGAGTCTGAAGGTCGACGGGTGGTTAAAAAAGAGCGTAAATGTGTCAACAATCAATTAATTTGTTCGCCTCAGCGCCTCCGGCGACTATTAGCCATGAAACGCACAACCAGCCTTTAAAAAAGCCCCAAAAGCAAACAATCACTGCTCTTAATTGCGCGAAAAGTGTAATAAATAAATAAATAAGACCCCCGGCGGCAAATAAATTATTTTATTTTTTGGGTCACAAATTTGTCAACGTTTGTCAGTGGGACAAAAAGTTATTTAATGGCAAAATTATGTTATTATTTTACATTGCAAATGTAAAGTATTTGTAATGTATTTTACAAATATGTATCTTCAAAGTCACATAAACTACTGACTAGCTAAAGAAAATTTTATAAGAGAGGAATTTTGATTTAAATTATTTTTTTTTTTTGGTTTTAAGTTATAAAAGTTTTATTTAGCCCACTGTGCGCGTCAACATATTTCTTCTCATTTTTTGTGTGCCACGCATTTGTCAAACAAAAGTGAATGTGAAGCAAGTGAATGACGACGAATGGCATGTTTGGTTGAAAATTCCCTCAGGTAATTATCAGAAGGTGGGGGATTTCACTAAAAAAATCACAAAAATCAATCAGGGAACCTTAAACAGAGTTCGATTTCCCCATAAATATCCCATAATAATAGCTTATTGTATTTTGAAGATCTGCGAGTTGTTAAGCTAATAATACCCCATTAAATTGTTAAATTTTAAGACTTGTTTGTGCCATTTTTCTTCTGTTTACTTTGCAACATCTTTGGCGGCATAATTTTGCTCAATTCTGTTTTTTACCAGAGATTACGAGTGATTGAAAAACGAAAGTGTAGCAAAACTGCAAGCTGATTTTGGCGAAATACCCCGTGTGGAATGAGGCAAGTAAAGTGGGGAAAGGGGGCAAAGTCACCCAAAGCGAAGCTTTTGTTGCATGCGTCACAATCCTGACTCTTTGACCCACAATGTCTTGCCTTAAAATAGCAAACAAGAAAATGCAGTTGAGCCACGCAAACTTAACTTTTTTTCGTTTCGTGTGTCGACAGATTTTCGAGTCGCTAATTGAAAATTGAAATATCATATGGCCGCAGTATTTCAAACGAAATTGCAGCGCCGCAGCAGCGATTCAATGAAAAGTTTATCGGGCGAATTTATGCAAGAGCCTCGAGCCGGGGACTTTGGAGTGGGGACAACGCCTACATTGATTCGAGTCGAATTTATCTGGCACTCTTGGGCTTCACACCTTGTTTTTACCTGAATCGCTTTTAACTGCAAGTAATTGCCGTTTATTATCGCATCTAAGAACGCGACGAGGCGTCGCATGTCTCGCACATTTGGCGTGAGTCGTCGAAAAGACTGACTGCGGACTGGAGATTAGTTTAGGGTTTGATTAATGGCCCAGGGATCTGTCAGAAGAAATATACCCGAAAATTGTATGCCAAGGCAGTTGCAGCAGCCGCTATTCATTGTTTGCTTAGAGCTGTTGAAACACGCCCACTTCCGTTGTTAACACAGGCTAAATGAAGCTATGTTTTTGAGATACTTCTATAATACATCAGAAACTAATTGCGAAGGAAGTTTTATTACATTTTTCATCAACCAAATTTTAGAGCTTATAATATTAAGTTCATACCTATTTTTAATCCTAGTTAATTCTCTAAATAAATGGTTTAAACAACTTTTTAAGAAAATGAGATTAGAATAAAACGTATTCTACATTCACTTTACATTTGCTTCCTAAAATACTGCTTGCTATTCTTTTGAACACTGCTTGCCTCGGCAACTGGGCTGAAAATTAGTTCATAACGTGTGGAATCGATCGATGGTGCTGCCGTCTAAGTTCCCCTGCTGTTCTTGCTAGAATTTTGGGTCGCGGGTTCGAGTCTACCTCTCTGATCTTTATCTATCAATTACATTTTTCCTTCTGCGCTTGGGCAAGAGGGGCTACCATTTCCAGCGTAGCCCACTCTAATCCGCATAAGGTAGATCAAATCGTTCACTCTCCATTGCCGTTGACACTGCACTATTGCTCCATATATCTAAGTGGGCATTGCAGTTCGCACGTGGGTGAATACACTTCGTTTTTCTTACATCTTCACCAGCTTTTCTTGAAGGAACGAACGCCTCATTAGCATTCCGTGTGCACTTGACCCAAAATCAAAAAACCATCGAAATAAATTCAAATGCGCCGATTCGAAGTCGACGTCGTGACACATTTGCCTATTTCTGGACAGAATTTTACGAGACGCCGGCAACCTTCGGGCTCTTGTCGCATAAATAAGCCTATCGATCGCAATTGGAATTTATTGTAATTGAGCTCGGAGGATCCAATACTCGTATGTGAGCAGAATTTATGATAGTCAGATGACTACGCCTCAGCGGGGTTAGCAGAGCATATGCAGATATATTTTGATATATAAAAAAAAAACAATATAGATTCACTACAAAAAATGATCACTTATCACTTCAAGTTGGATTGCTTTTTCCTCTGCAACAAGGAGTTCGCCTTTGAATGGGTATTTTTTTCTGGAGGAATGGCCACGGAGTGGGTCGTCGAGCCACCATCTTGTGACGCGTGCTTCTCGGAGAAGTGTCCACCACTTTGACTTTGCACTTGGTCTTGGTATCGCTGCACCTCGTTGTTCTATCCATTGCATTTAGCTTGGACTTGTTTTTCAGTGCTAGTGCCCTGAGTTTTCGCTCCCGACTTATCTGAATTCTCGTATTTATCAGATACTGGAGCTTCAGTTCGGGAGCCAATCGGTGCCAAGCCCGAAAAGCCTTCCTTCGGAGATCCACTGCGGAGTCTCCGGGCTTACCACCTCGATACCTGCGGTAGTCATTGAGGAAAAACTCGAAGGCATCGTATCCCCTTCGCTTCCTAACAAACGGGGATACTTTCCCCTTAACCTTCGACTTTGCATCTTCGGAATCGCTAATTTGGCTGCTTGTCGAGCCGTCCGACTTGCCATCCCAGTCCATTTTGCTCCTACTTGCCAATGTGGCTCACTGGAAATTTTTCAACAATAATTCGAACAGGGTTTTCCCTCCACTGGCCTTTGTTCAAAGGTCTCGATGTGACAATTCCATTGAAAGCTGGGGCACAGACAGCTGCTACAATGGCTTTCAAATCCCTTTCAACTCGGCCGCCCTGTCCAGTGGTTCTAACTCAGGAAAGGTGGCTCCCAAACTGTCCTCTGCATTTGGCATTTGGCGGAGCTAAACAACAAAAAAAAACCACGGGAAAATGGCCGAAACAATGGGGTCGCAAGCGATCGAGGGGCGTTGTGTGGGCCAAGCGGTTCACTGCAATACCATTTTGAGCCGGCGATCGCTGATCGGCAATTGGCAATTGGCAATCGCTACCCAGAGTGGTCACGTCAAGTGCTATTCCACCGGCACAGTGCATTGTGGCTCTGTTCTGCCCGAGATCGCAGTAAAAATGTTCACTTTTTAGCATTAACGGTTGGATTATGAAACAAGTTGTAAAAGTTTTATGTGCTGTTCAGTTCAGGCAATGTATTTCGGCCTTTAATGCACTACATCCATAAAGATTTATGACGTTCATTACATCCATTAAATAAGATGCTTACAAAATTGCTCCATATATGTATTTAAACTTTTTATGCTCTTTATCCTTATCCACAAATCCATCAAGCTAGGTATAAGCATTCATTCTTTACTTTGCTTTATAAATAAGCCAATATTTAATTGAAATACAAGACGTACTAAGATTTGAGTGGACTAATCATTCAATCAAATTATTGTTTTATCCCACAAAGATTTATGACGTTCATTACATCCAATACTTACTTACTTACTTACTTACAAAATTGCTCTATATGTAGTTTAACTTTTTATCCTCTTAATCCTTGCCCATAAATTCCTCTATAAAATGCTGTTCAACTTCCAAGCTATTAGCTTACATTCTTTACTTTATTAAAAAAAAAAGCAAATATTTAATTGAAATACAAGACGTACTAAGATTTGAGTGGACTAATCATTCAATCAAATTATTGTTTTATCCCACGACCACTGTGGCCGACTGAACTCCTCTGCTTGACATTTGCGGTTTTGCAGCCAAGAATTCGAAACTTGCACGGCATTATAGCTGCTGGTCTCGCCGATCTCAGCCCGCACATCGCTCGCTATCCATATAGTGGGCTGACTCGCCATATAGTCGGAGCTATTGGGGCCTGAGATCAGCCGGCTAATTACGCGAGTGACAATAGCCCGGCCATTTTCAGATTCATTATATCGCACTGGGCTGGGCTGGTGCAACAAATTGCGAAAATAAAAGCATGAAATCTTGCAGCGTCTTCTTCATTTGTATTTCTTTTTGGGTTTCTGTTTTTTTTTTTTTTTTTTTTTTTTTCTGTTCGCCCCGCTTTTTGTTTGTGCGAAATGTCAAGCCGTGGCGCAAATACTTCACCAGAAGTGCAACAAAAGCGAGGCAAACACAAGCAAAACACAGGCAACAAATGACAGCAGAAACAAGTTGAACTTTACGTTTTTCTTAACTTTAATCAAGTTTCTTGGCTGGCCGCTCGCTGCGATGCATTCGCTATTGTTGTTTTTATTGTTGAAGCGGCTTCTTCGTTTTTCATTTATTGAAGGTCGTCGCCTTTGCCTGAAGTTTTGAATGAAGCCCCAGCATTTTGAAAGTTTCACTGCCTAAAAACATAGTTTTAGAGGCACTGTTGAAATGGTTCTTAAAATTACTCAATAAAGTCCCACATTTTATCAGGCCCACATCTGAGGTAATCAGAGCCACAAATAAAGACACTCCCACACCCATTTGCCAGATAGTTAAAACTTTATTTGCCTAGGCCCAAATGACCCCATAAATCCCCACTGTTGTTCGGCCGAGCAGAACCCATTTCCTAGATCTGACATCATACGATCTATACCCGCGCCCAGTTCAGTAAACCCGATATTATTACTTCCATTATGCTTCTTTTTGTTTGACAAAATTTCATTTAATTTACTCACTTTTAATGGACTCCAGCGAACTGATCAGAACAAACGCAAAAGATAACAACAAAATAATCACAGAGAACCAACAGAATTGAAAATGGAGACTGGAAACGAGAACAATAAGCTTCCGACTCCGATGGCGATGGCGATAATATCAAAGACAAATAAACTTGGGAAGTCTTTCAAGAAGTGGACAGTGTTCTTGCTGCCGCCATTCGCTAATTAGAAAATAATGTCCAGCAATCCAAGGTCACGAGATTGCGAGATGAAAGTGATTCAGCCGGGAGATTATTAACACTAATGGCTTAACTTCTTTGCAGCTTCACCCACTCGAGCCGTCAAGTTTGTCGCCTGAGTCTTTTGTTTACCTTCCTGAGATCATAGAATGCAGGTTCGTTGCCTAAGGCTTTCGTTTGCTTTCCTGAGATCATAGAACTGGCAAAAGTCTTGGGCTCTTTCGTCTTGGCTTGCATCACGCGAGGCGTTTGCCCAACTCGCGCACATTCCGATTTAGTTTTTAATTATATTTACTAATACTCCGCTGGCAGTCGGTTAATTACATATGCAAACTTGTTACACAAAGTAAAGTAAGTCGAACGCGAGCAGTGAGCAGTTGCGCTGCGAAGGCAGCTAAAACCAACTGCGAAAACCAAAACAAAGAAAACTGTTGCAAGGCGACTCGGCCAACAGCTCTCCAGCTGGCTGACTGGCTGGCTGGCTGGCTTTTATTGTTGGCCAAACATTCGAGACTGGAGCACTGGGCGGGGGGCACCCACTGGGCTGGCCAAAATGTGTAGCAAGCCACCAAAAGCAGCAGCAGCAGCGGCAAGTAGCAAATGGCAGAATGCAAAACCCCAAATAGTTTGTCAGCAAATAGGCAAATTCACATCTACTCATTGTGGGGAAATAGGAAAATATTTGCTCAGGTAGCCCCGATGTTTGTGGTTCGATAAGTGGCTGACAAACAAAACCGAGTGTGGAGGTAAATAAAAACTGTTAACAATTTCAAAAGAAGTCAAAGTGATCTGTATCGTTGACATAACAGGAGATAATGGGAAATACTATATATGTTGTTTTATTAAGGTTACAGGTTATCATAAGAAAGAAATCGTTTGGTTTGCAATTACAAAGTATGACCACCAGAACCACATTCTTCGCCAACACAGATCGTTAATCACTGCGACTAACATGACAGAACCCTTTAATTGAACACCTTCTAATGCAGCCGAGCGAGGAGGAAGTGAGTCGAAGAAATGTCACCGGGGAATGCGGCTCCACGACCAGTGGACACCGGGAACGGGAACGGAGTCGGGGAACAGCTCCACACCCTCGCAGTCGAGGCGAAGTCAAGTGTCGGATTGTAATTGGCGGGGGAACAACCAATACAACCCATACAACCCATTCCATTCCACTCAGTTCCACACACCCCCGCCTGGCGAAGTGGCAGCAAATGAAGTACAATTAAGGCAGAAATAATTGCCGAGCCACAAACTGGTTCTGGCCGGGATTAGAATGTGGCTTGAGCTTGGGTTCTACCTTAGTGTTCTTGTGCGGGTGTTGGCCAAGTTTCGCTGCCAGTCGAGGGACAGGCGCATTCTAATGGCATTGTCCTTGGCCGGGGGTTGTGGCTCGAGTGATTGATTGGAATTTTCGCTTTTCGTTGGCCAACAGCAGGCGGATATTGTTTATTATGCGCAGTCGGAAATTGGGCTCTCACAAAACATACATAAATCAATTATGAAAACCAGAAAACGAACCAACAGGCCGTTTAAACTGGTTCGAAAACATTTCACAGTCGCTTTATTTTTTCTCTGCCTGCCTGCTTGTTGGCTATTTGCATAAACAGTGCAACTTGTAGAGCAATTATACGCAAATTTTGGTCAATGGGCGAACAGGTTGCCTTCTGGTGAAGGCTGCTAGAAACTGAGCCACTAAACCGGGTAAATGTATCGCAGACTCTGGCGCTCAGAGCTCCCCAAAAAACGTTAGCAGGTGTCCGTGGCTATCTTGTCTGCATCTCTGATCATATTCGGGTTATATAAATTAAAAGCCCATTCCCAGCCGGTGTCACTTTCCCACCCCTGCCCCCTGGGAATCGTGGGCTCCGAGATGCACGAAGAGCGCGTCATCAAAATACCCGAAATCGAAAGCATTTTTCGGAGGAAACCGCATAAATTTGTAAACCATTTAGGCTAAGACCTCCGATGCGCCGGCAGACAAGAAACACGGCAGCAACTACTGGGCGTGGCTGGCCAAAACCAAAAACAAAACAGCAAAACAACAAAACAAGCCTTACGTAATGCTCGCTGAGGTCAGTTTTGGGCGGTGAAATGAATGAATTTGGTGAGCGAAAGGCCCACAGGCCGAGCCCCAAAACGAAAGTGAAATTTCCATCGCCCATCGATCGAGTCAATTTTTCATTGGCTCCGCATGATTTTGGGCTCATGATTTTTTAAATTAAATAATCATCGTCAATTTACATTTTATCTCTTGTGCAGCCGAAGGGAAGGTCGCAGTTTTACCAAATTGATTTCATGAACATCTGCGGGGACAACGAAAGTTATTGAATTCGGGAAAGTGGAAACCAATGCGGAACCTTTGATTAGAGGAAAGCGTCAAGCAATTTCAGTAAAGTGAAACACTGTTTACTTTTTCACACAGTCATAAAATCTGTTTACTTATTTATAAACCAAACAAAATATGGGGTACTTTTTGAAAATCAAGCACTCATTATCTTTTGTAGATAGCAAATATTTATTTAAGGCATCACGTGATTATGATCTCACGTTTTAGCGACTATCATTTTAGGTTATTCAAATTTTTGGAATGTCCAGCCAACTATTTTTATTTGCGCCGCCAGCAAAGGCTATTCGAACCCCATTTTCACTTAGGCAATAGTAACTTGATTCCCAGCTCGGCTTCCATGGCTTTCGCATAAAAGGACAGTGGCAATAAATGGCCGAGTTCGTGGCCCAATGCAAATGGCAAACGAACATGAAAAACTTCTTAACTGGAAAATTCTTTAGCCGGTTTTCGTGTTGCCTTACCACTCCCGAATTGGCGAGGTGGCCGAAAACAGAGACAGAAAACTGGTTCAATTCCAGCTCTAAGCCCGGCCAA